ATGGTTTTTCTCGAGTTGCGGCGGGGACCTGGGGTATGTTCTCGACTTACGGCGGGGATGGCCCTTCAAAACACGAGTTTCTTCAGTGACGTCAGGACTCCTGTCTAGTAACGAGGGACACCTCAGGAATCTCTTCGAGGCTTGGCAGGGCAAAAGGGACGCTTCTCGAGGTGAGGCAGGGCACCCAAGGACCCTTTCCAGTAGCCACAGGGATTTTGGGATTCCTATCAGTATTCAAGAGGAGTCAGGCATCGTCACCTTTTGAAGCAATGAACTCCGCGTGCCTCTCGATGTGTCAGCGGGATGTGAGGCATTCCGTCAAAATGAGGCAGGGACCTAGGGCTTTCTCTAAGGTCTCCACAGGGGATTCAGACATCCCTTCATGTTGTGAGATGAAAGACGAGCCTGTATTCAAGCCACTGCAAGGAAATCCGGCCTCCTTTCAAGTTAGGGCTTCTCGCTGTATATTCCCCTTGAGGCAGCAAACTCGGGGTCCCTCCCACATACCTATTGCTGAGAGAAGCCTCCTCCTGAGGTGCTTCTGGGAAGTTGGCATACGTCTTGAGCCTAAGCCAGGGAATCAGCTCGCATCTCGAGACGATTTGGGGTACACGGAGCATTCCTCGAGTTGCTGTGCTGAAGTTGGTGTTCCTCTAGACTTGGGACAGTGTTCTCGGGGCATCTCTGGAGTTGCCTGAAGGAAGTCGAGCCACCGGTCGTGTTGAATGGGGAACGGGGAATGGCTCTGGAGTCAATGAAGGGGAATCGGGCCTCATCTCGAGTTGATTTGGGGCACATGGAGCTGCTTTGCGTTGCTGGGGTGACCTCAGGGTCCGTCTAGACTGGTGACAGTGTTCTTGGGGACTGTCTCGAGATCCATTAAGCAAGTCGAAGCTCCTGACTTGTTTGAATGGGGTCACGGAATAGCTCTGCATGCACTGCAGGGGAATGGGGCCTCATCTCGCCTCTAGGGGGAAGTCTCATGGTTTTTCTCGAGTTGCGGCGGGGACCTGGGGTATGTTCTCGACTTACGGCGGGGATGGCCCTTCAAAACACGAGTTTCTTCAGTGACGTCAGGACTCCTGTCTAGTAATGAGGGACACCTCAGGAATCTCTTCGAGGCTTGGCAGGGCAAAAGGGACGCTTCTCGAGGTGAGGCAGGGCACCCAAGGACCCTTTCCAGTAGCCACAGGGATTTTGGGATTCCTATCAGTATTCAAGAGGAGTCAGGCATCGTCACCTTTTGAAGCAATGAACTCCGCGTGCCTCTCGAGGTGTCAGCGGGATGTGAGGCATTCCGTCAAAATGAGGCAGGGACCTAGGGCTTTCTCTAAGGTCTCCACAGGGGATTCAGACATCCCTTCATGTTGTGAGATGAAAGACGAGACTGTATTCAAGCCACTGCAAGGAAATCCGGCCTCCTTTCAAGTTAGGGCTTCTCGCTGTATATTCCGCTTGAGGCAGCAAACTCGGGGTCCCTCCCACATACCTATTGCTAAGAGAATCCTCCTCCTGAGGTGCTTCTGGGAAGTTGGCATACGTCTTGAGCCTAAGGCAGGGAATCAGCTCGCATCTCGAGACGATGTGGGGTACACGGAGCATTCCTCGAGTTGCTGTGCTGAAGTTGGTGTTCCTCTAGACTTGGGACAGTGTTCTCGGGGCATCTCTGGAGTTGCCTGAAGGAAGTCGAGCCACCGGTCGTGTTGAATGGGGAACGGGTAATGGCTCTGGAGTCAATGCAGGGGAATCGGGCCTCATCTCGAGTTGATTTGGGGCACATGGAGCTGCTTTGCGTTGCTGGGGTGACCTCAGGGTCCGTCTAGACTGGTGACAGTGTTCTTGGGGACTGTCTCGAGATCCATTAACCAAGTCGAAGCTCCTGACTTGTTTGAATGGGGTCACGGAATAGCTCTGCATGCACTGCAGGGGAATGGGGCCTCATCTCGCCTCTAGGGGGAAGTCTCATGGTTTTTCTCGAGTTGCGGCGGGGACCTGGGGTATGTTCTCGACTTACGGCGGGGATGGCCCTTCAAAACACGAGTTTCTTCAGTGACGTCAGGACTCCTGTCTAGTAACGAGGGACACCTCAGGAAACTCTTCGAGGCTTGGCAGGGCCAAAGGGACGCTTCTCGAGGTGAGGCAGGGCACCCAAGGACCCTTTCCAGTAGCCACAGGGATTTTGGGATTCCTATCAGTATTCAAGAGGAGTCAGGCATCGTCACCTTTTGAAGCAATGAACTCCGCGTGCCTCTCGAGGTGTCAGCGGGATGTGAGGCATTCCGTCAAAATGAGGCAGGGACCTAGGGCTTTCTCTAAGGTCTCCACAGGGGATTCAGACATCCCTTCATGTTGTGAGATGAAAGACGAGCCTGTATTCAAGCCACTGCAAGGAAATCTGGCCTCCTTTCAAGTTAGGGCTTCTCGCTGTATATTCCCCTTGAGGCAGCAAACTCGGGGTCCCTCCCACATACCTATTGCTGAGAGAAGCCTCCTCCTGAGGTGCTTCTGGGAAGTTGGCATACGTCTTGAGCCTAAGCCAGGGAATCAGCTCGCATCTCGAGACGATTTGGGGTACACGGAGCATTCCTCGAGTTGCTGTGCTGATGTTGGTGTTCCTCTAGACTTGGGACAGTGTTCTCGGGGCATCGCTGGAGTTGCCTGAAGGAAGTCGAGCCACCGGTCGTGTTGAATGGGGAACGGGGAATGGCTCTGGAGTCAATGCAGGGGAATCGGGCCTCATCTCGAGTTGATTTGGGGCACATGGAGCTGCTTTGCGTTGCTGGGGTGACCTCAGGGTCCGTCTAGACTGGTGACAGTGTTCTTGGGGACTGTCTCGAGTTCCATTAAGCAAGTCGAAGCTCCTGACTTGTTTGAATGGGGTCACGGAATAGCTCTGCATGCACTGCAGGGGAATGGGGCCTCATCTCGCCTCTAGGGGGAAGTCTCATGGTTTTTCTCGAGTTGCGGCGGGGACCTGGGGTATGTTCTCGACTTACGGCGGGGATGGCCCTTCAAAACACGAGTTTCTTCAGTGACGTCAGGACTCCTGTCTAGTAACGAGGGACACCTCAGGAATCTCTTCGAGGCTTGGCAGGGCAAAAGGGACGCTTCTCGAGGTGAGGCAGGGCACCCAAGGACCCTTTCCAGTAGCCACAGGGATTTTGGGATTCCTATCAGTATTCAAGAGGAGTCAGGCATCGTCACCTTTTGAAGCAATGAACTCCGCGTGCCTCTCGAGGTGTCAGCGGGATGTGAGGCATTCCGTCAAAATGAGGCAGGGACCTAGGGCTTTCTCTAAGGTCTCCACAGGGGATTCAGACATCCCTTCATGTTGTGAGATGAAAGACGAGCCTGTATTCAAGCCACTGCAAGGAAATCCGGCCTCCTTTCAAGTTAGGGCTTCTCGCTGTATATTCCCCTTGAGGCAGCAAACTCGGGGTCCCTCTCCCATACCTATTGCTGAAAGAAACCTCCTCCTGAGGTGCTTCTGGGAAGTTGGCATACGTCTTGAGCCTAAGCCAGGAATCAGCTCGCATCTCGAGATGATTTGGGGTTCACGGAGCATTCCTCGAGTTGCTGTGCTGAAGTTGGTGTTCCTCTAGACTTGGGACAGTGTTCTCGGGGCATCTCTGGAGTTGCCTGAAGGAAGTCGAGCCACCGGTCGTGTTGAATGGGGAACGGGGAATGGCTCTGGAGTCAATGCAGGGGAATCGGGCCTCATCTCGAGTTGATTTGGGGCACATGGAGCTGCTTTGCGTTGCTGGGGGGACCTCAGGGTCCGTCTAGACTGGTGACAGTGTTCTTGGGGACTGTCTCGAGATCCATTAAGCAAGTCGAAGCTCCTGACTTGTTTGAATGGGGTCACGGAATAGCTCTGCATGCACTCCAGGGGAATGGGGCCTCATCTCGCCTCTAGGGGGAAGTCTCATGGTTTTTCTCGAGTTGCGGCGGGGACCTGGGGTATGTTCTCGACTTACGGCGGGGATGGCCCTTCAAAACACGAATTTCTTCAGTGACGTCAGGACTCCTGTCTAGTAATGAGGGACACCTCAGGAATCTCTTCCAGGCTTGGCAGGGCAAAAGGGACGCTTCTCGAGGTGAGGCATGGCACCCAAGGACCCTTTCCAGTAGCCACAGGGATTTTGGGATTCCTATCAGTATTCAAGAGGAGTCAGGCATCGTCACCTTTTCAAGCAATGAACTCCGCGTGCCTCTCGAGGTGTCAGCGGGAAGTGAGGCATTCCGTCAAAATGAGGCAGGGACCTAGGGCTTTCTCTAAGGTCTCCACAGGGGATTCAGACATCCCTTCATGTTGTGAGATGAAAGACGAGCCTGTATTCAAGCCACTGCAAGGAAATCCGGCCTCCTTTCAAGTTAGGGCTTCTCGCTGTATATTCCCCTTGAGGCAGCAAACTCGGGGTCCCTCCCACATACCTATTGCTGAGAGAAGCCTCCTCCTGAGGTGCTTCTGGGAAGTTGGCATACGTCTTGAGCCTAAGCCAGGGAATCAGCTCGCATCTCGAGACGATTTGGGGTACACGGAGCATTCCTCGAGTTGCTGTGCTGAAGTTGGTGTTCCTCTAGACTTGGGACAGTGTTCTCGGGGCATCTCTGGAGTTGCCTGAAGGAAGTCGAGCCCCCGGTCGTGTTGAATGGGGAACGGGGAATGGCTCTGGAGTCAATGCAGGGGAATCGGGCCTCATCTCGAGTTGATTTGGGGCACATGGAGCTGCTTTGCGTTGCTGGGGTGACCTCAGGGTCCGTCTAGACTGGTGACAGTGTTCTTGGGGACTGTCTCGAGATCCATTAAGCAAGTCGAAGCTCCTGACTTGTTTGAATGGGGTCACGGAATAGCTCTGCATGCACTGCAGGGGAATGGGGCCTCATCTCGCCTCTAGGGGGAAGTCTCATGGTTTTTCTCGAGTTGCGGCGGGGACCTGGGGTATGTTCTCGACTTACGGCGGGGATGGCCCTTCAAAACACGAGTTTCTTCAGTGACGTCACGACTCCTGTCTAGTAACGAGGGACACCTCAGGAATCTCTTCGAGGCTTGGCAGGGCAAAAGGGACGCTTCTCGAGGTGAGGCAGGGCACCCAAGGACCCTTTCCAGTAGCCACAGGGATTTTGGGATTCCTATCAGTATTCAAGAGGAGTCAGGCATCGTCACCTTTTGAAGCAATGAACTCCGCGTGCCTCTCGAGGTGTCAGCGGGATGTGAGGCATTCCGTCAAAATGAGGCAGGGACCTAGGGCTTTCTCTAAGGTCTCCACAGGGGATTCAGACATCCCTTCATGTTGTGAGATGAAAGACGAGCCTGTATTCAAGCCACTGCAAGGAAATCCGGCCTCCTTTCAAGTTAGGGCTTCTCGCTGTATATTCCCCTTGAGGCAGCAAACTCGGGGTCCCTCCCACATACCTATTGCTGAGAGAAGCCTCCTCCTGAGGTGCTTCTGGGAAGTTGGCATACGTCTTGAGCCTAAGCCAGGGAATCAGCTCGCATCTCGAGACGATTTGGGGTACACGGAGCATTCCTCGAGTTGCTGTGCTGAAGTTGGTGTTCCTCTAGACTTGGGACAGTGTTCTCGGGGCATCTCTGGAGTTGCCTGAAGGAAGTCGAGCCCCCGGTCGTGTTGAATGGGGAACGGGGAATGGCTCTGGAGTCAATGCAGGGGAATCGGGCCTCATCTCGAGTTGATTTGGGGCACATGGAGCTGCTTTGCGTTGCTGGGGTGACCTCAGGGTCCGTCTAGACTGGTGACAGTGTTCTTGGGGACTGTCTCGAGATCCATTAAGCAAGTCGAAGCTCCTGACTTGTTTGAATGGGGTCACGGAATAGCTCTGCATGCACTGCAGGGGAATGGGGCCTCATCTCGCCTCTAGGGGGAAGTCTCATGGTTTTTCTCGAGTTGCGGCGGGGACCTGGGGTATGTTCTCGACTTACGGCGGGGATGGCCCTTCAAAACACGAGTTTCTTCAGTGACGTCACGACTCCTGTCTAGTAACGAGGGACACCTCAGGAATCTCTTCGAGGCTTGGCAGGGCAAAAGGGACGCTTCTCGAGGTGAGGCAGGGCACCCAAGGACCCTTTCCAGTAGCCACAGGGATTTTGGGATTCCTATCAGTATTCAAGAGGAGTCAGGCATCGTCACCTTTTGAAGCAATGAACTCCGCGTGCCTCTCGAGGTGTCAGCGGGATGTGAGGCATTCCGTCAAAATGAGGCAGGGACCTAGGGCTTTCTCTAAGGTCTCCACAGGGGATTCAGACATCCCTTCATGTTGTGAGATGAAAGACGAGCCTGTATTCAAGCCACTGCAAGGAAATCCGGCCTCCTTTCAAGTTAGGGCTTCTCGCTGTATATTCCCCTTGAGGCAGCAAACTCGGGGTCCCTCCCACATACCTATTGCTGAGAGAAGCCTCCTCCTGAGGTGCTTCTGGGAAGTTGGCATACGTCTTGAGCCTAAGCCAGGGAATCAGCTCGCATCTCGAGACGATTTGGGGTAGACGGAGCATTCCTCGAGTTGCTGTGCTGAAGTTGGTGTTCCTCTAGACTTGGGACAGTGTTCTCGGGGCATCTCTGGAGTTGCCTGAAGGAAGTCGAGCCACCGGTCGTGTTGAATGGGGAACGGGTAATGGCTCTGGAGTCAATGCAGGGGAATCGGGCCTCATCTCGAGTTGATTTGGGGCACATGGAGCTGCTTTGCGTTGCTGGGGTGACCTCAGGGTCCGTCTAGACTGGTGACAGTGTTCTTGGGGACTGTCTCGAGATCCATTAAGCAAGTCGAAGCTCCTGACTTGTTTGAATGGGGTCACGGAATAGCTCTGCATGCACTGCAGGGGAATGGGGCCTCATCTCGCCTCTAGGGGGAAGTCTCATGGTTTTTCTCGAGTTGCGGCGGGGACCTGGGGTATGTTCTCGACTTACGGCGGGGATGGCCCTTCAAAACACGAGTTTCTTCAGTGACGTCAGGACTCCTGTCTAGTAACGAGGGACACCTCAGGAAACTCTTCGAGGCTTGGCAGGGCCAAAGGGACGCTTCTCGAGGTGAGGCAGGGCACCCAAGGACCCTTTCCAGTAGCCACAGGGATTTTGGGATTCCTATCAGTATTCAAGAGGAGTCAGGCATCGTCACCTTTTGAAGCAATGAACTCCGCGTGCCTCTCGAGGTGTCAGCGGGATGTGAGGCATTCCGTCAAAATGAGGCAGGGACCTAGGGCTTTCTCTAAGGTCTCCACAGGGGATTCAGACATCCCTTCATGTTGTGAGATGAAAGACGAGCCTGTATTCAAGCCACTGCAAGGAAATCTGGCCTCCTTTCAAGTTAGGGCTTCTCGCTGTATATTCCCCTTGAGGCAGCAAACTCGGGGTCCCTCCCACATACCTATTGCTGAGAGAAGCCTCCTCCTGAGGTGCTTCTGGGAAGTTGGCATACGTCTTGAGCCTAAGCCAGGGAATCAGCTCGCATCTCGAGACGATTTGGGGTACACGGAGCATTCCTCGAGTTGCTGTGCTGATGTTGGTGTTCCTCTAGACTTGGGACAGTGTTCTCGGGGCATCGCTGGAGTTGCCTGAAGGAAGTCGAGCCACCGGTCGTGTTGAATGGGGAACGGGGAATGGCTCTGGAGTCAATGCAGGGGAATCGGGCCTCATCTCGAGTTGATTTGGGGCACATGGAGCTGCTTTGCGTTGCTGGGGTGACCTCAGGGTCCGTCTAGACTGGTGACAGTGTTCTTGGGGACTGTCTCGAGTTCCATTAAGCAAGTCGAAGCTCCTGACTTGTTTGAATGGGGTCACGGAATAGCTCTGCATGCACTGCAGGGGAATGGGGCCTCATCTCGCCTCTAGGGGGAAGTCTCATGGTTTTTCTCGAGTTGCGGCGGGGACCTGGGGTATGTTCTCGACTTACGGCGGGGATGGCCCTTCAAAACACGAGTTTCTTCAGTGACGTCAGGACTCCTGTCTAGTAACGAGGGACACCTCAGGAATCTCTTCGAGGCTTGGCAGGGCAAAAGGGACGCTTCTCGAGGTGAGGCAGGGCACCCAAGGACCCTTTCCAGTAGCCACAGGGATTTTGGGATTCCTATCAGTATTCAAGAGGAGTCAGGCATCGTCACCTTTTGAAGCAATGAACTCCGCGTGCCTCTCGAGGTGTCAGCGGGATGTGAGGCATTCCGTCAAAATGAGGCAGGGACCTAGGGCTTTCTCTAAGGTCTCCACAGGGGATTCAGACATCCCTTCATGTTGTGAGATGAAAGACGAGCCTGTATTCAAGCCACTGCAAGGAAATCCGGCCTCCTTTCAAGTTAGGGCTTCTCGCTGTATATTCCCCTTGAGGCAGCAAACTCGGGGTCCCTCTCCCATACCTATTGCTGAAAGAAACCTCCTCCTGAGGTGCTTCTGGGAAGTTGGCATACGTCTTGAGCCTAAGCCAGGAATCAGCTCGCATCTCGAGATGATTTGGGGTTCACGGAGCATTCCTCGAGTTGCTGTGCTGAAGTTGGTGTTCCTCTAGACTTGGGACAGTGTTCTCGGGGCATCTCTGGAGTTGCCTGAAGGAAGTCGAGCCACCGGTCGTGTTGAATGGGGAACGGGGAATGGCTCTGGAGTCAATGCAGGGGAATCGGGCCTCATCTCGAGTTGATTTGGGGCACATGGAGCTGCTTTGCGTTGCTGGGGGGACCTCAGGGTCCGTCTAGACTGGTGACAGTGTTCTTGGGGACTGTCTCGAGATCCATTAAGCAAGTCGAAGCTCCTGACTTGTTTGAATGGGGTCACGGAATAGCTCTGCATGCACTCCAGGGGAATGGGGCCTCATCTCGCCTCTAGGGGGAAGTCTCATGGTTTTTCTCGAGTTGCGGCGGGGACCTGGGGTATGTTCTCGACTTACGGCGGGGATGGCCCTTCAAAACACGAATTTCTTCAGTGACGTCAGGACTCCTGTCTAGTAACGAGGGACACCTCAGGAATCTCTTCCAGGCTTGGCAGGGCAAAAGGGACGCTTCTCGAGGTGAGGCATGGCACCCAAGGACCCTTTCCAGTAGCCACAGGGATTTTGGGATTCCTATCAGTATTCAAGAGGAGTCAGGCATCGTCACCTTTTCAAGCAATGAACTCCGCGTGCCTCTCGAGGTGTCAGCGGGAAGTGAGGCATTCCGTCAAAATGAGGCAGGGACCTAGGGCTTTCTCTAAGGTCTCCACAGGGGATTCAGACATCCCTTCATGTTGTGAGATGAAAGACGAGCCTGTATTCAAGCCACTGCAAGGAAATCCGGCCTCCTTTCAAGTTAGGGCTTCTCGCTGTATATTCCCCTTGAGGCAGCAAACTCGGGGTCCCTCCCACATACCTATTGCTGAGAGAAGCCTCCTCCTGAGGTGCTTCTGGGAAGTTGGCATACGTCTTGAGCCTAAGCCAGGGAATCAGCTCGCATCTCGAGACGATTTGGGGTACACGGAGCATTCCTCGAGTTGCTGTGCTGAAGTTGGTGTTCCTCTAGACTTGGGACAGTGTTCTCGGGGCATCTCTGGAGTTGCCTGAAGGAAGTCGAGCCACCGGTCGTGTTGAATGGGGAACGGGTAATGGCTCTGGAGTCAATGCAGGGGAATCGGGCCTCATCTCGAGTTGATTTGGGGCACATGGAGCTGCTTTGCGTTGCTGGGGTGACCTCAGGGTCCGTCTAGACTGGTGACAGTGTTCTTGGGGACTGTCTCGAGATCCATTAAGCAAGTCGAAGCTCCTGACTTGTTTGAATGGGGTCACGGAATAGCTCTGCATGCACTGCAGGGGAATGGGGCCTCATCTCGCCTCTAGGGGGAAGTCTCATGGTTTTTCTCGAGTTGCGGCGGGGACCTGGGGTATGTTCTCGACTTACGGCGGGGATGGCCCTTCAAAACACGAGTTTCTTCAGTGACGTCAGGACTCCTGTCTAGTAACGAGGGACACCTCAGGAAACTCTTCGAGGCTTGGCAGGGCCAAAGGGACGCTTCTCGAGGTGAGGCAGGGCACCCAAGGACCCTTTCCAGTAGCCACAGGGATTTTGGGATTCCTATCAGTATTCAAGAGGAGTCAGGCATCGTCACCTTTTGAAGCAATGAACTCCGCGTGCCTCTCGAGGTGTCAGCGGGATGTGAGGCATTCCGTCAAAATGAGGCAGGGACCTAGGGCTTTCTCTAAGGTCTCCACAGGGGATTCAGACATCCCTTCATGTTGTGAGATGAAAGACGAGCCTGTATTCAAGCCACTGCAAGGAAATCTGGCCTCCTTTCAAGTTAGGGCTTCTCGCTGTATATTCCCCTTGAGGCAGCAAACTCGGGGTCCCTCCCACATACCTATTGCTGAGAGAAGCCTCCTCCTGAGGTGCTTCTGGGAAGTTGGCATACGTCTTGAGCCTAAGCCAGGGAATCAGCTCGCATCTCGAGACGATTTGGGGTACACGGAGCATTCCTCGAGTTGCTGTGCTGATGTTGGTGTTCCTCTAGACTTGGGACAGTGTTCTCGGGGCATCGCTGGAGTTGCCTGAAGGAAGTCGAGCCACCGGTCGTGTTGAATGGGGAACGGGGAATGGCTCTGGAGTCAATGCAGGGGAATCGGGCCTCATCTCGAGTTGATTTGGGGCACATGGAGCTGCTTTGCGTTGCTGGGGTGACCTCAGGGTCCGTCTAGACTGGTGACAGTGTTCTTGGGGACTGTCTCGAGTTCCATTAAGCAAGTCGAAGCTCCTGACTTGTTTGAATGGGGTCACGGAATAGCTCTGCATGCACTGCAGGGGAATGGGGCCTCATCTCGCCTCTAGGGGGAAGTCTCATGGTTTTTCTCGAGTTGCGGCGGGGACCTGGGGTATGTTCTCGACTTACGGCGGGGATGGCCCTTCAAAACACGAGTTTCTTCAGTGACGTCAGGACTCCTGTCTAGTAACGAGGGACACCTCAGGAATCTCTTCGAGGCTTGGCAGGGCAAAAGGGACGCTTCTCGAGGTGAGGCAGGGCACCCAAGGACCCTTTCCAGTAGCCACAGGGATTTTGGGATTCCTATCAGTATTCAAGAGGAGTCAGGCATCGTCACCTTTTGAAGCAATGAACTCCGCGTGCCTCTCGAGGTGTCAGCGGGATGTGAGGCATTCCGTCAAAATGAGGCAGGGACCTAGGGCTTTCTCTAAGGTCTCCACAGGGGATTCAGACATCCCTTCATGTTGTGAGATGAAAGACGAGCCTGTATTCAAGCCACTGCAAGGAAATCCGGCCTCCTTTCAAGTTAGGGCTTCTCGCTGTATATTCCCCTTGAGGCAGCAAACTCGGGGTCCCTCTCCCATACCTATTGCTGAAAGAAACCTCCTCCTGAGGTGCTTCTGGGAAGTTGGCATACGTCTTGAGCCTAAGCCAGGAATCAGCTCGCATCTCGAGATGATTTGGGGTTCACGGAGCATTCCTCGAGTTGCTGTGCTGAAGTTGGTGTTCCTCTAGACTTGGGACAGTGTTCTCGGGGCATCTCTGGAGTTGCCTGAAGGAAGTCGAGCCACCGGTCGTGTTGAATGGGGAACGGGGAATGGCTCTGGAGTCAATGCAGGGGAATCGGGCCTCATCTCGAGTTGATTTGGGGCACATGGAGCTGCTTTGCGTTGCTGGGGGGACCTCAGGGTCCGTCTAGACTGGTGACAGTGTTCTTGGGGACTGTCTCGAGATCCATTAAGAAAGTCGAAGCTCCTGACTTGTTTGAATGGGGTCACGGAATAGCTCTGCATGCACTCCAGGGGAATGGGGCCTCATCTCGCCTCTAGGGGGAAGTCTCATGGTTTTTCTCGAGTTGCGGCGGGGACCTGGGGTATGTTCTCGACTTACGGCGGGGATGGCCCTTCAAAACACGAATTTCTTCAGTGACGTCAGGACTCCTGTCTAGTAACGAGGGACACCTCAGGAATCTCTTCCAGGCTTGGCAGGGCAAAAGGGACGCTTCTCGAGGTGAGGCATGGCACCCAAGGACCCTTTCCAGTAGCCACAGGGATTTTGGGATTCCTATCAGTATTCAAGAGGAGTCAGGCATCGTCACCTTTTCAAGCAATGAACTCCGCGTGCCTCTCGAGGTGTCAGCGGGAAGTGAGGCATTCCGTCAAAATGAGGCAGGGACCTAGGGCTTTCTCTAAGGTCTCCACAGGGGATTCAGACATCCCTTCATGTTGTGAGATGAAAGACGAGCCTGTATTCAAGCCACTGCAAGGAAATCCGGCCTCCTTTCAAGTTAGGGCTTCTCGCTGTATATTCCCCTTGAGGCAGCAAACTCGGGGTCCCTCCCACATACCTATTGCTGAGAGAAGCCTCCTCCTGAGGTGCTTCTGGGAAGTTGGCATACGTCTTGAGCCTAAGCCAGGGAATCAGCTCGCATCTCGAGACGATTTGGGGTACACGGAGCATTCCTCGAGTTGCTGTGCTGAAGTTGGTGTTCCTCTAGACTTGGGACAGTGTTCTCGGGGCATCTCTGGAGTTGCCTGAAGGAAGTCGAGCCACCGGTCGTGTTGAATGGGGAACGGGGAATGGCTCTGGAGTCAATGCAGGGGAATCGGGCCTCATCTCGAGTTGATTTGGGGCACATGGAGCTGCTTTGCGTTGCTGGGGTGACCTCAGGGTCCGTCTAGACTGGTGACAGTGTTCTTGGGGACTGTCTCGAGATCCATTAAGCAAGTCGAAGCTCCTGACTTGTTTGAATGGGGTCACGGAATAGCTCTGCATGCACTGCAGGGGAATGGGGCCTCATCTCGCCTCTAGGGGGAAGTCTCATGGTTTTTCTCGAGTTGCGGCGGGGACCTGGGGTATGTTCTCGACTTACGGCGGGGATGGCCCTTCAAAACACGAGTTTCTTCAGTGACGTCACGACTCCTGTCTAGTAACGAGGGACACCTCAGGAATCTCTTCGAGGCTTGGCAGGGCAAAAGGGACGCTTCTCGAGGTGAGGCAGGGCACCCAAGGACCCTTTCCAGTAGCCACAGGGATTTTGGGATTCCTATCAGTATTCAAGAGGAGTCAGGCATCGTCACCTTTTGAAGCAATGAACTCCGCGTGCCTCTCGAGGTGTCAGCGGGATGTGAGGCATTCCGTCAAAATGAGGCAGGGACCTAGGGCTTTCTCTAAGGTCTCCACAGGGGATTCAGACATCCCTTCATGTTGTGAGATGAAAGACGAGCCTGTATTCAAGCCACTGCAAGGAAATCCGGCCTCCTTTCAAGTTAGGGCTTCTCGCTGTATATTCCCCTTGAGGCAGCAAACTCGGGGTCCCTCCCACATACCTATTGCTGAGAGAAGCCTCCTCCTGAGGTGCTTCTGGGAAGTTGGCATACGTCTTGAGCCTAAGCCAGGGAATCAGCTCGCATCTCGAGACGATTTGGGGTACACGGAGCATTCCTCGAGTTGCTGTGCTGAAGTTGGTGTTCCTCTAGACTTGGGACAGTGTTCTCGGGGCATCTCTGGAGTTGCCTGAAGGAAGTCGAGCCACCGGTCGTGTTGAATGGGGAACGGGTAATGGCTCTGGAGTCAATGCAGGGGAATCGGGCCTCATCTCGAGTTGATTTGGGGCACATGGAGCTGCTTTGCGTTGCTGGGGTGACCTCAGGGTCCGTCTAGACTGGTGACAGTGTTCTTGGGGACTGTCTCGAGATCCATTAAGCAAGTCGAAGCTCCTGACTTGTTTGAATGGGGTCACGGAATAGCTCTGCATGCACTGCAGGGGAATGGGGCCTCATCTCGCCTCTAGGGGGAAGTCTCATGGTTTTTCTCGAGTTGCGGCGGGGACCTGGGGTATGTTCTCGACTTACGGCGGGGATGGCCCTTCAAAACACGAGTTTCTTCAGTGACGTCAGGACTCCTGTCTAGTAACGAGGGACACCTCAGGAAACTCTTCGAGGCTTGGCAGGGCCAAAGGGACGCTTCTCGAGGTGAGGCAGGGCACCCAAGGACCCTTTCCAGTAGCCACAGGGATTTTGGGATTCCTATCAGTATTCAAGAGGAGTCAGGCATCGTCACCTTTTGAAGCAATGAACTCCGCGTGCCTCTCGAGGTGTCAGCGGGATGTGAGGCATTCCGTCAAAATGAGGCAGGGACCTAGGGCTTTCTCTAAGGTCTCCACAGGGGATTCAGACATCCCTTCATGTTGTGAGATGAAAGACGAGCCTGTATTCAAGCCACTGCAAGGAAATCTGGCCTCCTTTCAAGTTAGGGCTTCTCGCTGTATATTCCCCTTGAGGCAGCAAACTCGGGGTCCCTCCCACATACCTATTGCTGAGAGAAGCCTCCTCCTGAGGTGCTTCTGGGAAGTTGGCATACGTCTTGAGCCTAAGCCAGGGAATCAGCTCGCATCTCGAGACGATTTGGGGTACACGGAGCATTCCTCGAGTTGCTGTGCTGATGTTGGTGTTCCTCTAGACTTGGGACAGTGTTCTCGGGGCATCGCTGGAGTTGCCTGAAGGAAGTCGAGCCACCGGTCGTGTTGAATGGGGAACGGGGAATGGCTCTGGAGTCAATGCAGGGGAATCGGGCCTCATCTCGAGTTGATTTGGGGCACATGGAGCTGCTTTGCGTTGCTGGGGTGACCTCAGGGTCCGTCTAGACTGGTGACAGTGTTCTTGGGGACTGTCTCGAGTTCCATTAAGCAAGTCGAAGCTCCTGACTTGTTTGAATGGGGTCACGGAATAGCTCTGCATGCACTGCAGGGGAATGGGGCCTCATCTCGCCTCTAGGGGGAAGTCTCATGGTTTTTCTCGAGTTGCGGCGGGGACCTGGGGTATGTTCTCGACTTACGGCGGGGATGGCCCTTCAAAACACGAGTTTCTTCAGTGACGTCAGGACTCCTGTCTAGTAACGAGGGACACCTCAGGAATCTCTTCGAGGCTTGGCAGGGCAAAAGGGACGCTTCTCGAGGTGAGGCAGGGCACCCAAGGACCCTTTCCAGTAGCCACAGGGATTTTGGGATTCCTATCAGTATTCAAGAGGAGTCAGGCATCGTCACCTTTTGAAGCAATGAACTCCGCGTGCCTCTCGAGGTGTCAGCGGGATGTGAGGCATTCCGTCAAAATGAGGCAGGGACCTAGGGCTTTCTCTAAGGTCTCCACAGGGGATTCAGACATCCCTTCATGTTGTGAGATGAAAGACGAGCCTGTATTCAAGCCACTGCAAGGAAATCCGGCCTCCTTTCAAGTTAGGGCTTCTCGCTGTATATTCCCCTTGAGGCAGCAAACTCGGGGTCCCTCTCCCATACCTATTGCTGAAAGAAACCTCCTCCTGAGGTGCTTCTGGGAAGTTGGCATACGTCTTGAGCCTAAGCCAGGAATCAGCTCGCATCTCGAGATGATTTGGGGTTCACGGAGCATTCCTCGAGTTTCTGTGCTGAAGTTGGTGTTCCTCTAGACTTGGGACAGTGTTCTCGGGGCATCTCTGGAGTTGCCTGAAGGAAGTCGAGCCACCGGTCGTGTTGAATGGGGAACGGGGAATGGCTCTGGAGTCAATGCAGGGGAATCGGGCCCCATCTCGAGTTGATTTGGGGCACATGGAGCTGCTTTGCGTTGCTGGGGGGACCTCAGGGTCCGTCTAGACTGGTGACAGTGTTCTTGGGGACTGTCTCGAGATCCATTAAGAAAGTCGAAGCTCCTGACTTGTTTGAATGGGGTCACGGAATAGCTCTGCATGCACTCCAGGGGAATGGGGCCTCATCTCGCCTCTAGGGGGAAGTCTCATGGTTTTTCTCGAGTTGCGGCGGGGACCTGGGGTATGTTCTCGACTTACGGCGGGGATGGCCCTTCAAAACACGAATTTCTTCAGTGACGTCAGGACTCCTGTCTAGTAACGAGGGACACCTCAGGAATCTCTTCCAGGCTTGGCAGGGCAAAAGGGACGCTTCTCGAGGTGAGGCATGGCACCCAAGGACCCTTTCCAGTAGCCACAGGGATTTTGGGATTCCTATCAGTATTCAAGAGGAGTCAGGCATCGTCACCTTTTCAAGCAATGAACTCCGCGTGCCTCTCGAGGTGTCAGCGGGAAGTGAGGCATTCCGTCAAAATGAGGCAGGGACCTAGGGCTTTCTCTAAGGTCTCCACAGGGGATTCAGACATCCCTTCATGTTGTGAGATGAAAGACGAGCCTGTATTCAAGCCACTGCAAGGAAATCCGGCCTCCTTTCAAGTTAGGGCTTCTCGCTGTATATTCCCCTTGAGGCAGCAAACTCGGGGTCCCTCCCACATACCTATTGCTGAGAGAAGCCTCCTCCTGAGGTGCTTCTGGGAAGTTGGCATACGTCTTGAGCCTAAGCCAGGGAATCAGCTCGCATCTCGAGACGATTTGGGGTACACGGAGCATTCCTCGAGTTGCTGTGCTGAAGTTGGTGTTCCTCTAGACTTGGGACAGTGTTCTCGGGGCATCTCTGGAGTTGCCTGAAGGAAGTCGAGCCACCGGTCGTGTTGAATGGGGAACGGGGAATGGCTCTGGAGTCAATGCAGGGGAATCGGGCCTCATCTCGAGTTGATTTGGGGCACATGGAGCTGCTTTGCGTTGCTGGGGTGACCTCAGGGTCCGTCTAGACTGGTGACAGTGTTCTTGGGGACTGTCTCGAGATCCATTAAGCAAGTCGAAGCTCCTGACTTGTTTGAATGGGGTCACGGAATAGCTCTGCATGCACTGCAGGGGAATGGGGCCTCATCTCGCCTCTAGGGGGAAGTCTCATGGTTTTTCTCGAGTTGCGGCGGGGACCTGGGGTATGTTCTCGACTTACGGCGGGGATGGCCCTTCAAAACACGAGTTTCTTCAGTGACGTCACGACTCCTGTCTAGTAACGAGGGACACCTCAGGAATCTCTTCGAGGCTTGGCAGGGCAAAAGGGACGCTTCTCGAGGTGAGGCAGGGCACCCAAGGACCCTTTCCAGTAGCCACAGGGATTTTGGGATTCCTATCAGTATTCAAGAGGAGTCAGGCATCGTCACCTTTTGAAGCAATGAACTCCGCGTGCCTCTCGAGGTGTCAGCGGGATGTGAGGCATTCCGTCAAAATGAGGCAGGGACCTAGGGCTTTCTCTAAGGTCTCCACAGGGGATTCAGACATCCCTTCATGTTGTGAGATGAAAGACGAGCCTGTATTCAAGCCACTGCAAGGAAATCCGGCCTCCTTTCAAGTTAGGGCTTCTCGCTGTATATTCCCCTTGAGGCAGCAAACTCGGGGTCCCTCCCACATACCTATTGCTGAGAGAAGCCTCCTCCTGAGGTGCTTCTGGGAAGTTGGCATACGTCTTGAGCCTAAGCCAGGGAATCAGCTCGCATCTCGAGACGATTTGGGGTAGACGGAGCATTCCTCGAGTTGCTGTGCTGAAGTTGGTGTTCCTCTAGACTTGGGACAGTGTTCTCGGGGCATCTCTGGAGTTGCCTGAAGGAAGTCGAGCCACCGGTCGTGTTGAATGGGGAACGGGTAATGGCTCTGGAGTCAATGCAGGGGAATCGGGCCTCATCTCGAGTTGATTTGGGGCACATGGAGCTGCTTTGCGTTGCTGGGGTGACCTCAGGGTCCGTCTAGACTGGTGACAGTGTTCTTGGGGACTGTCTCGAGATCCATTAAGCAAGTCGAAGCTCCTGACTTGTTTGAATGGGGTCACGGAATAGCTCTGCATGCACTGCAGGGGAATGGGGCCTCATCTCGCCTCTAGGGGGAAGTCTCATGGTTTTTCTCGAGTTGCGGCGGGGACCTGGGGTATGTTCTCGACTTACGGCGGGGATGGCCCTTCAAAACACGAGTTTCTTCAGTGACGTCAGGACTCCTGTCTAGTAACGAGGGACACCTCAGGAAACTCTTCGAGGCTTGGCAGGGCCAAAGGGACGCTTCTCGAGGTGAGGCAGGGCACCCAAGGACCCTTTCCAGTAGCCACAGGGATTTTGGGATTCCTATCAGTATTCAAGAGGAGTCAGGCATCGTCACCTTTTGAAGCAATGAACTCCGCGTGCCTCTCGAGGTGTCAGCGGGATGTGAGGCATTCCGTCAAAATGAGGCAGGGACCTAGGGCTTTCTCTAAGGTCTCCACAGGGGATTCAGACATCCCTTCATGTTGTGAGATGAAAGACGAGCCTGTATTCAAGCCACTGCAAGGAAATCTGGCCTCCTTTCAAGTTAGGGCTTCTCGCTGTATATTCCCCTTGAGGCAGCAAACTCGGGGTCCCTCCCACATACCTATTGCTGAGAGAAGCCTCCTCCTGAGGTGCTTCTGGGAAGTTGGCATATGTCTTGAGCCTAAGCCAGGGAATCAGCTCGCATCTCGAGACGATTTGGGGTACACGGAGCATTCCTCGAGTTGCTGTGCTGATGTTGGTGTTCCTCTAGACTTGGGACAGTGTTCTCGGGGCATCGCTGGAGTTGCCTGAAGGAAGTCGAGCCACCGGTCGTGTTGAATGGGGAACGGGGAATGGCTCTGGAGTCAATGCAGGGGAATCGGGCCTCATCTCGAGTTGATTTGGGGCACATGGAGCTGCTTTGCGTTGCTGGGGTGACCTCAGGGTCCGTCTAGACTGGTGACAGTGTTCTTGGGGACTGTCTCGAGTTCCATTAAGCAAGTCGAAGCTCCTGACTTGTTTGAATGGGGTCACGGAATAGCTCTGCATGCACTGCAGGGGAATGGGGCCTCATCTCGCCTCTAGGGGGAAGTCTCATGGTTTTTCTCGAGTTGCGGCGGGGACCTGGGGTATGTTCTCGACTTACGGCGGGGATGGCCCTTCAAAACACGAGTTTCTTCAGTGACGTCAGGACTCCTGTCTAGTAACGAGGGACACCTCAGGAATCTCTTCGAGGCTTGGCAGGGCAAAAGGGACGCTTCTCGAGGTGAGGCAGGGCACCCAAGGACCCTTTCCAGTAGCCACAGGGATTTTGGGATTCCTATCAGTATTCAAGAGGAGTCAGGCATCGTCACCTTTTGAAGCAATGAACTCCGCGTGCCTCTCGAGGTGTCAGCGGGATGTGAGGCATTCCGTCAAAATGAGGCAGGGACCTAGGGCTTTCTCTAAGGTCTCCACAGGGGATTCAGACATCCCTTCATGTTGTGAGATGAAAGACGAGCCTGTATTCAAGCCACTGCAAGGAAATCCGGCCTCCTTTCAAGTTAGGGCTTCTCGCTGTATATTCCCCTTGAGGCAGCAAACTCGGGGTCCCTCTCCCATACCTATTGCTGAAAGAAACCTCCTCCTGAGGTGCTTCTGGGAAGTTGGCATACGTCTTGAGCCTAAGCCAGGAATCAGCTCGCATCTCGAGATGATTTGGGGTTCACGGAGCATTCCTCGAGTTGCTGTGCTGATGTTGGTGTTCCTCTAGACTTGGGACAGTGTTCTCGGGGCATCTCTGGAGTTGCCTGAAGGAAGTCGAGCCACCGGTCGTGTTGAATGGGGAACGGGGAATGGCTCTGGAGTCAATGCAGGGGAATCGGGCCTCATCTCGAGTTGATTTGGGGCACATGGAGCTGCTTTGCGTTGCTGGGGTGACCTCAGGGTCCGTCGAGACTGGTGACAGTGTTCTTGGGGACTGTCTCGAGATCCATTAAGCAAGTCGAAGCTCCTGACTTGTTTGAATGGGGTCACGGAATAGCTCTGCATGCACTGCAGGGGAATGGGGCCTCATCTCGCCTCTAGGGGGAAGTCTCATGGTTTTTCTCGAGTTGCGGCGGGGACCTGGGGTATGTTCTCGACTTACGGCGGGGATTGCCCTTCAAAACACGAGTTTCTTCAGTGACGTCACGACTCCTGTCTAGTAACGAGGGACACCTCAGGAATCTCTTCGAGGCTTGGCAGGGCAAAAGGGACGCTTCTCGAGGTGAGGCAGGGCACCCAAGGACCCTTTCCAGTAGCCACAGGGATTTTGGGATTCCTATCAGTATTCAAGAGGAGTCAGGCATCGTCACCTTTTGAAGCAATGAACTCCGCGTGCCTCTCGAGGTGTCAGCGGGATGTGAGGCATTCCGTCAAAATGAGGCAGGGACCTAGGGCTTTCTCTAAGGTCTCCACAGGGGATTCAGACATCCCTTCATGTTGTGAGATGAAAGACGAGCCTGTATTCAAGCCACTGCAAGGAAATCCGGCCTCCTTTCAAGTTAGGGCTTCTCGCTGTATATTCCCCTTGAGGCAGCAAACTCGGGGTCCCTCCCACATACCTATTGCTGAGAGAAGCCTCCTCCTGAGGTGCTTCTGGGAAGTTGGCATACGTCTTGAGCCTAAGCCAGGGAATCAGCTCGCATCTCGAGACGATTTGGGGTAGACGGAGCATTCCTCGAGTTGCTGTGCTGAAGTTGGTGTTCCTCTAGACTTGGGACAGTGTTCTCGGGGCATCTCTGGAGTTGCCTGAAGGAAGTCGAGCCACCGGTCGTGTTGAATGGGGAACGGGTAATGGCTCTGGAGTCAATGCAGGGGAATCGGGCCTCATCTCGAGTTGATTTGGGGCACATGGAGCTGCTTTGCGTTGCTGGGGTGACCTCAGGGTCCGTCTAGACTGGTGACAGTGTTCTTGGGGACTGTCTCGAGATCCATTAAGCAAGTCGAAGCTCCTGACTTGTTTGAATGGGGTCACGGAATAGCTCTGCATGCACTGCAGGGGAATGGGGCCTCATCTCGCCTCTAGGGGGAAGTCTCATGGTTTTTCTCGAGTTGCGGCGGGGACCTGGGGTATGTTCTCGACTTACGGCGGGGATGGCCCTTCAAAACACGAGTTTCTTCAGTGACGTCAGGACTCCTGTCTAGTAACGAGGGACACCTCAGGAAACTCTTCGAGGCTTGGCAGGGCCAAAGGGACGCTTCTCGAGGTGAGGCAGGGCACCCAAGGACCCTTTCCAGTAGCCACAGGGATTTTGGGATTCCTATCAGTATTCAAGAGGAGTCAGGCATCGTCACCTTTTGAAGCAATGAACTCCGCGTGCCTCTCGAGGTGTCAGCGGGATGTGAGGCATTCCGTCAAAATGAGGCAGGGACCTAGGGCTTTCTCTAAGGTCTCCACAGGGGATTCAGACATCCCTTCATGTTGTGAGATGAAAGACGAGCCTGTATTCAAGCCACTGCAAGGAAATCTGGCCTCCTTTCAAGTTAGGGCTTCTCGCTGTATATTCCCCTTGAGGCAGCAAACTCGGGGTCCCTCCCACATACCTATTGCTGAGAGAAGCCTCCTCCTGAGGTGCTTCTGGGAAGTTGGCATACGTCTTGAGCCTAAGCCAGGGAATCAGCTCGCATCTCGAGACGATTTGGGGTACACGGAGCATTCCTCGAGTTGCTGTGCTGATGTTGGTGTTCCTCTAGACTTGGGACAGTGTTCTCGGGGCATCGCTGGAGTTGCCTGAAGGAAGTCGAGCCACCGGTCGTGTTGAATGGGGAACGGGGAATGGCTCTGGAGTCAATGCAGGGGAATCGGGCCTCATCTCGAGTTGATTTGGGGCACATGGAGCTGCTTTGCGTTGCTGGGGTGACCTCAGGGTCCGTCTAGACTGGTGACAGTGTTCTTGGGGACTGTCTCGAGTTCCATTAAGCAAGTCGAAGCTCCTGACTTGTTTGAATGGGGTCACGGAATAGCTCTGCATGCACTGCAGGGGAATGGGGCCTCATCTCGCCTCTAGGGGGAAGTCTCATGGTTTTTCTCGAGTTGCGGCGGGGACCTGGGGTATGTTCTCGACTTACGGCGGGGATGGCCCTTCAAAACACGAGTTTCTTCAGTGACGTCAGGACTCCTGTCTAGTAACGAGGGACACCTCAGGAATCTCTTCGAGGCTTGGCAGGGCAAAAGGGACGCTTCTCGAGGTGAGGCAGGGCACCCAAGGACCCTTTCCAGTAGCCACAGGGATTTTGGGATTCCTATCAGTATTCAAGAGGAGTCAGGCATCGTCACCTTTTGAAGCAATGAACTCCGCGTGCCTCTCGAGATGTCAGCGGGATGTGAGGCATTCCGTCAAAATGAGGCAGGGACCTAGGGCTTTCTCTAAGGTCTCCACAGGGGATTCAGACATCCCTTCATGTTGTGAGATGAAAGACGAGCCTGTATTCAAGCCACTGCAAGGAAATCCGGCCTCCTTTCAAGTTAGGGCTTCTCGCTGTATATTCCCCTTGAGGCAGCAAACTCGGGGTCCCTCTCCCATACCTATTGCTGAAAGAAACCTCCTCCTGAGGTGCTTCTGGGAAGTTGGCATACGTCTTGAGCCTAAGCCAGGAATCAGCTCGCATCTCGAGATGATTTGGGGTTCACGGAGCATTCCTCGAGTTGCTGTGCTGAAGTTGGTGTTCCTCTAGACTTGGGACAGTGTTCTCGGGGCATCTCTGGAGTTGCCTGAAGGAAGTCGAGCCACCGGTCGTGTTGAATGGGGAACGGGGAATGGCTCTGGAGTCAATGCAGGGGAATCGGGCCTCATCTCGAGTTGATTTGGGGCACATGGAGCTGCTTTGCGTTGCTGGGGGGACCTCAGGGTCCGTCTAGACTGGTGACAGTGTTCTTGGGGACTGTCTCGAGATCCATTAAGCAAGTCGAAGCTCCTGACTTGTTTGAATGGGGTCACGGAATAGCTCTGCATGCACTCCAGGGGAATGGGGCCTCATCTCGCCTCTAGGGGGAAGTCTCATGGTTTTTCTCGAGTTGCGGCGGGGACCTGGGGTATGTTCTCGACTTACGGCGGGGATGGCCCTTCAAAACACGAATTTCTTCAGTGACGTCAGGACTCCTGTCTAGTAACGAGGGACACCTCAGGAATCTCTTCCAGGCTTGGCAGGGCAAAAGGGACGCTTCTCGAGGTGAGGCATGGCACCCAAGGACCCTTTCCAGTAGCCACAGGGATTTTGGGATTCCTATCAGTATTCAAGAGGAGTCAGGCATCGTCACCTTTTGAAGCAATGAACTCCGCGTGCCTCTCGAGGTGTCAGCGGGAAGTGAGGCATTCCGTCAAAATGAGGCAGGGACCTAGGGCTTTCTCTAAGGTCTCCACAGGGGATTCAGACATCCCTTCATGTTGTGAGATGAAAGACGAGCCTGTATTCAAGCCACTGCAAGGAAATCCGGCCTCCTTTCAAGTTAGGGCTTCTCGCTGTATATTCCCCTTGAGGCAGCAAACTCGGGGTCCCTCCCACATACCTATTGCTGAGAGAAGCCTCCTCCTGAGGTGCTTCTGGGAAGTTGGCATACGTCTTGAGCCTAAGCCAGGGAATCAGCTCGCATCTCGAGACGATTTGGTGTACACGGAGCATTCCTCGAGTTGCTGTGCTGAAGTTGGTGTTCCTCTAGACTTGGGACAGTGTTCTCGGGGCATCTCTGGAGTTGCCTGAAGGAAGTCGAGCCCCCGGTCGTGTTGAATGGGGAACGGGGAATGGCTCTGGAGTCAATGCAGGGGAATCGGGCCTCATCTCGAGTTGATTTGGGGCACATGGAGCTGCTTTGCGTTGCTGGGGTGACCTCAGGGTCCGTCGAGACTGGTGACAGTGTTCTTGGGGACTGTCTCGAGATCCATTAAGCAAGTCGAAGCTCCTGACTTGTTTGAATGGGGTCACGGAATAGCTCTGCATGCACTGCAGGGGAATGGGGCCTCATCTCGCCTCTAGGGGGAAGTCTCATGGTTTTTCTCGAGTTGCGGCGGGGACCTGGGGTATGTTCTCGACTTACGGCGGGGATTGCCCTTCAAAACACGAGTTTCTTCAGTGACGTCACGACTCCTGTCTAGTAACGAGGGACACCTCAGGAATCTCTTCGAGGCTTGGCAGGGCAAAAGGGACGCTTCTCGAGGTGAGGCAGGGCACCCAAGGACCCTTTCCAGTAGCCACAGGGATTTTGGGATTCCTATCAGTATTCAAGAGGAGTCAGGCATCGTCACCTTTTGAAGCAATGAACTCCGCGTGCCTCTCGAGGTGTCAGCGGGATGTGAGGCATTCCGTCAAAATGAGGCAGGGACCTAGGGCTTTCTCTAAGGTCTCCACAGGGGATTCAGACATCCCTTCATGTTGTGAGATGAAAGACGAGCCTGTATTCAAGCCACTGCAAGGAAATCCGGCCTCCTTTCAAGTTAGGGCTTCTCGCTGTATATTCCCCTTGAGGCAGCAAACTCGGGGTCCCTCCCACATACCTATTGCTGAGAGAAGCCTCCTCCTGAGGTGCTTCTGGGAAGTTGGCATACGTCTTGAGCCTAAGCCAGGGAATCAGCTCGCATCTCGAGACGATTTGGGGTAGACGGAGCATTCCTCGAGTTGCTGTGCTGAAGTTGGTGTTCCTCTAGACTTGGGACAGTGTTCTCGGGGCATCTCTGGAGTTGCCTGAAGGAAGTCGAGCCACCGGTCGTGTTGAATGGGGAACGGGTAATGGCTCTGGAGTCAATGCAGGGGAATCGGGCCTCATCTCGAGTTGATTTGGGGCACATGGAGCTGCTTTGCGTTGCTGGGGTGACCTCAGGGTCCGTCTAGACTGGTGACAGTGTTCTTGGGGACTGTCTCGAGATCCATTAAGCAAGTCGAAGCTCCTGACTTGTTTGAATGGGGTCACGGAATAGCTCTGCATGCACTGCAGGGGAATGGGGCCTCATCTCGCCTCTAGGGGGAAGTCTCATGGTTTTTCTCGAGTTGCGGCGGGGACCTGGGGTATGTTCTCGACTTACGGCGGGGATGGCCCTTCAAAACACGAGTTTCTTCAGTGACGTCAGGACTCCTGTCTAGTAACGAGGGACACCTCAGGAAACTCTTCGAGGCTTGGCAGGGCCAAAGGGACGCTTCTCGAGGTGAGGCAGGGCACCCAAGGACCCTTTCCAGTAGCCACAGGGATTTTGGGATTCCTATCAGTATTCAAGAGGAGTCAGGCATCGTCACCTTTTGAAGCAATGAACTCCGCGTGCCTCTCGAGGTGTCAGCGGGATGTGAGGCATTCCGTCAAAATGAGGCAGGGACCTAGGGCTTTCTCTAAGGTCTCCACAGGGGATTCAGACATCCCTTCATGTTGTGAGATGAAAGACGAGCCTGTATTCAAGCCACTGCAAGGAAATCTGGCCTCCTTTCAAGTTAGGGCTTCTCGCTGTATATTCCCCTTGAGGCAGCAAACTCGGGGTCCCTCCCACATACCTATTGCTGAGAGAAGCCTCCTCCTGAGGTGCTTCTGGGAAGTTGGCATACGTCTTGAGCCTAAGCCAGGGAATCAGCTCGCATCTCGAGACGATTTGGGGTACACGGAGCATTCCTCGAGTTGCTGTGCTGATGTTGGTGTTCCTCTAGACTTGGGACAGTGTTCTCGGGGCATCGCTGGAGTTGCCTGAAGGAAGTCGAGCCACCGGTCGTGTTGAATGGGGAACGGGGAATGGCTCTGGAGTCAATGCAGGGGAATCGGGCCTCATCTCGAGTTGATTTGGGGCACATGGAGCTGCTTTGCGTTGCTGGGGTGACCTCAGGGTCCGTCTAGACTGGTGACAGTGTTCTTGGGGACTGTCTCGAGTTCCATTAAGCAAGTCGAAGCTCCTGACTTGTTTGAATGGGGTCACGGAATAGCTCTGCATGCACTGCAGGGGAATGGGGCCTCATCTCGCCTCTAGGGGGAAGTCTCATGGTTTTTCTCGAGTTGCGGCGGGGACCTGGGGTATGTTCTCGACTTACGGCGGGGATGGCCCTTCAAAACACGAGTTTCTTCAGTGACGTCAGGACTCCTGTCTAGTAACGAGGGACACCTCAGGAATCTCTTCGAGGCTTGGCAGGGCAAAAGGGACGCTTCTCGAGGTGAGGCAGGGCACCCAAGGACCCTTTCCAGTAGCCACAGGGATTTTGGGATTCCTATCAGTATTCAAGAGGAGTCAGGCATCGTCACCTTTTGAAGCAATGAACTCCGCGTGCCTCTCGAGATGTCAGCGGGATGTGAGGCATTCCGTCAAAATGAGGCAGGGACCTAGGGCTTTCTCTAAGGTCTCCACAGGGGATTCAGACATCCCTTCATGTTGTGAGATGAAAGACGAGCCTGTATTCAAGCCACTGCAAGGAAATCCGGCCTCCTTTCAAGTTAGGGCTTCTCGCTGTATATTCCCCTTGAGGCAGCAAACTCGGGGTCCCTCTCCCATACCTATTGCTGAAAGAAACCTCCTCCTGAGGTGCTTCTGGGAAGTTGGCATACGTCTTGAGCCTAAGCCAGGAATCAGCTCGCATCTCGAGATGATTTGGGGTTCACGGAGCATTCCTCGAGTTGCTGTGCTGAAGTTGGTGTTCCTCTAGACTTGGGACAGTGTTCTCGGGGCATCTCTGGAGTTGCCTGAAGGAAGTCGAGCCACCGGTCGTGTTGAATGGGGAACGGGGAATGGCTCTGGAGTCAATGCAGGGGAATCGGGCCTCATCTCGAGTTGATTTGGGGCACATGGAGCTGCTTTGCGTTGCTGGGGGGACCTCAGGGTCCGTCTAGACTGGTGACAGTGTTCTTGGGGACTGTCTCGAGATCCATTAAGCAAGTCGAAGCTCCTGACTTGTTTGAATGGGGTCACGGAATAGCTCTGCATGCACTCCAGGGGAATGGGGCCTCATCTCGCCTCTAGGGGGAAGTCTCATGGTTTTTCTCGAGTTGCGGCGGGGACCTGGGGTATGTTCTCGACTTACGGCGGGGATGGCCCTTCAAAACACGAATTTCTTCAGTGACGTCAGGACTCCTGTCTAGTAACGAGGGACACCTCAGGAATCTCTTCCAGGCTTGGCAGGGCAAAAGGGACGCTTCTCGAGGTGAGGCATGGCACCCAAGGACCCTTTCCAGTAGCCACAGGGATTTTGGGATTCCTATCAGTATTCAAGAGGAGTCAGGCATCGTCACCTTTTCAAGCAATGAACTCCGCGTGCCTCTCGAGGTGTCAGCGGGAAGTGAGGCATTCCGTCAAAATGAGGCAGGGACCTAGGGCTTTCTCTAAGGTCTCCACAGGGGATTCAGACATCCCTTCATGTTGTGAGATGAAAGACGAGCCTGTATTCAAGCCACTGCAAGGAAATCCGGCCTCCTTTCAAGTTAGGGCTTCTCGCTGTATATTCCCCTTGAGGCAGCAAACTCGGGGTCCCTCCCACATACCTATTGCTGAGAGAAGCCTTCTCCTGAGGTGCTTCTGGGAAGTTGGCATACGTCTTGAGCCTAAGCCAGGGAATCAGCTCGCATCTCGAGACGATTTGGGGTACACGGAGCATTCCTCGAGTTGCTGTGCTGAAGTTGGTGTTCCTCTAGACTTGGGACAGTGTTCTCGGGGCATCTCTGGAGTTGCCTGAAGGAAGTCGAGCCCCCGGTCGTGTTGAATGGGGAACGGGGAATGGCTCTGGAGTCAATGCAGGGGAATCGGGCCTCATCTCGAGTTGATTTGGGGCACATGGAGCTGCTTTGCGTTGCTGGGGTGACCTCAGGGTCCGTCTAGACTGGTGACAGTGTTCTTGGGGACTGTCTCGAGATCAATTAAGCAAGTCGAAGCTCCTGACTTGTTTGAATGGGGTCACGGAATAGCTCTGCATGCACTGCAGGGGAATGGGGCCTCATCTCGCCTCTAGGGGGAAGTCTCATGGTTTTTCTCGAGTTGCGGCGGGGACCTGGGGTATGTTCTCGACTTACGGCGGGGATGGCCCTTCAAAACACGAGTTTCTTCAGTGACGTCACGACTCCTGTCTAGTAACGAGGGACACCTCAGGAATCTCTTCGAGGCTTGGCAGGGCAAAAGGGACGCTTCTCGAGGTGAGGCAGGGCACCCAAGGACCCTTTCCAGTAGCCACAGGGATTTTGGGATTCCTATCAGTATTCAAGAGGAGTCAGGCATCGTCACCTTTTGAAGCAATGAACTCCGCGTGCCTCTCGAGGTGTCAGCGGGATGTGAGGCATTCCGTCAAAATGAGGCAGGGACCTAGGGCTTTCTCTAAGGTCTCCACAGGGGATTCAGACATCCCTTCATGTTGTGAGATGAAAGACGAGCCTGTATTCAAGCCACTGCAAGGAAATCCGGCCTCCTTTCAAGTTAGGGCTTCTCGCTGTATATTCCCCTTGAGGCAGCAAACTCGGGGTCCCTCCCACATACCTATTGCTGAGAGAAGCCTCCTCCTGAGGTGCTTCTGGGAAGTTGGCATACGTCTTGAGCCTAAGCCAGGGAATCAGCTCGCATCTCGAGACGATTTGGGGTAGACGGAGCATTCCTCGAGTTGCTGTGCTGAAGTTGGTGTTCCTCTAGACTTGGGACAGTGTTCTCGGGGCATCTCTGGAGTTGCCTGAAGGAAGTCGAGCCACCGGTCGTGTTGAATGGGGAACGGGTAATGGCTCTGGAGTCAATGCAGGGGAATCGGGCCTCATCTCGAGTTGATTTGGGGCACATGGAGCTGCTTTGCGTTGCTGGGGTGACCTCAGGGTCCGTCTAGACTGGTGACAGTGTTCTTGGGGACTGTCTCGAGATCCATTAAGCAAGTCGAAGCTCCTGACTTGTTTGAATGGGGTCACGGAATAGCTCTGCATGCACTGCAGGGGAATGGGGCCTCATCTCGCCTCTAGGGGGAAGTCTCATGGTTTTTCTCGAGTTGCGGCGGGGACCTGGGGTATGTTCTCGACTTACGGCGGGGATGGCCCTTCAAAACACGAGTTTCTTCAGTGACGTCAGGACTCCTGTCTAGTAACGAGGGACACCTCAGGAAACTCTTCGAGGCTTGGCAGGGCCAAAGGGACTCTTCTCGAGGTGAGGCAGGGCACCCAAGGACCCTTTCCAGTAGCCACAGGGATTTTGGGATTCCTATCAGTATTCAAGAGGAGTCAGGCATCGTCACCTTTTGAAGCAATGAACTCCGCGTGCCTCTCGAGGTGTCAGCGGGATGTGAGGCATTCCGTCAAAATGAGGCAGGGACCTAGGGCTTTCTCTAAGGTCTCCACAGGGGATTCAGACATCCCTTCATGTTGTGAGATGAAAGACGAGCCTGTATTCAAGCCACTGCAAGGAAATCTGGCCTCCTTTCAAGTTAGGGCTTCTCGCTGTATATTCCCCTTGAGGCAGCAAACTCGGGGTCCCTCCCACATACCTATTGCTGAGAGAAGCCTCCTCCTGAGGTGCTTCTGGGAAGTTGGCATACGTCTTGAACCTAAGCCAGGGAATCAGCTCGCATCTCGAGACGATTTGGGGTACACGGAGCATTCCTCGAGTTGCTGTGCTGATGTTGGTGTTCCTCTAGACTTGGGACAGTGTTCTCGGGGCATCGCTGGAGTTGCCTGAAGGAAGTCGAGCCACCGGTCGTGTTGAATGGGGAACGGGGAATGGCTCTGGAGTCAATGCAGGGGAATCGGGCCTCATCTCGAGTTGATTTGGGGCACATGGAGCTGCTTTGCGTTGCTGGGGTGACCTCAGGGTCCGTCTAGACTGGTGACAGTGTTCTTGGGGACTGTCTCGAGTTCCATTAAGCAAGTCGAAGCTCCTGACTTGTTTGAATGGGGTCACGGAATAGCTCTGCATGCACTGCAGGGGAATGGGGCCTCATCTCGCCTCTAGGGGGAAGTCTCATGGTTTTTCTCGAGTTGCGGCGGGGACCTGGGGTATGTTCTCGACTTACGGCGGGGATGGCCCTTCAAAACACGAGTTTCTTCAGTGACGTCAGGACTCCTGTCTAGTAACGAGGGACACCTCAGGAATCTCTTCGAGGCTTGGCAGGGCAAAAGGGACGCTTCTCGAGGTGAGGCAGGGCACCCAAGGACCCTTTCCAGTAGCCACAGGGATTTTGGGATTCCTATCAGTATTCAAGAGGAGTCAGGCATCGTCACCTTTTGAAGCAATGAACTCCGCGTGCCTCTCGAGGTGTCAGCGGGATGTGAGGCATTCCGTCAAAATGAGGCAGGGACCTAGGGCTTTCTCTAAGGTCTCCACAGGGGATTCAGACATCCCTTCATGTTGTGAGATGAAAGACGAGCCTGTATTCAAGCCACTGCAAGGAAATCCGGCCTCCTTTCAAGTTAGGGCTTCTCGCTGTATATTCCCCTTGAGGCAGCAAACTCGGGGTCCCTCTCCCATACCTATTGCTGAAAGAAACCTCCTCCTGAGGTGCTTCTGGGAAGTTGGCATACGTCTTGAGCCTAAGCCAGGAATCAGCTCGCATCTCGAGATGATTTGGGGTTCACGGAGCATTCCTCGAGTTGCTGTGCTGAAGTTGGTGTTCCTCTAGACTTGGGACAGTGTTCTCGGGGCATCTCTGGAGTTGCCTGAAGGAAGTCGAGCCACCGGTCGTGTTGAATGGGGAACGGGGAATGGCTCTGGAGTCAATGCAGGGGAATCGGGCCTCATCTCGAGTTGATTTGGGGCACATGGAGCTGCTTTGCGTTGCTGGGGGGACCTCAGGGTCCGTCTAGACTGGTGACAGTGTTCTTGGGGACTGTCTCGAGATCCATTAAGCAAGTCGAAGCTCCTGACTTGTTTGAATGGGGTCACGGAATAGCTCTGCATGCACTGCAGGGGAATGGGGCCTCATCTCGCCTCTAGGGGGAAGTCTCATGGTTTTTCTCGAGTTGCGGCGGGGACCTGGGGTATGTCCTCGACTTACGGCGGGGATGGCCCTTCAAAACACGAGTTTCTTCAGTGACGTCAGGACTCCTGTCTAGTAACGAGGGACACCTCAGGAATCTCTTCGAGGCTTGGCAGGGCAAAAGGGACGCTTCTCGAGGTGAGGCAGGGCACCCAAGGACCCTTTCCAGTAGCCACAGGGATTTTGGGATTCCTATCAGTATTCAAGAGGAGTCAGGCATCGTCACCTTTTGAAGCAATGAACTCCGCGTGCCTCTCGAGGTGTCAGCGGGATGTGAGGCATTCCGTCAAAATGAGGCAGGGACCTAGGGCTTTCTCTAAGGTCTCCACAGGGGATTCAGACATCCCTTCATGTTGTGAGATGAAAGACGAGCCTGTATTCAAGCCACTGCAAGGAAATCCGGCCTCCTTTCAAGTTAGGGCTTCTCGCTGTATATTCCGCTTGAGGCAGCAAACTCGGGGTCCCTCCCACATACCTATTGCTGAGAGAAGCCTCCTCCTGAGGTGCTTCTGGGAAGTTGGCATACGTCTTGAGCCTAAGGCAGGGAATCAGCTCGCATCTCGAGACGATGTGGGGTACACGGAGCATTCCTCGAGTTGCTGTGCTGAAGTTGGTGTTCCTCTAGACTTGGGACAGTGTTCTCGGGGCATCTCTGGAGTTGCCTGAAGGAAGTCGAGCCACCGGTCGTGTTGAATGGGGAAAGGGGAATGGCTCTGGAGTCAATGCAGGGGAATCGGGCCTCATCTCGAGTTGATTTGGGGCACATGGAGCTGCTTTGCGTTGCTGGGGTGACCTCAGGGTCCGTCTAGACTGGTGACAGTGTTCTTGGGGACTGTCTCGAGATCCATTAAGCAAGTCGAAGCTCCTGACTTGTTTGAAGGGGGTCACGGAATAGCTCTGCATGCACTGCAGGGGAATGGGGCCTCATCTCGCCTCTAGGGGGAAGTCTCATGGTTTTTCTCGAGTTGCGGCGGGGACCTGGGGTATGTTCTCGACTTACGGCGGGGATGGCCCTTCAAAACACGAGTTTCTTCAGTGACGTCAGGACTCCTGTCTAGTAACGAGGGACAGCTCAGGAAACTCTTCGAGGCTTGGCAGGGCAAAAGGGACGCTTCTCGAGTTGAGGCAGGGCACCCAAGGACCCTTTCCAGTAGCCACAGGGATTTTGGGATTCCTATCAGTATTCAAGAGGAGTCAGGCATCGTCACCTTTTGAAGCAATGAACTCCGCGTGCCTCTCGAGGTGTCAGCGGGATGTGAGGCATTCCGTCAAAATGAGGCAGGGACCTAGGGCTTTCTCTAAGGTCTCCACAGGGGATTCAGACATCCCTTCATGTTGTGAGATGAAAGACGAGCCTGTATTCAAGCCACTGCAAGGAAATCCGGCCTCCTTTCAAGTTAGGGCTTCTCGCTGTATATTCCGCTTGAGGCAGCAAACTCGGGGTCCCTCCCACATACCTATTGCTGAGAGAAGCCTCCTCCTGAGGTGCTTCTGGGAAGTTGGCATACGTCTTGAGCCTAAGCCAGGGAATCAGCTCGCATCTCGAGACGATTTGGTGTACACGGAGCATTCCTCGAGTTGCTGTGCTGAAGTTGGTGTTCCTCTAGACTTGGGACAGTGTTCTCGGGGCATCTCTGGAGTTGCCTGAAGGAAGTCGAGCCACCGGTCGTGTTGAATGGGGAACGGGGAATGGCTCTGGAGTCAATGCAGGGGAATCGGGCCTCATCTCGAGTTGATTTAGGGCACATGGAGCTGCTTTGCGTTGCTGGGGTGACCTCAGGGTCCGTCTAGACTGGTGACAGTGTTCTTGGGGACTGTCTCGAGTTCCATTAAGCAAGTCGAAGCTCCTGACTTATTTGAATGGGGTCACGGAATAGCTCTGCATGCACTGCAGGGGAATGGGGCCTCATCTCGCCTCTAGGGGGAAGTCTCATGGTTTTTCTCGAGTTGCGGCGGGGACCTGGGGTATGTTCTCGACTTACGGCGGGGATGGCCCTTCAAAACACGAGTTTCTTCAGTGACGTCAGGACTCCTGTCTAGTAACGAGGGACACCTCAGGAATCTCTTCCAGGCTTGGCAGGGCAAAAGGGACGCTTCTCGAGGTGAGGCATGGCACCCAAGGACCCTTTCCAGTAGCCACAGGGATTTTGGGATTCCTATCAGTATTCAAGAGGAGTCAGGCATCGTCACCTTTTCAAGCAATGAACTCCGCGTGCCTCTCGAGGTGTCAGCGGGAAGTGAGGCATTCCGTCAAAATGAGGCAGGGACCTAGGGCTTTCTCTAAGGTCTCCACAGGTGATTCAGACATCCCTTCATGTTGTGAGATGAAAGACGAGCCTGTATTCAAGCCACTGCAAGGAAATCCGGCCTCCTTTCAAGTTAGGGCTTCTCGCTGTATATTCCCCTTGAGGCAGCAAACTCGGGGTCCCTCCCACATACCTATTGCTGAGAGAAGCCTCCTCCTGGGGTGCTTCTGGGAAGTTGGCATACGTCTTGAGCCTAAGCCAGGGAATCAGCTCGCATCTCGAGACGATTTGGGGTACACGGAGCATTCCTCGAGTTGCTGTGCTGATGTTGGTGTTCCTCTAGACTTGGGACAGTGTTCTCGGGGCATCGCTGGAGTTGCCTGAAGGAAGTCGAGCCACCGGTCGTGTTGAATGGGGAACGGGGAATGGCTCTGGAGTCAATGCAGGGGAATCGGGCCTCATCTCGAGTTGATTTGGGGCACATGGAGCTGCTTTGCGTTGCTGGGGTGACCTCAGGGTCCGTCTAGACTGGTGACAGTGTTCTTGGGGACTGTCTCGAGTTCCATTAAGCAAGTCGAAGCTCCTGACTTGTTTGAATGGGGTCACGGAATAGCTCTGCATGCACTGCAGGGGAATGGGGCCTCATCTCGCCTCTAGGGGGAAGTCTCATGGTTTTTCTCGAGTTGCGGCGGGGACCTGGGGTATGTTCTCGACTTACGGCGGGGATGGCCCTTCAAAACACGAGTTTCTTCAGTGACGTCAGGACTCCTGTCTAGTAACGAGGGACACCTCAGGAATCTCTTCGAGGCTTGGCAGGGCAAAAGGGACGCTTCTCGAGGTGAGGCAGGGCACCCAAGGACCCTTTCCAGTAGCCACAGGGATTTTGGGATTCCTATCAGTATTCAAGAGGAGTCAGGCATCGTCACCTTTTGAAGCAATGAACTCCGCGTGCCTCTCGAGGTGTCAGCGGGATGTGAGGCATTCCGTCAAAATGAGGCAGGGACCTAGGGCTTTCTCTAAGGTCTCCACAGGGGATTCAGACATCCCTTCATGTTGTGAGATGAAAGACGAGCCTGTATTCAAGCCACTGCAAGGAAATCCGGCCTCCTTTCAAGTTAGGGCTTCTCGCTGTATATTCCCCTTGAGGCAGCAAACTCGGGGTCCCTCTCCCATACCTATTGCTGAAAGAAACCTCCTCCTGAGGTGCTTCTGGGAAGTTGGCATACGTCTTGAGCCTAAGCCAGGAATCAGCTCGCATCTCGAGATGATTTGGGGTTCACGGAGCATTCCTCGAGTTGCTGTGCTGAAGTTGGTGTTCCTCTAGACTTGGGACAGTGTTCTCGGGGCATCTCTGGAGTTGCCTGAAGGAAGTCGAGCCACCGGTCGTGTTGAATGGGGAACGGGGAATGGCTCTGGAGTCAATGCAGGGGAATCGGGCCTCATCTCGAGTTGATTTGGGGCACATGGAGCTGCTTTGCGTTGCTGGGGGGACCTCAGGGTCCGTCTAGACTGGTGACAGTGTTCTTGGGGACTGTCTCGAGATCCATTAAGCAAGTCGAAGCTCCTGACTTGTTTGAATGGGGTCACGGAATAGCTCTGCATGCACTCCAGGGGAATGGGGCCTCATCTCGCCTCTAGGGGGAAGTCTCATGGTTTTTCTCGAGTTGCGGCGGGGACCTGGGGTATGTTCTCGACTTACGGCGGGGATGGCCCTTCAAAACACGAATTTCTTCAGTGACGTCAGGACTCCTGTCTAGTAACGAGGGACACCTCAGGAATCTCTTCCAGGCTTGGCAGGGCAAAAGGGACGCTTCTCGAGGTGAGGCATGGCACCCAAGGACCCTTTCCAGTAGCCACAGGGATTTTGGGATTCCTATCAGTATTCAAGAGGAGTCAGGCATCGTCACCTTTTCAAGCAATGAACTCCGCGTGCCTCTCGAGGTGTCAGCGGGAAGTGAGGCATTCCGTCAAAATGAGGCAGGGACCTAGGGCTTTCTCTAAGGTCTCCACAGGGGATTCAGACATCCCTTCATGTTGTGAGATGAAAGACGAGCCTGTATTCAAGCCACTGCAAGGAAATCCGGCCTCCTTTCAAGTTAGGGCTTCTCGCTGTATATTCCCCTTGAGGCAGCAAACTCGGGGTCCCTCCCACATACCTATTGCTGAGAGAAGCCTCCTCCTGAGGTGCTTCTGGGAAGTTGGCATACGTCTTGAGCCTAAGCCAGGGAATCAGCTCGCATCTCGAGACGATTTGGGGTACACGGAGCATTCCTCGAGTTGCTGTGCTGAAGTTGGTGTTCCTCTAGACTTGGGACAGTGTTCTCGGGGCATCTCTGGAGTTGCCTGAAGGAAGTCGAGCCACCGGTCGTGTTGAATGGGGAACGGGGAATGGCTCTGGAGTCAATGCAGGGGAATCGGGCCTCATCTCGAGTTGATTTGGGGCACATGGAGCTGCTTTGCGTTACTGGGGTGACCTCAGGGTCCGTCTAGACTGGTGACAGTGTTCTTGGGGACTGTCTCGAGATCCATTAAGCAAGTCGAAGCTCCTGACTTGTTTGAATGGGATCACGGAATAGCTCTGCATGCACTGCAGGGGAATGGGGCCTCATCTCGCCTCTAGGGGGAAGTCTCATGGTTTTTCTCGAGTTGCGGCGGGGACCTGGGGTATGTTCTCGACTTACGGCGGGGATGGCCCTTCAAAACACGAGTTTCTTCAGTGACGTCAGGACTCCTGTCTAGTAACGAGGGACACCTCAGGAAACTCTTCGATGCTTGGCAGGGCAAAAGGGACGCTTCTCGAGGTGAGGCAGGGCACCCAAGGACCCTTTCCAGTAGCCACAGGGATTTTGGGATTCCTATCAGTATTCAAGAGGAGTCAGGCATCGTCACCTTTTGAAGCAATGAACTCCGCGTGCCTCTCGAGGTGTCAGCGGGATGTGAGGCATTCGGTCAAAAAGAGGCAGGGACCTAGGGCTTTCTCTAAGGTCTCCACAGGGGATTGAGACATCCCTTCATGTTGTGAGATGAAAGACGAGCCTGTATTCAAGCCACTGCAAGGAAATCCGGCCTCCTTTCAAGTTAGGGCTTCTCGCTGTATATTCCCCTTGAGGTAGCAAACTCGGGGTCCCTCCCACATACCTATTGCTGAGAGAAGCCTCCTCCTGAGGTGCTTCTGGGAAGTTGGCATACGTCTTGAGCCTACGCCAGGGAATCAGCTCGCATCTCGAGACGATTTGGGGTACACGGAGCATTCCTCGAGTTGCTGTGCTGAAGTTGGTGTTCCTCTAGACTTGGGACAGTGTTCTCGGGGCATCTCTGGAGTTGCCTGAAGGAAGTCGAGCCACCGGTCGTGTTGAATGGGGAACGGGGAATGGCTCTGGAGTCAATGCAGGGGAATCGGGCCTCATCTCGAGTTGATTTGGGGCACATGGAGCTGCTTTGCGTTGCTGGGGTGACCTCAGGGTCCGTCTAGACTGGTGACAGTGTTCTTGGGGACTGTCTCGAGATCCATTAAGCAAGTCGAAGCTCCTGACTTGTTTGAATGGGGTCACGGAATAGCTCTGCATGCACTGCAGGGGAATGGGGCCTCATCTCGCCTCTAGGGGGAAGTCTCATGGTTTTTCTCGAGTTGCGGCGGGGACCTGGGGTATGTTCTCGACTTACGGCGGGGATGGCCCTTCAAAACACGAGTTTCTTCAGTGACGTCAGGACTCCTGTCTAGTAACGAGGGACACCTCAGGAATCTCTTCGAGGCTTGGCAGGGCAAAAGGGACGCTTCTCGAGGTGAGGCAGGGCACCCAAGGACCCTTTCCAGTAGCCACAGGGATTTTGGGATTCCTATCAGTATTCAAGAGGAGTCAGGCATCGTCACCTTTTGAAGCAATGAACTCCGCGTGCCTCTCGAGGTGTCAGCGGGATGTGAGGCATTCCGTCAAAATGAGGCAGGGACCTAGGGCTTTCTCTAAGGTCTCCACAGGGGATTCAGACATCCCTTCATGTTGTGAGATGAAAGACGAGCCTGTATTCAAGCCACTGCAAGGAAATCCGGCCTCCTTTCAAGTTAGGGCTTCTCGCTGTATATTCCGCTTGAGGCAGCAAACTCGGGGTCCCTCCCACATACCTATTGCTGAGAGAAGCCTCCTCCTGAGGTGCTTCTGGGAAGTTGGCATACGTCTTGAGCCTAAGGCAGGGAATCAGCTCGCATCTCGAGACGATGTGGGGTACACGGAGCATTCCTCGAGTTGCTGTGCTGAAGTTGGTGTTCCTCTAGACTTGGGACAGTGTTCTCGGGGCATCTCTGGAGTTGCCTGAAGGAAGTCGAGCCACCGGTCGTGTTGAATGGGGAACGGGGAATGGCTCTGGAGTCAATGCAGGGGAATCGGGCCTCATCTCGAGTTGATTTGGGGCACATGGAGCTGCTTTGCGTTGCTGGGGTGACCTCAGGGTCCGTCTAGACTGGTGACAGTGTTCTTGGGGACTGTCTCGAGATCCATTAAGCAAGTCGAAGCTCCTGACTTGTTTGAATGGGGTCACGGAATAGCTCTGCATGCACTGCAGGGGAATGGGGCCTCATCTCGCCTCTAGGGGGAAGTCTCATGGTTTTTCTCGAGTTGCGGCGGGGACCTGGGGTATGTTCTCGACTTACGGCGGGGATGGCCCTTCAAAACACGAGTTTCTTCAGTGACGTCAGGACTCCTGTCTAGTAACGAGGGACACCTCAGGAAACTCTTCGAGGCTTGGCAGGGCAAAAGGGACGCTTCTCGAGTTGAGGCAGGGCACCCAAGGACCCTTTCCAGTAGCCACAGGGATTTTGGGATTCCTATCAGTATTCAAGAGGAGTCAGGCATCGTCACCTTTTGAAGCAATGAACTCCGCGTGCCTCTCGAGGTGTCAGCGGGATGTGAGGCATTCCGTCAAAATGAGGCAGGGACCTAGGGCTTTCTCTAAGGTCTCCACAGGGGATTCAGACATCCCTTCATGTTGTGAGATGAAAGACGAGCCTGTATTCAAGCCACTGCAAGGAAATCCGGCCTCCTTTCAAGTTAGGGCTTCTCGCTGTATATTCCCCTTGAGGCAGCAAACTCGGGGTCCCTCCCACATACCTATTGCTGAGAGAAGCCTCCTCCTGAGGTGCTTCTGGGAAGTTGGCATACGTCTTGAGCCTAAGCCAGGGAATCAGCTCGCATCTCGAGACGATTTGGGGTACACGGAGCATTCCTCGAGTTGCTGTGCTGAAGTTGGTGTTCCTCTAGACTTGGGACAGTGTTCTCGGGGCATCTCTGGAGTTGCCTGAAGGAAGTCGAGCCACCGGTCGTGTTGAATGGGGAACGGGGAATGGCTCTGGAGTCAATGCAGGGGAATCGGGCCTCATCTCGAGTTGATTTGGGGCACATGGAGCTGCTTTGCGTTGCTGGGGTGACCTCAGGGTCCGTCTAGACTGGTGACAGTGTTCTTGGGGACTGTCTCGAGTTCCATTAAGCAAGTCGAAGCTCCTGACTTGTTTGAATGGGGTCACGGAATAGCTCTGCATGCACTGCAGGGGAATGGGGCCTCATCTCGCCTCTAGGGGGAAGTCTCATGGTTTTTCTCGAGTTGCGGCGGGGACCTGGGGTATGTTCTCGACTTACGGCGGGGATGGCCCTTCAAAACACGAGTTTCTTCAGTGACGTCAGGACTCCTGTCTAGTAACGAGGGACACCTCAGGAATCTCTTCGAGGCTTGGCAGGGCAAAAGGGACGCTTCTCGAGGTGAGGCAGGGCACCCAAGGACCCTTTCCAGTAGCCACAGGGATTTTGGGATTCCTATCAGTATTCAAGAGGAGTCAGGCATCGTCACCTTTTGAAGCAATGAACTCCGCGTGCCTCTCGAGGTGTCAGCGGGATGTGAGGCATTCCGTCAAAATGAGGCAGGGACCTAGGGCTTTCTCTAAGGTCTCCACAGGGGATTCAGACATCCCTTCATGTTGTGAGATGAAAGACGAGCCTGTATTCAAGCCACTGCAAGGAAATCCGGCCTCCTTTCAAGTTAGGGCTTCTCGCTGTATATTCCGCTTGAGGCAGCAAACTCGGGGTCCCTCCCACATACCTATTGCTGAGAGAAGCCTCCTCCTGAGGTGCTTCTGGGAAGTTGGCATACGTCTTGAGCCTAAGGCAGGGAATCAGCTCGCATCTCGAGACGATGTGGGGTACACGGAGCATTCCTCGAGTTGCTGTGCTGAAGTTGGTGTTCCTCTAGACTTGGGACAGTGTTCTCGGGGCATCTCTGGAGTTGCCTGAAGGAAGTCGAGCCACCGGTCGTGTTGAATGGGGAAAGGGGAATGGCTCTGGAGTCAATGCAGGGGAATCGGGCCTCATCTCGAGTTGATTTGGGGCACATGGAGCTGCTTTGCGTTGCTGGGGTGACCTCAGGGTCCGTCTAGACTGGTGACAGTGTTCTTGGGGACTGTCTCGAGATCCATTAAGCAAGTCGAAGCTCCTGACTTGTTTGAAGGGGGTCACGGAATAGCTCTGCATGCACTGCAGGGGAATGGGGCCTCATCTCGCCTCTAGGGGGAAGTCTCATGGTTTTTCTCGAGTTGCGGCGGGGACCTGGGGTATGTTCTCGACTTACGGCGGGGATGGCCCTTCAAAACACGAGTTTCTTCAGTGACGTCAGGACTCCTGTCTAGTAACGAGGGACAGCTCAGGAAACTCTTCGAGGCTTCGCAGGGCAAAAGGGACGCTTCTCGAGTTGAGGCAGGGCACCCAAGGACCCTTTCCAGTAGCCACAGGGATTTTGGGATTCCTATCAGTATTCAAGAGGAGTCAGGCATCGTCACCTTTTGAAGCAATGAACTCCGCGTGCCTCTCGAGGTGTCAGCGGGATGTGAGGCATTCCGTCAAAATGAGGCAGGGACCTAGGGCTTTCTCTAAGGTCTCCACAGGGGATTCAGACATCCCTTCATGTTGTGAGATGAAAGACGAGCCTGTATTCAAGCCACTGCAAGGAAATCCGGCCTCCTTTCAAGTTAGGGCTTCTCGCTGTATATTCCCCTTGAGGCAGCAAACTCGGGGTCCCTCCCACATACCTATTGCTGAGAGAAGCCTCCTCCTGAGGTGCTTCTGGGAAGTTGGCATACGTCTTGAGCCTAAGCCAGGGAATCAGCTCGCATCTCGAGACGATTTGGGGTACACGGAGAATTCCTCGAGTTGCTGTGCTGAAGTTGGTGTTCCTCTAGACTTGGGACAGTGTTCTCGGGGCATCTCTGGAGTTGCCTGAAGGAAGTCGAGCCACCGGTCGTGTTGAATGGGGAACGGGGAATGGCTCTGGAGTCAATGCAGGGGAATCGGGCCTCATCTCGAGTTGATTTGGGGCACATGGAGCTGCTTTGCGTTGCTGGGGTGACCTCAGGGTCCGTCTAGAATGGTGACAGTGTTCTTGGGGACTGTCTCGAGATCCATTAAGCAAGTCGAAGCTCCTGACTTGTTTGAATGGGGTCACGGAATAGCTCTGCATGCACGGCAGGGGAATGGGGCCTCATCTCGCCTCTAGGGGGAAGTCTCATGGTTTTTCTCGAGTTGCGGCGGGGACCTGGGTTATGTTCTCGACTTACGGCGGGGATGGCCCTTCAAAACACGAGTTTCTTCAGTGACGTCAGGACTCCTGTCTAGTAACGAGGGACACCTCAGGAAACTCTTCGATGCTTGGCAGGGCAAAAGGGACGCTTCTCGAGGTGAGGCAGGGCACCCAAGGACCCTTTCCAGTAGCCACAGGGATTTTGGGATTCCTATCAGTATTCAAGAGGAGTCAGGCATCGTCACCTTTTGAAGCAATGAACTCCGCGTGCCTCTCGAGGTGTCCGCGGGATGTGAGGCATTCCGTCAAAAAGAGGCAGGGACCTAGGGCTTTCTCTAAGGTCTCCACAGGGGATTGAGACATCCCTTCATGTTGTGAGATGAAAGACGAGCCTGTATTCAAGCCACTGCAAGGAAATCCGGCCTCCTTTCAAGTTAGGGCTTCTCGCTGTATATTCCCCTTGAGGCAGCAAACTCGGGGTCCCTCCCACATACCTATTGCTGAGAGAAGCCTCCTCCTGAGGTGCTTCTGGGAAGTTGGCATACGTCTTGAGCCTAAGCCAGGGAATCAGCTCGCATCTCGAGACGATTTGGGGTACACGGAGCATTCCTCGAGTTGCTGTGCTGAAGTTGGTGTTCCTCTAGACTTGGGACAGTGTTCTCGGGGCATCTCTGGAGTTGCCTGAAGGAAGTCGAGCCACCGGTCGTGTTGAATGGGGAACGGGGAATGGCTCTGGAGTCAATGCAGGGGAATCGGGCCTCATCTCGAGTTGATTTGGGGCACATGGAGCTGCTTTGCGTTGCTGGGGTGACCTCAGGGTCCGTCTAGACTGGTGACAGTGTTCTTGGGGACTGTCTCGAGATCCATTAAGCAAGTCGAAGCTCCTGACTTGTTTGAATGGGGTCACGGAATAGCTCTGCATGCACTGCAGGGGAATGGGGCCTCATCTCGCCTCTAGGGGGAAGTCTCATGGTTTTTCTCGAGTTGCGGCGGGGACCTGGGGTATGTTCTCGACTTACGGCGGGGATGGCCCTTCAAAACACGAGTTTCTTCAGTGACGTCAGGACTCCTGTCTAGTAACGAGGGACACCTCAGGAATCTCTTCGAGGCTTGGCAGGGCAAAAGGGACGCTTCTCGAGGTGAGGCAGGGCACCCAAGGACCCTTTCCAGTAGCCACAGGGATTTTGGGATTCTTATCAGTATTCAAGAGGAGTCAGGCATCGTCACCTTTTGAAGCAATGAACTCCGCGTGCCTCTCGAGGTGTCAGCAGGATGTGAGGCATTCCGTCAAAATGAAGCAGGGAACTAGGGCTTTCTCTAAGGTCTCCACAGGGGATTCAGACATCCCTTCATGTTGTAAGATGAAAGACGAGCCTGTATTCAAGCCACTGCAAGGAAATCCGGCCTCCTTTCAAGTTAGGGCTTCTCGCTGTATATTCCCCTTGAGGCAGCAAACTCGGGGTCCCTCCCACATACCTATTGCTGAGAGAAGCCTCCTCCTGGGGTGCTTCTGGGAAGTTGGCATACGTCTTGAGCCTAAGCCAGGGAATCAGCTCGCATCTCGAGACGATTTGGGGTACACGGAGCATTCCTCGAGTTGCTGTGCTGAAGTTGGTGTTCCTCTAGACTTGGGACAGTGTTCTCGGGGCATCTCTGGAGTTGCCTGAAGGAAGTCGAGCCACCGGTCGTGTTGAATGGGGAACGGGGAATGGCTCTGGAGTCAATGCAGGGGAATCGGGCCTCATCTCGAGTTGATTTGGGGCACATGGAGCTGCTTTGCGTTGCTGGGGTGACCTCAGGGTCCGTCTAGACTGGTGACAGTGTTCTTGGGGACTGTCTCGAGATCCATTAAGCAAGTCGAAGCTCCTGACTTGTTTGAATGGGGTCACGGAATAGCTCTGCATGCACTGCAGGGGAATGGGGCCTCATCTCGCCTCTAGGGGGAAGTCTCATGGTTTTTCTCGAGTTGCGGCGGGGACCTGGGGTATGTTCTCGACTTACGGCGGGGATGGCCCTTCAAAACACGAGTTTCTTCAGTGACGTCAGGACTCCTGTCTAGTAACGAGGGACACCTCAGGAATCTCTTCGAGGCTTGGCAGGGCAAAAGGGACGCTTCTCGAGGTGAGGCAGGGCACCCAAGGACCCTTTCCAGTAGCCACAGGGATTTTGGGATTCCTATCAGTATTCAAGAGGAGTCAGGCATCGTCACCTTTTGAAGCAATGAACTCCGCGTGCCTCTCGAGGTGTCAGCGGGATGTGAGGCATTCCGTCAAAATGAGGCAGGGACCTAGGGCTTTCTCTAAGGTCTCCACAGGGGATTCAGACATCCCTTCATGTTGTGAGATGAAAGACGAGCCTGTATTCAAGCCACTGCAAGGAAATCCGGCCTCCTTTCAAGTTAGGGCTTCTCGCTGTATATTCCCCTTGAGGCAGCAAACTCGGGGTCCCTCCCACATACCTATTGCTGAGAGAAGCCTCCTCCTGAGGTGCTTCTGGGAAGTTGGCATACGTCTTGAGCCTAAGCCAGGGAATCAGCTCGCATCTCGAGACGATTTGGGGTACACGGAGCATTCCTCGAGTTGCTGTGCTGAAGTTGGTGTTCCTCTAGACTTGGGACAGTGTTCTCGGGGCATCTCTGGAGTTGCCTGAAGGAAGTCGAGCCACCGGTCGTGTTGAATGGGGAACGGGGAATGGCTCTGGAGTCAATGCAGGGGAATCGGGCCTCATCTCGAGTTGATTTGGGTCACATGGAGCTGCTTTGCGTTGCTGGGGTGACCTCAGGGTCCGTCTAGACTGGTGACAGTGTTCTTGGGGACTGTCTCGAGATCCATTAAGCAAGTCGAAGCTCCTGACTTGTTTGAATGGGGTCACGGGATAGCTCTGCATGCACTGCAGGGGAATGGGGCCTCATCTCGCCTCTAGGGGGAAGTCTCATGGTTTTTCTCGAGTTGCGGCGGGGACCTGGGGTATATTCTCGACTTACGGCGGGGATGGCCCTTCAAAACACGAGTTTCTTCAGTGACGTCAGGACTCCTGTCTAGTAACGAGGGACACCTCAGGAATCTCTTCGAGGCTTGGCAGGGCCAAAGGGACGCTTCTCGAGGTGAGGCAGGGCACCCAAGGACCCTTTCCAGTAGCCACAGGGATTTTGGGATTCCTATCAGTATTCAAGAGGAGTCAGGCATCGTCACCTTTTGAAGCAATGAACTCCGCGTGCCTCTCGAGGTGTCAGCGGGATGTGAGGCATTCCGTCAAAATGAGGCAGGGACCTAGGGCTTTCTCTAAGGTCTCCACAGGGGATTCAGACATCCCTTCATGTTGTGAGATGAAAGACGAGCCTGTATTCAAGCCACTGCAAGGAAATCCGGCCTCCTTTCAAGTTAGGGCTTCTCGCTGTATATTCCCCTTGAGGCAGGAAACTCGGGGTCCCTCCCTCATACCTATTGCTGAGAGAAGCCTCCTCCTGAGGTGCTTCTGGGAAGTTGGCATACGTCTTGAGCCTAAGCCAGGGAATCAGCTCGCATCTCGAGACGATTTGGGGTACACGGAGCATTCCTCGAGTTGCTGTGCTGAAGTTGGTGTTCCTCTAGACTTGGGACAGTGTTCTCGGGGCATCTCTGGAGGTGCCTGAAGGAAGTCGAGCCACCGGTCGTGTTGAATGGGGAACGGGAAATGGCTCTGGAGTCAATGCAGGGGAATCGGGCCTCATCTCGAGTTGATTTGGGGCACATGGAGCTGCTTTGCGTTGCTGGGGTGACCTCAGGGTCCGTCTAGACTGGTGACAGTGTTCTTGGGGACTGTCTCGTGATCCATTAAGCAAGTCGAAGCTCCTGACTTGTTTGAATGGGGTCACGGAATAGCTCTGCATGCACTGCAGGGGAATGGGGCCTCATCTCGCCTCTAGGGGGAAGTCTCATGGTTTTTCTCGAGTTGCGGCGGGGACCTGGGGTATGTTCTCGACTTACGGCGGGGATGGCCCTTCAAAACACGAGTTTCTTCAGTGACGTCAGGACTCCTGTCTAGTAACGAGGGACACCTCAGGAATCTCTTCGAGGCTTGGCAGGGCCAAAGGGACGCTTCTCGAGGTGAGGCAGGGCACCCAAGGACCCTTTCCAGTAGCCACAGGGATTTTGGGATTCCTATCAGTATTCAAGAGGAGTCAGGCATCGTCACCTTTTGAAGCAATGAACTCCGCGTGCCTCTCGAGTTGTCAGCGGGATGTGAGGCATTCCGTCAAAATGAGGCAGGGACCTAGGGCTTTCTCTAAGGTCTCCACAGGGGATTCAGACATCCCTTCATGTTGTGAGATGAAAGACGAGCCTGTATTCAAGCCACTGCAAGGAAATCCGGCCTCCTTTCAAGTTAGGGCTTCTCGCTGTATATTCCCCTTGCGGCAGCAAACTCGGGGTCCCTCCCCCGTACCTATTGCTGAGAGAAGCCTCCTCCTGAGGTGCTTCTGGGAAGTTGGCATACGTCTTGAGCCTAAGCCAGCGAATCTGCTCGCATCTCGAGACGATTTGGGGTACACGGAGCATTCCTCGAGTTGCTGTGCTGAAGTTGCTGTTCCTCTAGACTTGGGACAGTGTTCTCGGGGCATCTCTGGAGTTGCCTGAAGGAAGTCGAGCCACCGGTCGTGTTGAATGGGGAACGGCGAATGGCTCTGGAGTCAATGCAGGGGAATCGGGCCTCATCTCGAGTTGATTTGGGGCACATGGAGCTGCTTTGCGTTGCTGGGGTGACCTCAGGGTCCGTCTAGACTGGTGACAGTGTTCTTGGGGACTGTCTCGAGATCCATTAAGCAAGTCGAAGCTCCTGACTTGTTTGAATGTGGTCACGGAATAGCTCTGCATGCACTGCAGGGGAATGGGGCCTCATCTCGCCTCTAGGGGGAAGTCTCATGGTTTTTCTCGAGTTGCGGCGGGGACCTGGGGTATGTTCTCGACTTACGGCGGGGATGGCCCTTCAAAACACGAGTTTCTTCAGTGACGTCAGGACTCCTGTCTAGTAACGAGGGACACCTCAGGAATCTCTTCGAGGCTTGGCAGGGCAAAAGGGACGCTTCTCGAGGTGAGGCAGGGCACCCAAGGACCCTTTCCAGTAGCCACAGGGATTTTGGGATTCCTATCAGTATTGAAGAGGAGTCAGGCATCGTCACCTTTTGAAGCAATGAACTCCGCGTGCCTCTCGAGGTGTCAGCGGGATGTGAGGCATTCCGTCAAAATGAGGCAGGGACCTAGGGCTTTCTCTAAGGTCTCCACAGCGGATTCAGACATCCCTTCATGTTGTGAGATGAAAGACGAGCCTGTATTCAAGCCACTGCAAGGAAATCCGGCCTCCTTTCAAGTTAGGGCTTCTCGCTGTATATTCCCCTTGAGGCAGCAAACTCGGGGTCCCTCCCACGTACCTATTGCTGAGAGAAGCCTCCTCCTGAGGTGCTTCTGGGAAGTTGGCATACGTCTTGAGCCTAAGCCAGGGAATCAGCTCGCATCTCGAGACGATTTGGGGTAGACGGAGCATTCCTCGATTTGCTGTGCTGAAGTTGGTGTTCCTCTAGACTTGGGACAGTGTTCTCGGGGCATCTCTGGAGTTGCCTGAAGGAAGTCGAGCCACCGGTCGTGTTGAATGGGGAACGGGGAATGGCTCTGGAGTCAATGCAGGGGAATCGGGCCTCATCTCGAGTTGATTTGGGGCACATGGAGCTGCTTTGCGTTGCTGGGGTGACCTCAGGGTCCGTCTAGACTGGTGACAGTGTTCTTGGGGACTGTCTCGAGATCCATTAAGCAAGTCGAAGCTCCTGACTTGTTTGAATGGGGTCACGGAATAGCTCTGCATGCACTGCAGGGGAATGGGGCCTCATCTCGCTTCTAGGGGGAAGTCTCATGGTTTTTCTCGAGTTGCGGCGGGGACCTGGGGTATGTTCTCGACTTACGGCGGGGATGGCCCTTCAAAACACGAGTTTCTTCAGTGACGTCAGGACTCCTGTCTAGTAACGAGGGACACCTCAGGAATCTCTTCGAGGCTTGGCAGGGCCAAAGGGACGCTTCTCGAGGTGAGGCAGGGCACCCAAGGACCCTTTCCAGTAGCCACAGGGATTTTGGGATTCCTATCAGTATTCAAGAGGAGTCAGGCATCGTCACCTTTTGAAGCAATGAACTCCGCGTGCCTCTCGAGGTGTCAGCGGGATGTGAGGCATTCCGTCAAAATGAGGCAGGGACCTAGGGCTTTCTCTAAGGTCTCCACAGGGGATTCAGACATCCCTTCATGTTGTGAGATGAAAGACGAGCCTGTATTCAAGCCACTGCAAGGAAATCCGGCCTCCTTTCAAGTTAGGGCTTCTCGCTGTATATTCCCCTTGAGGCAGCAAACTCGGGGTCCCTCCCCCATACCTATTGCTGAGAGAAGCCTCCTCCTGAGGTGCTTCTGGGAAGTTGGCATACGTCTTGAGCCTAAGCCAGCGAATCTGCTCGCATCTCGAGACGATTTGGGGTACACGGAGCATTCCTCGAGTTGCTGTGCTGAAGTTGCTGTTCCTCTAGACTTGGGACAGTGTTCTCGGGGCATCTCTGGAGTTGCCTGAAGGAAGTCGAGCCACCGGTCGTGTTGAATGGGGAACGGGGAATGGCTCTGGAGTCAATGCAGGGGAATCGGGCCTCATCTCGAGTTGATTTGGGGCACATGGAGCTGCTTTGCGTTGCTGGGGTGACCTCAGGGTCCGTCTAGACTGGTGACAGTGTTCTTGGGGACTGTCTCGAGATCCATTAAGCAAGTCGAAGCTCCTGACTTGTTTGAATGTGGTCACGGAATAGCTCTGCATGCACTGCAGGGGAATGGGGCCTCATCTCGCCTCTAGGGGGAAGTCTCATGGTTTTTCTCGAGTTGCGGCGGGGACCTGGGGTATGTTCTCGACTTACGGCGGGGATGGCCCTTCAAAACACGAGTTTCTTCAGTGACGTCAGGACTCCTGTCTAGTAACGAGGGACACCTCAGGAATCTCTTCGAGGCTTGGCAGGGCAAAAGGGACGCTTCTCGAGGTGAGGCAGGGCACCCAAGGACCATTTCCAGTAGCCACAGGGATTTTGGGATTCCTATCAGTATTCAAGAGGAGTCAGGCATCGTCACCTTTTGAAGCAATGAACTCCGCGTGCCTCTCGAGGTGTCAGCGGGATGTGAGGCATTCCGTCAAAATGAGGCAGGGACCTAGGGCTTTCTCTAAGGTCTCCACAGGGGATTCAGACATCCCTTCATGTTGTGAGATGAAAGACGAGCCTGTATTCAAGCCTCTGCAAGGAAATCCGGCCTCCTTTCAAGTTAGGGCTTCTCGCTGTATATTCCCCTTGAGGCAGCAAACTCGGGGTCCCTCCCACATACCTATTGCTGAGAGAAGCCTCCTCCTGAGGTGCTTCTGGGAAGTTGGCATACGTCTTGAGCCTAAGCCAGGGAATCAGCTCGCATCTCGAGACGATTTGGGGTAGACGGAGCATTCCTCGAGTTGCTGTGCTGAAGTTGGTGTTCCTCTAGACTTGGGACAGTGTTCTCGGGGCATCTCTGGAGTTGCCTGAAGGAAGTCGAGCCACCGGTCGTGTTGAATGGGGAATGGGGAATGGCTCTGGAGTCAATGCAGGGGAATCGGGCCTCATCTCGAGTTGATTTGGGGCACATGGAGCTGCTTTGCGTTGCTGGGGTGACCTCAGGGTCCGTCTAGACTGGTGACAGTGTTCTTGGGGACTGTCTCGAGATCCATTAAGCAAGTCGAAGCTCCTGACTTGTTTGAATGGGATCACGGAATAGCTCTGCATGCACTGCAGGGGAATGGGGCCTCATCTCGCCTCTAGGGGGAAGTCTCATGGTTTTTCTCGAGTTGCGGCGGGGACCTGGGGTATGTTCTCGACTTACGGCGGGGGTGGCCCTTCAAAACACGAGTTTCTTCAGTGACGTCAGGACTCCTGTCTAGTAACGAGGGACACCTCAGGAATCTCTTCGAGGCTTGGCAGGGCCAAAGGGACGCTTCTCGAGGTGAGGCAGGGCACCCAAGGACCCTTTCCAGTAGCCACAGGGATTTTGGGATTCCTATCAGTATTCAAGAGGAGTCAGGCATCGTCACCTTTTGAAGCAGTGAACTCCGCGTGCCTCTCGAGGTGTCAGCGGGATGTGAGGCATTCCGTCAAAATGAGGCAGGGACCTAGGGCTTTCTCTAAGGTCTCCACAGGGGATTCAGACATCCCTTCATGTTGTGAGATGAAAGACGAGCCTGTATTCAAGCCACTGCAAGGAAATCCGGCCTCCTTTCAAGTTAGGGCTTCTCGCTGTATATTCCCCTTGAGGCAGCAAACTCGGGGTCCCTCCCACATACCTATTGCTGAGAGAAGCCTCCTCCTGAGGTGCTTCTGGGAAGTTGGCATACGTCTTGAGCCTAAGCCAGGGAATCAGCTCGCATCTCGAGATGATTTGGGGTAGACGGAGCATTCCTCGAGTTGCTGTGCTGAAGTTGGTGTTCCTCTAGACTTGGGACAGTGTTCTCGGGGCATCTCTGGAGTTGCCTGAAGGAAGTCGAGCCACCGGTCGTGTTGAATGGGGAACGGGGAATGGCTCTGGAGTCAATGCAGGGGAATCGGGCCTCATCTCGAGTTGATTTGGGGCACATGGAGCTGCTTTGCGTTGCTGGGGTGACCTCAGGGTCCGTCTAGACTGGTGACAGTGTTCTTGGGGACTGTCTCGAGATCCATTAAGCAAGTCGAAGCTCCTGACTTGTTTGAATGGGGTCACGGAATAGCTCTGCATGCACTGCAGGGGAATGGGGCCTCATCTCGCCTCTAGGGGGAAGTCTCATGGTTTTTCTCGAGTTGCGGCGGGGACCTGGGGTATGTTCTCGACTTACGGCGGGGATGGCCCTTCAAAACACGAGTTTCTTCAGTGACGTCAGGACTCCTGTCTAGTAACGAGGGACACCTCAGGAATCTCTTCGAGGCTTGGCAGGGCCAAAGGGACGCTTCTCGAGGTGAGGCAGGGCACCCAAGGACCCTTTCCAGTAGCCACAGGGATTTTGGGATTCCTATCAGTATTCAAGAGGAGTCAGGCATCGTCACCTTTTGAAGCAATGAACTCCGCGTGCCTCTCGAGGTGTCAGCGGGATGTGAGGCATTCCGTCAAAATGAGGCAGGGACCTAGGGCTTTCTCTAAGGTCTCCACAGGGGATTCAGACATCCCTTCATGTTGTGAGATGAAAGACGAGCCTGTATTCAAGCCACTGCAAGGAAATCCGGCCTCCTTTCAAGTTAGGGCTTCTCGCTGTATATTCCCCTTGAGGCAGCAAACTCGGGGTCCCTCCCACATACCTATTGCTGAGAGAAGCCTCCTCCTGAGGTGCTTCTGGGAAGTTGGCATACGTCTTGAGCCTAAGCCAGGGAATCAGCTCGCATCTCGAGACGATTTGGGGTACACGGAGCATTCCTCGAGTTGCTGTGCTGAAGTTGGTGTTCCTCTAGACTTGGGACAGTGTTCTCGGGGCATCTCTGGAGTTGCCTGAAGGAAGTCGAGCCACCGGTCGTGTTGAATGGGGAATGGGGAATGGCTCTGGAGTCAATGCAGGGGAATCGGGCCTCATCTCGAGTTGATTTGGGGCACATGGAGCTGCTTTGCGTTGCTGGGGTGACCTCAGGGTCCGTCTAGACTGGTGACAGTGTTCTTGGGGACTGTCTCGAGATCCATTAAGCAAGTCGAAGCTCCTGACTTGTTTGAATGGGATCACGGAATAGCTCTGCATGCACTGCAGGGGAATGGGGCCTCATCTCGCCTCTAGGGGGAAGTCTCATGGTTTTTCTCGAGTTGCGGCGGGGACCTGGGGTATGTTCTCGACTTACGGCGGGGATGGCCCTTCAAAACACGAGTTTCTTCAGTGACGTCAGGACTCCTGTCTAGTAACGAGGGACACCTCAGGAATCTCTTCGAGGCTTGGCAGGGCCAAAGGGACGCTTCTCGAGGTGAGGCAGGGCACCCAAGGACCCTTTCCAGTAGCCACAGGGATTTTGGGATTCCTATCAGTATTGAAGAGGAGTCAGGCATCGTCACCTTTTGAAGCAATGAACTCCGCGTGCCTCTCGAGGTGTCAGCGGGATGTGAGGCATTCCGTCAAAATGAGGCAGGGACCTAGGGCTTTCTCTAAGGTCTCCACAGGGGATTCAGACATCCCTTCATGTTGTGAGATGAAAGACGAGCCTGTATTCAAGCCACTGCAAGGAAATCCGGCCTCCTTTCAAGTTAGGGCTTCTCGCTGTATATTCCCCTTGAGGCAGCAAACTCGGGATCCCTCCCACGTACCTATTGCTGAGAGAAGCCTCCTCCTGAGGTGCTTCTGGGAAGTTGGCATACGTCTTGAGCCTAAGCCAGGGAATCAGCTCGCATCTCGAGACGATTTGGGGTACACGGAGCATTCCTCGAGTTGCTGTGCTGAAGTTGGTGTTCCTCTAGACTTGGGACAGTGTTCTCGGGGCATCTCTGGAGTTGCCTGAAGGAAGTCGAGCCACCGGTCGTGTTGAATGGGGAACGGGGAATGGCTCTGGAGTCAATGCAGGGGAATCGGGCCTCATCTCGAGTTGATTTGGGGCACATGGAGCTGCTTTGCGTTGCTGGGGTGACCTCAGGGTCCGTCTAGACTGGTGACAGTGTTCTTGGGGACTGTCTCGAGATCCATTAAGCAAGTCGAAGCTCCTGACTTGTTTGAATGTGGTCACGGAATAGCTCTGCATGCACTGCAGGGGAATGGGGCCTCATCTCGCCTCTAGGGGGAAGTCTCATGGTTTTTCTCGAGTTGCGGCGGGGACCTGGGGTATGTTCTCGACTTACGGCGGGGATGGCCCTTCAAAACACGAGTTTCTTCAGTGACGTCAGGACTCCTGTCTAGTAACGAGGGACACCTCAGGAATCTCTTCGAGGCTTGGCATGGCCAAAGGGACGCTTCTCGAGGTGAGGCAGGGCACCCAAGGACCATTTCCAGTAGCCACAGGGATTTTGGGATTCCTATCAGTATTCAAGAGGAGTCAGGCATCGTCACCTTTTGAAGCAATGATCTCCGCGTGCCTCTCGAGGTGTCAGCGGGATGTGAGGCATTCCGTCAAAATGAGGCAGGGACCTAGGGCTTTCTCTAAGGTCTCCACAGGGGATTCAGACATCCCTTCATGTTGTGAGATGAAAGACGAGCCTGTATTCAAGCCTCTGCAAGGAAGTCCGGCCTCCTTTCAAGTTAGGGCTTCTCGCTGTATATTCCCCTTGAGGCAGCAAACTCGGGGTCCCTCCAACATACCTATTGCTGAGAGAAGCCTCCTCCTTAGGTGCTTCTGGGAAGTTGGCATACGTATTGAGCCTAAGCCAGGGAATCAGCTCGCATCTCGAGACGATTTGGGGTAGACGGAGCATTCCTCGAGTTGCTGTGCTGAAGTTGGTGTTCCTCTAGACTTGGGACAGTGTTCTCGGGGCATCTCTGGAGTTGCCTGAAGGAAGTCGAGCCACCGGTCGTGTTGAATGGGGAATGGGGAATGGCTCTGGAGTCAATGCAGGGGAATCGGGCCTCATCTCGAGTTGATTTGGGGCACATGGAGCTGCTTTCCGTTGCTGGGGTGACCTCAGGGTCCGTCTAGACTGGTGACAGTGTTCTTGGGGACTGTCTCGAGATCCATTAAGCAAGTCGAAGCTCCTGACTTGTTTGAATGGGATCACGGAATAGCTCTGCATGCACTGCAGGGGAATGGGGCCTCATCTCGCCTCAAGGGGGAAGTCTCATGGTTTTTCTCGAGTTGCGGCGGGGACCTGGGGTATGTTCTCGACTTAAGGCGGGGATGGCCCTTCAAAACACGAGTTTCTTCAGTGACGTCAGGACTCCTGTCTAGTAACGAGGGACACCTCAGGAATCTCTTCGAGGCTTGGCAGGGCAAAAGGGACGCTTCTCGAGGTGAGGCAGGGCACCCAAGGACCCTTTCCAGTAGCCACAGGGATTTTGGGATTCCTATCAGTATTGAAGAGGAGTCAGGCATCGTCACCTTTTGAAGCAATGAACTCCGCGTGCCTCTCGAGGTGTCAGCGGGATGTGAGGCATTCCGTCAAAATGAGACAGGGACCTAGGGCTTTCTCTAAGGTCTCCACAGCGGATTCAGACATCCCTTCATGTTGTGAGATGAAAGACGAGCCTGTATTCAAGCCACTGCAAGGAAATCCGGCCTCCTTTCAAGTTAGGGCTTCTCGCTGTATATTCCCCTTGAGGCAGCAAACTCGGGGTCCCTCCCACGTACCTATTGCTGAGAGAAGCCTCCTCCTGAGGTGCTTCTGGGAAGTTGGCATACGTCTTGAGCCTAAGCCAGGGAATCAGCTCGCATCTCGAGACGATTTGGGGTACACGGAGCATTCCTCGAGTTGCTGTGCTGAAGTTGGTGTTCCTCTAGACTTGGGACAGTGTTCTCGGGGCATCTCTGGAGTTGCCTGAAGGAAGTCGAGCCACCGGTCGTGTTGAATGGGGAACGGGGAATGGCTCTGGAGTCAATGCAGGGGAATCGGGCCTCATCTCGAGTTGATTTGGGGCACATGGAGCTGCTTTGCGTTGCTGGGGTGACCTCAGGGTCCGTCTAGACTGGTGACAGTGTTCTTGGGGACTGTCTCGAGATCCATTAAGCAAGTCGAAGCTCCTGACTTGTTTGAATGTGGTCACGGAATAGCTCTGCATGCACTGCAGGGGAATGGGGCCTCATCTCGCCTCTAGGGGGAAGTCTCATGGTTTTTCTCGAGTTGCGGCGGGGACCTGGGGTATGTTCTCGACTTACGGCGGGGATGGCCCTTCAAAACACGAGTTTCTTCAGTGACGTCAGGACTCCTGTCTAGTAACGAGGGACACCTCAGGAATCTCTTCGAGGCTTGGCAGGGCCAAAGGGACGCTTCTCGAGGTGAGGCAGGGCACCCAAGGACCCTTTCCAGTAGCCACAGGGATTTTGGGATTCCTATCAGTATTCAAGAGGAGTCAGGCATCGTCACCTTTTGAAGCAGTGAACTCCGCGTGCCTCTCGAGGTGTCAGCGGGATGTGAGGCATTCCGTCAAAATGAGGCAGGGACCTAGGGCTTTCTCTAAGGTCTCCACAGGGGATTCAGACATCCCTTCATGTTGTGAGATGAAAGACGAGCCTGTATTCAAGCCACTGCAAGGAAATCCGGCCTCCTTTCAAGTTAGGGCTTCTCGCTGTATATTCCCCTTGAGGCAGCAAACTCGGGGTCCCTCCCACATACCTATTGATGAGAGAAGCCTCCTCCTGAGGTGCTTCTGGGAAGTTGGCATACGTCTTGAGCCTAAGCCAGGGAATCAGCTCGCATCTCGAGACGATTTGGGGTACACGGAGCATTCCTCGAGTTGCTGTGCTGAAGTTGGTGTTCCTCTAGACTTGGGACAGTGTTCTCGGGGCATCTCTGGAGTTGCCTGAAGGAAGTCGAGCCACCGGTCGTGTTGAATGGGGAACGGGGAATGGCTCTGGAGTCAATGCAGGGGAATCGGGCCTCATCTCGAGTTGATTTGGGGCACATGGAGCTGCTTTGCGTTGCTGGAGTGACCTCAGGGTCCGTCTAGACTGGTGACAGTGTTCTTGGGGACTGTCTCGAGATCCATTAAGCAAGTCGAAGCTCCTGACTTGTTTGAATGGGGTCACGGAATAGCTCTGCATGCACTGCAGGGGAATGGGGCCTCATCTCGCCTCTAGGGGGAAGTCTCATGGTTTTTCTCGAGTTGCGGCGGGGACCTGGGGTATGTTCTCGACTTACGGCGGGGATGGCCCTTCCAAACACGAGTTTCTTCAGTGACGTCAGGACTCCTGTCTAGTAACGAGGGACACCTCAGGAATCTCTTCGAGGCTTGGCAGGGCCAAAGGGACGCTTCTCGAGGTGAGGCAGGGCACCCAAGGACCCTTTCCAGTAGCCACAGGGATTTTGGGATTCCTATCAGTATTCAAGAGGAGTCAGGCATCGTCACCTTTTGAAGCAATGAACTCCGCGTGCCTCTCGAGGTGTCAGCGGGATGTGAGGCATTCCGTCAAAATGAGGCAGGGACCTAGGGCTTTCTCTAAGGTCTCCACAGGGGATTCAGACATCCCTTCATGTTGTGAGATGAAAGACGAGCCTGTATTCAAGCCACTGCAAGGAAATCCGGCCTCCTTTCAAGTTAGGGCTTCTCGCTGTATATTCCCCTTGAGGCAGCAAACTCGGGGTCCCTCCCCCATACCTATTGCTGAGAGAAGCCTCCTCCTGAGGTGCTTCTGGGAAGTTGGCATACGTCTTGAGCCTAAGGCAGCGAATCTGCTCGCATCTCGAGACGATTTGGGGTACACGGAGCATTCCTCGAGTTGCTGTGCTGAAGTTGCTGTTCCTCTAGACTTGGGACAGTGTTCTCGGGGCATCTCTGGAGTTGCCTGAAGGAAGTCGAGCCACCGGTCGTGTTGAATGGGGAACGGGGAATGGCTCTGGAGTCAATGCAGGGGAATCGGGCCTCATCTCGAGTTGATTTGGGGCACATGGAGCTGCTTTGCGTTGCTGGGGTGACCTCAGGGTCCGTCTAGACTGGTGACAGTGTTCTTGGGGACTGTCTCGAGATCCATTAAGCAAGTCGAAGCTCCTGACTTGTTTGAATGGGGTCACGGAATAGCTCTGCATCCACTGCAGGGGAATGGGGCCTCATCTCGCCTCTAGGGGGAAGTCTCATGGTTTTTCTCGAGTTGCGGCGGGGACCTGGGGTATGTTCTCGACTTACGGCGGGGATGGCCCTTCAAAACACGAGTTTCTTCAGTGACGTCAGGACTCCTGTCTAGTAACGAGGGACACCTCAGGAATCTCTTCGAGGCTTGGCAGGGCCAAAGGGACGCTTCTCGAGGTGAGGCAGGGCACCCAAGGACCCTTTCCAGTAGCCACAGGGATTTTGGGACTCCTATCAGTATTCAAGAGGAGTCAGGCATCGTCACCTTTTGAAGCAATGAACTCCACGTGCCTCTCGAGGTGTCAGCGGGATGTGAGGCATTCCGTCAAAATGAGGCAGGGACCTAGGGCTTTCTCTAAGGTCTCCACAGGGGATTCAGACATCCCTTCATGTTGTGAGATGAAAGACGAGCCTGTATTCAAGCCACTGCAAGGAAATCCGGCCTCATTTCAAGTTCGGGCTTCTCGCTGTATATTCCCCTTGAGGCAGCAAACTCGGGGTCCCTCCCACATACCTATTGCTGAGAGAAGCCTCCTCCTGAGGTGCTTCTGGGAAGTTGGCATACGTCTTGAGCCTAAACCAGGGAATCAGCTCGCATCTCGAGACGATTTGTGGTACACGGAGCATTCCTCGAGTTGCTGTGCTGAAGTTGGTGTTCCTCTAGACTTGGGACAGTGTTCTCGGGGCATCTCTGGAGTTGCCTGAAGGAAGTCGAGCCACCGGTCGTGTTGAATGGGGAACGGGGAATGGCTCTGGAGTCAATGCAGGGGAATCGGGCCTCATCTCGAGTTGATTTGGGGCACATTGAGCTGCTTTGCGTTGCTGGGGTGACCTCAGCGTCCGTCTAGACTGGTGACAGTGTTCTTGGGGACTGTCTCGAGATCCATTAAGCAAGTCGAAGCTCCTGACTTGTTTGAATGGGATCACGGAATAGCTCTGCATGCACTGCAGGGGAATGGGGCCTCATCTCGCCTCTAGGGGGAAGTCTCATGGTTTTTCTCGAGTTGCGGCGGGGACCTGGGGTATGTTCTCGACTTACGGCGGGGGTGGCCCTTCAAAACACGAGTTTCTTCAGTGACGTCAGGACTCCTGTCTAGTAACGAGGGACACCTCAGGAATCTCTTCGAGGCTTGGCAGGGCAAAAGGGACGCTTCTCGAGGTGAGGCAGGGCACCCAAGGACCCTTTCCAGTAGCCACAGGGATTTTGGGATTCCTATCAGTATTCAAGAGGAGTCAGGCATCGTCACCTTTTGAAGCAGTGAACTCCGCGTGCCTCTCGAGGTGTCAGCGGGATGTGAGGCATTCCGTCAAAATGAGGCAGGGACCTAGGGCTTTCTCTAAGGTCTCCACAGGGGATTCAGACATCCCTTCATGTTGTGAGATGAAAGACGAGCCTGTATTCAAGCCACTACAAGGAAATTTGGCCTCTGTTCACATTAGGGCTTCTCCCTGTGTATTCCCCTTGAGGCAGCAAACTCGGGGTCCCTCCCACATACCTATTGCTGAGAGAAGCCTCCTCCAAAGGGGCTTCTGGAAAGTTGGCATACGTCTTGAGCCTAAGCCAGGGAATCAGCTCTCATCTCGAGATGATTTGGGGTACACGGAGCATTCCTCGAGTTGCTGTGCTGAAGTTGCTGTTCCTCTAGACTTGGGACAGTGTTCTCGGGGCATCTCTGGAGTTGCCTGAAGGAAGTCGAGCCACCGGTCGTGTTGAATGGGGAACGGGGAATGGCTCTGGAGTCAATGCAGGGGAATCGGGCCTCATCTCGAGTTGATTTGGGGCACATGGAGCTGCTTTGCGTTGCTGGGGTGACCTCAGGGTCCGTCTAGACTGGTGACAGTGTTCTTGGGGACTGTCTCGAGATCCATTAAGCAAGTCGAAGCTCCTGACTTGTTTGAATGGGATCACGGAATAGCTCTGCATGCACTGCAGGGGAATGGGGCCTCATCTCGCCTCTAGGGGGAAGTCTCATGGTTTTTCTCGAGTTGCGGCGGGGACCTGGGGTATGTTCTCGACTTACGGCGGGGATGGCCCTTCAAAACACGAGTTTCTTCAGTGACGTCAGGACTCCTGTCTAGTAACGAGGGACACCTCAGGAATCTCTTCGAGGCTTGGCAGGGCCAAAGGGACGCTTCTCGAGGTGAGGCAGGGCACCCAAGGACCCTTTCCAGTAGCCACAGGGATTTTGGGATTCCTATCAGTATTCAAGAGGAGTCAGGCATCGTCACCTTTTGAAGCAATGAACTCCGCGTGCCTCTCGAGGTGTCAGCGGGATGTGAGGCATTCCGTCAAAATGAGGCAGGGACCTAGGGCTTTCTCTAAGGTCTCCACAGGGGATTCAGACATCCCTTCATGTTGTGAGATGAAAGACGAGCCTGTATTCAAGCCACTGCAAGGAAATCCGGCCTCCTTTCAAGTTAGGGCTTCTCGCTGTATATTCCCCTTGAGGCAGCAAACTCGGGGTCCCTCCCCCATACCTATTGCTGAGAGAAGCCTCCTCCTGAGGTGTTTCTGGGAAGTTGGCATACGTCTTGAGCCTAAGCCAGCGAATCTGCTCGCATCTCGAGACGATTTGGGGTACACGGAGCATTCCTCGAGTTGCTGTGCTGAAGTTGCTGTTCCTCTAGACTTGGGACAGTGTTCTCGGGGCATCTCTGGAGTTGCCTGAAGGAAGTCGAGCCACCGGTCGTGTTGAATGGGGAACGGGGAATGGCTCTGGAGTCAATGCAGGGGAATCGGGCCTCATCTCGAGTTGATTTGGGGCACATGGAGCTGCTTTGCGTTGCTGGGGTGACCTCAGGGTCCGTCTAGACTGGTGACAGTGTTCTTGGGGACTGTCTCGAGATCCATTAAGCAAGTCGAAGCTCCTGACTTGTTTGAATGTGGTCACGGAATAGCTCTGCATGCACTGCAGGGGAATGGGGCCTCATCTCGCCTCTAGGGGGAAGTCTCATGGTTTTTCTCGAGTTGTGGCGGGGACCTGGGGTATGTTCTCGACTTACGGCGGGGATGGCCCTTCAAAACACGAGTTTCTTCAGTGACGTCAGGACTCCTGTCTAGTAACGAGGGACACCTCAGGAATCTCTTCGAGGCTTGGCATGGCCAAAGGGACGCTTCTCGAGGTGAGGCAGGGCACCCAAGGACCATTTCCAGTAGCCACAGGGATTTTGGGATTCCTATCAGTATTCAAGAGGAGTCAGGCATCGTCACCTTTTGAAGCAATGAACTCCGCGTGCCTCTCGAGGTGTCAGCGGGATGTGAGGCATTCCGTCAAAATGAGGCAGGGACCTAGGGCTTTCTCTAAGGTCTCCACAGGGGATTCAGACATCCCTTCATGTTGTGAGATGAAAGACGAGCCTGTATTCAAGCCACTGCAAGGAAATCCGGCCTCCTTTCAAGTTAGGGCTTCTCGCTGTATATTCCCCTTGAGGCAGCAAACTCGGGGTCCCTCCCACATACCTATTGCTGAGAGAAGCCTCCTCCTGAGGTGCTTCTGGGAAGTTGGCATACGTATTGAGCCTAAGCCAGGGAATCAGCTCGCATCTCGAGACGATTTGGGGTAGACGGAGCATTCCTCGAGTTGCTGTGCTGAAGTTGGTGTTCCTCTAGACTTGGGACAGTGTTCTCGGGGCATCTCTGGAGTTGCCTGAAGGAAGTCGAGCCACCGGTCGTGTTGAATGGGGAATGGGGAATGGCTCTGGAGTCAATGCAGGGGAATCGGGCCTCATCTCGAGTTGATTTGGGGCACATGGAGCTGCTTTGCGTTGCTGGGGTGACCTCAGGGTCCGTCTAGACTGGTGACAGTGTTCTTGGGGACTGTCTCGAGATCCATTAAGCAAGTCGAAGCTCCTGACTTGTTTGAATGGGATCACGGAATAGCTCTGCATGCACTGCAGGGGAATGGGGCCTCATCTCGCCTCTAGGGGGAAGTCTCATGGTTTTTCTCGAGTTGCGGCGGGGACCTGGGGTATGTTCTCGACTTACGGCGGGGATGGCCCTTCAAAACACGAGTTTCTTCAGTGACGTCAGGACTCCTGTCTAGTAACGAGGGACACCTCAGGAATCTCTTCGAGGCTTGGCAGGGCAAAAGGGACGCTTCTCGAGGTGAGGCAGGGCACCCAAGGACCCTTTCCAGTAGCCACAGGGATTTTGGGATTCCTATCAGTATTGAAGAGGAGTCAGGCATCGTCACCTTTTGAAGCAATGAACTCCGCGTGCCTCTCGAGGTGTCAGCGGGATGTGAGGCATTCCGTCAAAATGAGGCAGGGACCTAGGGCTTTCTCTAAGGTCTCCACAGGGGATTCAGTCATCCCTTCATGTTGTGAGATGAAAGACGAGCCTGTATTCAAGCCACTACAAGGAAATTTGGCCTCTGTTCACATTAGGGCTTCTCCCTGTGTATTCCCCTTGAGGCAGCAAACTCGGGGTCCCTCCCACATACCTATTGCTGAGAGAAGCCTCCTCCAAAGGGGCTTCTGGAAAGTTGGCATACGTCTTGAGCCTAAGCCAGGGAATCAGCTCTCATCTCGAGATGATTTGGGGTACACGGAGCATTCCTCGAGTTGCTGTGCTGAAGTTGCTGTTCCTCTAGACTTGGGACAGTGTTCTCGGGGCATCTCTGGAGTTGCCTGAAGGAAGTCGAGCCACCGGTCGTGTTGAATGGGGAACGGGGAATGGCTCTGGAGTCAATGCAGGGGAATCGGGCCTCATCTCGAGTTGATTTGGGGCACATGGAGCTGCTTTGCGTTGCTGGGGTGACCTCAGGGTCCGTCTAGACTGGTGACAGTGTTCTTGGGGACTGTCTCGAGATCCATTAAGCAAGTCGAAGCTCCTGACTTGTTTGAATGGGATCACGGAATAGCTCTGCATGCACTGCAGGGGAATGGGGCCTCATCTCGCCTCTAGGGGGAAGTCTCATGGTTTTTCTCGAGTTGCGGCGGGGACCTGGGGTATGTTCTCGACTTACGGCGGGGATGGCCCTTCAAAACACGAGTTTCTTCAGTGACGTCAGGACTCCTGTCTAGTAACGAGGGACACCTCAGGAATCTCTTCGAGGCTTGGCAGGGCCAAAGGGACGCTTCTCGAGGTGAGGCAGGGCACCCAAGGACCCTTTCCAGTAGCCACAGGGATTTTGGGATTCCTATCAGTATTCAAGAGGAGTCAGGCATCGTCACCTTTTGAAGCAATGAACTCCGCGTGCCTCTCGAGGTGTCAGCGGGATGTGAGGCATTCCGTCAAAATGAGGCAGGGACCTAGGGCTTTCTCTAAGGTCTCCACAGGGGATTCAGACATCCCTTCATGTTGTGAGATGAAAGACGAGCCTGTATTCAAGCCACTGCAAGGAAATCCGGCCTCCTTTCAAGTTAGGGCTTCTCGCTGTATATTCCCCTTGAGGCAGCAAACTCGGGGTCCCTCCCCCATACCTATTGCTGAGAGAAGCCTCCTCCTGAGGTGTTTCTGGGAAGTTGGCATACGTCTTGAGCCTAAGCCAGTGAATCTGCTCGCATCTCGAGACGATTTGGGGTACACGGAGCATTCCTCGAGTTGCTGTGCTGAAGTTGCTGTTCCTCTAGACTTGGGACAGTGTTCTCGGGGCATCTCTGGAGTTGCCTGAAGGAAGTCGAGCCACCGGTCGTGTTGAATGGGGAACGGGGAATGGCTCTGGAGTCAATGCAGGGGAATCGGGCCTCATCTCGAGTTGATTTGGGGCACATGGAGCTGCTTTGCGTTGCTGGGGTGACCTCAGGGTCCGTCTAGACTGGTGACAGTGTTCTTGGGGACTGTCTCGAGATCCATTAAGCAAGTCGAAGCTCCTGACTTGTTTGAATGTGGTCACGGAATAGCTCTGCATGCACTGCAGGGGAATGGGGCCTCATCTCGCCTCTAGGGGGAAGTCTCATGGTTTTTCTCGAGTTGCGGCGGGGACCTGGGGTATGTTCTCGACTTACGGCGGGGATGGCCCTTCAAAACACGAGTTTCTTCAGTGACGTCAGGACTCCTGTCTAGTAACGAGGGACACCTCAGGAATCTCTTCGAGGCTTGGCATGGCCAAAGGGACGCTTCTCGAGGTGAGGCAGGGCACCCAAGGACCATTTCCAGTAGCCACAGGGATTTTGGGATTCCTATCAGTATTCAAGAGGAGTCAGGCATCGTCACCTTTTGAAGCAATGAACTCCGCGTGCCTCTCGAGGTTTCAGCGGGATGTGAGGCATTCCGTCAAAATGAGGCAGGGACCTAGGGCTTTCTCTAAGGTCTCCACAGGGGATTCAGACATCCCTTCATGTTGTGAGATGAAAGACGAGCCTGTATTCAAGCCACTGCAAGGAAATCCGGCCTCCTTTCAAGTTAGGGCTTCTCGCTGTATATTCCCCTTGAGGCAGCAAACTCGGGGTCCCTCCCACATACCTATTGCTGAGAGAAGCCTCCTCCTGAGGTGCTTCTGGGAAGTTGGCATACGTATTGAGCCTAAGCCAGGGAATCAGCTCGCATCTCGAGACGATTTGGGGTAGACGGAGCATTCCTCGAGTTGCTGTGCTGAAGTTGGTGTTCCTCTAGACTTGGGACAGTGTTCTCGGGGCATCTCTGGAGTTGCCTGAAGGAAGTCGAGCCACCGGTCGTGTTGAATGGGGAATGGGGAATGGCTCTGGAGTCAATGCAGGGGAATCGGGCCTCATCTCGAGTTGATTTGGGGCACATGGAGCTGCTTTGCGTTGCTGGGGTGACCTCAGGGTCCGTCTAGACTGGTGACAGTGTTCTTGGGGACTGTCTCGAGATCCATTAAGCAAGTCGAAGCTCCTGACTTGTTTGAATGGGATCACGGAATAGCTCTGCATGCACTGCAGGGGAATGGGGCCTCATCTCGCCTCTAGGGGGAAGTCTCATGGTTTTTCTCGAGTTGCGGCGGGGACCTGGGGTATGTTCTCGACTTACGGCGGGGATGGCCCTTCAAAACACGAGTTTCTTCAGTGACGTCAGGACTCCTGTCTAGTAACGAGGGACACCTCAGGAATCTCTTCGAGGCTTGGCAGGGCAAAAGGGACGCTTCTCGAGGTGAGGCAGGGCACCCAAGGACCCTTTCCAGTAGCCACAGGGATTTTGGGATTCCTATCAGTATTCATGAGGAGTCAGGCATCGTCACCTTTTGAAGCAATGAACTCCGCGTGCCTCTCGAGGTGTCAGCGGGATGTGAGGCATTCCGTCAAAATGAGGCAGGGACCTAGGGCTTTCTCTAAGGTCTCCACAGGGGATTCAGACATCCCTTCATGTTGTGAGATGAAAGACGAGCCTGTATTCAAGCCACTGCAAGGAAATCCGGCCTCCTTTCAAGTTAGGGCTTCTCGCTGTATATTCCCCTTGAGGCAGCAAACTCGGGATCCCTCCCACGTACCTATTGCTGAGAGAAGCCTCCTCCTGAGGTGCTTCTGGGAAGTTGGCATACGTCTTGAGCCTAAGCCAGGGAATCAGCTCGCATCTCGAGACGATTTGGGGTACACGGAGCATTCCTCGAGTTGCTGTGCTGAAGTTGGTGTTCCTCTAGACTTGGGACAGTGTTCTCGGGGCATCTCTGGAGTTGCCTGAAGGAAGTCGAGCCACCGGTCGTGTTGAATGGGGAACGGGGAATGGCTCTGGAGTCAATGCAGGGGAATCGGGCCTCATCTCGAGTTGATTTGGGGCACATGGAGCTGCTTTGCGTTGCTGGGGTGACCTCAGGGTCCGTCTAGACTGGTGACAGTGTTCTTGGGGACTGTCTCGAGTTCCATTAAGCAAGTCGAAGCTCCTGACTTGTTTGAATGGGATCACGGAATAGCTCTGCATGCACTGCAGGGGAATGGGGCCTCATCTCGCCTCTAGGGGGAAGTCTCATGGTTTTTCTCGAGTTGCGGCGGGGACCTGGGGTATGTTCTCGACTTACGGCGGGGATGGCCCTTCAAAACACGAGTTTCTTCAGTGACGTCAGGACTCCTGTCTAGTAACGAGGGACACCTCAGGAATCTCTTCGAGGCTTGGCAGGGCCAAAGGGACGCTTCTCGAGGTGAGGCAGGGCACCCAAGGACCCTTTCCAGTAGCCACAGGGATTTTGGCATTCCTATCAGTATTCAAGAGGAGTCAGGCATCGTCACCTTTTGAAGCAATGAACTCCGCGTGCCTCTCGAGGTGTCAGCGGGATGTGAGGCATTCCGTCAAAATGAGGCAGGGACCTAGGGCTTTCTATAAGGTCTCCACAGGGGATTCAGACATCCCTTCATGTTGTGAGATGAAAGACGAGCCTGTATTCAAGCCACTGCAAGGAAATCCGGCCTCCTTTCAAGTTAGGGCTTCTCGCTGTATATTCCCCTTGAGGCAGCAAACTCGGGGTCCCTCCCACATACCTATTGCTGAGAGAAGCCTCCTCCTGAGGTGCTTCTGGGAAGTTGGCATACGTCTTGAGCCTAAGCCAGGGAATCAGCTCGCATCTCGAGACGATTTGGGGTACACGGAGCATTCCTCGAGTTGCTGTGCTGAAGTTGGTGTTCCTCTAGACTTGGGACAGTGTTCTCGGATCATCTCTGGAGTTGCCTGAAGGAAGTCGAGCCACCGGTCGTGTTGAATGGGGAACAGGGAATGGCTCTGGAGTCAATGCAGGGGAATCGGGCCTCATCTCGAGTTGATTTGTGGCACATGGAGCTGCTTTGCATTGCTGGGGTGACCTCAGGGTCCGTCTAGACTGGTGACAGTGTTCTTGGGGACTGTCTCGAGATCCATTAAGCAAGTCGAAGCTCCTGACTTGTTTGAATGGAATCACGGAATAGCTCTGCATGCACTGCAGGGGAATGGGGCCTCATCTCGCCTCTAGGGGGAAGTCTCATGGTTTTTCTCGAGTTACGGCGGGGACCTGGGGTATGTTCTCGACTTACGGCAGGGATGGCCCTTCAAAACACGAGTTTCTTCAGTGACGTCAGGACTCCTGTCTAGTAACGAGGGACACCTCAGGAATCTCTTCGAGGCTTGGCAGGGCCAAAGGGACGCTTCTCGAGGTGAGGCAGGGCACCCAAGGACCCTTTCCAGTAGCCACAGGGATTTTGGCATTCCTATCAGTATTCAAGAGGAGTCAGGCATCATCACCTTTTGAAGCAATGAACTCCGCGTGCCTCTCGAGGTGTCAGCGGGATGTGAGGCATTCCGTCAAAATGAGGCAGGGACCTAGGGCTTTCTCTAAGGTCTCCACAGGGGATTCAGACATCCCTTCATGTTGTGAGATGAAAGACGAGCCTGTATTCAAGCCACTGCAAGGAAATCCGGCCTCCTTTCAAGTTAGGGCTTCTCGCTGTATATTCCCCTTGAGGCAGCAAACTCGGGGTCCCTCCCACATACCTATTGCTGAGAGAAGCCTCCTCCTGAGGTGCTTCTGGGAAGTTGGCATACGTCTTGAGCCTAAGCCAGGGAATCAGCTCGCATCTCGAGACGATTTGGGGTAGACGGAGCATTCCTCGAGTTGCTATGCTGAAGTTGGTGTTCCTCTAGACTTGGGACAGTGTTCTCGGGGCATCTCTGGAGTTGCCTGAAGGAAGTCGAGCCACCGGTCGTGTTGAATGGGGAACGGGGAATGGCTCTGGAGTCAATGCAGGGGAATCGGGCCTCATCTCGAGTTGATTTGGGGCACATGGAGCTGCTTTGCGTTGCTGGGGTGACCTGAGGGTCTGTCTAGACTGGTGACAGTGTTCTTGGGGACTGTCTCGAGATCCATTAAGCAAGTCGAAGCTCCTGACTTGTTTGAATGGGATCACGGAATAGCTCTGCATGCACTGCAGGGGAATGGGGCCTCATCTCGCCTCTAGGGGGAAGTCTCATGGTTTTTCTCGAGTTGCGGCGGGGACCTGGGGTATGTTCTCGACTTACGGCGGGGGTGGCCCTTCAAAACACGAGTTTCTTCAGTGACGTCAGGACTCCTGTCTAGTAACGAGGGACACCTCAGGAATCTCTTCGAGGCTTGGCAGGGCAAAAGGGACGCTTCTCGAGGTGAGGCAGGGCACCCAAGGACCCTTTCCAGTAGCCACAGGGATTTTGGGATTCCTATCAGTATTCAAGAGGAGTCAGGCATCGTCACCTTTTGAAGCAATGAACTCCGCGTGCCTCTCGAGGTGTCAGCGGGATGTGAGGCATTCCGTCAAAATGAGGCAGGGACCTAGGGCTTTCTCTAAGGTCTCCACAGGGGATTCAGACATCCCTTCATGTTGTGAGATGAAAGACGAGCCTGTATTCAAGCCACTGCAAGGAAATCCGGCCTCCTTTCAAATTAGGGCTTCTCGCTGTATATTCCCCTTGAGGCAGCAAACTCGGGGTCCCTCCCACATACCTATTGCTGAGAGAAGCCTCCTCCTGAGGTGCTTCTGGGAAGTTGGCATACGTCTTGAGCCTAAGCCAGGGAATCAGCTCTCATCTCGAGACGATTTGGGGTACACGGAGCATTCCTCGAGTTGCTGTGCTGAAGTTGGTGTTCCTCTAGACTTGGGACAGTGTTCTCGGGGCATATCTGGAGCTGCCTGAAGGAAGTCGAGCCACCGGTCGTGTTGAATGGGGAACGGGGAATGGCTCTGGAGTCAATGCAGGGGAATCGGGCCTCATCTCGAGTTGATTTGGGGCACATGGAGCTGCTTTGCGTTGCTGGGGTGACCTCAGGGTCCGTCTAGACTGGTGACAGTGTTCTTGGGGACTGTCTCGAGATCCATTAAGCAAGTCGAAGCTCCTGACTTGTTTGAATGGGATCACGGAATAGCTCTGAATGCACTGCAGGGGAATGGAGCCTCATCTCGCCTCTAGGGGGAAGTCTCATGGTTTTTCTCGAGTTGCGGCGGGGACCTGGGGTATGTTCTCGACTTACGGCGGGGATGGCCCTTCAAAACACGAGTTTCTTCAGTGACGTCAGGACTCCTGTCTAGTAACGAGGGACACCTCAGGAATCTCTTCGAGGCTTGGCAGGGCCAAAGGGACGCTTCTCGAGGTGAGGCAGGGCACCCAAGGACCCTTTCCAGTAGGCACAGGGATTTTGGGATTCCTATCAGTATTCAAGAGGAGTCAGGCATCGTCACCATTTGAAGCAATGAACTCCGCGTGCCTCTCGAGGTGTCAGCGGGATGTGAGGCATTCCGTCAAAATGAGGCAGGGACCTAGGGCTTTCTCTAAGGTCTCCACAGGGGATTCAGACATCCCTTCATGTTGTGAGATGAAAGACGAGCCTGTATTCAAGCCACTGCAAGGAAATCCGGCCTCCTTTCAAGTTAGGGCTTCTCGCTGTATATTCCCCTTGAGGCAGCAAACTCGGGGTCCCTCCCCCATACCTATTGCTGAGAGAAGCCTCCTCCTGAGGTGCTTCTGGGAAGTTGGCATACGTCTTGAGCCTAAGACAGCGTATCAGCTCTCATCTCGAGACGATTTGGGGTAGACGGAGCATTCCTCGAGTTGCTGTGCTGAAGTTGGTGTTCCTCTAGACTTGGGACAGTGTTCTCGGGGCATCTCTGGAGTTGCCTGAAGGAAGTCGAGCCACCGGTCGTGTTGAATGGGGAACGGGGAATGGCTCTGGAGTCAATGCAGGGGAATCGGGCCTCATCTCGAGTTGATTTGGGGCACATGGAGCTGCTTTGCGTTGCTGGGGTGACCTCAGGGTCCGTCTAGACTGGTGACAGTGTTCTTGGGGACTGTCTCGAGATCCATTAAGCAAGTCGAAGCTCCTGACTTGTTTGAATGGGGTCACGGAATAGCTCTGCATGCACTGCTGGGGAATGGGGCCTCATCTCGCCTCTAGGGGGAAGTCTCATGGTTTTTCTCGAGTTGCGGCGGGGACCTGGGGTATGTTCTCGACTTACGGCGGGGATGGCCCTTCAAAACACGAGTTTCTTCAGTGACGTCAGGACTCCTGTCTAGTAACGAGGGACACCTCAGGAATCTCTTCGAGGCTTGGCAGGGCCAAAGGGACGCTTCTCGAGGTGAGGCAGGGCACCCAAGGACCCTTTCCAGTAGCCACAGGGATTTTGGGATTCCTATCAGTATTCAAGAGGAGTCAGGCATCGTCACCTTTTGAAGCAATGAACTCCGCGTGCCTCTCGAGGTGTCAGCGGGATGTGAGGCATTCCGTCAAAATGAGGCAGGGACCTAGGGCTTTCTCTAAGGTCTCCACAGGGGATTCAGACATCCCTTCATGTTTTGAGATGAAAGACGAGCCTGTATTCAAGCCACTGCAAGGAAATCCGGCCTCCTTTCAAGTTAGGGCTTCTCGCTGTATATTCCCCTTGAGGCAGCAAACTCGGGGTCCCTCCCACGTACCTATTGCTGAGAGAAGCCTCCTCCTGAGGTGCTTCTGGGAAGTTGGCATACGTCTTGAGCCTAAGCCAGAGAATCAGCTCGCATCTCGAGACGATTTGGGGTACACGGAGCATTCCTCGAGTTGCTGTGCTGAAGTTGGTGTTCCTCTAGACTTGGGACAGTGTTCTCGGGGCATCTCTGGAGTTGCCTGAAGGAAGTCGAGCCACCGGTCGTGTTGAATGGGGAACGGGGAATGGCTCTGGAGTCAATGCAGGGGAATCGGGCCTCATCTCGAGTTGATTTGGGGCACATGGAGCTGCTTTGCGTTGCTGGGGTGACCTCAGGGTCCGTCTAGACTGGTGACAGTGTTCTTGGGGACTGTCTCGAGATCCATTAAGCAAGTCGAAGCTCCTGACTTGTTTGAATGGGATCACGGAATAGCTCTGCATGCACTGCAGGGGAATGGGGCCTCATCTCGCCTCTAGGGGGAAGTCTCATGGTTTTTCTCGAGTTGCGGCGGGGACCTGGGGTATGTTCTCGACTTACGGCGGGGATGGCCCTTCAAAACACGAGTTTCTTCAGTGACGTCAGGACTCCTGTCTAGTAACGAGGGACACCTCAGGAATCTCTTCGAGGCTTGGCAGGGCCAAAGGGACGCTTCTCGAGGTGAGGCAGGGCACCCAAGGACCCTTTCCAGTAGCCACAGGGATTTTGGCATTCCTATCAGTATTCAAGAGGAGTCAGGCATCGTCACCTTTTGAAGCAATGAACTCCGCGTGCCTCTCGAGGTGTCAGCGGGATGTGAGGCATTCCGTCAAAATGAGGCAGGGACCTAGGGCTTTCTCTAAGGTCTCCACAGGGGATTCAGACATCCCTTCATGTTGTGAGATGAAAGACGAGCCTGTATTCAAGCCACTGCAAGGAAATCCGGCCTCCTTTCAAGTTAGGGCTTCTCGCTGTATATTCCCCTTGAGGCAGCAAACTCGGGGTCCCTCCCACATACCTATTGCTGAGAGAAGCCTCCTCCTGAGGTGCTTCTGGGAAGTTGGCATACGTCTTGAGCCTAAGCCAGGGAATCAGCTCGCATCTCGAGACGATTTGGGGTACACGGAGCATTCCTCGAGTTGCTGTGCTGAAGTTGGTGTTCCTCTAGACTTGGGACAGTGTTCTCGGGGCATCTCTGGAGTTGCCTGAAGGAAGTCGAGCCACCGGTCGTGTTGAATGGGGAACGGGGAATGGCTCTGGAGTCAATGCAGGGGAATCGGGCCTCATCTCGAGTTGATTTGGGGCACATGGAGCTGCTTTGCGTTGCTGGGGTGACCTCAGGGTCCGTCTAGACTGGTGACAGTGTTCTTGGGGACTGTCTCGAGATCCATTAAGCAAGTCGAAGCTCCTGACTTGTTTGAATGGGATCACGGAATAGCTCTGCATGCACTGCAGGGGAATGGGGCCTCATCTCGCCTCTATGGGGAAGTCTCATGGTTTTTCTCGAGTTGCGGCGGGGACCTGGGGTATGTTCTCGACTTACGGCGGGGATGGCCCTTCAAAACACGAGTTTCTTCAGTGACGTCAGGACTCCTGTCTAGTAACGAGGGACACCTCAGGAATCTCTTCGAGGCTTGGCAGGGCCAAAGGGACGCTTCTCGAGGTGAGGCAGGGCACCCAAGGACCCTTTCCAGTAGCCACAGGGATTTTGGGATTCCTATCAGTATTCAAGAGGAGTCAGGCATCGTCACCTTTTGAAGCAATGAACTCCGCGTGCCTCTCGAGGTGTCAGCGGGATGTGAGGCATTCCGTCAAAATGAGGCAGGGACCTAGGGCTTTCTCTAAGGTCTCCACAGGGGATTCAGACATCCCTTCATGTTGTGAGATGAAAGACGAGCCTGTATTCAAGCCACTGCAAGGAAATCCGGCCTCCTTTCAAGTTAGGGCTTCTCGCTGTATATTCCCCTTGAGGCAGCAAACTCGGGGTCCCTCCCACATACCTATTGCTGAGAGAAGCCTCCTCCTGAGGTGCTTCTGGGAAGTTGGCATACGTCTTGAGCCTAAGCCAGGGAATCAGCTCGCATCTCGAGACGATTTGGGGTACACGGAGCATTCCTCGAGTTGCTGTGCTGAAGTTGGTGTTCCTCTAGACTTGGGACAGTGTTCTCGGGGCATCTCTGGAGTTGCCTGAAGGAAGTCGAGCACCGGTCCTGTTGAATGGGGAACGGGGAATGGCTCTGGAGTCAATGCAGGGGAATCGGGCCTCATCTCGAGTTGATTTGTGGCACATGGAACTGCTTTGCGTTGCTGGGGTGACCTCAGGGTCCGTCTAGACTGGTGACAGTGTTCTTGGGGACTGTCTCGAGATCCATTAAGCAAGTCGAAGCTCCTGACTTGTTTGAATGGGATCTCGGAATAGCTCTGCATGCACTGCAGGGGAATGGGGCCTCATCTCGCCTCTAGGGGGAAGTCTCATGGTTTTTCTCGAGTTGCGGCGGGGACCTGGGGTATGTTCTCGACTTACGGCGGGGATGGCCCTTCAAAACACGAGTTTCTTCAGTGACGTCAGGACTCCTGTCTAGTAACGAGGGACACCTCAGGAATGTCTTCGAGGCTTGGCAGGGCCAAAGGGACGCTTCTCGAGGTGAGGCAGGGCACCCAAGGACCCTTTCCAGTAGCCACAGGGATTTTGGGATTCCTATCAGTATTCAAGAGGAGTCAGGCATCGTCACCTTTTGAAGCAATGAACTCCGCGTGCCTCTCGAGGTGTCAGCGGGATGTGAGGCATTCCGTCAAAATGAGGCAGGGACCTAGGGCTTTCTCTAAGGTCTCCACAGGGGATTCAGACATCCCTTCATGTTGTGAGATGAAAGACGAGCCTGTATTCAAGCCACTGCAAGGAAATCCGGCCTCCTTTCAAGTTAGGGCTTCTCGCTGTATATTCCCCTTGAGGCAGCAAACTCGGGGTCCCTCCCACATACCTATTGCTGAGAGAAGCCTCCTCCTGAGGTGCTTCTGGGAAGTTGGCATACGTCTTGAGCCTAAGCCAGGGAATCAGCTCGCATCTCGAGACGATTTGGGGTACACGGAGCATTCCTCGAGTTGCTGTGCTGAAGTTGGTGTTCCTCTAGACTTGGGACAGTGTTCTCGGGGCATCTCTGGAGTTGCCTGAATGAAGTCGAGCCACCGGTCGTGTTGAATGGGGAACGGGGAATGGCTCTGGAGTCAATGCAGGGGAATCGGGCCTCATCTCGAGTTGATTTGTGGCACATGGAGCTGCTTTGCGTTGCTGGGGTGACCTCAGGGTCCGTCTAGACTGGTGACAGTGTTCTTGGGGACTGTCTCGAGATCCATTAAGCAAGTCGAAGCTCCTGACTTGTTTGAATGGGATCACGGAATAGCTCTGCATGCACTGCAGGGGAATGGGGCCTCATCTCGCCTCTAGGGGGAAGTCTCATGGTTTTTCTCGAGTTGCGGCGGGGACCTGGGGTATGTTCTCGACTTACGGCAGGGATGGCCCTTCAAAAGACGAGTTTCTTCAGTGACGTCAGGACTCCTGTCTAGTAACGAGGGACACCTCAGGAATCTCTTCGAGGCTTGGCAGGGCCAAAGGGACGCTTCTCGAGGTGAGGCAGGGCACCCAAGGACCCTTTCCAGTAGCCACAGGGATTTTGGGATTCCTATCAGTATTGAAGAGGAGTCAGGCATCATCACCTTTTGAAGCAATGAACTCCGCGTGCCTCTCGAGGTGTCAGCGTGATGTGAGGCATTCCGTCAAAATGAGGCAGGGACCTAGGGCTTTCTCTAAGGTCTCCACAGGGGATTCAGACATCCCTTCATGTTGTGAGATGAAAGACGAGCCTGTATTCAAGCCACTGCAAGGAAATCCGGCCTCCTTTCAAGTTAGGGCTTCTCGCTGTATATTCCCCTTGAGGCAGCAAACTCGGGGTCCCTCCCACATACCTATTGCTGAGAGAAGCCTCCTCCTGAGGTGCTTCTGGGAAGTTGGCATACGTCTTGAGCCTAAGCCAGGGAATCAGCTCGCATGTCGAGACGATTTGGGGTAGACGGAGCATTCCTCGAGTTGCTATGCTGAAGTTGGTGTTCCTCTAGACTTGGGACAGTGTTCTCGGGGCATCTCTGGAGTTGCCTGAAGGAAGTCGAGCCACCGGTCGTGTTGAATGGGGAACGGGGAATGGCTCTGGAGTCAATGCAGGGGAATCGGGCCTCATCTCGAGTTGATTTGGGGCACATGGAGCTGCTTTGCGTTGCTGGGGTGACCTCAGGGTCCGTCTAGACTGGTGACAGTGTTCTTGGGGACTGTCTCGAGATCCATTAAGCAAGTCGAAGCTCCTGACTTGTTTGAATGGGATCACGGAATAGCTCTGCATGCACTGCAGGGGAATGGGGCCTCATCTCGCCTCTAGGGGGAAGTCTCATGGTTTTTCTCGAGTTGCGGCGGGGACCTGGGGTATGTTCTCGACTTACGGCGGGGATGGCCCTTCAAAACACGAGTTTCTTCAGTGACGTCAGGACTCCTGTCTAGTAATGAGGGACACCTCAGGAATCTCTTCGAGGCTTGGCAGGGCCAAAGGGACGCTTCTCGAGGTGAGGCAGGGCACCCAAGGACCCTTCCCAGTAGCCACAGGGATTTTGGGATTCCTATCAGTATTCAAGAGGAGTCAGGCATCGTCACCTTTTGAAGCAATGAACTCCGCGTGCCTCTCGAGGTGTCAGCGGGATGTGAGGCATTCCGTCAAAATGAGGCAGGGACCTAGGGCTTTCTCTAAGGTCTCCACAGGGGATTCAGACATCCCTTCATGTTGTGAGATGAAAGACGAGCCTGTATTCAAGCCACTGCAAGGAAATCCGGCCTCCTTTCAAGTTAGGGCTTCTCGCTGTATATTCCCCTTGAGGCAGCAAACTCGGGGTCCCTCCCACATACCTATTGCTGAGAGAAGCCTCCTCCTGAGGTGCTTCTGGGAAGTTGGCATACGTCTTGAGCCTAAGCCAGGGAATCAGCTCTGATCTCGAGACGATTTGGGGTACACGGAGCATTCCTCGAGTTGCTGTGCTGAAGTTGGTGTTCCTCTAGACTTGGGACAGTGTTCTCGGGGCATATCTGGAGCTGCCTGAAGGAAGTCGAGCCACCGGTCGTGTTGAATGGGGAACGGGGAATGGCTCTGGAGTCAATGCAGGGGAATCGGGCCTCATCTCGAGTTGATTTGGGGCACATGGAGCTGCTTTGCGTTGCTGGGGTGACCTCAGGGTCCGTCTAGACTGGTGACAGTGTTCTTGGGGACTGTCTCGAGATCCATTAAGCAAGTCGAAGCTCCTGACTTGTTTGAATGGGATCACGGAATAGCTCTGAATGCACTGCAGGGGAATGGAGCCTCATCTCGCCTCTAGGGGGAAGTCTCATGGTTTTTCTCGAGTTGCGGCGGGGACCTGGGGTATGTTCTCGACTTACGGCGGGGATGGCCCTTCAAAACACGAGTTTCTTCAGTGACGTCAGGACTCCTGTCTAGTAACGAGGGACACCTCAGGAATCTCTTCGAGGCTTGGCAGGGCCAAAGGGACGCTTCTCGAGGTGAGGCAGGGCACCCAAGGACCCTTTCCAGTAGCCACAGGGATTTTGGGATTCCTATCAGTATTCAAGAGGAGTCAGGCATCGTCACCTTTTGAAGCAATGAACTCCGCGTGCCTCTCGAGGTGTCAGCGGGATGTGAGGCATTCCGTCAAAATGAGGCAGGGACCTAGGGCTTTCTCTAAGGTCTCCACAGGGGATTCAGACATCCCTTCATGTTGTGAGATGAAAGACGAGCCTGTATTCAAGCCACTGCAAGGAAATCCGGCCTCCTTTCAAGTTAGGGCTTCTTGCTGTATATTCCCCTTGAGGCAACAAACTCGGGGTCCCTCCCCCATACCTATTGCTGAGAGAAGCCTCCTCCTGAGGTGCTTCTGGGAAGTTGGCATACGTCTTGAGCCTAAGACAGCGAATCTGCTCGCATCTCGAGACGATTTGGGGTACACGGAGCATTCCTCGAGTTGCTGTGCTGAAGTTGGTGTTCCTCTAGACTTGGGACAGTGTTCTCGGGGCATCTCTGGAGTTGCCTGAAGGAAGTCGAGCCACCGGTCGTGTTGAATGGGGAACGGGGAATGGCTCTGGAGTCAATGCAGGGGAATCGGGCCTCATCTCGAGTTGATTTGGGGCACATGGAGCTGCTTTGCGTTGCTGGGGTGACCTCAGGGTCCGTCTAGACTGGTGACAGTGTTCTTGGGGACTGTCTCGAGATCCATTAAGCAAGTCGAAGCTCCTGACTTGTTTGAATGGGGTCACGGAATAGCTCTGCATGCACTGCAGGGGAATGGGGCCTCATCTCGCCTCTAGGGGGAAGTCTCATGGTTTTTCTCGAGTTGCGGCGGGGACCTGGGGTATGTTCTCGACTTACGGCGGGGATGGCCCTTCAAAACACGAGTTTCTTCAGTGACGTCAGGACTCCTGTCTAGTAACGAGGGACACCTCAGGAATCTCTTCGAGGCTTGGCAGGGCCAAAGGGACGCTTCTCGAGGTGAGGCAGGGCACCCAAGGACCCTTTCCAGTAGCCACAGGGATTTTGGGATTCCTATCAGTATTCAAGAGGAGTCAGGCATCGTCACCTTTTGAAGCAATGAACTCCGCGTGCCTCTCGAGGTGTCAGCGGGATGTGAGGCATTCCGTCAAAATGAGGCAGGGACCTAGGGCTTTCTCTAAGGTCTCCACAGGGGATTCAGACATCCCTTCATGTTGTGAGATGAAAGACGAGCCTGTATTCAAGCCACTGCAAGGAAATCCGGCCTCCTTTCAAGTTAGGGCTTCTCGCTGTATATTCCCCTTGAGGCAGCAAACTCGGGGTCCCTCCCACGTACCTATTGCTGAGAGAAGCCTCCTCCTGAGGTGCTTCTGGGAAGTTGGCATACGTCTTGAGCCTAAGCCAGGGAATCAGCTCGCATCTCGAGACGATTTGGGGTACACGGAGCATTCCTCGAGTTGCTGTGCTGAAGTTGGTGTTCCTCTAGACTTGGGACAGTGTTCTCGGGGCATCTCTGGAGTTGCCTGAAGGAAGTCGAGCCACCGGTCGTGTTGAATGGGGAACGGGGAATGGCTCTGGAGTCAATGCAGGGGAATCGGGCCTCATCTCGAGTTGATTTGGGGCACATGGAGCTGCTTTGCGTTGCTGGGGTGACCTCAGGGTCCGTCTAGACTGGTGACAGTGTTCTTGGGGACTGTCTCGAGATCCATTAAGCAAGTCGAAGCTCCTGACTTGTTTGAATGGGATCACGGAATAGCTCTGCATGCACTGCAGGGGAATGGGGCCTCATCTCGCCTCTAGGGGGAAGTCTCATGGTTTTTCTCGAGTTGCGGCGGGGACCTGGGGTATGTTCTCGACTTACGGCGGGGATGGCCCTTCAAAACACGAGTTTCTTCAGTGACGTCAGGACTCCTGTCTAGTAACGAGGGACACCTCAGGAATCTCTTCGAGGCTTGGCAGGGCCAAAGGGACGCTTCTCGAGGTGAGGCAGGGCACCCAAGGACCCTTTCCAGTAGCCACAGGGATTTTGGGATTCTTATCAGTATTCAAGAGGAGTCAGGCATCGTCACCTTTTGAAGCAATGAACTCCGCGTGCCTCTCGAGGTGTCAGCGGGATGTGAGGCATTCCGTCAAAATGAGGCAGGGACCTAGGGCTTTCTCTAAGGTCTCCACAGGGGATTCAGACATCCCTTCATGTTGTGAGTTGAAAGACGAGCCTGTATTCAAGCCACTGCAAGGAAATCCGGCCTCCTTTCAAGTTAGGGCTTCTCGCTGTATATTCCCCTTGAGGCAGCAAACTCGGGGTCCCTCCCCCATACCTATTGCTGAGAGAAGCCTCCTCCTGAGGTGCTTCTGGGAAGTTGGCATACGTCTTGAGCCTAAGACAGCGAATCTGCTCGCATCTCGAGACGATTTGGGGTACACGGAGCATTCCTCGAGTTGCTGTGCTGAAGTTGGTGTTCCTCTAGACTTGGGACAGTGTTCTCGGGGCATCTCTGGAGTTGCCTGAAGGAAGTCGAGCCACCGGTCGTGTTGAATGGGGAACGGGGAATGGCTCTGGAGTCAATGCAGGGGAATCGGGCCTCATCTCGAGTTGATTTGGGGCACATGGAGCTGCTTTGCGTTGCTGGGGTGACCTCAGGGTCCGTCTAGACTGGTGACAGTGTTCTTGGGGACTGTCTCGAGATCCATTAAGCAAGTCGAAGCTCCTGACTTGTTTGAATGGGGTCACGGAATAGCTCTGCATGCACTGCAGGGGAATGGGGCCTCATCTCGCCTCTCGGGGGAAGTCTCATGGTTTTTCTCGAGTTGCGGCGGGGACCTGGGGTATGTTCTCGACTTACGGCGGGGATGGCCCTTCAAAACACGAGTTTCTTCAGTGACGTCAGGACTCCTGTCTAGTAACGAGGGACACCTCAGGAATCTCTTCGAGGCTTGGCAGGGCCAAAGGGACGCTTCTCGAGGTGAGGCAGGGCACCCAAGGACCCTTTCCAGTAGCCACAGGGATTTTGGCATTCCTATCAGTATTCAAGAGGAGTCAGGCATCGTCACCTTTTGAAGCAATGAACTCCGCGTGCCTCTCGAGGTGTCAGCGGGATGTGAGGCATTCCGTCAAAATGAGGCAGGGACCTAGGGCTTTCTCTAAGGTCTCCACAGGGGATTCAGACATCCCTTCATGTTGTGAGATGAAAGACGAGCCTGTATTCAAGCCACTGCAAGGAAATCCGGCCTCCTTTCAAGTTAGGGCTTCTCGCTGTATATTCCCCTTGAGGCAGCAAACTCGGGGTCCCTCCCACATACCTATTGCTGAGAGAAGCCTCCTCCTGAGGTGCTTCTGGGAAGTTGGCATACGTCTTGAGCCTAAGCCAGGGAATCAGCTCGCATCTCGAGACGATTTGGGGTACACGGAGCATTCCTCGAGTTGCTGTGCTGAAGTTGGTGTTCCTCTAGACTTGGGACAGTGTTCTCGGGGCATCTCTGGAGTTGCCTGAAGGAAGTCGAGCCACCGGTCGTGTTGAATGGGGAACGGGGAATGGCTCTGGAGTCAATGCAGGGGAATCGGGCCTCATCTCGAGTTGATTTGGGGCACATGGAGCTGCTTTGCGTTGCTGGGGTGACCTCAGGGTCCGTCTAGACTGGTGACAGTGTTCTTGGGGACTGTCTCGAGATCCATTAAGCAAGTCGAAGCTCCTGACTTGTTTGAATGGGATCACGGAATAGCTCTGCATGCACTGCAGGGGAATGGGGCCTCATCTCGCCTCTCGGGGGAAGTCTCATGGTTTTTCTCGAGTTGCGGCGGGGACCTGGGGTATGTTCTCGACTTACGGCGGGGATGGCCCTTCAAAACACGAGTTTCTTCAGTGACGTCAGGACTCCTGTCTAGTAACGAGGGACACCTCAGGAATCTCTTCGAGGCTTGGCAGGGCCAAAGGGACGCTTCTCGAGGTGAGGCAGGGCACCCAAGGACCCTTTCCAGTAGCCACAGGGATTTTGGGATTCCTATCAGTATTCAAGAGGAGTCAGGCATCGTCACCTTTTGAAGCAATGAACTCCGCGTGCCTCTCGAGGTGTCAGCGGGATGTGAGGCATTCCGTCAAAATGAGGCAGGGACCTAGGGCTTTCTCTAAGGTCTCCACAGGGGATTCAGACATCCCTTCATGTTGTGAGATGAAAGACGAGCCTGTATTCAAGCCACTGCAAGGAAATCCGGCCTCCTTTCAAGTTAGGGCTTCTCGCTGTATATTCCCCTTGAGGCAGCAAACTCGGGGTCCCTCCCCCATACCTATTGCTGAGAGAAGCCTCCTCCTGAGGTGCATCTGGGAAGTTGGCATACGTCTTGAGCCTAAGACAGCGAATCTGCTCGCATCTCGAGACGATTTGGGGTACACGGAGCATTCCTCGAGTTGCTGTGCTGAAGTTGGTGTTCCTCTAGACTTGGGACAGTGTTCTCGGGGCATCTCTGGAGTTGCCTGAAGGAAGTCGAGCCACCGGTCGTGTTGAATGGGGAATGGGGAATGGCTCTGGAGTCAATGCAGGGGAATCGGGCCTCATCTCGAGTTGATTTGGGGCACATGGAGCTGCTTTGCGTTGCTGGGGTGACCTCAGGGTCCGTCTAGACTGGTGACAGTGTTCTTGGGGACTGTCTCGAGATCCATTAAGCAAGTCGAAGCTCCTGACTTGTTTGAATGGGGTCACGGAATAGCTCTGCATGCACTGCAGGGGAATGGGGCCTCATCTCGCCTCTAGGGGGAAGTCTCATGGTTTTTCTCGAGTTGCGGCGGGGACCTGGGGTATGTTCTCGACTTACGGCGGGGATGGCCCTTCAAAACACGAGTTTCTTCAGTGACATCAGGACTCCTGTCTAGTAACGAGGGACACCTCAGGAATCTCTTCGAGGCTTGGCAGGGCCAAAGGGACGCTTCTCGAGGTGAGGCAGGGCACCCAAGGACCCTTTCCAGTAGCCACAGGGATTTTGGGATTCCTATCAGTATTCAAGAGGAGTCAGGCATCGTCACCTTTTGAAGCAATGAACTCCGCGTGCCTCTCGAGGTGTCAGCGGGATGTGAGGCATTCCGTCAAAATGAGGCAGGGACCTAGGGCTTTCTCTAAGTTCTCCACAGGGGATTCAGACATCCCTTCATGTTGTGAGATGAAAGACGAGCCTGTATTCAAGCCACTGCAAGGAAATCCGGCCTCCTTTCAAGTTAGGGCTTCTCGCTGTATATTCCCCTTGAGGCAGCAAACTCGGGGTCCCTCCCACATACCTATTGCTGAGAGAAGCCTCCTCCTGAGGTGCTTCTGGGAAGTTGGCATACGTCTTGAGCCTAAGCCAGGGAATCAGCTCGCATCTCGAGACGATTTGGGGTACACGGAGCATTCCTCGAGTTGCTGTGCTGAAGTTGGTGTTCCTCTAGACTTGGGACAGTGTTCTCGGGGCATCTCTGGAGTTGCCTGAAGGAAGTCGAGCCACCGGTCGTGTTGAATGGGGAACGGGGAATGGCTCTGGAGTCAATGCAGGGGAATCGGGCCTCATCTCGAGTTGATTTGGGGCACATGGAGCTGCTTTGCGTTGCTGGGGTGACCTCAGGGTCCGTCTAGACTGGTGACAGTGTTCTTGGGGACTGTCTCGAGATCCATTAAGCAAGTCGAAGCTCCTGACTTGTTTGAATGGGATCACGGAATAGCTCTGCATGCACTGCAGGGGAATGGGGCCTCATCTCGCCTCTCGGGGGAAGTCTCATGGTTTTTCTCGAGTTGCGGCGGGGACCTGGGGTATGTTCTCGACTTACGGCGGGGATGGCCCTTCAAAACACGAGTTTCTTCAGTGACGTCAGGACTCCTGTCTAGTAACGAGGGACACCTCAGGAATCTCTTCGAGGCTTGGCAGGGCCAAAGGGACGCTTCTCGAGGTGAGGCAGGGCACCCAAGGACCCTTTCCAGTAGCCACAGGGATTTTGGGATTCTTATCAGTATTCAAGAGGAGTCAGGCATCGTCACCTTTTGAAGCAATGAACTCCGCGTGCCTCTCGAGGTGTCAGCGGGATGTGAGGCATTCCGTCAAAATGAGGCATTGACCTAGGGCTTTCTCTAAGGTCTCCACAGGGGATTCAGACATCCCTTCATGTTGTGAGATGAAAGACGAGCCTGTATTCAAGCCACTGCAAGGAAATCCGGCCTCCTTTCAAGTTAGGGCTTCTCGCTGTATATTCCCCTTGAGGCAGCAAACTCGGGGTCTCTCCCACGTACCTATTGCTGAGAGAAGCCTCCTCCTGAGGTGCTTCTGGGAAGTTGGCATACGTCTTGAGCCTAAGCCAGGGAATCAGCTCGCATCTCGAGACGATTTGGGGTACACGGAGCATTCCTCGAGTTGCTGTGCTGAAGTTGGTGTTCCTCTAGACTTGGGACAGTGTTCTCGGGGCATCTCTGGAGTTGTCTGAAGGAAGTCGAGCCACTGGTCGTGTTGAATGGGGAACGGGGAATGGCTCTGGAGTCAATGCAGGGGAATCGGGCCTCATCTCGAGTTGATTTGGGGCACATGGAGCTGCTTTGCGTTGCTGGGGTGACCTCAGGGTCCGTCTAGACTGGTGACAGTGTTCTTGGGGACTGTCTCGAGATCCATTAAGCAAGTCGAAGCTCCTGACTTGTTTGAATGGGGTCACGGAATAGCTCTGCATGCACTGCAGGGGAATGGGGCCTCATCTCGCCTCTAGGGGGAAGTCTCATGGTTTTTCTCGAGTTGCGGCGGGGACCTGGGGTATGTTCTCGACTTACGGCGGGGATGGCCCTTCAAAACACGAGTTTCTTCAGTGACGTCAGGACTCCTGTCTAGTAACGAGGGACACCTCAGGAATCTCTTCGAGGCTTGGCAGGGCCAAAGGGACGCTTCTCGAGGTGAGGCAGGGCACCCAAGGACCCTTTCCAGTAGCCACAGGGATTTTGGGATTCCTATCAGTATTCAAGAGGAGTCAGGCATCGTCACCTTTTGAAGCAATGAACTCCGCGTGCCTCTCGAGGTGTCAGCGGGATGTGAGGCATTCCGTCAAAATGAGGCAGGGACCTAGGGCTTTCTCTAAGGTCTCCACAGGGGATTCAGACATCCCTTCATGTTGTGAGATGAAAGACGAGCCTGTATTCAAGCCACTGCAAGGAAATCCGGCCTCCTTTCAAGTTAGGGCTTCTCGCTGTATATTCCCCTTGAGGCAGCAAACTCGGGGTCCCTCCCACATACCTATTGCTGAGAGAAGCCTCCTCCTGAGGTGCTTCTGGGAAGTTGGCATACGTCTTGAGCCTAAGCCAGGGAATCAGCTCGCATCTCGAGACGATTTGGGGTACACGGAGCATTCCTCGAGTTGCTGTGCTGAAGTTGGTGTTCCTCTAGACTTGGGACAGTGTTCTCGGGGCATCTCTGGAGTTGCCTGAAGGAAGTCGAGCCACCGGTCGTGTTGAATGGGGAACGGGGAATGGCTCTGGAGTCAATGCAGGGGAATCGGGCCTCATCTCGAGTTGATTTGGGGCACATGGAGCTGCTTTGCGTTGCTGGGGTGACCTCAGGGTCCGTCTAGACTGGTGACAGTGTTCTTGGGGACTGTCTCGAGATCCATTAAGCAAGTCGAAGCTCCTGACTTGTTTGAATGGGATCACGGAATAGCTCTGCATGCACTGCAGGGGAATGGGGCCTCATCTCGCCTCTCGGGGGAAGTCTCATGGTTTTTCTCGAGTTGCGGCGGGGACCTGGGGTATGTTCTCGACTTACGGCGGGGATGGCCCTTCAAAACACGAGTTTCTTCAGTGACGTCAGGACTCCTGTCTAGTAACGAGGGACACCTCAGGAATCTCTTCGAGGCTTGGCAGGGCCAAAGGGACGCTTCTCGAGGTGAGGCAGGGCACCCAAGGACCCTTTCCAGTAGCCACAGGGATTTTGGGATTCTTATCAGTATTCAAGAGGAGTCAGGCATCGTCACCTTTTGAAGCAATGAACTCCGCGTGCCTCTCGAGGTGTCAGCGGGATGTGAGGCATTCCGTCAAAATGAGGCAGGGACCTAGGGCTTTCTCTAAGGTCTCCACAGGGGATTCAGACATCCCTTCATGTTGTGAGATGAAAGACGAGCCTGTATTCAAGCCACTGCAAGGAAATCCGGCCTCCTTTCAAGTTAGGGCTTCTCGCTGTATATTCCCCTTGAGGCAGCAAACTCGGGGTCCCTCCCACATACCTATTGCTGAGAGAAGCCTCCTCCTGAGGTGCTTCTGGGAAGTTGGCATACGTCTTGAGCCTAAGCCAGGGAATCAGCTCGCATCTCGAGACGATTTGGGGTACACGGAGCATTCCTCGAGTTGCTGTGCTGAAGTTGGTGTTCCTCTAGACTTGGGACAGTGTTCTCGGGGCATCTCTGGAGTTGCCTGAAGGAAGTCGAGCCACCGGTCGTGTTGAATGGGGAACGGGGAATGGCTCTGGAGTCAATGCAGGGGAATCGGGCCTCATCTCGAGTTGATTTGGGGCACATGGAGCTGCTTTGCGTTGCTGGGGTGACCTCAGGGTCCGTCTAGACTGGTGACAGTGTTCTTGGGGACTGTCTCGAGATCCATTAAGCAAGTCGAAGCTCCTGACTTGTTTGAATGGGATCACGGAATAGCTCTGAATGCACTGCAGGGGAATGGAGCCTCATCTCGCCTCTAGGGGGAAGTCTCATGGTTTTTCTCGAGTTGCGGCGGGGACCTGGGGTATGTTCTCGACTTACGGCGGGGATGGCCCTTCAAAACACGAGTTTCTTCAGTGACGTCAGGACTTCTGTCTAGTAACGAGGGACACCTCAGGAATCTCTTCGAGGCTTGGCAGGGCCAAAGGGACGCTTCTCGAGGTGAGGCAGGGCACCCAAGGACCCTTTCCAGTAGCCACAGGGATTTTGGGATTCCTATCAGTATTCAAGAGGAGTCAGGCATCGTCACCTTTTGAAGCAATGAACTCCGCGTGCCTCTCGAGGTGTCAGCGGGATGTGAGGCATTCCGTCAAAATGAGGCAGGGACCTAGGGCTTTCTCTAAGGTCTGCACAGGGGATTCAGACATCCCTTCATGTTGTGAGATGAAAGACGAGCCTGTATTCAAGCCACTGCAAGGAAATCCGGCCTCCTTTCAAGTTAGGGCTTCTCGCTGTATATTCCCCTTGAGGCAGCAAACTCGGGGTCCCTCCCACATACCTATTGCTGAGAGAAGCCTCCTCCTGAGGTGCTTCTGGGAAGTTGGCATACGTCTTGAGCCTAAGCCAGGGAATCAGCTCTCATCTCGAGACGATTTGAGGTACACGGAGCATTCCTCGAGTTGCTGTGCTGAAGTTGGTGTTCCTCTAGACTTGGGACAGTGTTCTCGGGGCATCTCTGGAGTTGCCTGAAGGAAGTCGAGCCACCGGTCGTGTTGAATGGGGAACGGGGAATGGCTCTGGAGTCAATGCAGGGGAATCGGGCCTCATCTCGAGTTGATTTGGGGCACATGGAGCTGCTTTGCGTTGCTGGGGTGAGCTCAGGGTCCGTCTAGACTGGTGACAGTGTTCTTGGGGACTGTCTCGAGATCCATTAAGCAAGTCGAAGCTCCTGACTTGTTTGAATGTGGTCACGGAATAGCTCTGCATGCACTGCAGGGGAATGGGGCCTCATCTCGCCTCTAGGGGGAAGTCTCATGGTTTTTCTCGAGTTGCGGCGGGGACCTGGGGTATGTTCTCGACTTACGGCGGGGATGGCCCTTCAAAACACGAGTTTCTTCAGTGACGTCAGGACTCCTGTCTAGTAACGAGGGAAACCTCAGGAATCTCTTCGAGGCTTGGCAGGGCCAAAGGGACGCTTCTCGAGGTGAGGCAGGGCACCCAAGGACCCTTTCCAGTAGCCACAGGGATTTTGGGATTCCTATCAGTATTCAAGAGGAGTCAGGCATCGTCACCTTTTGAAGCAATGAACTCCGCGTGCCTCTCGAGGTGTCAGCGGGATGTGAGGCATTCCGTCAAAATGAAGCAGGGAACTAGGGCTTTCTCTAAGGTCTCCACAGGGGATTCAGACATCCCTTCATGTTGTGAGATGAAAGACGAGCCTGTATTCAAGCCACTGCAAGGAAATCCGGCCTCCTTTCAAGTTAGGGCTTCTCGCTGTATATTCCCCTTGAGGCAGCAAACTCGTGGTCCCTCCCACATACCTATTGCTGAGAGAAGCCTCCTCCTGAGGTGCTTCTGGGAAGTTGGCATACGTCTTGAGCCTAAGCCAGGGAATCAGCTCGCATCTCGAGACGATTTGGGGTACACGGAGCATTCCTCGAGTTGCTGTGCTGAAGTTGGTGTTCCTCTAGACTTGGGACAGTGTTCTCGGGGCATCTCTGGAGTTGCCTGAAGGAAGTCGAGCCACCGGTCGTGTTGAATGGGGAACGGGGAATGGCTCTGGAGTCAATGCAGGGGAATCGGGCCTCATCTCGAGTTGATTTGGGGCACATGGAGCTGCTTTGCATTGCTGGGGTGACCTCAGGGTCCGTCTAGACTGTTGACAGTGTTCTTGGGGACTGTCTCGAGATCCATTAAGCAAGTCGAAGCTCCTGACTTGTTTGAATGGGATCACGGAATAGCTCTGCATGCACTGCAGGGGAATGGGGCCTCATCTCGCCTCTAGGGGGAAGTCTCATGGTTTTTCTCGAGTTGCGGCGGGGACCTGGGGTATGTTCTCGACTTACGGCAGGGATGGCCCTTCAAAACACGAGTTTCTTCAGTGACGTCAGGACTCCTGTCTAGTAACGAGGGACACCTCAGGAATCTCTTCGAGGCTTGGCAGGGCCAAAGGGACGCTTCTCGAGGTGAGGCAGGGCACCCAAGGACCCTTTCCAGTAGCCACATGGATTTTGGGATTCCTATCAGTATTCAAGAGGAGTCAGGCATCATCACCTTTTGAAGCAATGAACTCCGCGTGCCTCTCGAGGTGTCAGCGTGATGTGAGGCATTCCGTCAAAATGAGGCAGGGACCTAGGGCTTTCTCTAAGGTCTCCACAGGGGATTCAGACATCCCTTCATGTTGTGAGATGAAAGACGAGCCTGTATTCAAGCCACTGCAAGGAAATCCGGCCTCCTTTCAAGTTAGGGCTTCTCGCTGTATATTCCCCTTGAGGCAGCAAACTCGGGGTCCTTCCCACATACCTATTGCTGAGAGAAGCCTCCTCCTGAGGTGCTTCTGGGAAGTTGGCATACGTCTTGAGCCTAAGCCAGGGAATCAGCTCGCATCTCGAGACGATTTGGGGTAGACGGAGCATTCCTCGAGTTGCTGTGCTGAAGTTGGTGTTCCTCTAGACTTGGGACAGTGTTCTCGGGGCATCTCTGGAGTTGCCTGAAGGAAGTCGAGCCACCGGTCGTGTTGAATGGGGAACGGGGAATGGCTCTGGAGTCAATGCAGGGGAATCGGGCCTCATCTCGAGTTGATTTGGGGCACATGGAGCTGCTTTGCGTTGCTGGGGTGACCTCAGGGTCCGTCTAGACTGGTGACAGTGTTCTTGGGGACTGTCTCGAGATCCATTAAGCAAGTCGAAGCTCCTGACTTGTTTGAATGGGATCACGGAATAGCTCTGCATGCACTGCAGGGGAATGGGGCCTCATCTCGCCTCTAGGGGGAAGTCTCATGGTTTTTCTCGAGTTGCGGCGGGGACCTGGGGTATGTTCTCGACTTACGGCGGGGATGGCCCTTCAAAACACGAGTTTCTTCAGTGACGTCAGGACTCCTGTCTAGTAACGAGGGACACCTCAGGAATCTCTTCGAGGCTTGGCAGGGCCAAAGGGACGCTTCTCGAGGTGAGGCAGGGCACCCAAGGACCCTTTCCAGTAGCCACAGGGATTTTGGGATTCCTATCAGTATTCAAGAGGAGTCAGGCATCGTCACCTTTTGAAGCAATGAACTCCGCGTGCCTCTCGAGGTGTCAGCGGGATGTGAGGCATTCCGTCAAAATGAGGCAGGGACCTAGGGCTTTCTCTAAGGTCTCCACAGGGGATTCAGACATCCCTTCATGTTGTGAGATGAAAGACGAGCCTGTATTCAAGCCACTGCAAGGAAATCCGGCCTCCTTTCAAGTTAGGGCTTCTCGCTGTATATTCCCCTTGAGGCAGCAAACTCGGGATCCCTCCCACATACCTATTGCTGAGAGAAGCCTCCTCCTGAGGTGCTTCTGGGAAGTTGGCATACGTCTTGAGCCTAAGCCAGGGAATCAGCTCTCATCTCGAGACGATTTGAGGTACACGGAGCATTCCTCGAGTTGCTGTGCTGAAGTTGGTGTTCCTCTAGACTTGGGACAGTGTTCTCGGGGCATCTCTGGAGTTGCCTGAAGGAAGTCGAGCCACCGGTCGTGTTGAATGGGGAACGGGGAATGGCTCTGGAGTCAATGCAGGGGAATCGGGCCTCATCTCGAGTTGATTTGGGGCACATGGAGCTGCTTTGCGTTGCTGGGGTGACCTCAGGGTCCGTCTAGACTGGTGACAGTGTTCTTGGGGACTGTCTCGAGATCCATTAAGCAAGTCGAAGCTCCTGACTTGTTTGAATGGGATCACGGAATAGCTCTGCATGCACTGCAGGGGAATGGGGCCTCATCTCGCCTCTAGGGGGAAGTCTCATGGTTTTTCTCGAGTTGCGGCGGGGACCTGGGGTATGTTCTCGACTTACGGCGGGGATGGCCCTTCAAAACACGAGTTTCTTCAGTGACGTCAGGACTCCTGTCTAGTAACGAGGGATACCTCAGGAATCTCTTCGAGGCTTGGCAGGGCCAAAGGGACGCTTCTCGAGGTGAGGCAGGGCACCCAAGGACCCTTTCCAGTAGCCACAGGGATTTTGGGATTCCTATCAGTATTCAAGAGGAGTCAGGCATCGTCACCTTTTGAAGCAATGAACTCCGCGTGCCTCTCGAGGTGTCATCGGGATGTGAGGCATTCCGTCAAAATGAGGCAGGGACCTAGGGCTTTCTCTAAGGTCTCCACAGGGGATTTAGCCATCCCTTCATGTTGTGAGATGAAAGACGAGCCTGTATTCAAGCCACTGCAAGGAAATCCGGCCTCCTTTCAAGTTAGGGCTTCTCGCTGTATATTCCCCTTGAGGCAGCAAACTCGGGGTCCCTCCCACGTACCTATTGCTGAGAGAAGCCTCCTCCTGAGGTGCTTCTGGGAAGTTGGCATACGTCTTGAGCCTAAGCCAGGGAATCAGCTCGCATCTCGAGACGATTTGGGGTACACGGAGCATTCCTCGAGTTGCTGTGCTGAAGTTGGTGTTCCTCTAGACTTGGGACAGTGTTCTCGGGGCATCTCTGGAGTTGCCTGAAGGAAGTCGAGCCACCGGTCGTGTTGAATGGGGAACGGGGAATGGCTCTGGAGTCAATGCAGGGGAATCGGGCCTCATCTCGAGTTGATTTGGGGCACATGGAGCTGCTTTGCGTTGCTGGGGTGACCTCAGCGTCCGTCTAGACTGGTGACAATGTTATTGGGGACTGTCTCGAGATCCATTAAGCAAGTCGAAGCTCCTGACTTGTTTGAATGGGATCACGGAATAGCTCTGCATGCACTGCAGGGGAATGGGGCCTCATCTCGCCTCTAGGGGGAAGTCTCATGGTTTTTCTCGAGTTGCGGCGGGGACCTGGGGTATGTTCTCGACTTACGGCGGGGATGGCCCTTCAAAACACGAGTTTCTTCAGTGACGTCAGGACTCCTGTCTAGTAACGATGGACACCTCAGGAATGTCTTCGAGGCTTGGCAGGGCAAAAGGGACGCTTCTCGAGGTGAGGCAGGGCACCCAAGGACCCTTTCCAGTAGCCACAGGGATTTTGGGATTCCTATCAATATTCAAGAGGAGTCAGGCATCGTCACCTTTTGAAGCAATGAACTCCGCGTGCCTCTCGAGGTGTCAGCGGGATGTGAGGCATTCCGTCAAAATGAGGCAGGGACCTAGGGCTTTCTCTAAGGTCTCCACAGGGGATTCAGACATCCCTTCATGTTGTGAGATGAAAGACGAGCCTGTTTTCAAGCCACTGCAAGGAAATCCGGCCTCCTTTCAAGTTAGGGCTTCTCGCTGTATATTCCCCTTGAGGCAGCAAACTCGGGGTCCCTCCCACATACCTATTGCTGAGAGAAGCCTCCTCCTGAGGTGCTTCTGGGAAGTTGGCATACGTCTTGAGCCTAAGCCAGGGAATCAGCTCGCATCTCGAGACGATTTGGGGTACACGGAGCATTCCTCGAGTTGCTGTGCTGAAGTTGGTGTTCCTCTAGACTTGGGACAGTGTTCTCGGGGCATCTCTGGAGTTGCCTGAAGGAAGTCGAGCCACCGGTCGTGTTGAATGGGGAACGGGGAATGGCTCTGGAGTCAATGCAGGGGAATCGGGCCTCATCTCGAGTTGATTTGGGGCACATGGAGCTGCTTTGCGTTGCTGGGGTGACCTCAGGGTCCGTCTAGACTGGTGACAGTGTTCTTGGGGACTGTCTCGAGATCCATTAAGCAAGTCGAAGCTCCTGACTTGTTTGAATGGGGTCACGGAATAGCTCTGCATGCACTGCAGGGGAATGGGGCCTCATCTCGCCTCTAGGGGGAAGTCTCATGGTTTTTCTCGAGTTGCGGCGGGGACCTGGGGTATGTTCTCGACTTACGGCGGGGATGGCCCTTCAAAACACGAGTTTCTTCAGTGACGTCAGGACTCCTGTCTAGTAACGAGGGACACCTCAGGAATCTCTTCGAGGCTTGGCAGGGCCAAAGGGACGCTTCTCGAGGTGAGGCAGGGCACCCAAGGACCCTTTCCAGTAGCCACAGGGATTTTGGGACTCCTATCAGTATTCAAGAGGAGTCAGGCATCGTCACCTTTTGAAGCAATGAACTCCACGTGCCTCTCGAGGTGTCAGCGGGATGTGAGGCATTCCGTCAAAATGAGGCAGGGACCTAGGGCTTTCTCTAAGGTCTCCACAGGGGATTCAGACATCCCTTCATGTTGTGAGATGAAAGACGAGCCTTTTTCAAGCCACTGCAAGGAAATCCGGCCTCCTTTCAAGTTAGGGCTTCTCGCTGTATATTCCCCTTGAGGCAGCAAACTCGGGGTCCCTCCCACATACCTATTGCTGAGAGAAGCCTCCTCCTGAGGTGCTTCTGGGAAGTTGGCATACGTCTTGAGCCTAAGCCAGGGAATCAGCTCGCATCTCGAGACGATTTGGGGTACACGGAGCATTCCTCGAGTTGCTGTGCTGAAGTTGGTGTTCCTCTAGACTTGGGACAGTGTTCTCGGGGCATCTCTGGAGTTGCCTGAAGGAAGTCGAGCCACCGGTCGTGTTGAATGGGGAACGGGGAATGGCTCTGGAGTCAATGCAGGGGAATCGGGCCTCATCTCGAGTTGATTTGGGGCACATGGAGCTGCTTTGCGTTGCTGGGGTGACCTCAGGGTCCGTCTAGACTGGTGACAGTGTTCTTGGGGACTGTCTCGAGATCCATTAAGCAAGTCGAAGCTCCTGACTTGTTTGAATGGGATCACGGAATAGCTCTGCATGCACTGCAGGGGAATGGGGCCTCATCTCGCCTCTAGGGGGAAGTCTCATGGTTTTTCTCGAGTTGCGGCGGGGACCTGGGGTATGTTCTCGACTTACGGCGGGGATGGCCCTTCAAAACACGAGTTTCTTCAGTGACGTCAGGACTCCTGTCTAGTAACGAGGGATACCTCAGGAATCTCTTCGAGGCTTGGCAGGGCCAAAGGGACGCTTCTCGAGGTGAGGCAGGGCACCCAAGGACCCTTTCCAGTAGCCACAGGGATTTTGGGATTCCTATCAGTATTCAAGAGGAGTCAGGCATCGTCACCTTTTGAAGCAATGAACTCCGCGTGCCTCTCGAGGTGTCATCGGGATGTGAGGCATTCCGTCAAAATGAGGCAGGGACCTAGGGCTTTCTCTAAGGTCTCCACAGGGGATTTAGCCATCCCTTCATGTTGTGAGATGAAAGACGAGCCTGTATTCAAGCCACTGCAAGGAAATCCGGCCTCCTTTCAAGTTAGGGCTTCTCGCTGTATATTCCCCTTGAGGCAGCAAACTCGGGGTCCCTCCCACGTACCTATTGCTGAGAGAAGCCTCCTCCTGAGGTGCTTCTGGGAAGTTGGCATACGTCTTGAGCCTAAGCCAGGGAATCAGCTCGCATCTCGAGACGATTTGGGGTACACGGAGCATTCCTCGAGTTGCTGTGCTGAAGTTGGTGTTCCTCTAGACTTGGGACAGTGTTCTCGGGGCATCTCTGGAGTTGCCTGAAGGAAGTCGAGCCACCGGTCGTGTTGAATGGGGAACGGGGAATGGCTCTGGAGTCAATGCAGGGGAATCGGGCCTCATCTCGAGTTGATTTGGGGCACATGGAGCTGCTTTGCGTTGCTGGGGTGACCTCAGCGTCCGTCTAGACTGGTGACAATGTTATTGGGGACTGTCTCGAGATCCATTAAGCAAGTCGAAGCTCCTGACTTGTTTGAATGGGATCACGGAATAGCTCTGCATGCACTGCAGGGGAATGGGGCCTCATCTCGCCTCTAGGGGGAAGTCTCATGGTTTTTCTCGAGTTGCGGCGGGGACCTGGGGTATGTTCTCGACTTACGGCGGGGATGGCCCTTCAAAACACGAGTTTCTTCAGTGACGTCAGGACTCCTGTCTAGTAACGATGGACACCTCAGGAATGTCTTCGAGGCTTGGCAGGGCAAAAGGGACGCTTCTCGAGGTGAGGCAGGGCACCCAAGGACCCTTTCCAGTAGCCACAGGGATTTTGGGATTCCTATCAATATTCAAGAGGAGTCAGGCATCGTCACCTTTTGAAGCAATGAACTCCGCGTGCCTCTCGAGGTGTCAGCGGGATGTGAGGCATTCCGTCAAAATGAGGCAGGGACCTAGGGCTTTCTCTAAGGTCTCCACAGGGGATTCAGACATCCCTTCATGTTGTGAGATGAAAGACGAGCCTGTATTCAAGCCACTGCAAGGAAATCCGGCCTCCTTTCAAGTTAGGGCTTCTCGCTGTATATTCCCCTTGAGGCAGCAAACTCGGGGTCCCTCCCACATACCTATTGCTGAGAGAAGCCTCCTCCTGAGGTGCTTCTGGGAAGTTGGCATACGTCTTGAGCCTAAGCCAGGGAATCAGCTCGCATCTCGAGACGATTTGGGGTACACGGAGCATTCCTCGAGTTGCTGTGCTGAAGTTGGTGTTCCTCTAGACTTGGGACAGTGTTCTCGGGGCATCTCTGGAGTTGCCTGAAGGAAGTCGAGCCACCGGTCGTGTTGAATGGGGAACGGGGAATGGCTCTGGAGTCAATGCAGGGGAATCGGGCCTCATCTCGAGTTGATTTGGGGCACATGGAGCTGCTTTGCGTTGCTGGGGTGACCTCAGGGTCCGTCTAGACTGGTGACAGTGTTCTTGGGGACTGTCTCGAGATCCATTAAGCAAGTCGAAGCTCCTGACTTGTTTGAATGGGGTCACGGAATAGCTCTGCATGCACTGCAGGGGAATGGGGCCTCATCTCGCCTCTAGGGGGAAGTCTCATGGTTTTTCTCGAGTTGCGGCGGGGACCTGGGGTATGTTCTCGACTTACGGCGGGGATGGCCCTTCAAAACACGAGTTTCTTCAGTGACGTCAGGACTCCTGTCTAGTAACGAGGGACACCTCAGGAATCTCTTCGAGGCTTGGCAGGGCCAAAGGGACGCTTCTCGAGGTGAGGCAGGGCACCCAAGGACCCTTTCCAGTAGCCACAGGGATTTTGGGACTCCTATCAGTATTCAAGAGGAGTCAGGCATCGTCACCTTTTGAAGCAATGAACTCCACGTGCCTCTCGAGGTGTCAGCGGGATGTGAGGCATTCCGTCAAAATGAGGCAGGGACCTAGGGCTTTCTCTAAGGTCTCCACAGGGGATTCAGACATCCCTTCATGTTGTGAGATGAAAGACGAGCCTTTTTCAAGCCACTGCAAGGAAATCCGGCCTCCTTTCAAGTTAGGGCTTCTCGCTGTATATTCCCCTTGAGGCAGCAAACTCGGGGTCCCTCCCACATACCTATTGCTGAGAGAAGCCTCCTCCTGAGGTGCTTCTGGGAAGTTGGCATACGTCTTGAGCCTAAGCCAGGGAATCAGCTCGCATCTCGAGACGATTTGGGGTACACGGAGCATTCCTCGAGTTGCTGTGCTGAAGTTGGTGTTCCTCTAGACTTGGGACAGTGTTCTCGGGGCATCTCTGGAGTTGCCTGAAGGAAGTCGAGCCACCGGTCGTGTTGAATGGGGAACGGGGAATGGCTCTGGAGTCAATGCAGGGGAATCGGGCCTCATCTCGAGTTGATTTGGGGCACATGGAGCTGCTTTGCGTTGCTGGGGTGACCTCAGGGTCCGTCTAGACTGGTGACAGTGTTCTTGGGGACTGTCTCGAGATCCATTAAGCAAGTCGAAGCTCCTGACTTGTTTGAATGGGGTCACGGAATAGCTCTGCATGCACTGCAGGGGAATGGGGCCTCATCTCGCCTCTAGGGGGAAGTCTCATGGTTTTTCTCGAGTTGCGGCGGGGACCTGGGGTATGTTCTCGACTTACGGCGGGGATGGCCCTTCAAAACACGAGTTTCTTCAGTGACGTCAGGACTCCTGTCTAGTAACGAGGGACACCTCAGGAATCTCTTCGAGGCTTGGCAGGGCCAAAGGGACGCTTCTCGAGCTGAGGCAGGGCACCCAAGGACCCTTTCCAGTAGCCACAGGGATTTTGGGATTCCTATCAGTATTCAAGAGGAGTCAGGCATCGTCACCTTTTGAAGCAATGAACTCCGCGTGCCTCTCGAGGTGTCAGCGGGATGTGAGGCATTCCGTCAAAATGAGGCAGGGACCTAGGGCTTTCTCTAAGGTCTCCACAGGGGATTCAGACATCCCTTCATGTTGTGAGATGAAAGACGAGCCTGTATTCAAGCCACTGCAAGGAAATCCGGCCTCCTTTCAAGTTAGGGCTTCTCGCTGTATATTCCCCTTGAGGCAGCAAACTCGGGGTCCCTCCCACATACCTATTGCTGAGAGAAGCCTCCTCCTGAGGTGCTTCTGGGAAGTTGGCATACGTCTTGAGCCTAAGCCAGGGAATCAGCTCGCATCTCGAGACGATTTGGGGTACACGGAGCATTCCTCGAGTTGCTGTGCTGAAGTTGGTGTTCCTCTAGACTTGGGACAGTGTTCTCGGGGCATCTCTGGAGTTGCCTGAAGGAAGTCGAGCCACCGGTCGTGTTGAATGGGGAACGGGGAATGGCTCTGGAGTCAATGCAGGGGAATCGGGCCTCATCTCGAGTTGATTTGGGGCACATGGAGCTGCTTTGCGTTGCTGGGGTGACCTCAGGGTCCGTCTAGACTGGTGACAGTGTTCTTGGGGACTGTCTCGAGATCCATTAAGCAAGTCGAAGCTCCTGACTTGTTTGAATGGGGTCACGGAATAGCTCTGCATGCACTGCAGGGGAATGGGGCCTCATCTCGCCTCTAGGGGGAAGTCTCATGGTTTTTCTCGAGTTGCGGCGGGGACCTGGGGTATGTTCTCGACTTACGGCGGGGGTGGCCCTTCAAAACACGAGTTTCTTCAGTGACGTCAGGACTCCTGTCTAGTAACGAGGGACACCTCAGGAATCTCTTCGAGGCTTGGCAGGGCAAAAGGGACGCTTCTCGAGGTGAGGCAGGGCACCCAAGGACCCTTTCCAGTAGCCACAGGGATTTTGGGATTCCTATCAGTATTCAAGAGGAGTCAGGCATCGTCACCTTTTGAAGCAATGAACTCCGCGTGCCTCTCGAGGTGTCAGCGGGATGTGAGGCATTCCGTCAAAATGAGGCAGGGACCTAGGGCTTTCTCTAAGGTCTCCACAGGGGATTCAGACATCCCTTCATGTTGTGAGATGAAAGACGAGCCTGTATTCAAGCCACTGCAAGGAAATCCGGCCTCCTTTCAAGTTAGGGCTTCTCGCTGTATATTCCCCTTGAGGCAGCAAACTCGGGGTCCCTCCCACATACCTATTGCTGAGAGAAGCCTCCTCCTGAGGTGCTTCTGGGAAGTTGGCATACGTCTTGAGCCTAAGACAGCGAATCTGCTCGCATCTCGAGACGATTTGGGGTACACGGAGCATTCCTCGAGTTGCTGTGCTGAAGTTGCTGTTCCTCTAGACTTGGGACAGTGTTCTCGGGGCATCTCTGGAGTTGCCTGAAGGAAGTCGAGCCACCGGTCGTGTTGAATGGGGAACGGGGAATGGCTCTGGAGTCAATGCAGGGGAATCGGGCCTCATCTCGAGTTGATTTGGGGCACATGGAGCTGCTTTGCGTTGCTGGGGTGACCTCAGGGTCCGTCTAGACTGGTGACAGTGTTCTTGGGGACTGTCTCGAGATCCATTAAGCAAGTCGAAGCTCCTGACTTGTTTGAATGGGGTCACGGAATAGCTCTGCATGCACTGCAGGGGAATGGGGCCTCATCTCGCCTCTAGGGGGAAGTCTCATGGTTTTTCTCGAGTTGCGGCGGGGACCTGGGGTATGTTCTCGACTTACGGCGGGGATGGCCCTTCAAAACACGAGTTTCTTCAGTGACGTCAGGACTCCTGTCTAGTAACGAGGGACACCTCAGGAATCTCTTCGAGGCTTGGCAGGGCCAAAGGGACGCTTCTCGAGGTGAGGCAGGGCACCCAAGGACCCTTTCCAGTAGCCACAGGGATTTTGGGACTCCTATCAGTATTCAAGAGGAGTCAGGCATCGTCACCTTTTGAAGCAATGAACTCCACGTGCCTCTCGAGGTGTCAGCGGGATGTGAGGCATTCCGTCAAAATGAGGCAGGGACCTAGGGCTTTCTCTAAGGTCTCCACAGGGGATTCAGACATCCCTTCATGTTGTGAGATGAAAGACGAGCCTTTTTCAAGCCACTGCAAGGAAATCCGGCCTCCTTTCAAGTTAGGGCTTCTCGCTGTATATTCCCCTTGAGGCAGCAAACTCGGGGTCCCTCCCACATACCTATTGCTGAGAGAAGCCTCCTCCTGAGGTGCTTCTGGGAAGTTGGCATACGTCTTGAGCCTAAGCCAGGGAATCAGCTCGCATCTCGAGACGATTTGGGGTACACGGAGCATTCCTCGAGTTGCTGTGCTGAAGTTGGTGTTCCTCTAGACTTGGGACAGTGTTCTCGGGGCATCTCTGGAGTTGCCTGAAGGAAGTCGAGCCACCGGTCGTGTTGAATGGGGAACGGGGAATGGCTCTGGAGTCAATGCAGGGGAATCGGGCCTCATCTCGAGTTGATTTGGGGCACATGGAGCTGCTTTGCGTTGCTGGGGTGACCTCAGGGTCCGTCTAGACTGGTGACAGTGTTCTTGGGGACTGTCTCGAGATCCATTAAGCAAGTCGAAGCTCCTGACTTGTTTGAATGGGGTCACGGAATAGCTCTGCATGCACTGCAGGGGAATGGGGCCTCATCTCGCCTCTAGGGGGAAGTCTCATGGTTTTTCTCGAGTTGCGGCGGGGACCTGGGGTATGTTCTCGACTTACGGCGGGGATGGCCCTTCAAAACACGAGTTTCTTCAGTGACGTCAGGACTCCTGTCTAGTAACGAGGGACACCTCAGGAATCTCTTCGAGGCTTGGCAGGGCCAAAGGGACGCTTCTCGAGCTGAGGCAGGGCACCCAAGGACCCTTTCCAGTAGCCACAGGGATTTTGGGATTCCTATCAGTATTCAAGAGGAGTCAGGCATCGTCACCTTTTGAAGCAATGAACTCCGCGTGCCTCTCGAGGTGTCAGCGGGATGTGAGGCATTCCGTCAAAATGAGGCAGGGACCTAGGGCTTTCTCTAAGGTCTCCACAGGGGATTCAGACATCCCTTCATGTTGTGAGATGAAAGACGAGCCTGTATTCAAGCCACTGCAAGGAAATCCGGCCTCCTTTCAAGTTAGGGCTTCTCGCTGTATATTCCCCTTGAGGCAGCAAACTCGGGGTCCCTCCCACATACCTATTGCTGAGAGAAGCCTCCTCCTGAGGTGCTTCTGGGAAGTTGGCATACGTCTTGAGCCTAAGCCAGGGAATCAGCTCGCATCTCGAGACGATTTGGGGTACACGGAGCATTCCTCGAGTTGCTGTGCTGAAGTTGGTGTTCCTCTAGACTTGGGACAGTGTTCTCGGGGCATCTCTGGAGTTGCCTGAAGGAAGTCGAGCCACCGGTCGTGTTGAATGGGGAACGGGGAATGGCTCTGGAGTCAATGCAGGGGAATCGGGCCTCATCTCGAGTTGATTTGGGGCACATGGAGCTGCTTTGCGTTGCTGGGGTGACCTCAGGGTCCGTCTAGACTGGTGACAGTGTTCTTGGGGACTGTCTCGAGATCCATTAAGCAAGTCGAAGCTCCTGACTTGTTTGAATGGGGTCACGGAATAGCTCTGCATGCACTGCAGGGGAATGGGGCCTCATCTCGCCTCTAGGGGGAAGTCTCATGGTTTTTCTCGAGTTGCGGCGGGGACCTGGGGTATGTTCTCGACTTACGGCGGGGGTGGCCCTTCAAAACACGAGTTTCTTCAGTGACGTCAGGACTCCTGTCTAGTAACGAGGGACACCTCAGGAATCTCTTCGAGGCTTGGCAGGGCAAAAGGGACGCTTCTCGAGGTGAGGCAGGGCACCCAAGGACCCTTTCCAGTAGCCACAGGGATTTTGGGATTCCTATCAGTATTCAAGAGGAGTCAGGCATCGTCACCTTTTGAAGCAATGAACTCCGCGTGCCTCTCGAGGTGTCAGCGGGATGTGAGGCATTCCGTCAAAATGAGGCAGGGACCTAGGGCTTTCTCTAAGGTCTCCACAGGGGATTCAGACATCCCTTCATGTTGTGAGATGAAAGACGAGCCTGTATTCAAGCCACTGCAAGGAAATCCGGCCTCCTTTCAAGTTAGGGCTTCTCGCTGTATATTCCCCTTGAGGCAGCAAACTCGGGGTCCCTCCCACATACCTATTGCTGAGAGAAGCCTCCTCCTGAGGTGCTTCTGGGAAGTTGGCATACGTCTTGAGCCTAAGACAGCGAATCTGCTCGCATCTCGAGACGATTTGGGGTACACGGAGCATTCCTCGAGTTGCTGTGCTGAAGTTGCTGTTCCTCTAGACTTGGGACAGTGTTCTCGGGGCATCTCTGGAGTTGCCTGAAGGAAGTCGAGCCACCGGTCGTGTTGAATGGGGAACGGGGAATGGCTCTGGAGTCAATGCAGGGGAATCGGGCCTCATCTCGAGTTGATTTGGGGCACATGGAGCTGCTTTGCGTTGCTGGGGTGACCTCAGGGTCCGTCTAGACTGGTGACAGTGTTCTTGGGGACTGTCTCGAGATCCATTAAGCAAGTCGAAGCTCCTGACTTGTTTGAATGGGGTCACGGAATAGCTCTGCATGCACTGCAGGGGAATGGGGCCTCATCTCGCCTCTAGGGGGAAGTCTCATGGTTTTTCTCGAGTTGCGGCGGGGACCTGGGGTATGTTCTCGACTTACGGCGGGGATGGCCCTTCAAAACACGAGTTTCTTCAGTGACGTCAGGACTCCTGTCTAGTAACGAGGGACACCTCAGGAATCTCTTCGAGGCTTGGCAGGGCCAAAGGGACGCTTCTCGAGGTGAGGCAGGGCACCCAAGGACCCTTTCCAGTAGCCACAGGGATTTTGGCATTCCTATCAGTATTCAAGAGGAGTCAGGCATCGTCACCTTTTGAAGCAATGAACTCCGCGTGCCTCTCGAGGTGTCAGCGGGATGTGAGGCATTCCGTCAAAATGAGGCAGGGACCTAGGGCTTTCTCTAAGGTCTCCACAGGGGATTCAGACATCCCTTCATGTTGTGAGATGAAAGACGAGCCTGTATTCAAGCCACTGCAAGGAAATCCAGCCTCCTTTCAAGTTAGGGCTTCTCGCTGTATATTCCCCTTGAGGCAGCAAACTCGGGGTCCCTCCCACATACCTATTGCTGAGAGAAGCCTCCTCCTGAGGTGCTTCTGGGAAGTTGGCATACGTCTTGAGCCTAAGCCAGGGAATCAGCTCGCATCTCGAGACGATTTGGGGTACACGGAGCATTCCTCGAGTTGCTGTGCTGAAGTTGGTGTTCCTCTAGACTTGGGACAGTGTTCTCGGGGCATCTCTGGAGTTGCCTGAAGGAAGTCGAGCCACCGGTCGTGTTGAATGGGGAACGGGGAATGGCTCTGGAGTCAATGCAGGGGAATCGGGCCTCATCTCGAGTTGATTTGGGGCACATGGAGCTGCTTTGCGTTGCTGGGGTGACCTCAGGGTCCGTCTAGACTGGTGACAGTGTTCTTGGGGACTGTCTCGAGATCCATTAAGCAAGTCGAAGCTCCTGACTTGTTTGAATGGGATCACGGAATAGCTCTGCATGCACTGCAGGGGAATGGGGCCTCATCTCGCCTCTAGGGGGAAGTCTCATGGTTTTTCTCGAGTTGCGGCGGGGACCTGGGGTATGTTCTCGACTTACGGCGGGGATGGCCCTTCAAAACACGAGTTTCTTCAGTGACGTCAGGACTCCTGTCTAGTAACGAGGGACACCTCAGGAATCTCTTCGAGGCTTGGCAGGGCCAAAGGGACGCTTCTCGAGGTGAGGCAGGGCACCCAAGGACCCTTTCCAGTAGCCACAGGGATTTTGGGATTCCTATCAGTATTCAAGAGGAGTCAGGCATCGTCACCTTTTGAAGCAATGAACTCCGCGTGCCTCTCGAGGTGTCAGCGGGATGTGAGGCATTCCGTCAAAATGAGGCAGGGACCTAGGGCTTTCTCTAAGGTCTCCACAGGGGATTCAGACATCCCTTCATGTTGTGAGATGAAAGACGAGCCTGTATTCAAGCCACTGCAAGGAAATCCGGCCTCCTTTCAAGTTAGGGCTTCTCGCTGTATATTCCCCTTGAGGCAGCAAACTCGGGGTCCCTCCCCCATACCTATTGCTGAGAGAAGCCTCCTCCTGAGGTGCTTCTGGGAAGTTGGCATACGTCTTGAGCCTAAGACAGCGAATCTGCTCGCATCTCGAGACGATTTGGGGTACACGGAGCATTCCTCGAGTTGCTGTGCTGAAGTTGGTGTTCCTCTAGACTTGGGACAGTGTTCTCGGGGCATCTCTGGAGTTGCCTGAAGGAAGTCGAGCCACCGGTCGTGTTGAATGGGGAATGGGGAATGGCTCTGGAGTCAATGCAGGGGAATCGGGCCTCATCTCGAGTTGATTTGGGGCACATGGAGCTGCTTTGCGTTGCTGGGGTGACCTCAGGGTCCGTCTAGACTGGTGACAGTGTTCTTGGGGACTGTCTCGAGATCCATTAAGCAAGTCGAAGCTCCTGACTTGTTTGAATGGGGTCACGGAATAGCTCTGCATGCACTGCAGGGGAATGGGGCCTCATCTCGCCTCTAGGGGGAAGTCTCATGGTTTTTCTCGAGTTGCGGCGGGGACCTGGGGTATGTTCTCGACTTACGGCGGGGATGGCCCTTCAAAACACGAGTTTCTTCAGTGACGTCAGGACTCCTGTCTAGTAACGAGGGACACCTCAGGAATCTCTTCGAGGCTTGGCAGGGCCAAAGGGACGCTTCTCGAGGTGAGGCAGGGCACCCAAGGACCCTTTCCAGTAGCCACAGGGATTTTGGGATTCCTATCAGTATTCAAGAGGAGTCAGGCATCGTCTCCTTTTGAAGCAATGAACTCCGCGTGCCTCTCGAGGTGTCAGCGGGATGTGAGGCATTCCGTCAAAATGAGGCAGGGACCTAGGGCTTTCTCTAAGGTCTCCACAGGGGATTCAGACATCCCTTCATGTTGTGAGATGAAAGACGAGCCTGTATTCAAGCCACTGCAAGGAAATCCGGCCTCCTTTCAAGTTAGGGCTTCTCGCTGTATATTCCCCTTGAGGCAGCAAACTCGGGGTCCCTCCCACATACCTATTGCTGAGAGAAGCCTCCTCCTGAGGTGCTTCTGGGAAGTTGGCATACGTCTTGAGCCTAAGCCAGGGAATCAGCTCGCATCTCGAGACGATTTGGGGTACACGGAGCATTCCTCGAGTTGCTGTGCTGAAGTTGGTGTTCCTCTAGACTTGGGACAGTGTTCTCGGGGCATCTCTGGAGTTGCCTGAAGGAAGTCGAGCCACCGGTCGTGTTGAATGGGGAACGGGGAATGGCTCTGGAGTCAATGCAGGGGAATCGGGCCTCATCTCGAGTTGATTTGGGGCACATGGAGCTGCTTTGCGTTGCTGGGGTGACCTCAGGGTCCGTCTAGACTGGTGACAGTGTTCTTGGGGACTGTCTCGAGATCCATTAAGCAAGTCGAAGCTCCTGACTTGTTTGAATGGGATCACGGAATAGCTCTGCATGCACTGCAGGGGAATGGGGCCTCATCTCGCCTCTAGGGGGAAGTCTCATGGTTTTTCTCGAGTTGCGGCGGGGACCTGGGGTATGTTCTCGACTTACGGCAGGGATGGCCCTTCAAAACACGAGTTTCTTCAGTGACGTCAGGACTCCTGTCTAGTAACGAGGGACACCTCAGGAATCTCTTCGAGGCTTGGCAGGGCCAAAGGGACGCTTCTCGAGGTGAGGCAGGGCACCCAAGGACCCTTTCCAGTAGCCACATGGATTTTGGGATTCCTATCAGTATTCAAGAGGAGTCAGGCATCATCACCTTTTGAAGCAATGAACTCCGCGTGCCTCTCGAGGTGTCAGCGTGATGTGAGGCATTCCGTCAAAATGAGGCAGGGACCTAGGGCTTTCTCTAAGGTCTCCACAGGGGATTCAGACATCCCTTCATGTTGTGAGATGAAAGACGAGCCTGTATTCAAGCCACTGCAAGGAAATCCGGCCTCCTTTCAAGTTAGGGCTTCTCGCTGTATATTCCCCTTGAGGCAGCAAACTCGGGGTCCTTCCCACATACCTATTGCTGAGAGAAGCCTCCTCCTGAGGTGCTTCTGGGAAGTTGGCATACGTCTTGAGCCTAAGCCAGGGAATCAGCTCGCATCTCGAGACGATTTGGGGTAGACGGAGCATTCCTCGAGTTGCTGTGCTGAAGTTGGTGTTCCTCTAGACTTGGGACAGTGTTCTCGGGGCATCTCTGGAGTTGCCTGAAGGAAGTCGAGCCACCGGTCGTGTTGAATGGGGAACGGGGAATGGCTCTGGAGTCAATGCAGGGGAATCGGGCCTCATCTCGAGTTGATTTGGGGCACATGGAGCTGCTTTGCGTTGCTGGGGTGACCTCAGGGTCCGTCTAGACTGGTGACAGTGTTCTTGGGGACTGTCTCGAGATCCATTAAGCAAGTCGAAGCTCCTGACTTGTTTGAATGGGGTCACGGAATAGCTCTGCATGCACTGCAGGGGAATGGGGCCTCATCTCGCCTCTAGGGGGAAGTCTCATGGTTTTTCTCGAGTTGCGGCGGGGACCTGGGGTATGTTCTCGACTTACGGCGGGGATGGCCCTTCAAAACACGAGTTTCTTCAGTGACGTCAGGACTCCTGTCTAGTAACGAGGGACACCTCAGGAATCTCTTCGAGGCTTGGCAGGGCCAAAGGGACGCTTCTCGAGGTGAGGCAGGGCACCCAAGGACCCTTTCCAGTAGCCACAGGGATTTTGGGATTCCTATCAGTATTCAAGAGGAGTCAGGCATCGTCACCTTTTGAAGCAATGAACTCCGCGTGCCTCTCGAGGTGTCAGCGGGATGTGAGGCATTCCGTCAAAATGAGGCAGGGACCTAGGGCTTTCTCTAAGGTCTCCACAGGGGATTCAGACATCCCTTCATGTTGTGAGATGAAAGACGAGCCTGTATTCAAGCCACTGCAAGGAAATCCGGCCTCCTTTCAAGTTAGGGCTTCTCGCTGTATATTCCCCTTGAGGCAGCAAACTCGGGGTCCCTCCCACATACCTATTGCTGAGAGAAGCCTCCTCCTGAGGTGCTTCTGGGAAGTTGGCATACGTCTTGAGCCTAAGCCAGGGAATCAGCTCTCATCTCGAGACGATTTGGGGTACACGGAGCATTCCTCGAGTTGCTGTGCTGAAGTTGGTGTTCCTCTAGACTTGGGACAGTGTTCTCGGGTCATATCTGGAGCTGCCTGAAGGAAGTCGAGCCACCGGTCGTGTTGAATGGGGAACGGGGAATGGCTCTGGAGTCAATGCAGGGGAATCGGGCCTCATCTCGAGTTGATTTGGGGCACATGGAGCTGCTTTGCGTTGCTGGGGTGACCTCAGGGTCCGTCTAGACTGGTGACAGTGTTCTTGGGGACTGTCTCGAGATCCATTAAGCAAGTCGAAGCTCCTGACTTGTTTGAATGGGATCACGGAATAGCTCTGAATGCACTGCAGGGGAATGGAGCCTCATCTCGCCTCTAGGGGGAAGTCTCATGGTTTTTCTCGAGTTGCGGCGGCGACCTGGGGTATGTTCTCGACTTACGGCGGGGATGGCCCTTCAAAACACGAGTTTCTTCAGTGACGTCAGGACTTCTGTCTAGTAACGAGGGACACCTCAGGAATCTCTTCGAGGCTTGGCAGGGCCAAAGGGACGCTTCTCGAGGTGAGGCAGGGCACCCAAGGACCCTTTCCAGTAGCCACAGGGATTTTGGGATTCCTATCAGTATTCAAGAGGAGTCAGGCATCGTCACCTTTTGAAGCAATGAACTCCGCGTGCCTCTCGAGGTGTCAGCGGGATGTGAGGCATTCCGTCAAAATGAGGCAGGGACCTAGGGCTTTCTCTAAGGTCTGCACAGGGGATTCAGACATCCCTTCATGTTGTGAGATGAAAGACGAGCCTGTATTCAAGCCACTGCAAGGAAATCCGGCCTCCTTTCAAGTTAGGGCTTCTCGCTGTATATTCCCCTTGAGGCAGCAAACTCGGGGTCCCTCCCACATACCTATTGCTGAGAGAAGCCTCCTCCTGAGGTGCTTCTGGGAAGTTGGCATACGTCTTGAGCCTAAGCCAGGGAATCAGCTCTCATCTCGAGACGATTTGAGGTACACGGAGCATTCCTCGAGTTGCTGTGCTGAAGTTGGTGTTCCTCTAGACTTGGGACAGTGTTCTCGGGGCATCTCTGGAGTTGCCTGAAGGAAGTCGAGCCACCGGTCGTGTTGAATGGGGAACGGGGAATGGCTCTGGAGTCAATGCAGAGGAATCGGGCCTCATCTCGAGTTGATTTGGGGCACATGGAGCTGCTTTGCGTTGCTGGGGTGAGCTCAGGGTCCGTCTAGACTGGTGACAGTGTTCTTGGGGACTGTCTCGAGATCCATTAAGCAAGTCGAAGCTCCTGACTTGTTTGAATGTGGTCACGGAATAGCTCTGCATGCACTGCAGGGGAATGGGGCCTCATCTCGCCTCTAGGGGGAAGTCTCATGGTTTTTCTCGAGTTGCGGCGGGGACCTGGGGTATGTTCTCGACTTACGGCGGGGATGGCCCTTCAAAACACGAGTTTCTTCAGTGACGTCAGGACTCCTGTCTAGTAACGAGGGAAACCTCAGGAATCTCTTCGAGGCTTGGCAGGGCCAAAGGGACGCTTCTCGAGGTGAGGCAGGGCACCCAAGGACCCTTTCCAGTAGCCACAGGGATTTTGGGATTCCTATCAGTATTCAAGAGGAGTCAGGCATCGTCACCTTTTGAAGCAATGAACTCCGCGTGCCTCTCGAGGTGTCAGCGGGATGTGAGGCATTCCGTCAAAATGAGGCAGGGACCTAGGGCTTTCTCTAAGGTCTCCACAGGGGATTCAGACATCCCTTCATGTTGTGAGATGAAAGACGAGCCTGTATTCAAGCCACTGCAAGGAAATCCGGCCTCCTTTCAAGTTAGGGCTTCTCGCTGTATATTCCCCTTGAGGCAGCAAACTCGGGATCCCTCCCACATACCTATTGCTGAGAGAAGCCTCCTCCTGAGGTGCTTCTGGGAAGTTGGCATACGTCTTGAGCCTAAGCCAGGGAATCAGCTCTCATCTCGAGACGATTTGAGGTACACGGAGCATTCCTCGAGTTGCTGTGCTGAAGTTGGTGTTCCTCTAGACTTGGGACAGTGTTCTCGGGGCATCTCTGGAGTTGCCTGAAGGAAGTCGAGCCACCGGTCGTGTTGAATGGGGAACGGGGAATGGCTCTGGAGTCAATGCAGGGGAATCGGGCCTCATCTCGAGTTGATTTGGGGCACATGGAGCTGCTTTGCGTTGCTGGGGTGACCTCAGGGTCCGTCTAGACTGGTGACAGTGTTCTTGGGGACTGTCTCGAGATCCATTAAGCAAGTCGAAGCTCCTGACTTGTTTGAATGGGATCACGGAATAGCTCTGCATGCACTGCAGGGGAATGGGGCCTCATCTCGCCTCTAGGGGGAAGTCTCATGGTTTTTCTCGAGTTGCGGCGGGGACCTGGGGTATGTTCTCGACTTACGGCGGGGATGGCCCTTCAAAACACGAGTTTCTTCAGTGACGTCAGGACTCCTGTCTAGTAACGAGGGATACCTCAGGAATCTCTTCGAGGCTTGGCAGGGCCAAAGGGACGCTTCTCGAGGTGAGGCAGGGCACCCAAGGACCCTTTCCAGTAGCCACAGGGATTTTGGGATTCCTATCAGTATTCAAGAGGAGTCAGGCATCGTCACCTTTTGAAGCAATGAACTCCGCGTGCCTCTCGAGGTGTCATCGGGATGTGAGGCATTCCGTCAAAATGAGGCAGGGACCTAGGGCTTTCTCTAAGGTCTCCACAGGGGATTTAGCCATCCCTTCATGTTGTGAGATGAAAGACGAGCCTGTATTCAAGCCACTGCAAGGAAATCCGGCCTCCTTTCAAGTTAGGGCTTCTCGCTGTATATTCCCCTTGAGGCAGCAAACTCGGGGTCCCTCCCACGTACCTATTGCTGAGAGAAGCCTCCTCCTGAGGTGCTTCTGGGAAGTTGGCATACGTCTTGAGCCTAAGCCAGGGAATCAGCTCGCATCTCGAGACGATTTGGGGTACACGGAGCATTCCTCGAGTTGCTGTGCTGAAGTTGGTGTTCCTCTAGACTTGGGACAGTGTTCTCGGGGCATCTCTGGAGTTGCCTGAAGGAAGTCGAGCCACCGGTCGTGTTGAATGGGGAACGGGGAATGGCTCTGGAGTCAATGCAGGGGAATCGGGCCTCATCTCGAGTTGATTTGGGGCACATGGAGCTGCTTTGCGTTGCTGGGGTGACCTCAGCGTCCGTCTAGACTGGTGACAATGTTATTGGGGACTGTCTCGAGATCCATTAAGCAAGTCGAAGCTCCTGACTTGTTTGAATGGGATCACGGAATAGCTCTGCATGCACTGCAGGGGAATGGGGCCTCATCTCGCCTCTAGGGGGAAGTCTCATGGTTTTTCTCGAGTTGCGGCGGGGACCTGGGGTATGTTCTCGACTTACGGCGGGGATGGCCCTTCAAAACACGAGTTTCTTCAGTGACGTCAGGACTCCTGTCTAGTAACGATGGACACCTCAGGAATGTCTTCGAGGCTTGGCAGGGCAAAAGGGACGCTTCTCGAGGTGAGGCAGGGCACCCAAGGACCCTTTCCAGTAGCCACAGGGATTTTGGGATTCCTATCAATATTCAAGAGGAGTCAGGCATCGTCACCTTTTGAAGCAATGAACTCCGCGTGCCTCTCGAGGTGTCAGCGGGATGTGAGGCATTCCGTCAAAATGAGGCAGGGACCTAGGGCTTTCTCTAAGGTCTCCACAGGGGATTCAGACATCCCTTCATGTTGTGAGATGAAAGACGAGCCTGTATTCAAGCCACTGCAAGGAAATCCGGCCTCCTTTCAAGTTAGGGCTTCTCGCTGTATATTCCCCTTGAGGCAGCAAACTCGGGGTCCCTCCCACATACCTATTGCTGAGAGAAGCCTCCTCCTGAGGTGCTTCTGGGAAGTTGGCATACGTCTTGAGCCTAAGCCAGGGAATCAGCTCGCATCTCGAGACGATTTGGGGTACACGGAGCATTCCTCGAGTTGCTGTGCTGAAGTTGGTGTTCCTCTAGACTTGGGACAGTGTTCTCGGGGCATCTCTGGAGTTGCCTGAAGGAAGTCGAGCCACCGGTCGTGTTGAATGGGGAACGGGGAATGGCTCTGGAGTCAATGCAGGGGAATCGGGCCTCATCTCGAGTTGATTTGGGGCACATGGAGCTGCTTTGCGTTGCTGGGGTGACCTCAGGGTCCGTCTAGACTGGTGACAGTGTTCTTGGGGACTGTCTCGAGATCCATTAAGCAAGTCGAAGCTCCTGACTTGTTTGAATGGGGTCACGGAATAGCTCTGCATGCACTGCAGGGGAATGGGGCCTCATCTCGCCTCTAGGGGGAAGTCTCATGGTTTTTCTCGAGTTGCGGCGGGGACCTGGGGTATGTTCTCGACTTACGGCGGGGATGGCCCTTCAAAACACGAGTTTCTTCAGTGACGTCAGGACTCCTGTCTAGTAACGAGGGACACCTCAGGAATCTCTTCGAGGCTTGGCAGGGCCAAAGGGACGCTTCTCGAGGTGAGGCAGGGCACCCAAGGACCCTTTCCAGTAGCCACAGGGATTTTGGGACTCCTATCAGTATTCAAGAGGAGTCAGGCATCGTCACCTTTTGAAGCAATGAACTCCACGTGCCTCTCGAGGTGTCAGCGGGATGTGAGGCATTCCGTCAAAATGAGGCAGGGACCTAGGGCTTTCTCTAAGGTCTCCACAGGGGATTCAGACATCCCTTCATGTTGTGAGATGAAAGACGAGCCTTTTTCAAGCCACTGCAAGGAAATCCGGCCTCCTTTCAAGTTAGGGCTTCTCGCTGTATATTCCCCTTGAGGCAGCAAACTCGGGGTCCCTCCCACATACCTATTGCTGAGAGAAGCCTCCTCCTGAGGTGCTTCTGGGAAGTTGGCATACGTCTTGAGCCTAAGCCAGGGAATCAGCTCGCATCTCGAGACGATTTGGGGTACACGGAGCATTCCTCGAGTTGCTGTGCTGAAGTTGGTGTTCCTCTAGACTTGGGACAGTGTTCTCGGGGCATCTCTGGAGTTGCCTGAAGGAAGTCGAGCCACCGGTCGTGTTGAATGGGGAACGGGGAATGGCTCTGGAGTCAATGCAGGGGAATCGGGCCTCATCTCGAGTTGATTTGGGGCACATGGAGCTGCTTTGCGTTGCTGGGGTGACCTCAGGGTCCGTCTAGACTGGTGACAGTGTTCTTGGGGACTGTCTCGAGATCCATTAAGCAAGTCGAAGCTCCTGACTTGTTTGAATGGGGTCACGGAATAGCTCTGCATGCACTGCAGGGGAATGGGGCCTCATCTCGCCTCTAGGGGGAAGTCTCATGGTTTTTCTCGAGTTGCGGCGGGGACCTGGGGTATGTTCTCGACTTACGGCGGGGATGGCCCTTCAAAACACGAGTTTCTTCAGTGACGTCAGGACTCCTGTCTAGTAACGAGGGACACCTCAGGAATCTCTTCGAGGCTTGGCAGGGCCAAAGGGACGCTTCTCGAGCTGAGGCAGGGCACCCAAGGACCCTTTCCAGTAGCCACAGGGATTTTGGGATTCCTATCAGTATTCAAGAGGAGTCAGGCATCGTCACCTTTTGAAGCAATGAACTCCGCGTGCCTCTCGAGGTGTCAGCGGGATGTGAGGCATTCCGTCAAAATGAGGCAGGGACCTAGGGCTTTCTCTAAGGTCTCCACAGGGGATTCAGACATCCCTTCATGTTGTGAGATGAAAGACGAGCCTGTATTCAAGCCACTGCAAGGAAATCCGGCCTCCTTTCAAGTTAGGGCTTCTCGCTGTATATTCCCCTTGAGGCAGCAAACTCGGGGTCCCTCCCACATACCTATTGCTGAGAGAAGCCTCCTCCTGAGGTGCTTCTGGGAAGTTGGCATACGTCTTGAGCCTAAGCCAGGGAATCAGCTCGCATCTCGAGACGATTTGGGGTACACGGAGCATTCCTCGAGTTGCTGTGCTGAAGTTGGTGTTCCTCTAGACTTGGGACAGTGTTCTCGGGGCATCTCTGGAGTTGCCTGAAGGAAGTCGAGCCACCGGTCGTGTTGAATGGGGAACGGGGAATGGCTCTGGAGTCAATGCAGGGGAATCGGGCCTCATCTCGAGTTGATTTGGGGCACATGGAGCTGCTTTGCGTTGCTGGGGTGACCTCAGGGTCCGTCTAGACTGGTGACAGTGTTCTTGGGGACTGTCTCGAGATCCATTAAGCAAGTCGAAGCTCCTGACTTGTTTGAATGGGGTCACGGAATAGCTCTGCATGCACTGCAGGGGAATGGGGCCTCATCTCGCCTCTAGGGGGAAGTCTCATGGTTTTTCTCGAGTTGCGGCGGGGACCTGGGGTATGTTCTCGACTTACGGCGGGGGTGGCCCTTCAAAACACGAGTTTCTTCAGTGACGTCAGGACTCCTGTCTAGTAACGAGGGACACCTCAGGAATCTCTTCGAGGCTTGGCAGGGCAAAAGGGACGCTTCTCGAGGTGAGGCAGGGCACCCAAGGACCCTTTCCAGTAGCCACAGGGATTTTGGGATTCCTATCAGTATTCAAGAGGAGTCAGGCATCGTCACCTTTTGAAGCAATGAACTCCGCGTGCCTCTCGAGGTGTCAGCGGGATGTGAGGCATTCCGTCAAAATGAGGCAGGGACCTAGGGCTTTCTCTAAGGTCTCCACAGGGGATTCAGACATCCCTTCATGTTGTGAGATGAAAGACGAGCCTGTATTCAAGCCACTGCAAGGAAATCCGGCCTCCTTTCAAGTTAGGGCTTCTCGCTGTATATTCCCCTTGAGGCAGCAAACTCGGGGTCCCTCCCACATACCTATTGCTGAGAGAAGCCTCCTCCTGAGGTGCTTCTGGGAAGTTGGCATACGTCTTGAGCCTAAGACAGCGAATCTGCTCGCATCTCGAGACGATTTGGGGTACACGGAGCATTCCTCGAGTTGCTGTGCTGAAGTTGCTGTTCCTCTAGACTTGGGACAGTGTTCTCGGGGCATCTCTGGAGTTGCCTGAAGGAAGTCGAGCCACCGGTCGTGTTGAATGGGGAACGGGGAATGGCTCTGGAGTCAATGCAGGGGAATCGGGCCTCATCTCGAGTTGATTTGGGGCACATGGAGCTGCTTTGCGTTGCTGGGGTGACCTCAGGGTCCGTCTAGACTGGTGACAGTGTTCTTGGGGACTGTCTCGAGATCCATTAAGCAAGTCGAAGCTCCTGACTTGTTTGAATGGGGTCACGGAATAGCTCTGCATGCACTGCAGGGGAATGGGGCCTCATCTCGCCTCTAGGGGGAAGTCTCATGGTTTTTCTCGAGTTGCGGCGGGGACCTGGGGTATGTTCTCGACTTACGGCGGGGATGGCCCTTCAAAACACGAGTTTCTTCAGTGACGTCAGGACTCCTGTCTAGTAACGAGGGACACCTCAGGAATCTCTTCGAGGCTTGGCAGGGCCAAAGGGACGCTTCTCGAGGTGAGGCAGGGCACCCAAGGACCCTTTCCAGTAGCCACAGGGATTTTGGCATTCCTATCAGTATTCAAGAGGAGTCAGGCATCGTCACCTTTTGAAGCAATGAACTCCGCGTGCCTCTCGAGGTGTCAGCGGGATGTGAGGCATTCCGTCAAAATGAGGCAGGGACCTAGGGCTTTCTCTAAGGTCTCCACAGGGGATTCAGACATCCCTTCATGTTGTGAGATGAAAGACGAGCCTGTATTCAAGCCACTGCAAGGAAATCCAGCCTCCTTTCAAGTTAGGGCTTCTCGCTGTATATTCCCCTTGAGGCAGCAAACTCGGGGTCCCTCCCACATACCTATTGCTGAGAGAAGCCTCCTCCTGAGGTGCTTCTGGGAAGTTGGCATACGTCTTGAGCCTAAGCCAGGGAATCAGCTCGCATCTCGAGACGATTTGGGGTACACGGAGCATTCCTCGAGTTGCTGTGCTGAAGTTGGTGTTCCTCTAGACTTGGGACAGTGTTCTCGGGGCATCTCTGGAGTTGCCTGAAGGAAGTCGAGCCACCGGTCGTGTTGAATGGGGAACGGGGAATGGCTCTGGAGTCAATGCAGGGGAATCGGGCCTCATCTCGAGTTGATTTGGGGCACATGGAGCTGCTTTGCGTTGCTGGGGTGACCTCAGGGTCCGTCTAGACTGGTGACAGTGTTCTTGGGGACTCTCTCGAGATCCATTAAGCAAGTCGAAGCTCCTGACTTGTTTGAATGGGATCACGGAATAGCTCTGCATGCACTGCAGGGGAATGGGGCCTCATCTCGCCTCTAGGGGGAAGTCTCATGGTTTTTCTCGAGTTGCGGCGGGGACCTGGGGTATGTTCTCGACTTACGGCGGGGATGGCCCTTCAAAACACGAGTTTCTTCAGTGACGTCAGGACTCCTGTCTAGTAACGAGGGACACCTCAGGAATCTCTTCGAGGCTTGGCAGGGCCAAAGGGACGCTTCTCGAGGTGAGGCAGGGCACCCAAGGACCCTTTCCAGTAGCCACAGGGATTTTGGGATTCCTATCAGTATTCAAGAGGAGTCAGGCATCGTCACCTTTTGAAGCAATGAACTCCGCGTGCCTCTCGAGGTGTCAGCGGGATGTGAGGCATTCCGTCAAAATGAGGCAGGGACCTAGGGCTTTCTCTAAGGTCTCCACAGGGGATTCAGACATCCCTTCATGTTGTGAGATGAAAGACGAGCCTGTATTCAAGCCACTGCAAGGAAATCCGGCCTCCTTTCAAGTTAGGGCTTCTCGCTGTATATTCCCCTTGAGGCAGCAAACTCGGGGTCCCTCCCCCATACCTATTGCTGAGAGAAGCCTCCTCCTGAGGTGCTTCTGGGAAGTTGGCATACGTCTTGAGCCTAAGACAGCGAATCTGCTCGCATCTCGAGACGATTTGGGGTACACGGAGCATTCCTCGAGTTGCTGTGCTGAAGTTGCTGTTCCTCTAGACTTGGGACAGTGTTCTCGGGGCATCTCTGGAGTTGCCTGAAGGAAGTCGAGCCACCGGTCGTGTTGAATGGGGAATGGGGAATGGCTCTGGAGTCAATGCAGGGGAATCGGGCCTCATCTCGAGTTGATTTGGGGCACATGGAGCTGCTTTGCGTTGCTGGGGTGACCTCAGGGTCCGTCTAGACTGGTGACAGTGTTCTTGGGGACTGTCTCGAGATCCATTAAGCAAGTCGAAGCTCCTGACTTGTTTGAATGGGGTCACGGAATAGCTCTGCATGCACTGCAGGGGAATGGGGCCTCATCTCGCCTCTAGGGGGAAGTCTCATGGTTTTTCTCGAGTTGCGGCGGGGACCTGGGGTATGTTCTCGACTTACGGCGGGGATGGCCCTTCAAAACACGAGTTTCTTCAGTGACGTCAGGACTCCTGTCTAGTAACGAGGGACACCTCAGGAATCTCTTCGAGGCTTGGCAGGGCCAAAGGGACGCTTCTCGAGGTGAGGCAGGGCACCCAAGGACCCTTTCCAGTAGCCACAGGGATTTTGGGATTCCTATCAGTATTCAAGAGGAGTCAGGCATCGTCACCTTTTGAAGCAATGAACTCCGCGTGCCTCTCGAGGTGTCAGCGGGATGTGAGGCATTCCGTCAAAATGAGGCAGGGACCTAGGGCTTTCTCTAAGGTCTCCACAGGGGATTCAGACATCCCTTCATGTTGTGAGATGAAAGACGAGCCTGTATTCAAGCCACTGCAAGGAAATCCGGCCTCCTTTCAAGTTAGGGCTTCTCGCTGTATATTCCCCTTGAGGCAGCAAACTCGGGGTCCCTCCCACATACCTATTGCTGAGAGAAGCCTCCTCCTGAGGTGCTTCTGGGAAGTTGGCATACGTCTTGAGCCTAAGCCAGGGAATCAGCTCGCATCTCGAGACGATTTGGGGTACACGGAGCATTCCTCGAGTTGCTGTGCTGAAGTTGGTGTTCCTCTAGACTTGGGACAGTGTTCTCGGGGCATCTCTGGAGTTGCCTGAAGGAAGTCGAGCCACCGGTCGTGTTGAATGGGGAACGGGGAATGGCTCTGGAGTCAATGCAGGGGAATCGGGCCTCATCTCGAGTTGATTTGGGGCACATGGAGCTGCTTTGCGTTGCTGGGGTGACCTCAGGGTCCGTCTAGACTGGTGACAGTGTTCTTGGGGACTGTCTCGAGATCCATTAAGCAAGTCGAAGCTCCTGACTTGTTTGAATGGGATCACGGAATAGCTCTGCATGCACTGCAGGGGAATGGGGCCTCATCTCGCCTCTAGGGGGAAGTCTCATGGTTTTTCTCGAGTTGCGGCGGGGACCTGGGGTATGTTCTCGACTTACGGCGGGGATGGCCCTTCAAAACACGAGTTTCTTCAGTGACGTCAGGACTCCTGTCTAGTAACGAGGGACACCTCAGGAATCTCTTCGAGGCTTGGCAGGGCCAAAGGGACGCTTCTCGAGGTGAGGCAGGGCACCCAAGGACCCTTTCCAGTAGCCACAGGGATTTTGGGATTCTTATCAGTATTCAAGAGGAGTCAGGCATCGTCACCTTTTGAAGCAATGAACTCCGCGTGCCTCTCGAGGTGTCAGCGGGATGTGAGGCATTCCGTCAAAATGAGGCATTGACCTAGGGCTTTCTCTAAGGTCTCCACAGGGGATTCAGACATCCCTTCATGTTGTGAGATGAAAGACGAGCCTGTATTCAAGCCACTGCAAGGAAATCCGGCCTCCTTTCAAGTTAGGGCTTCTCGCTGTATATTCCCCTTGAGGCAGCAAACTCGGGGTCCCTCCCACATACCTATTGCTGAGAGAAGCCTCCTCCTGAGGTGCTTCTGGGAAGTTGGCATACGTCTTGAGCCTAAGCCAGGGAATCAGCTCGCATCTCGAGACGATTTGGGGTACACGGAGCATTCCTCGAGTTGCTGTGCTGAAGTTGGTGTTCCTCTAGACTTGGGACAGTGTTCTCGGGGCATCTCTGGAGTTGCCTGAAGGAAGTCGAGCCACCGGTCGTGTTGAATGGGGAACGGGGAATGGCTCTGGAGTCAATGCAGGGGAATCGGGCCTCATCTCGAGTTGATTTGGGGCACATGGAGCTGCTTTGCGTTGCTGGGGTGACCTCAGGGTCCGTCTAGACTGGTGACAGTGTTCTTGGGGACTGTCTCGAGATCCATTAAGCAAGTCGAAGCTCCTGACTTGTTTGAATGGGGTCACGGAATAGCTCTGCATGCACTGCAGGGGAATGGGGCCTCATCTCGCCTCTAGGGGGAAGTCTCATGGTTTTTCTCGAGTTGCGGCGGGGACCTGGGGTATGTTCTCGACTTACGGCGGGGATGGCCCTTCCAAACACGAGTTTCTTCAGTGACGTCAGGACTCCTGTCTAGTAACGAGGGACACCTCAGGAATCTCTTCGAGGCTTGGCAGGGCAAAAGGGACGCTTCTCGAGGTGAGGCAGGGCACCCAAGGACCCTTTCCAGTAGCCACAGGGATTTTGGGATTCCTATCAGTATTCAAGAGGAGTCAGGCATCGTCACCTTTTGAAGCAATGAACTCCGCGTGCCTCTCCAGGTGTCAGCGGGATGTGAGGCATTCCGTCAAAATGAGGCAGGGACCTAGGGCTTTCTCTAAGGTCTCCACAGGGGATTCAGACATCCCTTCATGTTGTGAGATGAAAGACGAGCCTGTATTCAAGCCACTGCAAGGAAATCCGGCCTCCTTTCAAGTTAGGGCTTCTCGCTGTATATTCCCCTTGAGGCAGCAAACTCGGGGTCCATCCCCCATACCTATTGCTGAGAGAAGCCTCCTCCTGTGGTGCTTCTGGGAAGTTGGCATACGTCTTGAGCCTAAGCCAGGGAATCAGCTCGCATCTCGAGACGATTTGGGGTACACGGAGCATTCCTCGAGTTGCTGTGCTGAAGTTGGTGTTCCTCTAGACTTGGGACAGTGTTCTCGGGGCATCTCTGGAGTTGCCTGAAGGAAGTCGAGCCACCGGTCGTGTTGAATGGGGAACGGGGAATGGCTCTGGAGTCAATGCAGGGGAATCGGGCCTCATCTCGAGTTGATTTGGGGCACATGGAGCTGCTTTGTGTTGCTGGGGTGACCTCAAGGTCAGTCTAGACTGGTGACAGTGTTCTTGGGGACTGTCTCGAGATCCATTAAGCAAGTCGAAGCTCCTGACTTGTTTGAATGGGGTCACGGAATAGCTCTGCATGCACTGCAGGGGAATGGGGCCTCATCTCGCCTCTAGGGGGAAGTCTCATGGTTTTTCTCGAGTTGCGGCGGGGACCTGGGGTATGTTCTCGACTTACGGCGGGGATGGCCCTTCCAAACACGAGTTTCTTCAGTGACGTCAGGACTCCTGTCTAGTAACGAGGGACAACTCAGGAATCTCTTCGAGGCTTGGCAGGGCCAAAGGGACGCTTCTCGAGGTGAGGCAGGGCACCCAAGGACCCTTTCCAGTAGCCACAGGGATTTTGGGATTCCTATCAGTATTCAAGAGGAGTCAGGCATCGTCACCTTTTGAAGCAATGAACTCCGCGTGCCTCTCGAGGTGTCAGCGGGATGTGAGGCATTCCGTCAAAATGAGGCAGGGACCTAGGGCTTTCTCTAAGGTCTCCACAGGGGATTCAGACATCCCTTCATGTTGTGAGATGAAAGACGAGCCTGTATTCAAGCCACTGCAAGGAAATCCGGCCTCCTTTCAAGTTAGGGCTTCTCGCTGTATATTCCCCTTGAGGCAGCAAACTCGGGGTCCCTCCCACATACCTATTGCTGAGAGAAGCCTCCTCCTGAGGTGCTTCTGGGAAGTTGGCATACGTCTTGAGCCTAAGCCAGGGAATCTGCTCGCATCTCGAGACGATTTGGGGTAGACGGCGCATTCCTCGAGTTGCTGTGCTGAAGTTGGTGTTCCTCTAGACTTGGGACAGTGTTCTCGGGGCATCTCTGGAGTTGCCTGAAGGAAGTCGAGCCACCGGTCGTGTTGAATGGGGAACGGGGAATGGCTCTGGAGTCAATGCAGGGGAATCGGGCCTCATCTCGAGTTGATTTGGGGCACATGGAGCTGCTTTGCGTTGCTGGGGTGACCTCAGGGTCCGTCTAGACTGGTGACAGTGTTCTTGGGGACTGTCTCGAGATCCATTAAGCAAGTCGAAGCTCCTGACTTGTTTGAATGGGATCACGGAATAGCTCTGCATGCACTGCAGGGGAATGGGGCCTCATCTCGCCTCTAGGGGGAAGTCTCATGGTTTTTCTCGAGTTGCGGCGGGGACCTGGGGTATGTTCTCGACTTACGGCGGGGATGGCCCTTCAAAACACGAGTTTCTTCAGTGACGTCAGGACTCCTGTCTAGTAACGAGGGACACCTCAGGAATCTCTTCGAGGCTTGGCAGGGCCAAAGGGACGCTTCTCGAGGTGAGGCAGGGCACCCAAGGACCCTTTCCAGTAGCCACAGGGATTTTGGGATTCCTATCAGTATTCAAGAGGAGTCAGGCATCGTCACCTTTTGAAGCAATGAACTCCGCGTGCCTCTCGAGGTGTCAGCGGGATGTGAGGCATTCCGTCAAAATGAGGCAGGGACCTAGGGCTTTCTCTAAGGTCTCCACAGGGGATTCAGACATCCCTTCATGTTGTGAGATGAAAGACGAGCCTGTATTCAAGCCACTGCAAGGAAATCCGGCCTCCTTTCAAGTTAGGGCTTCTCGCTGTATATTCCCCTTGAGGCAGCAAACTCGGGGTCCCTCCCACATACCTATTGCTGAGAGAAGCCTCCTCCTGAGGTGCTTCTGGGAAGTTGGCATACGTCTTGAACCTAAGCCAGGGAATCAGCTCGCATCTCGAGACGATTTGGGGTACACGGAGCATTCCTCGAGTTGCTGTGCTGAAGTTGCTGTTCCTCTAGACTTGGGACAGTGTTCTCGGGGCATCTCTGGAGTTGCCTGAAGGAAGTCGAGCCACCGGTCGTGTTGAATGGGGAACGGGGAATGGCTCTGGAGCCAATGCAGGGGAATCGGGCCTCATCTCGAGTTGATTTGGGGCACATGGAGCTGCTTTGCGTTGCTGGGGTGACCTCAGGGTCCGTCTAGACTGGTGACAGTGTTCTTGGGGACTGTCTCGAGATCCATTAAGCAAGTCGAAGCTCCTGACTTGTTTGAATGGGGTCACGGAATAGCTCTGCATGCACTGCAGGGGAATGGGGCCTCATCTCGCCTCTAGGGGGAAGTCTCATGGTTTTTCTCGAGTTGCGGCGGGGACCTGGGGTATGTTCTCGACTTACGGCGGGGATGGCCCTTCAAAACACGAGTTTCTTCAGTGACGTCAGGACTCCTGTCTAGTAACGAGGGACACCTCAGGAATCTCTTCGAGGCTTGGCAGGGCCAAAGGGACGCTTCTCGAGGTGAGGCAGGGCACCCAAGGACCCTTTCCAGTAGCCACAGGGATTTTGGGATTCCTATCAGTATTCAAGAGGAGTCAGGCATCGTCACCTTTTGAAGCAATGAACTCCGCGTGCCTCTCGAGGTGTCAGCGGGATGTGAGGCATTCCGTCAAAATGAGGCAGGGACCTAGGGTTTTCTCTAAGGTCTCCACAGGGGATTCAGACATCCCTTCATGTTGTGAGATGAAAGACGAGCCTGTATTCAAGCCACTGCAAGGAAATCCGGCCTCCTTTCAAGTTAGGGCTTCTCGCTGTATATTCCCCTTGAGGCAGCAAACTCGGGGTCCCTCCCACATACCTATTGCTGAGAGAAGCCTCCTCCTGAGGTGCTTCTGGGAAGTTGGCATACGTCTTGAGCCTAAGCCAGGGAATCTGCTCGCATCTCGAGACGATTTGGGGTTCACGGAGCATTCCTCGAGTTGCTGTGCTGAAGTTGGTGTTCCTCTAGACTTGGGACAGTGTTCTCGGGGCATCTCTGGAGTTGCCTGAAGGAAGTCGAGCCACCGGTCGTGTTGAATGGGGAACGGGGAATGGCTCTGGAGTCAATGCAGGGGAATCGGGCCTCATCTCGAGTTGATTTGGGGCACATGGAGCTGCTTTGCGTTGCTGGGGTGACCTCAGGGTCCGTCTAGACTGTTGACAGTGTTCTTGGGGACTGTCTCGAGATCCATTAAGCAAGTCGAAGCTCCTGACTTGTTTGAATGGGATCACGGAATAGCTCTGCATGCACTGCAGGGGAATGGGGCCTCATCTCGCCTCTAGGGGGAAGTCTCATGGTTTTTCTCGAGTTGCGGCGGGGACCTGGGGTATGTTCTCGACTTACGGCGGGGATGGCCCTTCAAAACACGAGTTTCTTCAGTGACGTCAGGACTCCTGTCTAGTAACGAGGGACACCTCAGGAATCTCTTCGAGGCTTGGCAGGGCCAAAGGGACGCTTCTCGAGGTGAGGCAGGGCACCCAAGGACCCTTTCCAGTAGCCACAGGGATTTTGGGATTCCTATCAGTATTCAAGAGGAGTCAGGCATCGTCACCTTTTGAAGCAATGAACTCCGCGTGCCTCTCGAGGTGTCAGCGGGATGTGAGGCATTCCGTCAAAATGAGGCAGGGACCTAGGGCTTTCTCTAAGGTCTCCACAGGGGATTCAGACATCCCTTCATGTTGTGAGATGAAAGACGAGACTGTATTCAAGCCACTGCAAGGAAATCCGGCCTCCTTTCAAGTTAGGGCTTCTCGCTGTATATTCCCCTTGAGGCAGCAAACTCGGGGTCCCTCCCACATACCTATTGCTGAGAGAAGCCTCCTCCTGAGGTGCTTCTGGGAAGTTGGCATAAGTCTTGAGCCTAAGCCAGGGAATCAGCTCGCATCTCGAGACGATTTGGGGTACACGGAGCATTCCTCGAGTTGCTGTGCTGAAGTTGGTGTTCCTCTAGACTTGGGACAGTGTTCTCGGGGCATCTCTGGAGTTGCCTGAAGGAAGTCGAGCCACCGGTCGTGTTGAATGGGGAACGGGGAATGGCTCTGGAGTCAATGCAGGGGAATCGGGCCTCATCTCGAGTTGATTTGGGGCACATGGAGCTGCTTTGCGTTGCTGGGGTGACCTCAGCGTCCGTCTAGACTGGTGACAGTGTTCTTGGGGACTGTCTCGAGATCCATTAAGCAAGTCGAAGCTCCTGACTTGTTTGAATGGGATCACGGAATAGCTCTGCATGCACTGCAGGGGAATGGGGCCTCATCTCGCCTCTAGGGGGAAGTCTCATGGTTTTTCTCGAGTTGCGGCGGGGACCTGGGGTATGTTCTCGACTTACAGCGGGGGTGGCCCTTCAAGACACGAGTTTCTTCAGTGACGTCAGGACTCCTGTCTAGTAACGAGGGACACCTCAGGAATCTCTTCGAGGCTTGGCAGGGCAAAAGGGACGCTTCTCGAGGTGAGGCAGGGCACCCAAGGACCCTTTCCAGTAGCCACAGGGATTTTGGGATTCCTATCAGTATTCAAGAGGAGTCAGGCATCGTCACCTTTTGAAGCAGTGAACTCCGCGTGCCTCTCGAGGTGTCAGCGGGATGTGAGGCATTCCGTCAAAATGAGGCAGGGACCTAGGGCTTTCTCTAAGGTCTCCACAGGGGATTCAGACATCCCTTCATGTTGTGAGATGAAAGACGAGCCTGTATTCAAGCCACTGCAAGGAAATCCGGCCTCCTTTCAAGTTAGGGCTTCTCGCTGTATATTCCCCTTGAGGCAGCAAACTCGGGGTCCCTCCCACATACCTATTGCTGAGAGAAGCCTCCTCCTGAGGTGCTTCTGGGAAGTTGGCATACGTCTTGAGCCTAAGCCAGGGAATCAGCTCGCATCTCGAGACGATTTGGGGTACACGGAGCATTCCTCGAGTTGCTGTGCTGAAGTTGGTGTTCCTCTAGACTTGGGACAGTGTTCTCGGGGCATCTCTGGAGTTGCCTGAAGGAAGTCGAGCCACCGGTCGTGTTGAATGGGGAACGGGGAATGGCTCTGGAGTCAATGCAGGGGAATCGGGCCTCATCTCGAGTTGATTTGGGGCACATGGAGCTGCTTTGCGTTGCTGGGGTGACCTCAGGGTCCGTCTAGACTGGTGACAGTGTTCTTGGGGACTGTCTCGAGATCCATTAAGCAAGTCGAAGCTCCTGACTTGTTTGAATGGGGTCACGGAATAGCTCTGCATGCACTGCAGGGGAATGGGGCCTCATCTCGCCTCTAGGGGGAAGTCTCATGGTTTTTCTCGAGTTGCGGCGGGGACCTGGGGTATGTTCTCGACTTACGGCGGGGATGGCCCTTCCAAACACGAGTTTCTTCAGTGACGTCAGGACTCCTGTCTAGTAACGAGGGACACCTCAGGAATCTCTTCGAGGCTTGGCAGGGCCAAAGGGACGCTTCTCGAGGTGAGGCAGGGCAACCAAGGACCCTTTCCAGTAGCCACAGGGATTTTGGGATTCCTATCAGTATTCAAGAGGAGTCAGGCATCGTCACCTTTTGAAGCAGTGAACTCCGCGTGCCTCTCGAGGTGTCAGCGGGATGTGAGGCATTCCGTCAAAATGAGGCAGGGACCTAGGGCTTTCTCTAAGGTCTCCACAGGGGATTCAGACATCCCTTCATGTTGTGAGATGAAAGACGAGCCTGTATTCAAGCCACTGCAAGGAAATCCGGCCTCCTTTCAAGTTAGGGCTTCTCGCTGTATATTCCCCTTGAGGCAGCAAACTCGGGGTCCCTCCCACATACCTATTGCTGAGAGAAGCCTCCTCCTGAGGTGCTTCTGGGAAGTTGGCATACGTCTTGAGCCTAAGCCAGGGAATCAGCTCGCATCTCGAGACGATTTGGGGTAGACGGAGCATTCCTCGAGTTGCTGTGCTGAAGTTGGTGTTCCTCTAGACTTGGGACAGTGTTCTCGGGGCATCTCTGGAGTTGCCTGAAGGAAGTCGAGCCACCGGTCGTGTTGAATGGGGAACGGGGAATGGCTCTGGAGTCAATGCAGGGGAATCGGGCCTCATCTCGAGTTGATTTGGGGCACATGGAGCTGCTTTGCGTTGCTGGGGTGACCTCAGGGTCCGTCTAGACTGGTGACAGTGTTCTTGGGGACTGTCTCGAGATCCATTAAGCAAGTCGAAGCTCCTGACTTGTTTGAATGGGGTCACGGAATAGCTCTGCATGCACTGCAGGGGAATGGGGCCTCATCTCGCCTCTAGGGGGAAGTCTCATGGTTTTTCTCGAGTTGCGGCGGGGACCTGGGGTATGTTCTCGACTTACGGCGGGGATGGCCCTTCCAAACACGAGTTTCTTCAGTGACGTCAGGACTCCTGTCTAGTAACGAGGGACACCTCAGGAATCTCTTCGAGGCTTGGCAGGGCCAAAGGGACGCTTCTCGAGGTGAGGCAGGGCACCCAAGGACCCTTTCCAGTAGCCACAGGGATTTTGGGATTCCTATCAGTATTCAAGAGGAGTCAGGCATCGTCACCTTTTGAAGCAATGAACTCCGCGTGCCTCTCGAGGTGTCAGCGGGATGTGAGGCATTCCGTCAAAATGAGGCAGGGACCTAGGGCTTTCTCTAAGGTCTCCACAGGGGATTCAGACATCCCTTCATGTTGTGAGATGAAAGACGAGCCTGTATTGAAGCCACTGCAAGGAAATCCGGCCTCCTTTCAAGTTAGGGCTTCTCGCTGTATATTCCCCTTGAGGCAGCAAACTCGGGGTCCCTCCCCCATACCTATTGCTGAGAGAAGCCTCCTCCTGAGGTGCTTCTGGGAAGTTGGCATACGTCTTGAGCCTAAGGCAGCGAATCAGCTCGCATCTCGAGACGATTTGGGGTACACGGAGCATTCCTCGAGTTGCTCTGCTGAAGTTGCTGTTCCTCTAGACTTGGGACAGTGTTCTCGGGGCATCTCTGGAGTTGCCTGAAGGAAGTCGAGCCACCGGTCGTGTTGAATGGGGAATGGGGAATGGCTCTGGAGTCAATGCAGGGGAATCGGGCCTCATCTCGAGTTGATTTGGGGCACATGGAGCTGCTTTGCGTTGCTGGGGTGACCTCAGCGTCCGTCTAGACTGGTGACAGTGTTCTTGGGGACTGTCTCGAGATCCATTAAGCAAGTCGAAGCTCCTGACTTGTTTGAATGGGATCACGGAATAGCTCTGCATGCACTGCAGGGGAATGGGGCCTCATCTCGCCTCTAGGGGGAAGTCTCATGGTTTTTCTCGAGTTGCGGCGGGGACCTGGGGTATGTTCTCGACTTACGGCGGGGGTGGCCCTTCAAAACACGAGTTTCTTCAGTGACGTCAGGACTCCTGTCTAGTAACGAGGGACACCTCAGGAATCTCTTCGAGGCTTGGCAGGGCAAAAGGGACGCTTCTCGAGGTGAGGCAGGGCACCCAAGGACCCTTTCCAGTAGCCACAGGGATTTTGGGATTCCTATCAGTATTCAAGAGGAGTCAGGCATCGTCACCTTTTGAAGCAGTGAACTCCGCGTGCCTCTCGAGGTGTCAGCGGGATGTGAGGCATTCCGTCAAAATGAGGCAGGGACCTAGGGCTTTCTCTAAGGTCTCCACAGGGGATTCAGACATCCCTTCATGTTGTGAGATGAAAGACGAGCCTGTATTCAAGCCACTGCAAGGAAATCCGGCCTCCTTTCAAGTTAGGGCTTCTCGCTGTATATTCCCCTTGAGGCAGCAAACTCGGGGTCCCTCCCACATACCTATTGCTGAGAGAAGCCTCCTCCTGAGGTGCTTCTGGGAAGTTGGCATACGTCTTGAGCCTAAGCCAGGGAATCAGCTCGCATCTCGAGACGATTTGGGGTAGACGGAGCATTCCTCGAGTTGCTGTGCTGAAGTTGGTGTTCCTCTAGACTTGGGACAGTGTTCTCGGGGCATCTCTGGAGTTGCCTGAAGGAAGTCGAGCCACCGGTCGTGTTGAATGGGGAACGGGGAATGGCTCTGGAGTCAATGCAGGGGAATCGGGCCTCATCTCGAGTTGATTTGGGGCACATGGAGCTGCTTTGCGTTGCTGGGGTGACCTCAGGGTCCGTCTAGACTGGTGACAGTGTTCTTGGGGACTGTCTCGAGATCCATTAAGCAAGTCGAAGCTCCTGACTTGTTTGAATGGGATCACGGAATAGCTCTGCATGCACTGCAGGGGAATGGGGCCTCATCTCGCCTCTAGGGGGAAGTCTCATGGTTTTTCTCGAGTTGCGGCGGGGACATGGGGTATGTTCTCGACTTACGGCGGGGATGGCCCTTCAAAACACGAGTTTCTTCAGTGACGTCAGGACTCCTGTCTAGTAACGAGGGACACCTCAGGAATCTCTTCGAGGCTTGGCAGGGCCAAAGGGACGCTTCTCGAGGTGAGGCAGGGCACCCAAGGACCCTTTCCAGTAGCCACAGGGATTTTGGGATTCCTATCAGTATTCAAGAGGAGTCAGGCATCGTCACCTTTTGAAGCAATGAACTCCGCGTGCCTCTCGAGGTGTCAGCGGGATGTGAGGCATTCCGTCAAAATGAGGCAGGGACCTAGGGCTTTCTCTAAGGTCTCCACAGGGGATTCAGACATCCCTTCATGTTGTGAGATGAAAGACGAGCCTGTATTCAAGCCACTGCAAGGAAATCCGGCCTCCTTTCAAGTTAGGGCTTCTCGCTGTATATTCCCCTTGAGGCAGCAAACTCGGGGTCCCTCCCACATACCTATTGCTGAGAGAAGCCTCCTCCTGAGGTGCTTCTGGGAAGTTGGCATACGTCTTGAGCCTAAGCCAGAGAATCAGCTCGCATCTCGAGACGATTTGGGGTACACGGAGCATTCCTCGAGTTGCTGTGCTGAAGTTGGTGTTCCTCTAGACTTGGGACAGTGTTCTCGGGGCATCTCTGGAGTTGCCTGAAGGAAGTCGAGCCACCGGTCGTGTTGAATGGGGAACGGGGAATGGCTCTGGAGTCAATGCAGGGGAATCGGGCCTCATCTCGAGTTGATTGGGGGCACATGGAGCTGCTTTGCATTGCTGGGGTGACCTCAGGGTCCGTCTAGACTGGTGACAGTGTTCTTGGGGACTGTCTCGAGATCCATTAAGCAAGTCGAAGCTCCTGACTTGTTTGAATGGGGTCACGGAATAGCTCTGCATGCACTGCAGGGGAATGGGGCCTCATCTCGCCTCTAGGGGGAAGTCTCATGGTTTTTCTCGAGTTGCGGCGGGGACCTGGGGTATGTTCTCGACTTACGGCGGGGATGGCCCTTCAAAACACGAGTTTCTTCAGTGACGTCAGGACTCCTGTCTAGTAACGAGGGACACCTCAGGAATCTCTTCGAGGCTTGGCAGGGCCAAAGGGACGCTTCTCGAGGTGAGGCAGGGCACCCAAGGACCCTTTCCAGTAGCCACAGGGATTTTGGGATTCCTATCAGTATTCAAGAGGAGTCAGGCATCGTCACCTTTTGAAGCAATGAACTCCGCGTGCCTCTCGAGGTGTCAGCGGGATGTGAGGCATTCCGTCAAAATGAGGCAGGGACCTAGGGCTTTCTCTAAGGTCTCCACAGGGGATTCAGACATCCCTTCATGTTGTGAGATGAAAGACGAGCCTGTATTCAAGCCACTGCAAGGAAATCCGGCCTCCTTTCAAGTTAGGGCTTCTCGCTGTATATTCCCCTTGAGGCAGCAAACTCGGGGTCCCTCCCACATACCTATTGCTGAGAGAAGCCTCCTCCTGAGGTGCGTCTTGAAAGTTGGCATACGTCTTGAGCCTAAGCCAGGGAATCAGCTCGCATCTCGAGACGATTTGGGGTACACGGAGCATTCCTCGAGTTTCTGTGCTGAAGTTGGTGTTCCTCTAGACTTGGGACAGTGTTCTCGGGGCATCTCTGGAGTTGCCTGAAGGAAGTCGAGCCACCGGTCGTGTTGAATGGGGAACGGGGAATGGCTCTGGAGTCAATGCAGGGGAATCGGGCCTCATCTCGAGTTGATTTGGGGCACATGGAGCTGCTTTGCGTTGCTGGGGTGACCTCAGGGTCCGTCTAGACTGGTGACAGTGTTCTTGGGGACTGTCTCGAGATCCATTAAGCAAGTCGAAGCTCCTGACTTGTTTGAATGGGGTCACGGAATAGCTCTGCATGCACTGCAGGGGAATGGGGCCTCATCTCGCCTCTAGGGGGAAGTCTCATGGTTTTTCTCGAGTTGCGGCGGGGACCTGGGGTATGTTCTCGACTTACGGCGGGGGTGGCCCTTCAAAACACGAGTTTCTTCAGTGACGTCAGGACTCCTGTCTAGTAACGAGGGACACCTCAGGAATCTCTTCGAGGCTTGGCAGGGCAAAAGGGACGCTTCTCGAGGTGAGGCAGGGCACCCAAGGACCCTTTCCAGTAGCCACAGGGATTTTGGGATTCCTATCAGTATTCAAGAGGAGTCAGGCATCGTCACCTTTTGAAGCAATGAACTCCGCGTGCCTCTCGAGGTGTCAGCGGGATGTGAGGCATTCCGTCAAAATGAGGCAGGGACCTAGGGCTTTCTCTAAGGTCTCCACAGGGGATTCAGACATCCCTTCATGTTGTGAGATGAAAGACGAGCCTGTATTCAAGCCACTGCAAGGAAATCCGGCCTCCTTTCAAGTTAGGGCTTCTCGCTGTATATTCCCCTTGAGGCAGCAAACTCGGGGTCCCTCCCCCATACCTATTGCTGAGAGAAGCCTCCTCCTGAGGTGCTTCTGGGAAGTTGGCATACGTCTTGAGCCTAAGACAGCGAATCTGCTCGCATCTCGAGACGATTTGGGGTACACGGAGCATTCCTCGAGTTGCTGTGCTGAAGTTGCTGTTCCTCTAGACTTGGGACAGTGTTCTCGGGGCATCTCTGGAGTTGCCTGAAGGAAGTCGAGCCACCGGTCGTGTTGAATGGGGAACGGGGAATGGCTCTGGAGTCAATGCAGGGGAATCGGGCCTCATCTCGAGTTGATTTGGGGCACATGGAGCTGCTTTGCGTTGCTGGGGTGACCTCAGGGTCCGTCTAGACTGGTGACAGTGTTCTTGGGGACTGTCTCGAGATCCATTAAGCAAGTCGAAGTTCCTGACTTGTTTGAATGGGGTCACGGAATAGCTCTGCATGCACTGCAGGGGAATGGGGCCTCATCTCGCCTCTAGGGGGAAGTCTCATGGTTTTTCTCGAGTTGCGGCGGGGACCTGGGGTATGTTCTCGACTTACGGCGGGGATGGCCCTTCAAAACACGAGTTTCTTCAGTGACGTCAGGACTCCTGTCTAGTAACGAGGGACACCTCAGGAATCTCTTCGAGGCTTGGCAGGGCCAAAGGGACGCTTCTCGAGGTGAGGCAGGGCACCCAAGGACCCTTTCCAGTAGCCACAGGGATTTTGGGATTCCTATCAGTATTCAAGAGGAGTCAGGCATCGTCACCTTTTGAAGCAATGAACTCCGCGTGCCTCTCGAGGTGTCAGCGGGATGTGAGGCATTCCGTCAAAATGAGGCAGGGACCTAGGGCTTTCTCTAAGGTCTCCACAGGGGATTCAGACATCCCTTCATGTTGTGAGATGAAAGACGAGACTGTATTCAAGCCACTGCAAGGAAATCCGGCCTCCTTTCAAGTTAGGGCTTCTCGCTGTATATTCCCCTTGAGGCAGCAAACTCGGGGTCCTTCCCACATACCTATTGCTGAGAGAAGCCTCCTCCTGAGGTGCTTCTGGGAAGTTGGCATACGTCTTGAGCCTAAGCCAGGGAATCAGCTCGCATCTCGAGACGATTTGGGGTACACGGAGCATTCCTCGAGTTGCTGTGCTGAAGTTGGTGTTCCTCTAGACTTGGGACAGTGTTCTCGGGGCATCTCTGGAGTTGCCTGAAGGAAGTCGAGCCACCGGTCGTGTTGAATGGGGAACGGGGAATGGCTCTGGAGTCAATGCAGGGGAATCGGGCCTCATCTCGAGTTGATTTGGGGCACATGGAGCTGCTTTGCGTTGCTGGGGTGACCTCAGCGTCCGTCTAGACTGGTGACAGTGTTCTTGGGGACTGTCTCGAGATCCATTAAGCAAGTCGAAGCTCCTGACTTGTTTGAATGGGATCACGGAATAGCTCTGCATGCACTGCAGGGGAATGGGGCCTCATCTCGCCTCTAGGGGGAAGTCTCATGGTTTTTCTCGAGTTGCGGCGGGGACCTGGGGTATGTTCTCGACTTACGGCGGGGGTGGCCCTTCAAGACACGAGTTTCTTCAGTGACGTCAGGACTCCTGTCTAGTAACGAGGGACACCTCCGGAATCTCTTCGAGGCTTGGCAGGGCAAAAGGGACGCTTCTCGAGGTGAGGCAGGGCACCCAAGGACCCTTTCCAGTAGCCACAGGGATTTTGGGATTCCTATCAGTATTCAAGAGGAGTCAGGCATCGTCACCTTTTGAAGCAGTGAACTCCGCGTGCCTCTCGAGGTGTCAGCGGGATGTGAGGCATTCCGTCAAAATGAGGCAGGGACCTAGGGCTTTCTCTAAGGTCTCCACAGGGGATTCAGACATCCCTTCATGTTGTGAGATGAAAGACGAGCCTGTATTCAAGCCACTGCAAGGAAATCCGGCCTCCTTTCAAGTTAGGGCTTCTCGCTGTATATTCCCCTTGAGGCAGCAAACTCGGGGTCCCTCCCACATACCTATTGCTGAGAGAAGCCTCCTCCTGAGGTGCTTCTGGGAAGTTGGCATACGTCTTGAGCCTAAGCCAGGGAATCAGCTCGCATCTCGAGACGATTTGGGGTACACGGAGCATTCCTCGAGTTGCTGTGCTGAAGTTGGTGTTCCTCTAGACTTGGGACAGTGTTCTCGGGGCATCTCTGGAGTTGCCTGAAGGAAGTCGAGCCACCGGTCGTGTTGAATGGGGAACGGGGAATGGCTCTGGAGTCAATGCAGGGGAATCGGGCCTCATCTCGAGTTGATTTGGGGCACATGGAGCTGCTTTGCGTTGCTGGGGTGACCTCAGGGTCCGTCTAGACTGGTGACAGTGTTCTTGGGGACTGTCTCGAGATCCATTAAGCAAGTCGAAGCTCCTGACTTGTTTGAATGGGGTCACGGAATAGCTCTGCATGCACTGCAGGGGAATGGGGCCTCATCTCGCCTCTAGGGGGAAGTCTCATGGTTTTTCTCGAGTTGCGGCGGGGACCTGGGGTATGTTCTCGACTTACGGCGGGGATGGCCCTTCCAAACACGAGTTTCTTCAGTGACGTCAGGACTCCTGTCTAGTAACGAGGGACACCTCAGGAATCTCTTCGAGGCTTGGCAGGGCCAAAGGGACGCTTCTCGAGGTGAGGCAGGGCAACCAAGGACCCTTTCCAGTAGCCACAGGGATTTTGGGATTCCTATCAGTATTCAAGAGGAGTCAGGCATCGTCACCTTTTGAAGCAGTGAACTCCGCGTGCCTCTCGAGGTGTCAGCGGGATGTGAGGCATTCCGTCAAAATGAGGCAGGGACCTAGGGCTTTCTCTAAGGTCTCCACAGGGGATTCAGACATCCCTTCATGTTGTGAGATGAAAGACGAGCCTGTATTCAAGCCACTGCAAGGAAATCCGGCCTCCTTTCAAGTTAGGGCTTCTCGCTGTATATTCCCCTTGAGGCAGCAAACTCGGGGTCCCTCCCACATACCTATTGCTGAGAGAAGCCTCCTCCTGAGGTGCTTCTGGGAAGTTGGCATACGTCTTGAGCCTAAGCCAGGGAATCAGCTCGCATCTCGAGACGATTTGGGGTAGACGGAGCATTCCTCGAGTTGCTGTGCTGAAGTTGGTGTTCCTCTAGACTTGGGACAGTGTTCTCGGGGCATCTCTGGAGTTGCCTGAAGGAAGTCGAGCCACCGGTCGTGTTGAATGGGGAACGGGGAATGGCTCTGGAGTCAATGCAGGGGAATCGGGCCTCATCTCGAGTTGATTTGGGGCACATGGAGCTGCTTTGCGTTGCTGGGGTGACCTCAGGGTCCGTCTAGACTGGTGACAGTGTTCTTGGGGACTGTCTCGAGATCCATTAAGCAAGTCGAAGCTCCTGACTTGTTTGAATGGGGTCACGGAATAGCTCTGCATGCACTGCAGGGGAATGGGGCCTCATCTCGCCTCTAGGGGGAAGTCTCATGGTTTTTCTCGAGTTGCGGCGGGGACCTGGGGTATGTTCTCGACTTACGGCGGGGATGGCCCTTCCAAACACGAGTTTCTTCAGTGACGTCAGGACTCCTGTCTAGTAACGAGGGACACCTCAGGAATCTCTTCGAGGCTTGGCAGGGCCAAAGGGACGCTTCTCGAGGTGAGGCAGGGCACCCAAGGACCCTTTCCAGTAGCCACAGGGATTTTGGGATTCCTATCAGTATTCAAGAGGAGTCAGGCATCGTCACCTTTTGAAGCAATGAACTCCGCGTGCCTCTCGAGGTGTCAGCGGGATGTGAGGCATTCCGTCAAAATGAGGCAGGGACCTAGGGCTTTCTCTAAGGTCTCCACAGGGGATTCAGACATCCCTTCATGTTGTGAGATGAAAGACGAGCCTGTATTCAAGCCACTGCAAGGAAATCCGGCCTCCTTTCAAGTTAGGGCTTCTCGCTGTATATTCCCCTTGAGGCAGCAAACTCGGGGTCCCTCCCCCATACCTATTGCTGAGAGAAGCCTCCTCCTGAGGTGCTTCTGGGAAGTTGGCATACGTCTTGAGCCTAAGGCAGCTAATCTGCTCGCATCTCGAGACGATTTGGGGTACACGGAGCATTCCTCGAGTTGCTGTGCTGAAGTTGCTGTTCCTCTAGACTTGGGACAGTGTTCTCGGGGCATCTCTGGAGTTGCCTGAAGGAAGTCGAGCCACCGGTCGTGTTGAATGGGGAATGGGGAATGGCTCTGGAGTCAATGCAGGGGAATCGGGCCTCATCTCGAGTTGATTTGGGGCACATGGAGCTGCTTTGCGTTGCTGGGGTGACCTCAGCGTCCGTCTAGACTGGTGACAGTGTTCTTGGGGACTGTCTCGAGATCCATTAAGCAAGTCGAAGCTCCTGACTTGTTTGAATGGGATCACGGAATAGCTCTGCATGCACTGCAGGGGAATGGGGCCTCATCTCGCCTCTAGGGGGAAGTCTCATGGTTTTTCTCGAGTTGCGGCGGGGACCTGGGGTATGTTCTCGACTTACGGCGGGGGTGGCCCTTCAAAACACGAGTTTCTTCAGTGACGTCAGGACTCCTGTCTAGTAACGAGGGACACCTCAGGAATCTCTTCGAGGCTTGGCAGGGCAAAAGGGACGCTTCTCGAGGTGAGGCAGGGCACCCAAGGACCCTTTCCAGTAGCCACAGGGATTTTGGGATTCCTATCAGTATTCAAGAGGAGTCAGGCATCGTCACCTTTTGAAGCAGTGAACTCCGCGTGCCTCTCGAGGTGTCAGCGGGATGTGAGGCATTCCGTCAAAATGAGGCAGGGACCTAGGGCTTTCTCTAAGGTCTCCACAGGGGATTCAGACATCCCTTCATGTTGTGCGATGAAAGACGAGCCTGTATTCAAGCCACTGCAAGGAAATCCGGCCTCCTTTCAAGTTAGGGCTTCTCGCTGTATATTCCCCTTGAGGCAGCAAACTCGGGGTCCCTCCCACATACCTATTGCTGAGAGAAGCCTCCTCCTGAGGTGCTTCTGGGAAGTTGGCATACGTCTTGAGCCTAAGCCAGGGAATCAGCTCGCATCTCGAGACGATTTGGGGTAGACGGAGCATTCCTCGAGTTGCTGTGCTGAAGTTGGTGTTCCTCTAGACTTGGGACAGTGTTCTCGGGGCATCTCTGGAGTTGCCTGAAGGAAGTCGAGCCACCGGTCGTGTTGAATGGGGAACGGGGAATGGCTCTGGAGTCAATGCAGGGGAATCGGGCCTCATCTCGAGTTGATTTGGGGCACATGGAGCTGCTTTGCGTTGCTGGGGTGACCTCAGGGTCCGTCTAGACTGGTGACAGTGTTCTTGGGGACTGTCTCGAGATCCATTAAGCAAGTCGAAGCTCCTGACTTGTTTGAATGGGGTCACGGAATAGCTCTGCATGCACTGCAGGGGAATGGGGCCTCATCTCGCCTCTAGGGGGAAGTCTCATGGTTTTTCTCGAGTTGCGGCGGGGACCTGGGGTATGTTCTCGACTTACGGCGGGGATGGCCCTTCAAAACACGAGTTTCTTCAGTGACGTCAGGACTCCTGTCTAGTAACGAGGGACACCTCAGGAATCTCTTCGAGGCTTGGCAGGGCCAAAGGGACGCTTCTCGAGGTGAGGCAGGGCACCCAAGGACCCTTTCCAGTAGCCACAGGGATTTTGGGACTCCTATCAGTATTCAAGAGGAGTCAGGCATCGTCACCTTTTGAAGCAATGAACTCCACGTGCCTCTCGAGGTGTCAGCGGGATGTGAGGCATTCCGTCAAAATGAGGCAGGGACCTAGGGCTTTCTCTAAGGTCTCCACAGGGGATTCAGACATCCCTTCATGTTGTGAGATGAAAGACGAGCCTTTTTCAAGCCACTGCAAGGAAATCCGGCCTCCTTTCAAGTTAGGGCTTCTCGCTGTATATTCCCCTTGAGGCAGCAAACTCGGGGTCCCTCCCACATACCTATTGCTGAGAGAAGCCTCCTCCTGAGGTGCTTCTGGGAAGTTGGCATACGTCTTGAGCCTAAGCCAGGGAATCAGCTCGCATCTCGAGACGATTTGGGGTACACGGAGCATTCCTCGAGTTGCTGTGCTGAAGTTGGTGTTCCTCTAGACTTGGGACAGTGTTCTCGGGGCATCTCTGGAGTTGCCTGAAGGAAGTCGAGCCACCGGTCGTGTTGAATGGGGAACGGGGAATGGCTCTGGAGTCAATGCAGGGGAATCGGGCCTCATCTCGAGTTGATTTGGGGCACATGGAGCTGCTTTGCGTTGCTGGGGTGACCTCAGGGTCCGTCTAGACTGGTGACAGTGTTCTTGGGGACTGTCTCGAGATCCATTAAGCAAGTCGAAGCTCCTGACTTGTTTGAATGGGGTCACGGAATAGCTCTGCATGCACTGCAGGGGAATGGGGCCTCATCTCGCCTCTAGGGGGAAGTCTCATGGTTTTTCTCGAGTTGCGGCGGGGACCTGGGGTATGTTCTCGACTTACGGCGGGGATGGCCCTTCCAAACACGAGTTTCTTCAGTGACGTCAGGACTCCTGTCTAGTAACGAGGGACACCTCAGGAATCTCTTCGAGGCTTGGCAGGGCCAAAGGGACGCTTCTCGAGGTGAGGCAGGGCACCCAAGGACCCTTTCCAGTAGCCACAGGGATTTTGGGATTCCTATCAGTATTCAAGAGGAGTAAGGCATCGTCACCTTTTGAAGCAATGAACTCCGCGTGCCTCTCGAGGTGTCAGCGGGATGTGAGGCATTCCGTCAAAATGAGGCAGGGACCTAGGGCTTTCTCTAAGGTCTCCACAGGGGATTCAGACATCCCTTCATGTTGTGAGATGAAAGAGGAGCCTGTATTCAAGCCACTGCAAGGAAATCCGGCCTCCTTTCAAGTTAGGGCTTCTCGCTGTATATTCCCCTTGAGGCAGCAAACTCGGGGTCCCTCCCACATACCTATTGCTGAGAGAAGCCTCCTCCTGAGGTGCTTCTGGGAAGTTGGCATACGTCTTGAGCCTAAGCCAGGGAATCAGCTCGCATCTCGAGACGATTTGGGGTACACGGAGCATTCCTCGCGTTGCTGTGCTGAAGTTGGTGTTCCTCTAGACTTGGGACAGTGTTCTCGGGGCATCTCTGGAGTTGCCTGAAGGAAGTCGAGCCACCGGTCGTGTTGAATGGGGAACGGGGAATGGCTCTGGAGTCAATGCAGGGGAATCGGGCCTCATCTCGAGTTGATTTGGGGCACATGGAGCTGCTTTGCGTTGCTGGGGTGACCTCAGGGTCCGTCTAGACTGGTGACAGTGTTCTTGGGGACTGTCTCGAGATCCATTAAGCAAGTCGAAGCTCCTGACTTGTTTGAATGGGGTCACGGAATAGCTCTGCATGCACTGCAGGGGAATGGGGCCTCATCTCGCCTCTAGGGGGAAGTCTCATGGTTTTTCTCGAGTTGCGGCGGGGACCTGGGGTATGTTCTCGACTTACGGCGGGGGTGGCCCTTCAAAACACGAGTTTCTTCAGTGACGTCAGGACTCCTGTCTAGTAACGAGGGACACCTCAGGAATCTCTTCGAGGCTTGGCAGGGCAAAAGGGACGCTTCTCGAGGTGAGGCAGGGCACCCAAGGACCCTTTCCAGTAGCCACAGGGATTTTGGGATTCCTATCAGTATTCAAGAGGAGTCAGGCATCGTCACCTTTTGAAGCAATGAACTCCGCGTGCCTCTCGAGGTGTCAGCGGGATGTGAGGCATTCCGTCAAAATGAGGCAGGGACCTAGGGCTTTCTCTAAGGTCTCCACAGGGGATTCAGACATCCCTTCATGTTGTGAGATGAAAGACGAGCCTGTATTCAAGCCACTGCAAGGAAATCCGGCCTCCTTTCAAGTTAGGGCTTCTCGCTGTATATTCCCCTTGAGGCAGCAAACTCGGGGTCCCTCCCCCATACCTATTGCTGAGAGAAGCCTCCTCCTGAGGTGCTTCTGGGAAGTTGGCATACGTCTTGAGCCTAAGACAGCGAATCTGCTCGCATCTCGAGACGATTTGGGGTACACGGAGCATTCCTCGAGTTGCTGTGCTGAAGTTGCTGTTCCTCTAGACTTGGGACAGTGTTCTCGGGGCATCTCTGGAGTTGCCTGAAGGAAGTCGAGCCACCGGTCGTGTTGAATGGGGAACGGGGAATGGCTCTGGAGTCAATGCAGGGGAATCGGGCCTCATCTCGAGTTGATTTGGGGCACATGGAGCTGCTTTGCGTTGCTGGGGTGACCTCAGGGTCCGTCTAGACTGGTGACAGTGTTCTTGGGGACTGTCTCGAGATCCATTAAGCAAGTCGAAGCTCCTGACTTGTTTGAATGGGGTCACGGAATAGCTCTGCATGCACTGCAGGGGAATGGGGCCTCATCTCGCCTCTAGGGGGAAGTCTCATGGTTTTTCTCGAGTTGCGGCGGGGACCTGGGGTATGTTCTCGACTTACGGCGGGGATGGCCCTTCAAAACACGAGTTTCTTCAGTGACGTCAGGACTCCTGTCTAGTAACGAGGGACACCTCAGGAATCTCTTCGAGGCTTGGCAGGGCCAAAGGGACGCTTCTCGAGGTGAGGCAGGGCACCCAAGGACCCTTTCCAGTAGCCACAGGGATTTTGGGATTCCTATCAGTATTCAAGAGGAGTCAGGCATCGTCACCTTTTGAAGCAATGAACTCCGCGTGCCTCTCGAGGTGTCAGCGGGATGTGAGGCATTCCGTCAAAATGAGGCAGGGACCTAGGGCTTTCTCTAAGGTCTCCACAGGGGATTCAGACATCCCTTCATGTTGTGAGATGAAAGACGAGCCTGTATTCAAGCCACTGCAAGGAAATCCGGCCTCCTTTCAAGTTAGGGCTTCTCGCTGTATATTCCCCTTGAGGCAGCAAACTCGGGGTCCCTCCCACATACCTATTGCTGAGAGAAGCCTCCTCCTGAGGTGCTTCTGGGAAGTTGGCATACGTCTTGAGCCTAAGCCAGGGAATCAGCTCGCATCTCGAGACGATTTGGGGTACACGGAGCATTCCTCGAGTTGCTGTGCTGAAGTTGGTGTTCCTCTAGACTTGGGACAGTGTTCTCGGGGCATCTCTGGAGTTGCCTGAAGGAAGTCGAGCCACCGGTCGTGTTGAATGGGGAACGGGGAATGGCTCTGGAGTCAATGCAGGGGAATCGGGCCTCATCTCGAGTTGATTTGGGGCACATGGAGCTGCTTTGCGTTGCTGGGGTGACCTCAGGGTCCGTCTAGACTGGTGACAGTGTTCTTGGGGACTGTCTCGAGATCCATTAAGCAAGTCGAAGCTCCTGACTTGTTTGAATGGGATCACGGAATAGCTCTGCATGCACTGCAGGGGAATGGGGCCTCATCTCGCCTCTAGGGGGAAGTCTCATGGTTTTTCTCGAGTTGCGGCGGGGACCTGGGGTATGTTCTCGACTTACGGCGGGGATGGCCCTTCAAAACACGAGTTTCTTCAGTGACGTCAGGACTCCTGTCTAGTAACGAGGGACACCTCAGGAATCTCTTCGAGGCTTGGCAGGGCCAAAGGGACGCTTCTCGAGGTGAGGCAGGGCACCCAAGGACCCTTTCCAGTAGCCACAGGGATTTTGGGATTCTTATCAGTATTCAAGAGGAGTCAGGCATCGTCACCTTTTGAAGCAATGAACTCCGCGTGCCTCTCGAGGTGTCAGCGGGATGTGAGGCATTCCGTCAAAATGAGGCAGGGACCTAGGGCTTTCTCTAAGGTCTCCACAGGGGATTCAGACATCCCTTCATGTTGTGAGATGAAAGACGAGCCTGTATTCAAGCCACTGCAAGGAAATCCGGCCTCCTTTCAAGTTAGGGCTTCTCGCTGTATATTGAGGCAGCGAACTCGGGGTCCCTCCCACATACCTATTGCTGAGAGAAGCCTCCTCCTGAGGTGCTTCTGGGAAGTTGGCATACGTCTTGAGCCTAAGCCAGGGAATCAGCTCGCATCTCGAGACGATTTGGGGTACACGGAGCATTCCTCGAGTTGCTGTGCTGAAGTTGGTGTTCCTCTAGACTTGGGACAGTGTTCTCGGGGCATCTCTGGAGTTGCCTGAAGGAAGTCGAGCCACCGGTCGTGTTGAATGGGGAACGGGGAATGGCTCTGGAGTCAATGCAGGGGAATCGGGCCTCATCTCGAGTTGATTTGGGGCACATGGAGCTGCTTTGCGTTGCTGGGGTGACCTCAGGGTCCGTCTAGACTGGTGACAGTGTTCTTGGGGACTGTCTCGAGATCCATTAAGCAAGTCGAAGCTCCTGACTTGTTTGAATGGGATCACGGAATAGCTCTGCATGCACTGCAGGGGAATGGGGCCTCATCTCGCCTCTAGGGGGAAGTCTCATGGTTTTTCTCGAGTTGCGGCGGGGACCTGGGGTATGTTCTCGACTTACGGCGGGGATGGCCCTTCAAAACACGAGTTTCTTCAGTGACGTCAGGACTCCTGTCTAGTAACGAGGGACACCTCAGGAATCTCTTCGAGGCTTGGCAGGGCCAAAGGGACGCTTCTCGAGGTGAGGCAGGGCACCCAAGGACCCTTTCCAGTAGCCACAGGGATTTTGGGATTCCTATCAGTATTCAAGAGGAGTCAGGCATCGTCACCTTTTGAAGCAATGAACTCCGCGTGCCTCTCGAGGTGTCAGCGGGATGTGAGGCATTCCGTCAAAATGAGGCAGGGACCTAGGGCTTTCTCTAAGGTCTCCACAGGGGATTCAGACATCCCTTCATGTTGTGAGATGAAAGACGAGCCTGTATTCAAGCCACTGCAAGGAAATCCGGCCTCCTTTCAAGTTAGGGCTTCTCGCTGTATATTCCCCTTGAGGCAGCAAACTCGGGGTCCCTCCCCCATACCTATTGCTGAGAGAAGCCTCCTCCTGAGGTGCTTCTGGGAAGTTGGCATACGTCTTGAGCCTAAGACAGCGAATCTGCTCGCATCTCGAGACGATTTGGGGTACACGGAGCATTCCTCGAGTTGCTGTGCTGAAGTTGGTGTTCCTCTAGACTTGGGACAGTGTTCTCGGGGCATCTCTGGAGTTGCCTGAAGGAAGTCGAGCCACCGGTCGTGTTGAATGGGGAATGGGGAATGGCTCTGGAGTCAATGCAGGGGAATCGGGCCTCATCTCGAGTTGATTTGGGGCACATGGAGCTGCTTTGCGTTGCTGGGGTGACCTCAGGGTCCGTCTAGACTGGTGACAGTGTTCTTGGGGACTGTCTCGAGATCCATTAAGCAAGTCGAAGCTCCTGACTTGTTTGAATGGGGTCACGGAATAGCTCTGCATGCACTGCAGGGGAATGGGGCCTCATCTCGCCTCTAGGGGGAAGTCTCATGGTTTTTCTCGAGTTGCGGCGGGGACCTGGGGTATGTTCTCGACTTACGGCGGGGATGGCCCTTCAAAACACGAGTTTCTTCAGTGACGTCAGGACTCCTGTCTAGTAACGAGGGACACCTCAGGAATCTCTTCGAGGCTTGGCAGGGCCAAAGGGACGCTTCTCGAGGTGAGGCAGGGCACCCAAGGACCCTTTCCAGTAGCCACAGGGATTTTGGGATTCCTATCAGTATTCAAGAGGAGTCAGGCATCGTCACCTTTTGAAGCAATGAACTCCGCGTGCCTCTCGAGGTGTCAGCGGGATGTGAGGCATTCCGTCAAAATGAGGCAGGGACCTAGGGCTTTCTCTAAGGTCTCCACAGGGGATTCAGACATCCCTTCATGTTGTGAGATGAAAGACGAGCCTGTATTCAAGCCACTGCAAGGAAATCCGGCCTCCTTTCAAGTTAGGGCTTCTCGCTGTATATTCCCCTTGAGGCAGCAAACTCGGGGTCCCTCCCACATACCTATTGCTGAGAGAAGCCTCCTCCTGAGGTGCTTCTGGGAAGTTGGCATACGTCTTGAGCCTAAGCCAGGGAATCTGCTCGCATCTCGAGACGATTTGGGGTACACGGAGCATTCCTCGAGTTGCTGTGCTGAAGTTGGTGTTCCTCTAGACTTGGGACAGTGTTCTCGGGGCATCTCTGGAGTTGCCTGAAGGAAGTCGAGCCACCGGTCGTGTTGAATGGGGAACGGGGAATGGCTCTGGAGTCAATGCAGGGGAATCGGGCCTCATCTCGAGTTGATTTGGGGCACATGGAGCTGCTTTGCGTTGCTGGGGTGACCTCAGGGTCCGTCTAGACTGGTGACAGTGTTCTTGGGACTGTCTCGAGATCCATTAAGCAAGTCGAAGCTCCTGACTTGTTTGAATGGGATCACGGAATAGCTCTGCATGCACTGCAGGGGAATGGGGCCTCATCTCGCCTCTAGGGGGAAGTCTCATGGTTTTTCTCGAGTTGCGGCGGGGACCTGGGTTATGTTCTCGACTTACGGCGGGGATGGCCCTTCAAAACACGAGTTTCTTCAGTGACGTCAGGACTCCTGTCTAGTAACGAGGGACACCTCAGGAATCTCTTCGAGGCTTGGCAGGGCCAAAGGGACGCTTCTCGAGGTGAGGCAGGGCACCCAAGGACCCTTTCCAGTAGCCACAGGGATTTTGGGATTCCTATCAGTATTCAAGAGGAGTCAGGCATCGTCACCTTTTGAAGCAATGAACTCCGCGTGCCTCTCGAGGTGCCAGCGGGATGTGAGGCATTCCGTCAAAATGAGGTAGGGACCTAGGGCTTTCTCTAAGGTCTCCACAGGGGATTCAGACATCCCTTCATGTTGTGAGAGGAAAGACGAGCCTGTATTCAAGCCACTGCAAGGGAATCCGGCCTCCTTTCAAGTTAGGGCTTCTCGCTGTATATTCCCCTTGAGGCAGCAAACTCGGGGTCCCTCCCACATACCTATTGCTGAGAGAAGCCTCCTCCTGAGGTGCTTCTTGGAAGTTGGCATACGTCTTGAGCCTAAGCCAGGGAATCAGCTCGCATCTCGAGACGATTTGGGGTACACAGAGCATTCCTCGAGTTGCTGTGCTGAAGTTGGTGTTCCTCTAGACTTGGGACAGTGTTCTCGGGGCATCTCTGGAGTTGCCTGAAGGAAGTCGAGCCACCGGTCGTGTTGAATGGGGAACGGGGAATGGCTCTGGAGTCAATGCAGGGGAATCGGGCCTCATCTCGAGTTGATTTGGGGCACATGGAGCTGCTTTGCGTTGCTGGGGTGACCTCAGGGTCCGTCTAGACTGGTGACAGTGTTCTTGGGGACAGTCTCGAGATCCATTAAGCAAGTCGAAGCTCCTGACTTGTTTGAATGGGGTCACGGAATAGCTCTGCATGCACTGCAGGGGAATGGGGCCTCATCTCGCCTCTAGGGGGAAGTCTCATGGTTTTTCTCGAGTTGCGGCGGGGACCTGGGGTATGTTCTCGACTTACGGCGGGGATGGCCCTTCAAAACACGAGTTTCTTCAGTGACGTCAGGACTCCTGTCTAGTAACGAGGGACACCTCAGGAATCTCTTCGAGGCTTGGCAGGGCCAAAGGGACGCTTCTCGAGGTGAGGCAGGGCACCCAAGGACCCTTTCCAGTAGCCACAGGGATTTTGGGATTCCTATCAGTATTCAAGAGGAGTCAGGCATCGTCACCTTTTGAAGCAATGAACTCCGCGTGCCTCTCGAGGTGTCAGCGGGATGTGAGGCATTCCGTCAAAATGAGGCAGGGACCTTGGGCTTTCTCTAAGGTCTCCACAGGGGATTCAGACATCCCTTCATGTTGTGAGATGAAAGACGAGCCTGTATTCAAGCCACTGCAAGGAAATCCGGCCTCCTTTCAAGTTAGGGCTTCTCGCTGTATATTCCCCTTGAGGCAGCAAACTCGGGGTCCCTCCCACCTACCTATTGCTGAGAGAAGCCTCCTCCTGAGGTGCTTCTGGGAAGTTGGCATACGTCTTGAGCCTAAGCCAGGGAATCAGCTCGCATCTCGAGACGATTTGGGGTACACGGAGCATTCCTCGAGTTGCTGTGCTGAAGTTGGTGTTCCTCTAGACTTGGGACAGTGTTCTCGGGGCATCTCTGGAGTTGCCTGAAGGAAGTCGAGCCACCGGTCGTGTTGAATGGGGAACGGGGAATGGCTCTGGAGTCAATGCAGGGGAATCGGGCCTCATCTCGAGTTGATTTGGGGCACATGGAGCTGATTTGCGTTGCTGGGGTGACCTCAGGGTCCGTCTAGACTGGTGACAGTGTTCTTGGGGACTGTCTCGAGATCCATTAAGCAAGTCGAAGCTCCTGACTTGTTTGAATGGGATCACGGAATAGCTCTGCATGCACTGCAGGGGAATGGGGCCTCATCTCGCCTCTAGGGGGAAGTCTCATGGTTTTTCTCGAGTTGCGGCGGGGACCTGGGGTATGTTCTCGACTTACGGCGGGGATGGCCCTTCAAAACACGAGTTTCTTCAGTGACGTCAGGACTCCTGTCTAGTAACGAGGGACACCTCAGGAATCTCTTCGAGGCTTGGCAGGGCCAAAGGGACGCTTCTCGAGGTGAGGCAGGGCACCCAAGGACCCTTTCCAGTAGCCACAGGGATTTTGGGATTCCTATCAGTATTGAAGAGGAGTCAGGCATCGTCACCTTTTGAAGCAATGAACTCCGCGTGCCTCTCGAGGTGTCAGCGGGATGTGAGGCATTCCGTCAAAATGAGGCAGGGACCTAGGGCTTTCTCTAAGGTCTCCACAGGGGATTCAGACATCCCTTCATGTTGTGAGATGAAAGACGAGCCTGTATTCAAGCCACTGCAAGGAAATCCGGCCTCCTTTCAAGTTAGGGCTTCTCGCTGTATATTCCCCTTGAGGCAGCAAACTCGGGGTCCCTCCCACATACCTATTGCTGAGAGAAGCCTCCTCCTGAGGTGCTTCTGGGAAGTTGGCATACGTCTTGAGCCTAAGCCAGGGAATCAGCTCGCATCTCGAGATGATTTGGGGTACACGGAGCATTCCTCGAGTTGCTGTGCTGAAGTTGCTGTTCCTCTAGACTTGGGACAGTGTTCTCGGGGCATCTCTGGAGTTGCCTGAAGGAAGTCGAGCCACCGGTCGTGTTGAATGGGGAACGGGGAATGGCTCTGGAGTCAATGCAGGGGAATCGGGCCTCATCTCGAGTTGATTTGGGGCACATGGAGCTGCTTTGCGTTGCTGGGGTGACCTCAGGGTCCGTCTAGACTGGTGACAGTGTTCTTGGGGACTGTCTCGAGATCCATTAAGCAAGTCGAAGCTCCTGACTTGTTTGAATGGGATCACGGAATAGCTCTGCATGCATTGCAGGAGAATGGGGCCTCATCTCGCCTCTAGGGGGAAGTCTCATGGTTTTTCTCGAGTTGCGGCGGGGACCTGGGGTATGTTCTCGACTTACGGCGGGGATGGCCCTTCAAAACACGAGTTTCTTCAGTGACGTCAGGACTCCTGTCTAGTAACGAGGGACACCTCAGGAATCTCTTCGAGGCTTGGCAGGGCCAAAGGGACGCTTCTCGAGGTGAGGCAGGGCACCCAAGGACCCTTTCCAGTAGCCACAGGGATTTTGGGATTCCTATCAGTATTCAAGAGGAGTCAGGCATCGTCACCTTTTGAAGCAATGAACTCCGCGTGCCTCTCGAGGTGTCAGCGGGATGTGAGGCATTCCGTCAAAATGAGGCAGGGACCTAGGGCTTTCTCTAAGGTCTCCACAGGGGATTCAGACATCCCTTCATGTTGTGAGATGAAAGACGAGCCTGTATTCAAGCCACTGCAAGGAAATCCGGCCTCCTTTCAAGTTAGGGCTTCTCGCTGTATATTCCCCTTGAGGCAGCAAACTCGGGGTCCCTCCCACATACCTATGGCTGAGAGAAGCCTCCTCCTGAGGTGCTTCTGGGAAGTTGGCATACGTCTTGAGCCTAAGCCAGGGAATCAGCTCGCATTTCGAGACGATTTGGGGTACACGGAGCATTCCTCGAGTTGCTGTGCTGAAGTTGCTGTTCCTCTAGACTTGGGACAGTGTTCTCGGGGCATCTCTGGAGTTGCCTGAAGGAAGTCGAGCCACCGGTCGTGTTGAATGGGGAACGGGGAATGGCTCTGGAGTCAATGCAGGGGAATCAGGCCTCATCTCGAGTTGATTTGGGGCACATGGTGCTGCTTTGCGTTGCTGGGGTGACCTCAGGGTCCGTCTAGACTGGTGACAGTGTTCTTGGGGACTGTCTCGAGATCCATTAAGCAAGTCGAAGCTCCTGACTTGTTTGAATGTGGTCACGGAATAGCTCTGCATGCACTCCAGGGGAATGGGGCCTCATCTCGCCTCTAGGGGGAAGTCTCATGGTTTTTCTCGAGTTGCGGCGGGGACCTGGGGTATGTTCTCGACTTACGGCGGGGATGGCCCTTCAAAACACGAGTTTCTTCAGTGACGTCAGGACTCCTGTCTAGTAACGAGGGACACCTCAGGAATCTCTTCGAGGCTTGGCAGGGCAAAAGGGACGCTTCTCGAGGTGAGGCAGGGCACCCAAGGACCCTTTCCAGTAGCCACAGGGATTTTGGGATTCCTATCAGTATTCAAGAGGAGTCAGGCATCGTCACCTTTTGAAGCAATGAACTCCGCGTGCCTCTCGAGGTGTCAGCGGGATGTGAGGCATTCCGTCAAAATGAGGCAGGGACCTAGGGCTTTCTCTAAGGTCTCCACAGGGGATTCAGACATCCCTTCATGTTGTGAGATGAAAGACGAGCCTGTATTCAAGCCACTGCAAGGAAATCCGGCCTCCTTTCAAGTTAGGGCTTCTCGCTGTATATTCCCCTTGAGGCAGCAAACTCGGGGTCCCTCCCACATACCTATTGCTGAGAGAAGCCTCCTCCTGAGGTGCTTCTGGGAAGTTGGCATACGTCTTGAGCCTAAGCCAGGGAATCAGCTCGCATCTCGAGACGATTTGGGGTAGACGGAGCATTCCTCGAGTTGCTGTGCTGAAGTTGGTGTTCCTCTAGACTTGGGACAGTGTTCTCGGGGCATCTCTGGAGTTGCCTGAAGGAAGTCGAGCCACCGGTCGTGTTGAATGGGGAACGGGGAATGGCTCTGGAGTCAATGCAGGGGAATCGGGCCTCATCTCGAGTTGATTTGGGGCACATGGAGCTGCTTTGCGTTGCTGGGGTGACCTCAGGGTCCGTCTAGACTGGTGACAGTGTTCTTGGGGACTGTCTCGAGATCCATTAAGCAAGTCGAAGCTCCTGACTTGTTTCAATGGGATCACGGAATAGCTCTGCATGCACTGCAGGGGAATGGGGCCTCATCTCGCCTCTAGGGGGAAGTCTCATGGTTTTTCTCGAGTTGCGGCGGGGACCTGGGGTATGTTCTCGACTTACGGCGGGGATGGCCCTTCAAAACACGAGTTTCTTCAGTGACGTCAGGACTCCTGTCTAGTAACGAGGGACACCTCAGGAATCTCTTCGAGGCTTGGCAGGGCCAAAGGGACGCTTCTCGAAGTGAGGCAGGGCACCCAAGGACCCTTTCCAGTAGCCACAGGGATTTTGGGATTCTTATCAGTATTCAAGAGGAGTCAGGCATCGTCACCTTTTGAAGCAATGAACTCCGCGTGCCTCTCGAGGTGTCAGCGGGATGTGAGGCATTCCGTCAAAATGAAGCAGGGAACTAGGGCTTTCTCTAAGGTCTCCACAGGGGATTCAGACATCCCTTCATGTTGTGAGATGAAAGACGAGCCTGTATTCAAGCCACTGCAAGGAAATCCGGCCTCCTTTCAAGTTAGGGCTTCTCGCTGTATATTCCCCTTGAGGCAGCAAACTCGGGGTCCCTCCCACATACCTATTGCTGAGAGAAGCCTCCTCCTGAGGTGCTTCTGGGAAGTTGGCATACGTCTTGAGCCTAAGCCAGGGAATCAGCTCTCATCTCGAGACGATTTGAGGTACACGGAGCATTCCTCGAGTTGCTGTGCTGAAGTTGGTGTTCCTCTAGACTTGGGACAGTGTTCTCGGGGCATCTCTGGAGTTGCCTGAAGGAAGTCGAGCCACCGGTCGTGTTGAATGGGGAACGGGGAATGGCTCTGGAGTCAATGCAGGGGAATCGGGCCTCATCTCGAGTTGATTTGGGGCACATGGAGCTGCTTTGCATTGCTGGGGTGACCTCAGGGTCCGTCTAGACTGGTGACAGTGTTCTTGGGGACTGTCTCGAGATCCATTAAGCAAGTCGAAGCTCCTGACTTGTTTGAATGGGATCACGGAATAGCTCTGCATGCACTGCAGGGGAATGGGGCCTCATCTCGCCTCTAGGGGGAAGTCTCATGGTTTTTCTCGAGTTGCGGCGGGGACCTGGGGTATGTTCTCGACTTACGGCGGGGATGGCCCTTCAAAACACGAGTTTCTTCAGTGACGTCAGGAATCCTGTCTAGTAACGAGGGACACCTCAGGAATCTCTTCGAGGCTTGGCAGGGCCAAAGGGACGCTTCTCGAGGTGAGGCAGGGCACCCAAGGACCCTTTCCAGTAGCCACAGGGATTTTGGGATTCCTATCAGTATTCAAGAGGAGTCAGGCATCGTCACCTTTTGAAGCAATGAACTCCGCGTGCCTCTCGAGGTGTCAGCGGGATGTGAGGCATTCCGTCAAAATGAGGCAGGGACCTAGGGCTTTCTCTAAGGTCTCCACAGGGGATTCAGACATCCCTTCATGTTGTGAGATGAAAGACGAGCCTGTATTCAAGCCACTGCAAGGAAATCCGGCCTCCTTTCAAGTTAGGGCTTCTCGCTGTATATTCCCCTTGAGGCAGCAAACTCGGGGTCCCTCCCACATACCTATTGCTGAGAGAAGCCTCCTCCTGAGGTGCTTCTGGGAAGTTGGCATACGTCTTGAGCCTAAGCCAGGGAATCAGCTCGCATCTCGAGACGATTTGGGGTAGACGGAGCATTCCTCGAGTTGCTGTGCTGAAGTTGGTGTTCCTCTAGACTTGGGACAGTGTTCTCGGGGCATCTCTGGAGTTGCCTGAAGGAAGTCGAGCCACCGGTCGTGTTGAATGGGGAACGGGGAATGGCTCTGGAGTCAATGCAGGGGAATCGGGCCTCATCTCGAGTTGATTTGGGGCACATGGAGCTGCTTTGCGTTGCTGGGGTGACCTCAGGGTCCGTCTAGACTGGTGACAGTGTTCTTGGGGACTGTCTCGAGATCCATTAAGCAAGTCGAAGCTCCTGACTTGTTTGAATGGGATCACGGAATAGCTCTGCATGCACTGCAGGGGAATGGGGCCTCATCTCGCCTCTAGGGGGAAGTCTCATGGTTTTTCTCGAGTTGCGGCGGGGACCTGGGGTATGTTCTCGACTTACGGCGGGGATGGCCCTTCAAAACACGAGTTTCTTCAGTGACGTCAGGACTCCTGTCTAGTAACGAGGGACACCTCAGGAATCTCTTCGAGGCTTGGCAGGGCCAAAGGGACGCTTCTCGAGGTGAGGCAGGGCACCCAAGGACCCTTTCCAGTAGCCACAGGGATTTTGGGATTCCTATCAGTATTCAAGAGGAGTCAGGCATCGTCACCTTTTGAAGCAATGAACTCCGCGTGCCTCTCGAGGTGTCAGCGGGATGTGAGGCATTCCGTCAAAATGAGGCAGGGACCTAGGGCTTTCTCTAAGGTCTCCACAGGGGATTCAGACATCCCTTCATGTTGTGAGATGAAAGACGAGCCTGTATTCAAGCCACTGCAAGGAAATCCGGCCTCCTTTCAAGTTAGGGCTTCTCGCTGTATATTCCCCTTGAGGCAGCAAACTCGGGGTCCCTCCCACATACCTATTGCTGAGAGAAGCCTCCTCCTGAGGTGCTTCTGGGAAGTTGGCATACGTCTTGAGCCTAAGCCAGGGAATCAGCTCGCATCTCGAGACGATTTGGGGTACACGGAGCATTCCTCGAGTTGCTGTGCTGAAGTTGGTGTTCCTCTAGACTTGGGACAGTGTTCTCGGGGCATATCTGGAGTTGCCTGAAGGAAGTCGAGCCACCGGTCGTGTTGAATGGGGAACGGGGAATGGCTCTGGAGTCAATGCAGGGGAATCGGGCCTCATCTCGAGTTGATTTGGGGCACATGGAGTTGCTTTGCGTTGCTGGGGTGACCTCAGGGTCCGTCTAGACTGGTGACAGTGTTCTTGGGGACTGTCTCGAGATCCATTAAGCAAGTCGAAGCTCCTGACTTGTTTGAATGGGATCACGGAATAGCTCTGCATGCACTGCAGGGGAATGGAGCCTCATCTCGCCTCTAGGGGGAAGTCTCATGGTTTTTCTCGAGTTGCGGCGGGGACCTGGGGTATGTTCTCGACTTACGGCGGGGATGGCCCTTCAAAACACGAGTTTCTTCAGTGACGTCAGGACTTCTGTCTAGTAACGAGGGACACCTCAGGAATCTCTTCGAGGCTTGGCAGGGCCAAAGGGACGCTTCTCGAGGTGAGGCAGCGCACCCAAGGACCCTTTCCAGTAGCCACAGGGATTTTGGGATTCCTATCAGTATTCAAGAGGAGTCAGGCATCGTCACCTTTTGAAGCAATGAACTCCGCGTGCCTCTCGAGGTGTCAGCGGGATGTGAGGCATTCCGTCAAAATGAGGCAGGGACCTAGGGCTTTCTCTAAGGTCTGCACAGGGGATTCAGACATCCCTTCATGTTGTGAGATGAAAGACGAGCCTGTATTCAAGCCACTGCAAGGAAATCCGGCCTCCTTTCAAGTTAGGGCTTCTCGCTGTATATTCCCCTTGAGGCAGCAAACTCGGGGTCCCTCCCACATACCTATTGCTGAGAGAAGCCTCCTCCTGAGGTGCTTCTGGGAAGTTGGCATACGTCTTGAGCCTAAGCCAGGGAATCAGCTCTCATCTCGAGACGATTTGAGGTACACGGAGCATTCCTCGAGTTGCTGTGCTGAAGTTGGTGTTCCTCTAGACTTGGGACAGTGTTCTCGGGGCATCTCTGGAGTTGCCTGAAGGAAGTCGTGCCACCAGTCGTGTTGAATGGGGAACGGGGAATGGCTCTGGAGTCAATGCAGGGGAATCGGGCCTCATCTCGAGTTGATTTGGGGCACATGGAGCTGCTTTGCGTTGCTGGGGTGACCTCAGGGTCCGTCTAGACTGGTGACAGTGTTCTTGGGGACTGTCTCGAGATCCATTAAGCAAGTCGAAGCTCCTGACTTGTTTGAATGGGATCACGGAATAGCTCTGCATGCACTGCAGGGGAATGGAGCCTCATCTCGCCTCTAGGGGGAAGTCTCATGGTTTTTCTCGAGTTGCGGCGGGGACCTGGGGTATGTTCTCGACTTACGGCGGGGATGGCCCTTCAAAACACGAGTTTCTTCAGTGACGTCAGGACTTCTGTCTAGTAACGAGGGACACCTCAGGAATCTCTTCGAGGCTTGGCAGGGCCAAAGGGACGCTTCTCGAGGTGAGGCAGGGCACCCAAGGACCCTTTCCAGTAGCCACAGGGATTTTGGGATTCCTATCAGTATTCAAGAGGAGTCAGGCATCGTCACCTTTTGAAGCAATGAACTCCGCGTGCCTCTCGAGGTGTCAGCGGGATGTGAGGCATTCCGTCAAAATGAGGCAGGGACCTAGGGCTTTCTCTAAGGTCTCCACAGGGGATTCAGACATCCCTTCATGTTGTGAGATGAAAGACGAGCCTGTATTCAAGCCACTGCAAGGAAATCTGGCCTCCTTTCAAGTTAGGGCTTCTCGCTGTATATTCCCCTTGAAGCAGCAAACTCGGGGTCCCTCCCACATACCTATTGCTGAGAGAAGCCTCCTCCTGAGGTGCTTCTGGGAAGTTGGCATACGTCTTGAGCCTAAGCCAGGGAATCAGCTCGCATCTCGAGACGATTTGGGGTACACAGAGCATTCCTCGAGTTGCTGTGCTGAAGTTGGTGTTCCTCTAGACTTGGGACAGTGTTCTCGGGGCATCTCTGGAGTTGCCTGAAGGAAGTCGAGCCACCGGTCGTGTTGAATGGGGAACGGGGAATGGCTCTGGAGTCAATGCAGGGGAATCGGGCCTCATCTCGAGTTGATTTGGGGCACATGGAGCTGCTTTGCGTTGCTGGGGTGACCTCAGCGTCCGTCTAGACTGGTGACAGTGTTCTTGGGGACTGTCTCGAGATCCATTAAGCAAGTCGAAGCTCCTGACTTGTTTGAATGGGGTCACGGAATAGCTCTGCATGCACTGCAGGGGAATGGGGCCTCATCTCGCCTCTAGGGGGAAGTCTCATGGTTTTTCTCGAGTTGCGGCGGGGACCTGGGGTATGTTCTCGACTTACGGCGGGGATGGCCCTTCAAAACACGAGTTTCTTCAGTGACGTCAGGACTCCTGTCTAGTAACGAGGGACACCTCAGGAATCTCTTCGAGGCTTGGCAGGGCCAAAGGGACGCTTCTCGAGGTGAGGCAGGGCACCCAAGGACCCTTTCCAGTAGCCACAGGGATTTTGGGATTCCTATCAGTATTCAAGAGGAGTCAGGCATCGTCACCTTTTGAAGCAATGAACTCCGCGTGCCTCTCGAGGTGTCAGCGGGATGTGAGGCATTCCGTCAAAATGAGGCAGGGACCTAGGGCTTTCTCTAAGGTCTCCACAGGGGATTCAGACATCCCTTCATGTTGTGAGATGAAAGACGAGCCTGTATTCAAGCCACTGCAAGGAAATCCGGCCTCCTTTCAAGTTAGGGCTTCTCGCTGTATATTCCCCTTGAGGCAGCAAACTCGGGGTCCCTCCCACATACCTATTGCTGAGAGAAGCCTCCTCCTGAGGTGCTTCTGGGAAGTTGGCATACGTCTTGAGCCTAAGCCAGGGAATCAGCTCGCATCTCGAGACGATTTGGGGTACACGGAGCATTCCTCGAGTTGCTGTGCTGAAGTTGGTGTTCCTCTAGACTTGGGACAGTGTTCTCGGGGCATCTCTGGAGTTGCCTGAAGGAAGTCGAGCCACCGGTCGTGTTGAATGGGGAACGGGGAATGGCTCTGGAGTCAATGCAGGGGAATCGGGCCTCATCTCGATTTGATTTGGGGCACATGGAGCTGCTTTGCGTTGCTGGGGTGACCTCAGGGTCCGTCTAGACTGGTGACAGTGTTCTTGGGGACTGTCTCGAGATCCATTAAGCAAGTCGAAGCTCCTGACTTGTTTGAATGGGATCACGGAATAGCTCTGCATGCACTGCAGGGGAATGGGGCCTCATCTCGCCTCTAGGGGGAAGTCTCATGGTTTTTCTCGAGTTGCGGCGGGGACCTGGGGTATGTTCTCGACTTACGGCGGGGATGGCCCTTCAAAACACGAGTTTCTTCAGTGACGTCAGGACTCCTGTCTAGTAACGAGGGACACCTCAGGAATCTCTTCGAGGCTTGGCAGGGCCAAAGGGACGCTTCTCGAGGTGAGGCAGGGCACCCAAGGACCCTTTCCAGTAGCCACAGGGATTTTGGGATTCCTATCAGTATTCAAGAGGAGTCAGGCATCGTCACCTTTTGAAGCAATGAACTCCGCGTGCCTCTCGAGGTGTCAGCGGGATGTGAGGCATTCCGTCAAAATGAGGCAGGGCCCTAGGGCTTTCTCTAAGGTCTCCACAGGGGATTCAGACATCCCTTCATGTTGTGAGATGAAAGACGAGCCTGTATTCAAGCCACTGCAAGGAAATCCGGCCTCCTTTCAAGTTAGGGCTTCTCGCTGTATATTCCCCTTGAGGCAGCAAACTCGGGGTCCCTCCCACATACCTATTGCTGAGAGAAGCCTCCTCCTGAGGTGCTTCTGGGAAGTTGGCATACGTCTTGAGCCTAAGCCAGGGAATCAGCTCGCATCTCGAGACGATTTGGGGTACACAGAGCATTCCTCGAGTTGCTGTGCTGAAGTTGGTGTTCCTCTAGACTTGGGACAGTGTTCTCGGGGCATCTCTGGAGTTGCCTGAAGGAAGTCGAGCCACCGGTCGTGTTGAATGGGGAACGGGGAATGGCTCTGGAGTCAATGCATGGGAATCGGGCCTCATCTCGAGTTGATTTGGGGCACATGGAGCTGCTTTGCGTTGCTGGGGTGACCTCAGCGTCCGTCTAGACTGGTGACAGTGTTCTTGGGGACTGTCTCGAGATCCATTAAGCAAGTCGAAGCTCCTGACTTGTTTGAATGGGGTCACGGAATAGCTCTGCATGCACTGCAGGGGAATGGGGCCTCATCTCGCCTCTAGGGGGAAGTCTCATGGTTTTTCTCGAGTTGCGGCGGGGACCTGGGGTATGTTCTCGACTTACGGCGGGGATGGCCCTTCAAAACACGAGTTTCTTCAGTGACGTCAGGACTCCTGTCTAGTAACGAGGGACACCTCAGGAATCTCTTCGAGGCTTGGCAGGGCCAAAGGGACGCTTCTCGAGGTGAGGCAGGGCACCCAAGGACCCTTTCCAGTAGCCACAGGGATTTTGGGATTCCTATCAGTATTCAAGAGGAGTCAGGCATCGTCACCTTTTGAAGCAATGAACTCCGCGTGCCTCTCGAGGTGTCAGCGGGATGTGAGGCATTCCGTCAAAATGAGGCAGGGACCTAGGGCTTTCTCTAAGGTCTCCACAGGGGATTCAGACATCCCTTCATGTTGTGAGATGAAAGACGAGCCTGTATTCAAGCCACTGCAAGGAAATCCGGCCTCCTTTCAAGTTAGGGCTTCTCGCTGTATATTCCCCTTGAGGCAGCAAACTCGGGGTCCCTCCCACATACCTATTGCTGAGAGAAGCCTCCTCCTGAGGTGCTTCTGGGAAGTTGGCATACGTCTTGAGCCTAAGCCAGGGAATCAGCTCGCATCTCGAGACGATTTGGGGTACACGGAGCATTCCTCGAGTTGCTGTGCTGAAGTTGGTGTTCCTCTAGACTTGGGACAGTGTTCTCGGGGCATCTCTGGAGTTGCCTGAAGGAAGTCGAGCCACCGGTCGTGTTGAATGGGGAACGGGGAATGGCTCTGGAGTCAATGCAGGGGAATCGGGCCTCATCTCGATTTGATTTGGGGCACATGGAGCTGCTTTGCGTTGCTGGGGTGACCTCAGGGTCCGTCTAGACTGGTGACAGTGTTCTTGGGGACTGTCTCGAGATCCATTAAGCAAGTCGAAGCTCCTGACTTGTTTGAATGGGATCACGGAATAGCTCTGCATGCACTGCAGGGGAATGGGGCCTCATCTCGCCTCTAGGGGGAAGTCTCATGGTTTTTCTCGAGTTGCGGCGGGGACCTGGGGTATGTTCTCGACTTACGGCGGGGATGGCCCTTCAAAACACGAGTTTCTTCAGTGACGTCAGGACTCCTGTCTAGTAACGAGGGACACCTCAGGAATCTCTTCGAGGCTTGGCAGGGCCAAAGGGACGCTTCTCGAGGTGAGGCAGGGCACCCAAGGACCCTTTCCAGTAGCCACAGGGATTTTGGGATTCCTATCAGTATTCAAGAGGAGTCAGGCATCGTCACCTTTTGAAGCAATGAACTCCGCGTGCCTCTCGAGGTGTCAGCGGGATGTGAGGCATTCCGTCAAAATGAGGCAGGGCCCTAGGGCTTTCTCTAAGGTCTCCACAGGGGATTCAGACATCCCTTCATGTTGTGAGATGAAAGACGAGCCTGTATTCAAGCCACTGCAAGGAAATCCGGCCTCCTTTCAAGTTAGGGCTTCTCGCTGTATATTCCCCTTGAGGCAGCAAACTCGGGGTCCCTCCCACATACCTATTGCTGAGAGAAGCCTCCTCCTGAGGTGCTTCTGGGAAGTTGGCATACGTCTTGAGCCTAAGCCAGGGAATCAGCTCGCATCTCGAGTCGATTTGGGGTACACGGAGCATTCCTCGAGTTGCTGTGCTGAAGTTGGTGTTCCTCTAGACTTGGGACAGTGTTCTCGGGGCATCTCTGGAGTTGCCTGAAGGAAGTCGAGCCACCGGTCGTGTTGAATGGGGAACGGGGAATGGCTCTGGAGTCAATGCAGGGGAATCGGGCCTCATCTCGAGTTGATTTGGGGCACATGGAGCTGCTTTGCGTTGCTGGGGTGACCTCAGGGTCCGTCTAGACTGGTGACAGTGTTCTTGGGGACTGTCTCGAGATCCATTAAGCAAGTCGAAGCTCCTGACTTGTTTGAATGGGATCACGGAATAGCTCTGCATGCACTGCAGGGGAATGGGGCCTCATCTCGCCTCTAGGGGGAAGTCTCATGGTTTTTCTCGAGTTGCGGCGGGGACCTGGGGTATGTTCTCGACTTACGGCGGGGATGGCCCTTCAAAACACGAGTTTCTTCAGTGACGTCAGGACTCCTGTCTAGTAACGAGGGACACCTCAGGAATCTCTTCGAGGCTTGGCAGGGCCAAAGGGACGCTTCTCGAGGTGAGGCAGGGCACCCAAGGACCCTTTCCAGTAGCCACAGGGATTTTGGGATTCCTATCAGTATTCAAGAGGAGTCAGGCATCGTCACCTTTTGAAGCAATGAACTCCGCGTGCCTCTCGAGGTGTCAGCGGGATGTGAGGCATTCCGTCAAAATGAGGCAGGGACCTAGGGCTTTCTCTAAGGTCTCCACAGGGGATTCAGACATCCCTTCATGTTGTGAGATGAAAGACGAGCCTGTATTCAAGCCACTGCAAGGAAATCCGGCCTCCTTTCAAGTTAGGGCTTCTCGCTGTATATTCCCCTTGAGGCAGCAAACTCGGGGTCCCTCCCACATACCTATTGCTGAGAGAAGCCTCCTCCTGAGGTGCTTCTGGGAAGTTGGCATACGTCTTGAGCCTAAGCCAGGGAATCAGCTCGCATCTCGAGACGATTTGGGGTACACAGAGCATTCCTCGAGTTGCTGTGCTGAAGTTGGTGTTCCTCTAGACTTGGGACAGTGTTCTCGGGGCATCTCTGGAGTTGCCTGAAGGAAGTCGAGCCACCGGTCGTGTTGAATGGGGAACGGGGAATGGCTCTGGAGTCAATGCAGGGGAATCGGGCCTCATCTCGAGTTGATTTGGGGCACATGGAGCTGCTTTGCGTTGCTGGGGTGACCTCAGCGTCCGTCTAGACTGGTGACAGTGTTCTTGGGGACTGTCTCGAGATCCATTAAGCAAGTCGAAGCTCCTGACTTGCTTGAATGGGGTCACGGAATAGCTCTGCATGCACTGCAGGGGAATGGGGCCTCATCTCGCCTCTAGGGGGAAGTCTCATGGTTTTTCTCGAGTTGCGGCGGGGACCTGGGGTATGTTCTCGACTTACGGCGGGGATGGCCCTTCAAAACACGAGTTTCTTCAGTGACGTCAGGACTCCTGTCTAGTAACGAGGGACACCTCAGGAATCTCTTCGAGGCTTGGCAGGGCCAAAGGGACGCTTCTCGAGGTGAGGCAGGGCACCCAAGGACCCTTTCCAGTAGCCACAGGGATTTTGGGATTCCTATCAGTATTCAAGAGGAGTCAGGCATCGTCACCTTTTGAAGCAATGAACTCCGCGTGCCTCTCGAGGTGTCAGCGGGATGTGAGGCATTCCGTCAAAATGAGGCAGGGACCTAGGGCTTTCTCTAAGGTCTCCACAGGGGATTCAGACATCCCTTCATGTTGTGAGATGAAAGACGAGCCTGTATTCAAGCCACTGCAAGGAAATCCGGCCTCCTTTCAAGTTAGGGCTTCTCGCTGTATATTCCCCTTGAGGCAGCAAACTCGGGGTCCCTCCCACATACCTATTGCTGAGAGAAGCCTCCTCCTGAGGTGCTTCTGGGAAGTTGGCATACGTCTTGAGCCTAAGCCAGGGAATCAGCTCGCATCTCGAGACGATTTGGGGTACACGGAGCATTCCTCGAGTTGCTGTGCTGAAGTTGGTGTTCCTCTAGACTTGGGACAGTGTTCTCGGGGCATCTCTGGAGTTGCCTGAAGGAAGTCGAGCCACCGGTCGTGTTGAATGGGGAACGGGGAATGGCTCTGGAGTCAATGCAGGGGAATCGGGCCTCATCTCGATTTGATTTGGGGCACATGGAGCTGCTTTGCGTTGCTGGGGTGACCTCAGGGTCCGTCTAGACTGGTGACAGTGTTCTTGGGGACTGTCTCGAGATCCATTAAGCAAGTCGAAGCTCCTGACTTGTTTGAATGGGATCACGGAATAGCTCTGCATGCACTGCAGGGGAATGGGGCCTCATCTCGCCTCTAGGGGGAAGTCTCATGGTTTTTCTCGAGTTGCGGCGGGGACCTGGGGTATGTTCTCGACTTACGGCGGGGATGGCCCTTCAAAACACGAGTTTCTTCAGTGACGTCAGGACTCCTGTCTAGTAACGAGGGACACCTCAGGAATCTCTTCGAGGCTTGGCAGGGCCAAAGGGACGCTTCTCGAGGTGAGGCAGGGCACCCAAGGACCCTTTCCAGTAGCCACAGGGATTTTGGGATTCCTATCAGTATTCAAGAGGAGTCAGGCATCGTCACCTTTTGAAGCAATGAACTCCGCGTGCCTCTCGAGGTGTCAGCGGGATGTGAGGCATTCCGTCAAAATGAGGCAGGGCCCTAGGGCTTTCTCTAAGGTCTCCACAGGGGATTCAGACATCCCTTCATGTTGTGAGATGAAAGACGAGCCTGTATTCAAGCCACTGCAAGGAAATCCGGCCTCCTTTCAAGTTAGGGCTTCTCGCTGTATATTCCCCTTGAGGCAGCAAACTCGGGGTCCCTCCCACATACCTATTGCTGAGAGAAGCCTCCTCCTGAGGTGCTTCTGGGAAGTTGGCATACGTCTTGAGCCTAAGCCAGGGAATCAGCTCGCATCTCGAGACGATTTGGGGTACACAGAGCATTCCTCGAGTTGCTGTGCTGAAGTTGGTGTTCCTCTAGACTTGGGACAGTGTTCTCGGGGCATCTCTGGAGTTGCCTGAAGGAAGTCGAGCCACCGGTCGTGTTGAATGGGGAACGGGGAATGGCTCTGGAGTCAATGCAGGGGAATCGGGCCTCATCTCGAGTTGATTTGGGGCACATGGAGCTGCTTTGCGTTGCTGGGGTGACCTCAGCGTCCGTCTAGACTGGTGACAGTGTTCTTGGGGACTGTCTCGAGATCCATTAAGCAAGTCGAAGCTCCTGACTTGTTTGAATGGGGTCACGGAATAGCTCTGCATGCACTTCAGGGGAATGGGGCCTCATCTCGCCTCTAGGGGGAAGTCTCATGGTTTTTCTCGAGTTGCGGCGGGGACCTGGGGTATGTTCTCGACTTACGGCGGGGATGGCCCTTCAAAACACGAGTTTCTTCAGTGACGTCAGGACTCCTGTCTAGTAACGAGGGACACCTCAGGAATCTCTTCGAGGCTTGGCAGGGCCAAAGGGACGCTTCTCGAGGTGAGGCAGGGCACCCAAGGACCCTTTCCAGTAGCCACAGGGATTTTGGGATTCCTATCAGTATTCAAGAGGAGTCAGGCATCGTCACCTTTTGAAGCAATGAACTCCGCGTGCCTCTCGAGGTGTCAGCGGGATGTGAGGCATTCCGTCAAAATGAGGCAGGGACCTAGGGCTTTCTCTAAGGTCTCCACAGGGGATTCAGACATCCCTTCATGTTGTGAGATGAAAGACGAGCCTGTATTCAAGCCACTGCAAGGAAATCCGGCCTCCTTTCAAGTTAGGGCTTCTCGCTGTATATTCCCCTTGAGGCAGCAAACTCGGGGTCCCTCCCACATACCTATTGCTGAGAGAAGCCTCCTCCTGAGGTGCTTCTGGGAAGTTGGCATACGTCTTGAGCCTAAGCCAGGGAATCAGCTCGCATCTCGAGACGATTTGGGGTACACGGAGCATTCCTCGAGTTGCTGTGCTGAAGTTGGTGTTCCTCTAGACTTGGGACAGTGTTCTCGGGGCATCTCTGGAGTTGCCTGAAGGAAGTCGAGCCACCGGTCGTGTTGAATGGGGAACGGGGAATGGCTCTGGAGTCAATGCAGGGGAATCGGGCCTCATCTCGATTTGATTTGGGGCACATGGAGCTGCTTTGCGTTGCTGGGGTGACCTCAGGGTCCGTCTAGACTGGTGACAGTGTTCTTGGGGACTGTCTCGAGATCCATTAAGCAAGTCGAAGCTCCTGACTTGTTTGAATGGGATCACGGAATAGCTCTGCATGCACTGCAGGGGAATGGGGCCTCATCTCGCCTCTAGGGGGAAGTCTCATGGTTTTTCTCGAGTTGCGGCGGGGACCTGGGGTATGTTCTCGACTTACGGCGGGGATGGCCCTTCAAAACACGAGTTTCTTCAGTGACGTCAGGACTCCTGTCTAGTAACGAGGGACACCTCAGGAATCTCTTCGAGGCTTGGCAGGGCCAAAGGGACGCTTCTCGAGGTGAGGCAGGGCACCCAAGGACCCTTTCCAGTAGCCACAGGGATTTTGGGATTCCTATCAGTATTCAAGAGGAGTCAGGCATCGTCACCTTTTGAAGCAATGAACTCCGCGTGCCTCTCGAGGTGTCAGCGGGATGTGAGGCATTCCGTCAAAATGAGGCAGGGCCCTAGGGCTTTCTCTAAGGTCTCCACAGGGGATTCAGACATCCCTTCATGTTGTGAGATGAAAGACGAGCCTGTATTCAAGCCACTGCAAGGAAATCCGGCCTCCTTTCAAGTTAGGGCTTCTCGCTGTATATTCCCCTTGAGGCAGCAAACTCGGGGTCCCTCCCACATACCTATTGCTGAGAGAAGCCTCCTCCTGAGGTGCTTCTGGGAAGTTGGCATACGTCTTGAGCCTAAGCCAGGGAATCAGCTCGCATCTCGAGACGATTTGGGGTAGACGGAGCATTCCTCGAGTTGCTGTGCTGAAGTTGGTGTTCCTCTAGACTTGGGACAGTGTTCTCGGGGCATCTCTGGAGTTGCCTGAAGGAAGTCGAGCCACCGGTCGTGTTGAATGGGGAACGGGGAATGGCTCTGGAGTCAATGCAGGGGAATCGGGCCTCATCTCGAGTTGATTTGGGGCACATGGAGCTGCTTTGCGTTGCTGGGGTGACCTCAGGGTCCGTCTAGACTGGTGACAGTGTTCTTGGGGACTGTCTCGAGATCCATTAAGCAAGTCGAAGCTCCTGACTTGCTTGAATGGGGTCACGGAATAGCTCTGCATGCACTGCAGGGGAATGGGGCCTCATCTCGCCTCTAGGGGGAAGTCTCATGGTTTTTCTCGAGTTGCGGCGGGGACCTGGGGTATGTTCTCGACTTACGGCGGGGATGGCCCTTCAAAACACGAGTTTCTTCAGTGACGTCAGGACTCCTGTCTAGTAACGAGGGACACCTCAGGAATCTCTTCGAGGCTTGGCAGGGCCAAAGGGACGCTTCTCGAGGTGAGGCAGGGCACCCAAGGACCCTTTCCAGTAGCCACAGGGATTTTGGGATTCCTATCAGTATTCAAGAGGAGTCAGGCATCGTCACCTTTTGAAGCAATGAACTCCGCGTGCCTCTCGAGGTGTCAGCGGGATGTGAGGCATTCCGTCAAAATGAGGCAGGGACCTAGGACTTTCTCTAAGGTCTCCACAGGGGATTCAGACATCCCTTCATGTTGTGAGATGAAAGACGAGCCTGTATTCAAGCCACTGCAAGGAAATCCGGCCTCCTTTCAAGTTAGGGCTTCTCGCTGTATATTCCCCTTGAGGCAGCAAACTCGGGGTCCCTCCCACATACCTATTGCTGAGAGAAGCCTCCTCCTGCGGTGCTTCTGGGAAGTTGGCATACGTCTTGAGCCTAAGCCAGGGAATCAGCTCGCATCTCGAGACGATTTGGGGTAGACGGAGCATTCCTCGAGTTGCTGTGCTGAAGTTGGTGTTCCTCTAGACTTGGGACAGTGTTCTCGGGGCATCTCTGGAGTTGCCTGAAGGAAGTCGAGCCACCGGTCGTGTTGAATGGGGAACGGGGAATGGCTCTGGAGTCAATGCAGGGGAATCGGGCCTCATCTCGAGTTGATTTGGGGCACATGGAGCTGCTTTGCGTTGCTGGGGTGACCTCAGGGTCCGTCTAGACTGGTGACAGTGTTCTTGGGGACTGTCTCGAGATCCATTAAGCAAGTCGAAGCTCCTGACTTGTTTGAATGGGATCACGGAATAGCTCTGCATGCACTGCAGGGGAATGGGGCCTCATCTCGCCTCTAGGGGGAAGTCTCATGGTTTTTCTCGAGTTGCGGCGGGGACCTGGGGTATGTTCTCGACTTACGGCGGGGATGGCCCTTCAAAACACGAGTTTCTTCAGTGACGTCAGGACTCCTGTCTAGTAACGAGGGACACCTCAGGAATCTCTTCGAGGCTTGGCAGGGCCAAAGGGACGCTTCTCGAGGTGAGGCAGGGCACCCAAGGACCCTTTCCAGTAGCCACAGGGATTTTGGGATTCCTATCAGTATTCAAGAGGAGTCAGGCATCGTCACCTTTTGAAGCAATGAACTCCGCGTGCCTCTCGAGGTGTCAGCGGGATGTGAGGCATTCCGTCAAAATGAGGCAGGGACCTAGGGCTTTCTCTAAGGTCTCCACAGGGGATTCAGACATCCCTTCATGTTGTGAGATGAAAGACGAGCCTGTATTCAAGCCACTGCAAGGAAATCCGGCCTCCTTTCAAGTTAGGGCTTCTCGCTGTATATTCCCCTTGAGGCAGCAAACTCGGGGTCCCTCCCACATACCTATTGCTGAGAGAAGCCTCCTCCTGAGGTGCTTCTGGGAAGTTGGCATACGTCTTGAGCCTAAGCCAGGGAATCAGCTCGCATCTCGAGACGATTTGGGGTACACGGAGCATTCCTCGAGTTGCTGTGCTGAAGTTGGTGTTCCTCTAGACTTGGGACAGTGTTCTCGGGGCATCTCTGGAGTTGCCTGAAGGAAGTCGAGCCACCGGTCGTGTTGAATGGGGAACGGGGAATGGCTCTGGAGTCAATGCAGGGGAATCGGGCCTCATCTCGAGTTGATTTGGGGCACATGGAGCTGCTTTGCGTTGCTGGGGTGACCTCAGGGTCCGTCTAGACTGGTGACAGTGTTCTTGGGGACTGTCTCGAGATCCATTAAGCAAGTCGAAGCTCCTGACTTGTTTGAATGGGATCACGGAATAGCTCTGCATGCACTGCAGGGGAATGGGGCCTCATCTCGCCTCTAGGGGGAAGTCTCATGGTTTTTCTCGAGTTGCGGCGGGGACCTGGGGTATGTTCTCGACTTACGGCGGGGATGGCCCTTCAAAACACGAGTTTCTTCAGTGACGTCAGGACTCCTGTCTAGTAACGAGGGACACCTCAGGAATCTCTTCGAGGCTTGGCAGGGCCAAAGGGACGCTTCTCGAGGTGAGGCAGGGCACCCAAGGACCCTTTCCAGTAGCCACAGGGATTTTGGGATTCCTATCAGTATTCAAGAGGAGTCAGGCATCGTCACCTTTTGAAGCAATGAACTCCGCGTGCCTCTCGAGGTGTCAGCGGGATGTGAGGCATTCCGTCAAAATGAGGCAGGGCCCTAGGGCTTTCTCTAAGGTCTCCACAGGGGATTCAGACATCCCTTCATGTTGTGAGATGAAAGACGAGCCTGTATTCAAGCCACTGCAAGGAAATCCGGCCTCCTTTCAAGTTAGGGCTTCTCGCTGTATATTCCCCTTGAGGCAGCAAACTCGGGGTCCCTCCCACATACCTATTGCTGAGAGAAGCCTCCTCCTGAGGTGCTTCTGGGAAGTTGGCATACGTCTTGAGCCTAAGCCAGGGAATCAGCTCGCATCTCGAGACGATTTGGGGTACACGGAGCATTCCTCGAGTTGCTGTGCTGAAGTTGGTGTTCCTCTAGACTTGGGACAGTGTTCTCGGGGCATCTCTGGAGTTGCCTGAAGGAAGTCGAGCCACCGGTCGTGTTGAATGGGGAACGGGGAATGGCTCTGGAGTCAATGCAGGGGAATCGGGCCTCATCTCGAGTTGATTTGGGGCACATGGAGCTGCTTTGCGTTGCTGGGGTGACCTCAGGGTCCGTCTAGACTGGTGACAGTGTTCTTGGGGACTGTCTCGAGATCCATTAAGCAAGTCGAAGCTCCTGACTTGTTTGAATGGGATCACGGAATAGCTCTGCATGCACTGCAGGGGAATGGGGCCTCATCTCGCCTCTAGGGGGAAGTCTCATGGTTTTTCTCGAGTTGCGGCGGGGACCTGGGGTATGTTCTCGACTTACGGCGGGGATGGCCCTTCAAAACACGAGTTTCTTCAGTGACGTCAGGACTCCTGTCTAGTAACGAGGGACACCTCAGGAATCTCTTCGAGGCTTGGCAGGGCCAAAGGGACGCTTCTCGAGGTGAGGCAGGGCACCCAAGGACCCTTTCCAGTAGCCACAGGGATTTTGGGATTCCTATCAGTATTCAAGAGGAGTCAGGCATCGTCACCTTTTGAAGCAATGAACTCCGCGTGCCTCTCGAGGTGTCAGCGGGATGTGAGGCATTCCGTCAAAATGAGGCAGGGACCTAGGGCTTTCTCTAAGGTCTCCACAGGGGATTCAGACATCCCTTCATGTTGTGAGATGAAAGACGAGCCTGTATTCAAGCCACTGCAAGGAAATCCGGCCTCCTTTCAAGTTAGGGCTTCTCGCTGTATATTCCCCTTGAGGCAGCAAACTCGGGGTCCCTCCCACATACCTATTGCTGAGAGAAGCCTCCTCCTGAGGTGCTTCTGGGAAGTTGGCATACATCTTGAGCCTAAGCCAGGGAATCAGCTCGCATCTCGAGACGATTTGGGGTACACAGAGCATTCCTCGAGTTGCTGTGCTGAAGTTGGTGTTCCTCTAGACTTGGGACAGTGTTCTCGGGGCATCTCTGGAGTTGCCTGAAGGAAGTCGAGCCACCGGTCGTGTTGAATGGGGAACGGGGAATGGCTCTGGAGTCAATGCAGGGGAATCGGGCCTCATCTCGAGTTGATTTGGGGCACATGGAGCTGCTTTGCGTTGCTGGGGTGACCTCAGCGTCCGTCTAGACTGGTGACAGTGTTCTTGGGGACTGTCTCGAGATCCATTAAGCAAGTCGAAGCTCCTGACTTGCTTGAATGGGGTCACGGAATAGCTCTGCATGCACTGCAGGGGAATGGGGCCTCATCTCGCCTCTAGGGGGAAGTCTCATGGTTTTTCTCGAGTTGCGGCGGGGACCTGGGGTATGTTCTCGACTTACGGCGGGGATGGCCCTTCAAAACACGAGTTTCTTCAGTGACGTCAGGACTCCTGTCTAGTAACGAGGGACACCTCAGGAATCTCTTCGAGGCTTGGCAGGGCCAAAGGGACGCTTCTCGAGGTGAGGCAGGGCACCCAAGGACCCTTTCCAGTAGCCACAGGGATTTTGGGATTCCTATCAGTATTCAAGAGGAGTCAGGCATCGTCACCTTTTGAAGCAATGAACTCCGCGTGCCTCTCGAGGTGTCAGCGGGATGTGAGGCATTCCGTCAAAATGAGGCAGGGACCTAGGGCTTTCTCTAAGGTCTCCACAGGGGATTCAGACATCCCTTCATGTTGTGAGATGAAAGACGAGCCTGTATTCAAGCCACTGCAAGGAAATCCGGCCTCCTTTGAAGTTAGGGCTTCTCGCTGTATATTCCCCTTGAGGCAGCAAACTCGGGGTCCCTCCCACATACCTATTGCTGAGAGAAGCCTCCTCCTGAGGTGCTTCTGGGAAGTTGGCATACGTCTTGAGCCTAAGCCAGGGAATCAGCTCGCATCTCGAGACGATTTGGGGTACACGGAGCATTCCTCGAGTTGCTGTGCTGAAGTTGGTGTTCCTCTAGACTTGGGACAGTGTTCTCGGGGCATCTCTGGAGTTGCCTGAAGGAAGTCGAGCCACCGGTCGTGTTGAATGGGGAACGGGGAATGGCTCTGGAGTCAATGCAGGGGAATCGGGCCTCATCTCGATTTGATTTGGGGCACATGGAGCTGCTTTGCGTTGCTGGGGTGACCTCAGGGTCCGTCTAGACTGGTGACAGTGTTCTTGGGGACTGTCTCGAGATCCATTAAGCAAGTCGAAGCTCCTGACTTGTTTGAATGGGATCACGGAATAGCTCTGCATGCACTGCAGGGGAATGGGGCCTCATCTCGCCTCTAGGGGGAAGTCTCATGGTTTTTCTCGAGTTGCGGCGGGGACCTGGGGTATGTTCTCGACTTACGGCGGGGATGGCCCTTCAAAACACGAGTTTCTTCAGTGACGTCAGGACTCCTGTCTAGTAACGAGGGACACCTCAGGAATCTCTTCGAGGCTTGGCAGGGCCAAAGGGACGCTTCTCGAGGTGAGGCAGGGCACCCAAGGACCCTTTCCAGTAGCCACAGGGATTTTGGGATTCCTATCAGTATTCAAGAGGAGTCAGGCATCGTCACCTTTTGAAGCAATGAACTCCGCGTGCCTCTCGAGGTGTCAGCGGGATGTGAGGCATTCCGTCAAAATGAGGCAGGGCCCTAGGGCTTTCTCTAAGGTCTCCACAGGGGATTCAGACATCCCTTCATGTTGTGAGATGAAAGACGAGCCTGTATTCAAGCCACTGCAAGGAAATCCGGCCTCCTTTCAAGTTAGGGCTTCTCGCTGTATATTCCCCTTGAGGCAGCAAACTCGGGGTCCCTCCCACATACCTATTGCTGAGAGAAGCCTCCTCCTGAGGTGCTTCTGGGAAGTTGGCATACGTCTTGAGCCTAAGCCAGGGAATCAGCTCGCATCTCGAGACGATTTGGGGTACACGGAGCATTCCTCGAGTTGCTGTGCTGAAGTTGGTGTTCCTCTAGACTTGGGACAGTGTTCTCGGGGCATCTCTGGAGTTGCCTGAAGGAAGTCGAGCCACCGGTCGTGTTGAATGGGGAACGGGGAATGGCTCTGGAGTCAATGCAGGGGAATCGGGCCTCATCTCGAGTTGATTTGGGGCACATGGAGCTGCTTTGCGTTGCTGGGGTGACCTCAGGGTCCGTCTAGACTGGTGACAGTGTTCTTGGGGACTGTCTCGAGATCCATTAAGCAAGTCGAAGCTCCTGACTTGTTTGAATGGGATCATGGAATAGCTCTGCATGCACTGCAGGGGAATGGGGCCTCATCTCGCCTCTAGGGGGAAGTCTCATGGTTTTTCTCGAGTTGCGGCGGGGACCTGGGGTATGTTCTCGACTTACGGCGGGGATGGCCCTTCAAAACACGAGTTTCTTCAGTGACGTCAGGACTCCTGTCTAGTAACGAGGGACACCTCAGGAATCTCTTCGAGGCTTGGCAGGGCCAAAGGGACGCTTCTCGAGGTGAGGCAGGGCACCCAAGGACCCTTTCCAGTAGCCACAGGGATTTTGGGATTCCTATCAGTATTCAAGAGGAGTCAGGCATCGTCACCTTTTGAAGCAATGAACTCCGCGTGCCTCTCGAGGTGTCAGCGGGATGTGAGGCATTCCGTCAAAATGAGGCAGGGACCTAGGGCTTTCTCTAAGGTCTCCACAGGGGATTCAGACATCCCTTCATGTTGTGAGATGAAAGACGAGCCTGTATTCAAGCCACTGCAAGGAAATCCGGCCTCCTTTCAAGTTAGGGCTTCTCGCTGTATATTCCCCTTGAGGCAGCAAACTCGGGGTCCCTCCCACATACCTATTGCTGAGAGAAGCCTCCTCCTGAGGTGCTTCTGGGAAGTTGGCATACGTCTTGAGCCTAAGCCAGGGAATCAGCTCGCATCTCGAGACGATTTGGGGTACACAGAGCATTCCTCGAGTTGCTGTGCTGAAGTTGGTGTTCCTCTAGACTTGGGACAGTGTTCTCGGGGCATCTCTGGAGTTGCCTGAAGGAAGTCGAGCCACCGGTCGTGTTGAATGGGGAACGGGGAATGGCTCTGGAGTCAATGCAGGGGAATCGGGCCTCATCTCGAGTTGATTTGGGGCACATGGAGCTGCTTTGCGTTGCTGGGGTGACCTCAGCGTCCGTCTAGACTGGTGACAGTGTTCTTGGGGACTGTCTCGAGATCCATTAAGCAAGTCGAAGCTCCTGACTTGCTTGAATGGGGTCACGGAATAGCTCTGCATGCACTGCAGGGGAATGGGGCCTCATCTCGCCTCTAGGGGGAAGTCTCATGGTTTTTCTCGAGTTGCGGCGGGGACCTGGGGTATGTTCTCGACTTACGGCGGGGATGGCCCTTCAAAACACGAGTTTCTTCAGTGACGTCAGGACTCCTGTCTAGTAACGAGGGACACCTCAGGAATCTCTTCGAGGCTTGGCAGGGCCAAAGGGACGCTTCTCGAGGTGAGGCAGGGCACCCAAGGACCCTTTCCAGTAGCCACAGGGATTTTGGGATTCCTATCAGTATTCAAGAGGAGTCAGGCATCGTCACCTTTTGAAGCAATGAACTCCGCGTGCCTCTCGAGGTGTCAGCGGGATGTGAGGCATTCCGTCAAAATGAGGCAGGGACCTAGGGCTTTCTCTAAGGTCTCCACAGGGGATTCAGACATCCCTTCATGTTGTGAGATGAAAGACGAGCCTGTATTCAAGCCACTGCAAGGAAATCCGGCCTCCTTTCAAGTTAGGGCTTCTCGCTGTATATTCCCCTTGAGGCAGCAAACTCGGGGTCCCTCCCACATACCTATTGCTGAGAGAAGCCTCCTCCTGAGGTGCTTCTGGGAAGTTGGCATACGTCTTGAGCCTAAGCCAGGGAATCAGCTCGCATCTCGAGACGATTTGGGGTACACGGAGCATTCCTCGAGTTGCTGTGCTGAAGTTGGTGTTCCTCTAGACTTGGGACAGTGTTCTCGGGGCATCTCTGGAGTTGCCTGAAGGAAGTCGAGCCACCGGTCGTGTTGAATGGGGAACGGGGAATGGCTCTGGAGTCAATGCAGGGGAATCGGGCCTCATCTCGATTTGATTTGGGGCACATGGAGCTGCTTTGCGTTGCTGGGGTGACCTCAGGGTCCGTCTAGACTGGTGACAGTGTTCTTGGGGACTGTCTCGAGATCCATTAAGCAAGTCGAAGCTCCTGACTTGTTTGAATGGGATCACGGAATAGCTCTGCATGCACTGCAGGGGAATGGGGCCTCATCTCGCCTCTAGGGGGAAGTCTCATGGTTTTTCTCGAGTTGCGGCGGGGACCTGGGGTATATTCTCGACTTACGGCGGGGATGGCCCTTCAAAACACGAGTTTCTTCAGTGACGTCAGGACTCCTGTCTAGTAACGAGGGACACCTCAGGAATCTCTTCGAGGCTTGGCAGGGCCAAAGGGACGCTTCTCGAGGTGAGGCAGGGCACCCAAGGACCCTTTCCAGTAGCCACAGGGATTTTGGGATTCCTATCAGTATTCAAGAGGAGTCAGGCATCGTCACCTTTTGAAGCAATGAACTCCGCGTGCCTCTCGAGGTGTCAGCGGGATGTGAGGCATTCCGTCAAAATGAGGCAGGGCCCTAGGGCTTTCTCTAAGGTCTCCACAGGGGATTCAGACATCCCTTCATGTTGTGAGATGAAAGACGAGCCTGTATTCAAGCCACTGCAAGGAAATCCGGCCTCCTTTCAAGTTAGGGCTTCTCGCTGTATATTCCCCTTGAGGCAGCAAACTCGGGGTCCCTCCCACATACCTATTGCTGAGAGAAGCCTCCTCCTGAGGTGCTTCTGGGAAGTTGGCATACGTCTTGAGCCTAAGCCAGGGAATCAGCTCGCATCTCGAGACGATTTGGGGTACACAGAGCATTCCTCGAGTTGCTGTGCTGAAGTTGGTGTTCCTCTAGACTTGGGACAGTGTTCTCGGGGCATCTCTGGAGTTGCCTGAAGGAAGTCGAGCCACCGGTCGTGTTGAATGGGGAACGGGGAATGGCTCTGGAGTCAATGCAGGGGAATCGGGCCTCATCTCGAGTTGATTTGGGGCACATGGAGCTGCTTTGCGTTGCTGGGGTGACCTCAGCGTCCGTCTAGACTGGTGACAGTGTTCTTGGGGACTGTCTCGAGATCCATTAAGCAAGTCGAAGCTCCTGACTTGTTTGAATGGGGTCACGGAATAGCTCTGCATGCACTGCAGGGGAATGGGGCCTCATCTCGCCTCTAGGGGGAAGTCTCATGGTTTTTCTCGAGTTGCGGCGGGGACCTGGGGTATGTTCTCGACTTACGGCGGGGATGGCCCTTCAAAACACGAGTTTCTTCAGTGACGTCAGGACTCCTGTCTAGTAACGAGGGACACCTCAGGAATCTCTTCGAGGCTTGGCAGGGCCAAAGGGACGCTTCTCGAGGTGAGGCAGGGCACCCAAGGACCCTTTCCAGTAGCCACAGGGATTTTGGGATTCCTATCAGTATTCAAGAGGAGTCAGGCATCGTCACCTTTTGAAGCAATGAACTCCGCGTGCCTCTCGAGGTGTCAGCGGGATGTGAGGCATTCCGTCAAAATGAGGCAGGGACCTAGGGCTTTCTCTAAGGTCTCCACAGGGGATTCAGACATCCCTTCATGTTGTGAGATGAAAGACGAGCCTGTATTCAAGCCACTGCAAGGAAATCCGGCCTCCTTTCAAGTTAGGGCTTCTCGCTGTATATTCCCCTTGAGGCAGCAAACTCGGGGTCCCTACCACATACCTATTGCTGAGAGAAGCCTCCTCCTGAGGTGCTTCTGGGAAGTTGGCATACGTCTTGAGCCTAAGCCAGGGAATCAGCTCGCATCTCGAGACGATTTGGGGTACACGGAGCATTCCTCGAGTTGCTGTGCTGAAGTTGGTGTTCCTCTAGACTTGGGACAGTGTTCTCGGGGCATCTCTGGAGTTGCCTGAAGGAAGTCGAGCCACCGGTCGTGTTGAATGGGGAACGGGGAATGGCTCTGGAGTCAATGCAGGGGAATCGGGCCTCATCTCGATTTGATTTGGGGCACATGGAGCTGCTTTGCGTTGCTGGGGTGACCTCAGGGTCCGTCTAGACTGGTGACAGTGTTCTTGGGGACTGTCTCGAGATCCATTAAGCAAGTCGAAGCTCCTGACTTGTTTGAATGGGATCACGGAATAGCTCTGCATGCACTGCAGGGGAATGGGGCCTCATCTCGCCTCTAGGGGGAAGTCTCATGGTTTTTCTCGAGTTGCGGCGGGGACCTGGGGTATGTTCTCGACTTTCGGCGGGGATGGCCCTTCAAAACACGAGTTTCTTCAGTGACGTCAGGACTCCTGTCTAGTAACGAGGGACACCTCAGGAATCTCTTCGAGGCTTGGCAGGGCCAAAGGGACGCTTCTCGAGGTGAGGCAGGGCACCCAAGGACCCTTTCCAGTAGCCACAGGGATTTTGGGATTCCTATCAGTATTCAAGAGGAGTCAGGCATCGTCACCTTTTGAAGCAATGAACTCCGCGTGCCTCTCGAGGTGTCAGCGGGATGTGAGGCATTCCGTCAAAATGAGGCAGGGCCCTAGGGCTTTCTCTAAGGTCTCCACAGGGGATTCAGACATCCCTTCATGTTGTGAGATGAAAGACGAGCCTGTATTCAAGCCACTGCAAGGAAATCCGGCCTCCTTTCAAGTTAGGGCTTCTCGCTGTATATTCCCCTTGAGGCAGCAAACTCGGGGTCCCTCCCACATACCTATTGCTGAGAGAAGCCTCCTCCTGAGGTGCTTCTGGGAAGTTGGCATACGTCTTGAGCCTAAGCCAGGGAATCAGCTCGCATCTCGAGACGATTTGGGGTACACGGAGCATTCCTCGAGTTGCTGTGCTGAAGTTGGTGTTCCTCTAGACTTGGGACAGTGTTCTCGGGGCATCTCTGGAGTTGCCTGAAGGAAGTCGAGCCACCGGTCATGTTGAATGGGGAACGGGGAATGGCTCTGGAGTCAATGCAGGGGAATCGGGCCTCATCTCGAGTTGATTTGGGGGACATGGAGCTGCTTTGCGTTGCTGGGGTGACCTCAGGGTCCGTCTAGACTGGTGACAGTGTTCTTGGGGACTGTCTCGAGATCCATTAAGCAAGTCGAAGCTCCTGACTTGCTTGAATGGGGTCACGGAATAGCTCTGCATGCACTGCAGGGGAATGGGGCCTCATCTCGCCTCTAGGGGGAAGTCTCATGGTTTTTCTCGAGTTGCGGCGGGGACCTGGGGTATGTTCTCGACTTACGGCGGGGATGGCCCTTCAAAACACGAGTTTCTTCAGTGACGTCAGGACTCCTGTCTAGTAACGAGGGACACCTCAGGAATCTCTTCGAGGCTTGGCAGGGCCAAAGGGACGCTTCTCGAGGTGAGGCAGGGCACCCAAGGACCCTTTCCAGTAGCCACAGGGATTTTGGGATTCCTATCAGTATTCAAGAGGAGTCAGGCATCGTCACCTTTTGAAGCAATGAACTCCGCGTGCCTCTCGAGGTGTCAGCGGGATGTGAGGCATTCCGTCAAAATGAGGCAGGGACCTAGGGCTTTCTCTAAGGTCTCCACAGGGGATTCAGACATCCCTTCATGTTGTGAGATGAAAGACGAGCCTGTATTCAAGCCACTGCAAGGAAATCCGGCCTCCTTTCAAGTTAGGGCTTCTCGCTGTATATTCCCCTTGAGGCAGCAAACTCGGGGTCCCTCCCACATACCTATTGCTGAGAGAAGCCTCCTCCTGAGGTGCTTCTGGGAAGTTGGCATACGTCTTGAGCCTAAGCCAGGGAATCAGCTCGCATCTCGAGACGATTTGGGGTAGACGGAGCATTCCTCGAGTTGCTGTGCTGAAGTTGGTGTTCCTCTAGACTTGGGACAGTGTTCTCGGGGCATCTCTGGAGTTGCCTGAAGGAAGTCGAGCCACCGGTCGTGTTGAATGGGGAACGGGGAATGGCTCTGGAGTCAATGCAGGGGAATCGGGCCTCATCTCGAGTTGATTTGGGGCACATGGAGCTGCTTTGCGTTGCTGGGGTGACCTCAGGGTCCGTCTAGACTGGTGACAGTGTTCTTGGGGACTGTCTCGAGATCCATTAAGCAAGTCGAAGCTCCTGACTTGTTTGAATGGGATCACGGAATAGCTCTGCATGCACTGCAGGGGAATGGGGCCTCATCTCGCCTCTAGGGGGAAGTCTCATGGTTTTTCTCGAGTTGCGGCGGGGACCTGGGGTATGTTCTCGACTTACGGCGGGGATGGCCCTTCAAAACACGAGTTTCTTCAGTGACGTCAGGACTCCTGTCTAGTAACGAGGGACACCTCAGGAATCTCTTCGAGGCTTGGCAGGGCCAAAGGGACGCTTCTCGAGGTGAGGCAGGGCACCCAAGGACCCTTTCCAGTAGCCACAGGGATTTTGGGATTCCTATCAGTATTCAAGAGGAGTCAGGCATCGTCACCTTTTGAAGCAATGAACTCCGCGTGCCTCTCGAGGTGTCAGCGGGATGTGAGGCATTCCGTCAAAATGAGGCAGGGACCTAGGGCTTTCTCTAAGGTCTCCACAGGGGATTCAGACATCCCTTCATGTTGTGAGATGAAAGACGAGCCTGTATTCAAGCCACTGCAAGGAAATCCGGCCTCCTTTCAAGTTAGGGCTTCTCGCTGTATATTCCCCTTGAGGCAGCAAACTCGGGGTCCCTCCCACATACCTATTGCTGAGAGAAGCCTCCTCCTGAGGTGCTTCTGGGAAGTTGGCATACGTCTTGAGCCTAAGCCAGGGAATCAGCTCGCATCTCGAGACGATTTGGGGTACACGGAGCATTCCTCGAGTTGCTGTGCTGAAGTTGCTGTTCCTCTAGACTTGGGACAGTGTTCTCGGGGCATCTCTGGAGTTGCCTGAAGGAAGTCGAGCCACCGGTCGTGTTGAATGGGGAACGGGGAATGGCTCTGGAGTCAATGCAGGGGAATCGGGCCTCATCTCGAGTTGATTTGGGGCACATGGAGCTGCTTTGCGTTGCTGGGGTGACCTCAGGGTCCGTCTAGACTGGTGACAGTGTTCTTGGGGACTGTCTCGAGATCCATTAAGCAAGTCGAAGCTCCTGACTTGTTTGAATGGGATCACGGAATAGCTCTGCATGCATTGCAGGAGAATGGGGCCTCATCTCGCCTCTAGGGGGAAGTCTCATGGTTTTTCTCGAGTTGCGGCGGGGACCTGGGGTATGTTCTCGACTTACGGCGGGGATGGCCCTTCAAAACACGAGTTTCTTCGGTGACGTCAGGACTCCTGTCTAGTAACGAGGGACACCTCAGGAATCTCTTCGAGGCTTGGCAGGGCCAAAGGGACGCTTCTCTAGGTGAGGCAGGGCACCCAAGGACCCTTTCCAGTAGCCACAGGGATTTTGGGATTCCTATCAGTATTCAAGAGGAGTCAGGCATCGTCACCTTTTGAAGCAATGAACTCCGCGTGCCTCTCGAGCTGTCAGCGGGATGTGAGGCATTCCGTCAAAATGAGGCAGGGACCTAGGGCTTTCTCTAAGGTCTCCACAGGGGATTCAGACATCCCTTCATGTTGTGAGATGAAAGACGAGCCTGTATTCAAGCCACTGCAAGGAAATCCGGCCTCCTTTCAAGTTAGGGCTTCTCGCTGTATATTCCCCTTGAGGCAGCAAACTCGGGGTCCCTCCCACATACCTATTGCTGAGAGAAGCCTCCTCCTGAGGTGCTTCTGGGAAGTTGGCATACGTCTTGAGCCTAAGCCAGGGAATCAGCTCGCATCTCGAGACGATTTGGGGTACACGGAGCATTCCTCGAGTTGCTGTGCTGAAGTTGGTGTTCCTCTAGACTTGGGACAGTGTTCTCGGGGCATCTCTGGAGTTGCCTGAAGGAAGTCGAGCCACCGGTCGTGTTGAATGGGGAACGGGGAATGGCTCTGGAGTCAATGCAGGGGAATCGGGCCTCATCTCGAGTTGATTTGGGGCACATGGAGCTGCTTTGCGTTGCTGGGGTGACCTCAGGGTCCGTCTAGACTGGTGACAGTGTTCTTGGGGACTGTCTCGAGATCCATTAAGCAAGTCGAAGCTCCTGACTTGTTTGAATGGGATCACGGAATAGCTCTGCATGCACTGCAGGGGAATGGGGCCTCATCTCGCCTCTAGGGGGAAGTCTCATGGTTTTTCTCGAGTTGCGGCGGGGACCTGGGGTATGTTCTCGACTTACGGCGGGGATGGCCCTTCAAAACACGAGTTTCTTCAGTGACGTCAGGACTCCTGTCTAGTAACGAGGGACACCTCAGGAATCTCTTCGAGGCTTGGCAGGGCAAAAGGGACGCTTCTCGAGGTGAGGCAGGGCAACCAAGGACCCTTTCCAGTAGCCACAGGGATTTTGGGATTCCTATCAGTATTCAAGAGGAGTCAGGCATCGTCACCTTTTGAAGCAATGAACTCCGCGTGCCTCTCGAGGTGTCAGCGGGATGTGAGGCATTCCGTCAAAATGAGGCAGGGACCTAGGGCTTTCTCTAAGGTCTCCACAGGGGATTCAGACATCCCTTCATGTTGTGAGATGAAAGACGAGCCTGTATTCAAGCCACTGCAAGGAAATCCGGCCTCCTTTCAAGTTAGGGCTTCTCGCTGTATATTCCCCTTGAGGCAGCAAACTCGGGGTCCCTCCCACGTACCTATTGCTGAGAGAAGCCTCCTCCTGAGGTGCTTCTGGGAAGTTGGCATACGTCTTGAGCCTAAGCCAGGGAATCAGCTCGCATCTCGAGACGATTTGGGGTACACGGAGCATTCCTCGAGTTGCTGTGCTGAAGTTGGTGTTCCTCTAGACTTGGGACAGTGTTCTCGGGGCATCTCTGGAGTTGCCTGAAGGAAGTCGAGCCACCGGTCGTGTTGAATGGGGAACGGGGAATGGCTCTGGAGTCAATGCAGGGGAATCGGGCCTCATCTCGAGTTGATTTGGGGCACATGGAGCTGCTTTGCGTTGCTGGGGTGACCTCAGGGTCCGTCTAGACTGGTGACAGTGTTCTTGGGGTCTGTCTCGAGATCCATTAAGCAAGTCGAAGCTCCTGACTTGTTTGAATGGGATCACGGAATAGCTCTGCATGCACTGCAGGGGAATGGGGCCTCATCTCGCCTCTAGGGGGAAGTCTCATGGTTTTTCTCGAGTTGCGGCGGGGACCTGGGGTATGTTCTCGACTTACGGCGGGGATGGCCCTTCAAAACACGAGTTTCTTCAGTGACGTCAGGACTCCTGTCTAGTAACGAGGGACACCTCAGGAATCTCTTCGAGGCTTGGCAGGGCCAAAGGGACGCTTCTCGAGGTGAGGCAGGGCACCCAAGGACCCTTTCCAGTAGCCACAGGGATTTTGGGATTCCTATCAGTATTCAAGAGGAGTCAGGCATCGTCACCTTTTGAAGCAATGAACTCCGCGTGCCTCTCGAGGTGTCAGCGGGATGTGAGGCATTCCGTCAAAATGAGGCAGGGACCTAGAGCTTTCTCCAAGGTCTCCACAGGGGATTCAGACATCCCTTCATGTTGTGAGATGAAAGACGAGCCTGTATTCAAGCCACTGCAAGGAAATCCGGCCTCCTTTCAAGTTAGGGCTTCTCGCTGTATATTCCCCTTGAGGCAGCAAACTCGGGGTCCCTCCCACATACCTATTGCTGAGAGAAGCCTCCTCCTGAGGTGCTTCTGGGAAGTTGGCATACGTCTTGAGCCTAAGCCAGGGAATCAGCTCGCATCTCGAGACGATTTGGGGTACACGGAGCATTCCTCGAGTTGCTGTGCTGAAGTTGGTGTTCCTCTAGACTTGGGACAGTGTTCTCGGGGCATCTCTGGAGTTGCCTGAAGGAAGTCGAGCCACCGGTCGTGTTGAATGGGGAACGGGGAATGGCTCTGGAGTCAATGCAGGGGAATCGGGCCTCATCTCGAGTTGATTTGGGGCACATGGAGCTGCTTTGCGTTGCTGGGGTGACCTCAGGGTCCGTCTAGACTGGTGACAGTGTTCTTGGGGACTGTCTCGAGATCCATTAAGCAAGTCGAAGCTCCTGACTTGTTTGAATGGGATCACGGAATAGCTCTGCATGCACTGCAGGGGAATGGGGCCTCATCTCGCCTCTAGGGGGAAGTCTCATGGTTTTTCTCGAGTTGCGGCGGGGACCTGGGGTATGTTCTCGACTTACGGCGGGGATGGCCCTTCAAAACACGAGTTTCTTCAGTGACGTCAGGACTCCTGTCTAGTAACGAGGGACACCTCAGGAATCTCTTCGAGGCTTGGCAGGGCCAAAGGGACGCTTCTCGAAGTGAGGCAGGGCACCCAAGGACCCTTTCCAGTAGCCACAGGGATTTTGGGATTCTTATCAGTATTCAAGAGGAGTCAGGCATCGTCACCTTTTGAAGCAATGAACTCCGCGTGCCTCTCGAGGTGTCAGCGGGATGTGAGGCATTCCGTCAAAATGAAGCAGGGAACTAGGGCTTTCTCTAAGGTCTCCACAGGGGATTCAGACATCCCTTCATGTTGTGAGATGAAAGACGAGCCTGTATTCAAGCCACTGCAAGGAAATCCGGCCTCCTTTCAAGTTAGGGCTTCTCGCTGTATATTCCCCTTGAGGCAGCAAACTCGGGGTCCCTCCCACATACCTATTGCTGAGAGAAGCCTCCTCCTGAGGTGCTTCTAGGAAGTTGGCATACGTCTTGAGCCTAAGCCAGGGAATCAGCTCTCATCTCGAGACGATTTGAGGTACACGGAGCATTCCTCGAGTTGCTGTGCTGAAGTTGGTGTTCCTCTAGACTTGGGACAGTGTTCTCGGGGCATCTCTGGAGTTGCCTGAAGGAAGTCGAGCCACCGGTCGTGTTGAATGGGGAACGGGGAATGGCTCTGGAGTCAATGCAGGGGAATCGGGCCTCATCTCGAGTTGATTTGGGGCACATGGAGCTGCTTTGCATTGCTGGGGTGACCTCAGCGTCCGTCTAGACTGGTGACAGTGTTCTTGGGGACTGTCTCGAGATCCATTAAGCAAGTCGAAGCTCCTGACTTGTTTGAATGGGATCACGGAATAGCTCTGCATGCACTGCAGGGGAATGGGGCCTCATCTCGCCTCTAGGGGGAAGTCTCATGGTTTTTCTCGAGTTGCGGCGGGGACCTGGGGTATGTTCTCGACTTACGGCGGGGATGGCCCTTCAAAACACGAGTTTCTTCAGTGACGTCAGGACTCCTGTCTAGTAACGAGGGACACCTCAGGAATCTCTTCGAAGCTTGGCAGGGCCAAAGGGACGCTTCTCGAGGTGAGGCAGGGCACCCAAGGACCCTTTCCAGTAGCCACAGGGATTTTGGGATTCCTATCAGTATTCAAGAGGAGTCAGGCATCGTCACCTTTTGAAGCAATGAACTCCGCGTGCCTCTCGAGGTGTCAGCGGGATGTGAGGCATTCCGTCAAAATGAGGCAGGGACCTAGGGCTTTCTCTAAGGTCTCCACAGGGGATTCAGACATCCCTTCATGTTGTGAGATGAAAGACGAGCCTGTATTCAAGCCACTGCAAGGAAATCCGGCCTCCTTTCAAGTTAGGGCTTCTCGCTGTATATTCCCCTTGAGGCAGCAAACTCGGGGTCCCTCCCACATACCTATTGCTGAGAGAAGCCTCCTCCTGAGGTGCTTCTGGGAAGTTGGCATACGTCTTGAGCCTAAGCCAGGGAATCAGCTCGCATCTCGAGACGATTTGGGGTACACGGAGCATTCCTCGAGTTGCTGTGCTGAAGTTGGTGTTCCTCTAGACTTGGGACAGTGTTCTCGGGGCATATCTGGAGTTGCCTGAAGGAAGTCGAGCCACCGGTCGTGTTGAATGGGGAACGGGGAATGGCTCTGGAGTCAATGCAGGGGAATCGGGCCTCATCTCGAGTTGATTTGGGGCACATGGAGTTGCTTTGCGTTGCTGGGGTGACCTCAGGGTCCGTCTAGACTGGTGACAGTGTTCTTGGGGACTGTCTCGAGATCCATTAAGCAAGTCGAAGCTCCTGACTTGTTTGAATGTGGTCACGGAATAGCTCTGCATGCACTGCAGGGGAATGGAGCCTCATCTCGCCTCTAGGGGTAAGTCTCATGGTTTTTCTCGAGTTGCGGCGGGGACCTGGGGTATGTTCTCGACTTACGGCGGGGATGGCCCTTCAAAACACGAGTTTCTTCAGTGACGTCAGGACTTCTGTCTAGTAACGAGGGACACCTCAGGAATCTCTTCGAGGCTTGGCAGGGCCAAAGGGACGCTTCTCGAGGTGAGGCAGCGCACCCAAGGACCCTTTCCAGTAGCCACAGGGATTTTGGGATTCCTATCAGTATTCAAGAGGAGTCAGGCATCGTCACCTTTTGAAGCAATGAACTCCGCGTGCCTCTCGAGGTGTCAGCGGGATGTGAGGCATTCCGTCAAAATGAGGCAGGGACCTAGGGCTTTCTCTAAGGTCTCCACAGGGGATTCAGACATCCCTTCATGTTGTGAGATGAAAGACGAGCCTGTATTCAAGCCACTGCAAGGAAATCCGGCCTCCTTTCAAGTTAGGGCTTCTCGCTGTATATTCCCCTTGAGGCAGCAAACTCGGGGTCCCTCCCACATACCTATTGCTGAGAGAAGCCTCCTCCTGAGGTGCTTCTGGGAAGTTGGCATACGTCTTGAGCCTAAGCCAGGGAATCAGCTCTCATCTCGAGACGATTTGAGGTACACGGAGCATTCCTCGAGTTGCTGTGCTGAAGTTGGTGTTCCTCTAGACTTGGGACAGTGTTCTCGGGGCATCTCTGGAGTTGCCTGAAGGAAGTCGAGCCACCAGTCGTGTTGAATGGGGAACGGGGAATGGCTCTGGAGTCAATGCAGGGGAATCGGGCCTCATCTCGAGTTGATTTGGGGCACATGGAGCTGCTTTGCGTTGCTGGGGTGACCTCAGGGTCCGTCTAGACTGGTGACAGTGTTCTTGGGGACTGTCTCGAGATCCATTAAGCAAGTCGAAGCTCCTGACTTGTTTGAATGGGATCACGGAATAGCTCTGCATGCACTGCAGGGGAATGGAGCCTCATCTCGCCTCTAGGGGGAAGTCTCATGGTTTTTCTCGAGTTGCGGCGGGGACCTGGGGTATGTTCTCGACTTACGGCGGGGATGGCCCTTCAAAACACGAGTTTCTTCAGTGACGTCAGGACTTCTGTCTAGTAACGAGGGACACCTCAGGAATCTCTTCGAGGCTTGGCAGGGCCAAAGGGACGCTTCTCGAGGTGAGGCAGGGCACCCAAGGACCCTTTCCAGTAGCCACAGGGATTTTGGGATTCCTATCAGTATTCAAGAGGAGTCAGGCATCGTCACCTTTTGAAGCAATGAACTCCGCGTGCCTCTCGAGGTGTCAGCGGGATGTGAGGCATTCCGTCCAAATGAGGCAGGGACCTAGGGCTTTCTCTAAGGTCTCCACAGGGGATTCAGACATCCCTTCATGTTGTGAGATGAAAGACGAGCCTGTATTCAAGCCACTGCAAGGAAATCCGGCCTCCTTTCAAGTTAGGGCTTCTCGCTGTATATTCCCCTTGAGGCAGCAAACTCGGGGTCCCTCCCCCATACCTATTGCTGAGAGAAGCCTCCTCCTGAGGTGCTTCTGGGAAGTTGGCATACGTCTTGAGCCTAAGCCAGGGAATCAGCTCGCATCTCGAGACGATTTGGGGTACACAGAGCATTCCTCGAGTTGCTGTGCTGAAGTTGGTGTTCCTCTAGACTTGGGACAGTGTTCTCGGGGCATCTCTGGAGTTGCCTGAAGGAAGTCGAGCCACCGGTCGTGTTGAATGGGGAACGGGGAATGGCTCTGGAGTCAATGCAGGGGAATCGGGCCTCATCTCGAGTTGATTTGGGGCACATGGAGCTGCTTTGCGTTGCTGGGGTGACCTCAGGGTCCGTCTAGACTGGTGACAGTGTTCTTGGGGACTGTCTCGAGATCCATTAAGCAAGTCGAAGCTCCTGACTTGTTTGAATGGGGTCACGGAATAGCTCTGCATGCACTGCAGTGGAATGGGGCCTCATCTCGCCTCTAGGGGGAAGTCTCATGGTTTTTCTCGAGTTGCGGCGGGGACCTGGGGTATGTTCTCGACTTACGGCGGGGATGGCCCTTCAAAACACGAGTTTCTTCAGTGACGTCAGGACTCCTGTCTAGTAACGAGGGACACCTCAGGAATCTCTTCGAGGCTTGGCAGGGCCAAAGGGACGCTTCTCGAGGTGAGGCAGGGCACCCAAGGACCCTTTCCAGTAGCCACAGGGATTTTGGGATTCCTATCAGTATTCAAGAGGAGTCAGGCATCGTCACCTTTTGAAGCAATGAACTCCGCGTGCCTCTCGAGGTGTCAGCGGGATGTGAGGCATTCCGTCAAAATGAGGCAGGGACCTAGGGCTTTCTCTAAGGTCTCCACAGGGGATTCAGACATCCCTTCATGTTGTGAGATGAAAGACGAGCCTGTATTCAAGCCACTGCAAGGAAATCCGGCCTCCTTTCAAGTTAGGGCTTCTCGCTGTATATTCCCCTTGAGGCAGCAAACTCGGGGTCCCTCCCACATACCTATTGCTGAGAGAAGCCTCCTCCTGAGGTGCTTCTGGGAAGTTGGCATACGTCTTGAGCCTAAGCCAGGGAATCAGCTCTCATCTCGAGACGATTTGGGGTACACGGAGCATTCCTCGAGTTGCTGTGCTGAAGTTGGTGTTCCTCTAGACTTGGGACAGTGTTCTTGGGGCATCTCTGGAGTTGCCTGAAGGAAGTCGAGCCACCGGTCGTGTTGAATGGGGAACGGGGAATGGCTCTGGAGTCAATGCAGGGGAATCGGGCCTCATCTCGAGTTGATTTGGGGCACATGGAGCTGCTTTGCGTTGCTGGGGTGACCTCAGGGTCCGTCTAGACTGGTGACAGTGTTCTTGGGGACTGTCTCGAGATCCATTAAGCAAGTCGAAGCTCCTGACTTGTTTGAATGGGGTCACGGAATAGCTCTGCATGCACTGCAGGGGAATGGGGCCTCATCTCGCCTCTAGGGGGAAGTCTCATGGTTTTTCTCGAGTTGCGGCGGGGACCTGGGGTATGTTCTCGACTTACGGCGGGGATGGCCCTTCAAAACACGAGTTTCTTCAGTGACGTCAGGACTCCTGTCTAGTAACGAGGGACACCTCAGGAATCTCTTCGAGGCTTGGCAGGGCCAAAGGGACGCTTCTCGAGGTGAGGCAGGGCACCCAAGGACCCTTTCCAGTAGCCACAGGGATTTTGGGATTCCTATCAGTATTCAAGAGGAGTCAGGCATCGTCACCTTTTGAAGCAACGAACTCCGCGTGCCTCTCGAGGTGTCAGCGGGATGTGAGGCATTCCGTCAAAATGAGGCAGGGACCTAGGGCTTTCTCTAAGGTCTCCACAGGGGATTCAGACATCCCTTCATGTTGTGAGATGAAAGACGAGCCTGTATTCAAGCCACTGCAAGGAAATCCGGCCTCCTTTCAAGTTAGGGCTTCTCGCTGTATATTCCCCTTGAGGCAGCAAACTCGGGGTCCCTCCCACATACCTATTGCTGAGAGAAGCCTCCTCCTGAGGTGCTTCTGGGAAGTTGGCATACGTCTTGAGCCTAAGCCAGGGAATCAGCTCGCATCTCGAGACGATTTGGGGTACACGGAGCATTCCTCGAGTTGCTGTGCTGAAGTTGGTGTTCCTCTAGACTTGGGACAGTGTTCTCGGGGCATCTCTGGAGTTGCCTGAAGGAAGTCGAGCCACCGGTCGTGTTGAATGGGGAACGGGGAATGGCTCTGGAGTCAATGCAGGGGAATCGGGCCTCATCTCGAGTTGATTTGGGGCACATGGAGCTGCTTTGCGTTGCTGGGGTGACCTCAGGGTCCGTCTAGACTGGTGACAGTGTTCTTGGGGACTGTCTCGAGATCCATTAAGCAAGTCGAAGCTCCTGACTTGTTTGAATGGGATCACGGAATAGCTCTGCATGCACTGCAGGGGAATGGGGCCTCATCTCGCCTCTAGGGGGAAGTCTCATGGTTTTTCTCGAGTTGCGGCGGGGACCTGGGGTATGTTCTCGACTTACGGCGGGGATGGCCCTTCAAAACACGAGTTTCTTCAGTGACGTCAGGACTCCTGTCTAGTAACGAGGGACACCTCAGGAATCTCTTCGAGGCTTGGCAGGGCCAAAGGGACGCTTCTCGAGGTGAGGCAGGGCACCCAAGGACCCTTTCCAGTAGCCACAGGGATTTTGGGATTCCTATCAGTATTCAAGAGGAGTCAGGCATCGTCACCTTTTGAAGCAATGAACTCCGCGTGCCTCTCGAGGTGTCAGCGGGATGTGAGGCATTCCGTCAAAATGAGGCAGGGACCTAGTGCTTTCTCTAAGGTCTCCACAGGGGATTCAGACATCCCTTCATGTTGTGAGATGAAAGACGAGCCTGTATTCAAGCCACTGCAAGGAAATCCGGCCTCCTTTCAAGTTAGGGCTTCTCGCTGTATATTCCCCTTGAGGCAGCAAACTCGGGGTCCCTCCCACATACCTATTGCTGAGAGAAGCCTCCTCCTGAGGTGCTTCTGGGAAGTTGGCATACGTCTTGAGCCTAAGCCAGGGAATCAGCTCGCATCTCGAGACGATTTGGGGTACACGGAGCATTCCTCGAGTTGCTGTGCTGAAGTTGGTGTTCCTCTAGACTTGGGACAGTGTTCTCGGGGCATCTCTGGAGTTGCCAGAAGGAAGTCGAGCCACCGGTCGTGTTGAATGGGGAACGGGGAATGGCTCTGGAGTCAATGCAGGGGAATCGGGCCTCATCTCGAGTTGATTTGGGGCACATGGAGCTGCTTTGCGTTGCTGGGGTGACCTCAGGGTCCGTCTAGACTGGTGACAGTGTTCTTGGGGACTGTCTCGAGATCCATTAAGCAAGTCGAAGCTCCTGACTTGTTTGAATGGGATCACGGAATAGCTCTGCATGCACTGCAGGGGAATGGGGCCTCATCTCGCCTCTAGGGGGAAGTCTCATGGTTTTTCTCGAGTTGCGGCGGGGACCTGGGGTATGTTCTCGACTTACGGCGGGGATGGCCCTTCAAAACACGAGTTTCTTCAGTGACGTCAGGACTCCTGTCTAGTAACGAGGGACACCTCAGGAATCTCTTCGAGGCTTGGCAGGGCCAAAGGGACGCTTCTCGAGGTGAGGCAGGGCACCCAAGGACCCTTTCCAGTAGCCACAGGGATTTTGGGATTCCTATCAGTATTCAAGAGGAGTCAGGCATCGTCACCTTTTGAAGCAATGAACTCCGCGTGCCTCTCGAGGTGTCAGCGGGATGTGAGGCATTCCGTCAAAATGAGGCAGGGACCTAGGGCTTTCTCTAAGGTCTCCACAGGGGATTCAGACATCCCTTCATGTTGTGAGATGAAAGACGAGCCTGTATTCAAGCCACTGCAAGGAAATCCGGCCTCCTTTCAAGTTAGGGCTTCTCGCTGTATATTCCCCTTGAGGCAGCAAACTCGGGGTCCCTCCCACATACCTATTGCTGAGAGAAGCCTCCTCCTGAGGTGCTTCTGGGAAGTTGGCATACGTCTTGAGCCTAAGCCAGGGAATCAGCTCGCATCTCGAGACGATTTGGGGTACACGGAGCATTCCTCGAGTTGCTGTGCTGAAGTTGGTGTTCCTCTAGACTTGGGACAGTGTTCTCGGGGCATCTCTGGAGTTGCCAGAAGGAAGTCGAGCCACCGGTCGTGTTGAATGGGGAACGGGGAATGGCTCTGGAGTCAATGCAGGGGAATCGGGCCTCATCTCGAGTTGATTTGGGGCACATGGAGCTGCTTTGCGTTGCTGGGGTGACCTCAGGGTCCGTCTAGACTGGTGACAGTGTTCTTGGGGACTGTCTCGAGATCCATTAAGCAAGTCGAAGCTCCTGACTTGTTTGAATGGGGTCACGGAATAGCTCTGCATGCACTGCAGGGGAATGGGGCCTCATCTCGCCTCTAGGGGGAAGTCTCATGGTTTTTCTCTAGTTGCGGCGGGGACCTGGGGTATGTTCTCGACTTACGGCGGGGATGGCCCTTCAAAACACGAGTTTCTTCAGTGACGTCAGGACTCCTGTCTAGTAACGAGGGACACCTCAGGAATCTCTTCGAGGCTTGGCAGGGCCAAAGGGACGCTTCTCGAGGTGAGGCAGGGCACCCAAGGACCCTTTCCAGTAGCCACAGGGATTTTGGGATTCCTATCAGTATTCAAGAGGAGTCAGGCATCGTCACCTTTTGAAGCAATGAACTCCGCGTGCCTCTCGAGGTGTCAGCGGGATGTGAGGCATTCCGTCAAAATGAGGCAGGGACCTAGGGCTTTCTCTAAGGTCTCCACAGGGGATTCAGACATCCCTTCATGTTGTGAGATGAAAGACGAGCCTGTATTCAAGCCACTGCAAGGAAATCCGGCCTCCTTTCAAGTTAGGGCTTCTCGCTGTATATTCCCCTTGAGGCAGCAAACTCGGGGTCCCTCCCACATACCTATTGCTGAGAGAAGCCTCCTCCTGAGGTGCTTCTGGGAAGTTGGCATACGTCTTGAGCCTAAGCCAGGGAATCAGCTCGCATCTCGAGACGATTTGGGGTACACGGAGCATTCCTCGAGTTGCTGTGCTGAAGTTGGTGTTCCTCTAGACTTGGGACAGTGTTCTCGGGGCATCTCTGGAGTTGCCAGAAGGAAGTCGAGCCACCGGTCGTGTTGAATGGGGAACGGGGAATGGCTCTGGAGTCAATGCAGGGGAATCGGGCCTCATCTCGAGTTGATTTGGGGCACATGGAGCTGCTTTGCGTTGCTGGGGTGACCTCAGGGTCCGTCTAGACTGGTGACAGTGTTCTTGGGGACTGTCTCGAGATCCATTAAGCAAGTCGAAGCTCCTGACTTGTTTGAATGGGGTCACGGAATAGCTCTGCATGCACTGCAGGGGAATGGGGCCTCATCTCGCCTCTAGGGGGAAGTCTCATGGTTTTTCTCGAGTTGCGGCGGGGACCTGGGGTATGTTCTCGACTTACGGCGGGGATGGCCCTTCAAAACACGAGTTTCTTCAGTGACGTCAGGACTCCTGTCTAGTAACGAGGGACACCTCAGGAATCTCTTCGAGGCTTGGCAGGGCCAAAGGGACGCTTCTCGAGGTGAGGCAGGGCACCCAAGGACCCTTTCCAGTAGCCACAGGGATTTTGGGATTCCTATCAGTATTCAAGAGGAGTCAGGCATCGTCACCTTTTGAAGCAATGAACTCCGCGTGCCTCTCGAGGTGTCAGCGGGATGTGAGGCATTCCGTCAAAATGAGGCAGGGACCTAGGGCTTTCTCTAAGGTCTCCACAGGGGATTCAGACATCCCTTCATGTTGTGAGATGAAAGACGAGCCTGTATTCAAGCCACTGCAAGGAAATCCGGCCTCCTTTCAAGTTAGGGCTTCTCGCTGTATATTCCCCTTGAGGCAGCAAACTCGGGGTCCCTCCCACATACCTATTGCTGAGAGAAGCCTCCTCCTGAGGTGCTTCTGGGAAGTTGGCATACGTCTTGAGCCTAAGCCAGGGAATCAGCTCGCATCTCGAGACGATTTGGGGTAGACGGAGCATTCCTCGAGTTGCTGTGCTGAAGTTGGTGTTCCTCTAGACTTGGGACAGTGTTCTCGGGGCATCTCTGGAGTTGCCTGAAGGAAGTCGAGCCACCGGTCGTGTTGAATGGGGAACGGGGAATGGCTCTGGAGTCAATGCAGGGGAATCGGGCCTCATCTCGAGTTGATTTGGGGCACATGGAGCTGCTTTGCGTTGCTGGGGTGACCTCAGGGTCCGTCTAGACTGGTGACAGTGTTCTTGGGGACTGTCTCGAGATCCATTAAGCAAGTCGAAGCTCCTGACTTGTTTGAATGGGATCACGGAATAGCTCTGCATGCACTGCAGGGGAATGGGGCCTCATCTCGCCTCTAGGGGGAAGTCTCATGGTTTTTCTCGAGTTGCGGCGGGGACCTGGGGTATGTTCTCGACTTACGGCGGGGATGGCCCTTCAAAACACGAGTTTCTTCAGTGACGTCAGGACTCCTGTCTAGTAACGAGGGACACCTCAGGAATCTCTTCGAGGCTTGGCAGGGCCAAAGGGACGCTTCTCGAGGTGAGGCAGGGCACCCAAGGACCCTTTCCAGTAGCCACAGGGATTTTGGGATTCCTATCAGTATTCAAGAGGAGTCAGGCATCGTCACCTTTTGAAGCAATGAACTCCGCGTGCCTCTCGAGGTGTCAGCGGGATGTGAGGCATTCCGTCAAAATGAGGCAGGGACCTAGGGCTTTCTCTAAGGTCTCCACAGGGGATTCAGACATCCCTTCATGTTGTGAGATGAAAGACGAGCCTGTATTCAAGCCACTGCAAGGAAATCCGGCCTCCTTTCAAGTTAGGGCTTCTCGCTGTATATTCCCCTTGAGGCAGAAAACTCGGGGTCCCTCCCACATACCTATTGCTGAGAGAAGCCTCCTCCTGAGGTGCTTCTGGGAAGTTGGCATACGTCTTGAGCCTAAGCCAGGGAATCAGCTCGCATCTCGAGACGATTTGGGGTACACGGAGCATTCCTCGAGTTGCTGTGCTGAAGTTGGTGTTCCTCTAGACTTGGGACAGTGTTCTCGGGGCATCTCTGGAGTTGCCTGAAGGAAGTCGAGCCACCGGTCGTGTTGAATGGGGAACGGGGAATGGCTCTGGAGTCAATGCAGGGGAATCGGGCCTCATCTGGAGTTGATTTGGGGCACATGGAGCTGCTTTGCATTGCTGGGGTGACCTCAGCGTCCGTCTAGACTGGTGACAGTGTTCTTGGGGACTGTCTCGAGATCCATTAAGCAAGTCGAAGCTCCTGACTTGTTTGAATGGGATCACGGAATAGCTCTGCATGCACTGCAGGGGAATGGGGCCTCATCTCGCCTCTAGGGGGAAGTCTCATGGTTTTTCTCGAGTTGCGGCGGGGACCTGGGGTATGTTCTCGACTTACGGCGGGGATGGCCCTTCAAAACACGAGTTTCTTCAGTGACGTCAGGACTCCTGTCTAGTAACGAGGGACACCTCAGGAATCTCTTCGAGGCTTGGCAGGGCCAAAGGGACGCTTCTCGAGGTGAGGCAGGGCACCCAAGGACCCTTTCCAGTAGCCACAGGGATTTTGGGATTCCTATCAGTATTCAAGAGGAGTCAGGCATCGTCACCTTTTGAAGCAGTGAACTCCGCGTGCCTCTCGAGGTGTCAGCGGGATGTGAGGCATTCCGTCAAAATGAGGCAGGGACCTAGGGCTTTCTCTAAGGTCTCCACAGGGGATTCAGACATCCCTTCATGTTGTGAGATGAAAGACGAGCCTGTATTCAAGCCACTGCAAGGAAATCCGGCCTCCTTTCAAGTTAGGGCTTCTCGCTGTATATTCCCCTTGAGGCAGCAAACTCGGGGTCCCTCCCACATACCTATTGCTGAGAGAAGCCTCCTCCTGAGGTGCTTCTGGGAAGTTGGCATACGTCTTGAGCCTAAGCCAGGGAATCAGCTCGCATCTCGAGACGATTTGGGGTACACGGAGCATTCCTCGAGTTGCTGTGCTGAAGTTGGTGTTCCTCTAGACTTGGGACAGTGTTCTCGGGGCATCTCTGGAGTTGCCTGAAGGAAGTCGAGCCACCGGTCGTGTTGAATGGGGAACGGGGAATGGCTCTGGAGTCAATGCAGGGGAATCGGGCCTCATCTCGAGTTGATTTGGGGCACATGGAGCTGCTTTGCGTTGCTGGGGTGACCTCAGGGTCCGTCTAGACTGGTGACAGTGTTCTTGGGGACTGTCTCGAGATCCATTAAGCAAGTCGAAGCTCCTGACTTGTTTGAATGGGGTCACGGAATAGCTCTGCATGCACTGCAGGGGAATGGGGCCTCATCTCGCCTCTAGGGGGAAGTCTCATGGTTTTTCTCGAGTTGCGGCGGGGACCTGGGGTATGTTCTCGACTTACGGCGGGGATGGCCCTTCAAAACACGAGTTTCTTCAGTGACGTCAGGACTCCTGTCTAGTAACGAGGGACACCTCAGGAATCTCTTCGAGGCTTGGCAGGGCCAAAGGGACGCTTCTCGAGGTGAGGCAGGGCACCCAAGGACCCTTTCCAGTAGCCACAGGGATTTTGGGATTCCTATCAGTATTCAAGAGGAGTCAGGCATCGTCACCTTTTGAAGCAATGAACTCCGCGTGCCTCTCGAGGTGTCAGCGGGATGTGAGGCATTCCGTCAAAATGAGGCAGGGACCTAGGGCTTTCTCTAAGGTCTCCACAGGGGATTCAGACATCCCTTCATGTTGTGAGATGAAAGACGAGCCTGTATTCAAGCCACTGCAAGGAAATCTGGCCTCCTTTCAAGTTAGGGCTTCTCGCTGTATATTCCCCTTGAGGCAGCAAACTCGGGGTCCCTCCCACATATCTATTGCTGAGAGAAGCCTCCTCCTGAGGTGCTTCTGGTAAGTTGGCATACGTCTTGAGCCTAAGCCAGGGAATCAGCTCGCATCTCGAGACGATTTGGGGTACACGGAGCATTCCTCGAGTTGCTGTGCTGAAGTTGGTGTTCCTCTAGACTTGGGACAGTGTTCTCGGGGCATCTCTGGAGTTGCCTGAAGGAAGTCGAGCCACCGGTCGTGTTGAATGGGGAACGGGGAATGGCTCTGGAGTCAATGCAGGGGAATCGGGCCTCATCTCGAGTTGATTTGGGGCACATGGAGCTGCTTTGCGTTGCTGGGGTGACCTCAGGGTCCGTGTAGACTGGTGACAGTGTTCTTGGGGACTGTCTCGAGATCCATTAAGCAAGTCGAAGCTCCTGACTTGTTTGAATGGGGTCACGGAATAGCTCTGCATGCACTGCAGGGGAATGGGGCCTCATCTCGCCTCTAGGGGGAAGTCTCATGGTTTTTCTCGAGTTGCGGCGGGGACCTGGGGTATGTTCTCGACTTACGGCGGGGATGGCCCTTCAAAACACGAGTTTCTTCAGTGACGTCAGGACTCCTGTCTAGTAACGAGGGACACCTCAGGAATCTCTTCGAGGCTTGGCAGGGCCAAAGGGACGCTTCTCGAGGTGAGGCAGGGCACCCAAGGACCCTTTCCAGGAGCCACAGGGATTTTGGGATTCCTATCAGTATTCAAGAGGAGTCAGGCATCGTCACCTTTTGAAGCAATGAACTCCGCGTGCCTCTCGAGGTGTCAGCGGGATGTGAGGCATTCCGTCAAAATGAGGCAGGGACCTAGGGCTTTCTCTAAGGTCTCCACAGGGGATTCAGACATCCCTTCATGTTGTGAGATGAAAGACGAGCCTGTATTCAAGCCACTGCAAGGAAATCCGGCCTCCTTTCAAGTTAGGGCTTCTCGCTGTATATTCCCCTTGAGGCAGCAAACTCGGGGTCCCTCCCACATACCTATTGCTGAGAGAAGCCTCCTCCTGAGGTGCTTCTGGGAAGTTGGCATACGTCTTGAGCCTAAGCCAGGGAATCAGCTCGCATCTCGAGACGATTTGGGGTACACGGAGCATTCCTCGAGTTGCTGTGCTGAAGTTGGTGTTCCTCTAGACTTGGGACAGTGTTCTCGGGGCATCTCTGGAGTTGCCAGAAGGAAGTCGAGCCACCGGTCGTGTTGAATGGGGAACGGGGAATGGCTCTGGAGTCAATGCAGGGGAATCGGGCCTCATCTCGAGTTGATTTGGGGCACATGGAGCTGCTTTGCGTTGCTGGGGTGACCTCAGGGTCCGTCTAGACTGGTGACAGTGTTCTTGGGGACTGTCTCGAGATCCATTAAGCAAGTCGAAGCTCCTGACTTGTTTGAATGGGATCACGGAATAGCTCTGCATGCACTGCAGGGGAATGGGGCCTCATCTCGCCTCTAGGGGGAAGTCTCATGGTTTTTCTCGAGTTGCGGCGGGGACCTGGGGTATGTTCTCGACTTACGGCGGGGATGGCCCTTCAAAACACGAGTTTCTTCAGTGACGTCAGGACTCCTGTCTAGTAACGAGGGACACCTCAGGAATCTCTTCGAGGCTTGGCAGGGCCAAAGGGACGCTTCTCGAGGTGAGGCAGGGCACCCAAGGACCCTTTCCAGTAGCCACAGGGATTTTGGGATTCCTATCAGTATTCAAGAGGAGTCAGGCATCGTCACCTTTTGAAGCAATGAACTCCGCGTGCCTCTCGAGGTGTCAGCGGGATGTGAGGCATTCCGTCAAAATGAGGCAGGGACCTAGGGCTTTCTCTAAGGTCTCCACAGGGGATTCAGACATCCCTTCATGTTGTGAGATGAAAGACGAGCCTGTATTCAAGCCACTGCAAGGAAATCCGGCCTCCTTTCAAGTTAGGGCTTCTCGCTGTATATTCCCCTTGAGGCAGCAAACTCGGGGTCCCTCCCACATACCTATTGCTGAGAGAAGCCTCCTCCTGAGGTGCTTCTGGGAAGTTGGCATACGTCTTGAGCCTAAGCCAGGGAATCAGCTCGCATCTCGAGACGATTTGGGGTACACGGAGCATTCCTCGAGTTGCTGTGCTGAAGTTGGTGTTCCTCTAGACTTGGGACAGTGTTCTCGGGGCATCTCTGGAGTTGCCTGAAGGAAGTCGAGCCACCGGTCGTGTTGAATGGGGAACGGGGAATGGCTCTGGAGTCAATGCAGGGGAATCGGGCCTCATCTCGAGTTGATTTGGGGCACATGGAGCTGCTTTGCGTTGCTGGGGTGACCTCAGGGTCCGTCTAGACTGGTGACAGTGTTCTTGGGGACTGTCTCGAGATCCATTAAGCAAGTCGAAGCTCCTGACTTGTTTGAATGGGGTCACGGAATAGCTCTGCATGCACTGCAGGGGAATGGGGCCTCATCTCGCCTCTAGGGGGAAGTCTCATGGTTTTTCTCGAGTTGCGGCGGGGACCTGGGGTATGTTCTCGACTTACGGCGGGGATGGCCCTTCAAAACACGAGTTTCTTCAGTGACGTCAGGACTCCTGTCTAGTAACGAGGGACACCTCAGGAATCTCTTCGAGGCTTGGCAGGGCCAAAGGGACGCTTCTCGAGGTGAGGCAGGGCACCCAAGGACCCTTTCCAGGAGCCACAGGGATTTTGGGATTCCTATCAGTATTCAAGAGGAGTCAGGCATCGTCACCTTTTGAAGCAATGAACTCCGCGTGCCTCTCGAGGTGTCAGCGGGATGTGAGGCATTCCGTCAAAATGAGGCAGGGACCTAGGGCTTTCTCTAAGGTCTCCACAGGGGATTCAGACATCCCTTCATGTTGTGAGATGAAAGACGAGCCTGTATTCAAGCCACTGCAAGGAAATCCGGCCTCCTTTCAAGTTAGGGCTTCTCGCTGTATATTCCCCTTGAGGCAGCAAACTCGGGGTCCCTCCCACATACCTATTGCTGAGAGAAGCCTCCTCCTGAGGTGCTTCTGGGAAGTTGGCATACGTCTTGAGCCTAAGCCAGGGAATCAGCTCGCATCTCGAGACGATTTGGGGTACACGGAGCATTCCTCGAGTTGCTGTGCTGAAGTTGGTGTTCCTCTAGACTTGGGACAGTGTTCTCGGGGCATCTCTGGAGTTGCCAGAAGGAAGTCGAGCCACCGGTCGTGTTGAATGGGGAACGGGGAATGGCTCTGGAGTCAATGCAGGGGAATCGGGCCTCATCTCGAGTTGATTTGGGGCACATGGAGCTGCTTTGCGTTGCTGGGGTGACCTCAGGGTCCGTCTAGACTGGTGACAGTGTTCTTGGGGACTGTCTCGAGATCCATTAAGCAAGTCGAAGCTCCTGACTTGTTTGAATGGGATCACGGAATAGCTCTGCATGCACTGCAGGGGAATGGGGCCTCATCTCGCCTCTAGGGGGAAGTCTCATGGTTTTTCTCGAGTTGCGGCGGGGACCTGGGGTATGTTCTCGACTTACGGCGGGGATGGCCCTTCAAAACACGAGTTTCTTCAGTGACGTCAGGACTCCTGTCTAGTAACGAGGGACACCTCAGGAATCTCTTCGAGGCTTGGCAGGGCCAAAGGGACGCTTCTCGAGGTGAGGCAGGGCACCCAAGGACCCTTTCCAGGAGCCACAGGGATTTTGGGATTCCTATCAGTATTCAAGAGGAGTCAGGCATCGTCACCTTTTGAAGCAATGAACTCCGCGTGCCTCTCGAGGTGTCAGCGGGATGTGAGGCATTCCGTCAAAATGAGGCAGGGACCTAGGGCTTTCTCTAAGGTCTCCACAGGGGATTCAGACATCCCTTCATGTTGTGAGATGAAAGACGAGCCTGTATTCAAGCCACTGCAAGGAAATCCGGCCTCCTTTCAAGTTAGGGCTTCTCGCTGTATATTCCCCTTGAGGCAGCAAACTCGGGGTCCCTCCCACATACCTATTGCTGAGAGAAGCCTCCTCCTGAGGTGCTTCTGGGAAGTTGGCATACGTCTTGAGCCTAAGCCAGGGAATCAGCTCGCATCTCGAGACGATTTGGGGTACACGGAGCATTCCTCGAGTTGCTGTGCTGAAGTTGGTGTTCCTCTAGACTTGGGACAGTGTTCTCGGGGCATCTCTGGAGTTGCCTGAAGGAAGTCGAGCCACCGGTCGTGTTGAATGGGGAACGGGGAATGGCTCTGGAGTCAATGCAGGGGAATCGGGCCTCATCTCGAGTTGATTTGGGGCACATGGAGCTGCTTTGCGTTGCTGGGGTGACCTCAGGGTCCGTCTAGACTGGTGACAGTGTTCTTGGGGACTGTCTCGAGATCCATTAAGCAAGTCGAAGCTCCTGACTTGTTTGAATGGGATCACGGAATAGCTCTGCATGCACTGCAGGGGAATGGGGCCTCATCTCGCCTCTAGGGGGAAGTCTCATGGTTTTTCTCGAGTTGCGGCGGGGACCTGGGGTATGTTCTCGACTTACGGCGGGGATGGCCCTTCAAAACACGAGTTTCTTCAGTGACGTCAGGACTCCTGTCTAGTAACGAGGGACACCTCAGGAATCTCTTCGAGGCTTGGCAGGGCCAAAGGGACGCTTCTCGAGGTGAGGCAGGGCACCCAAGGACCCTTTCCAGGAGCCACAGGGATTTTGGGATTCCTATCAGTATTCAAGAGGAGTCAGGCATCGTCACCTTTTGAAGCAATGAACTCCGCGTGCCTCTCGAGGTGTCAGCGGGATGTGAGGCATTCCGTCAAAATGAGGCAGGGACCTAGGGCTTTCTCTAAGGTCTCCACAGGGGATTCAGACATCCCTTCATGTTGTGAGATGAAAGACGAGCCTGTATTCAAGCCACTGCAAGGAAATCCGGCCTCCTTTCAAGTTAGGGCTTCTCGCTGTATATTCCCCTTGAGGCAGCAAACTCGGGGTCCCTCCCACATACCTATTGCTGAGAGAAGCCTCCTCCTGAGGTGCTTCTGGGAAGTTGGCATACGTCTTGAGCCTAAGCCAGGGAATCAGCTCGCATCTCGAGACGATTTGGGGTACACGGAGCATTCCTCGAGTTGCTGTGCTGAAGTTGGTGTTCCTCTAGACTTGGGACAGTGTTCTCGGGGCATCTCTGGAGTTGCCAGAAGGAAGTCGAGCCACCGGTCGTGTTGAATGGGGAACGGGGAATGGCTCTGGAGTCAATGCAGGGGAATCGGGCCTCATCTCGAGTTGATTTGGGGCACATGGAGCTGCTTTGCGTTGCTGGGGTGACCTCAGGGTCCGTCTAGACTGGTGACAGTGTTCTTGGGGACTGTCTCGAGATCCATTAAGCAAGTCGAAGCTCCTGACTTGTTTGAATGGGATCACGGAATAGCTCTGCATGCACTGCAGGGTAATGGGGCCTCATCTCGCCTCTAGGGGGAAGTCTCATGGTTTTTCTCGAGTTGCGGCGGGGACCTGGGGTATGTTCTCGACTTACGGCGGGGATGGCCCTTCAAAACACGAGTTTCTTCAGTGACGTCAGGACTCCTGTCTAGTAACGAGGGACACCTCAGGAATCTCTTCGAGGCTTGGCAGGGCCAAAGGGACGCTTCTCGAGGTGAGGCAGGGCACCCAAGGACCCTTTCCAGGAGCCACAGGGATTTTGGGATTCCTATCAGTATTCAAGAGGAGTCAGGCATCGTCACCTTTTGAAGCAATGAACTCCGCGTGCCTCTCGAGGTGTCAGCGGGATGTGAGGCATTCCGTCAAAATGAGGCAGGGACCTAGGGCTTTCTCTAAGGTCTCCACAGGGGATTCAGACATCCCTTCATGTTGTGAGATGAAAGACGAGCCTGTATTCAAGCCACTGCAAGGAAATCCGGCCTCCTTTCAAGTTAGGGCTTCTCGCTGTATATTCCCCTTGAGGCAGCAAACTCGGGGTCCCTCCCACATACCTATTGCTGAGAGAAGCCTCCTCCTGAGGTGCTTCTGGGAAGTTGGCATACGTCTTGAGCCTAAGCCAGGGAATCAGCTCGCATCTCGAGACGATTTGGGGTACACGGAGCATTCCTCGAGTTGCTGTGCTGAAGTTGGTGTTCCTCTAGACTTGGGACAGTGTTCTCGGGGCATCTCTGGAGTTGCCTGAAGGAAGTCGAGCCACCGGTCGTGTTGAATGGGGAACGGGGAATGGCTCTGGAGTCAATGCAGGGGAATCGGGCCTCATCTCGAGTTGATTTGGGGCACATGGAGCTGCTTTGCGTTGCTGGGGTGACCTCAGGGTCCGTCTAGACTGGTGACAGTGTTCTTGGGGACTGTCTCGAGATCCATTAAGCAAGTCGAAGCTCCTGACTTGTTTGAATGGGATCACGGAATAGCTCTGCATGCACTGCAGGGGAATGGGGCCTCATCTCGCCTCTAGGGGGAAGTCTCATGGTTTTTCTCGAGTTGCGGCGGGGACCTGGGGTATGTTCTCGACTTACGGCGGGGATGGCCCTTCAAAACACGAGTTTCTTCAGTGACGTCAGGACTCCTGTCTAGTAACGAGGGACACCTCAGGAATCTCTTCGAGGCTTGGCAGGGCCAAAGGGACGCTTCTCGAGGTGAGGCAGGGCACCCAAGGACCCTTTCCAGGAGCCACAGGGATTTTGGGATTCCTATCAGTATTCAAGAGGAGTCAGGCATCGTCACCTTTTGAAGCAATGAACTCCGCGTGCCTCTCGAGGTGTCAGCGGGATGTGAGGCATTCCGTCAAAATGAGGCAGGGACCTAGGGCTTTCTCTAAGGTCTCCACAGGGGATTCAGACATCCCTTCATGTTGTGAGATGAAAGACGAGCCTGTATTCAAGCCACTGCAAGGAAATCCGGCCTCCTTTCAAGTTAGGGCTTCTCGCTGTATATTCCCCTTGAGGCAGCAAACTCGGGGTCCCTCCCACATACCTATTGCTGAGAGAAGCCTCCTCCTGAGGTGCTTCTGGGAAGTTGGCATACGTCTTGAGCCTAAGCCAGGGAATCAGCTCGCATCTCGAGACGATTTGGGGTACACGGAGCATTCCTCGAGTTGCTGTGCTGAAGTTGGTGTTCCTCTAGACTTGGGACAGTGTTCTCGGGGCATCTCTGGAGTTGCCTGAAGGAAGTCGAGCCACCGGTCGTGTTGAATGGGGAACGGGGAATGGCTCTGGAGTCAATGCAGGGGAATCGGGCCTCATCTCGAGTTGATTTGGGGCACATGGAGCTGCTTTGCGTTGCTGGGGTGACCTCAGGGTCCGTGTAGACTGGTGACAGTGTTCTTGGGGACTGTCTCGAGATCCATTAAGCAAGTCGAAGCTCCTGACTTGTTTGAATGGGGTCACGGAATAGCTCTGCATGCACTGCAGGGGAATGGGGCCTCATCTCGCCTCTAGGGGGAAGTCTCATGGTTTTTCTCGAGTTGCGGCGGGGACCTGGGGTATGTTCTCGACTTACGGCGGGGATGGCCCTTCAAAACACGAGTTTCTTCAGTGACGTCAGGACTCCTGTCTAGTAACGAGGGACACCTCAGGAATCTCTTCGAGGCTTGGCAGGGCCAAAGGGACGCTTCTCGAGGTGAGGCAGGGCACCCAAGGACCCTTTCCAGGAGCCACAGGGATTTTGGGATTCCTATCAGTATTCAAGAGGAGTCAGGCATCGTCACCTTTTGAAGCAATGAACTCCGCGTGCCTCTCGAGGTGTCAGCGGGATGTGAGGCATTCCGTCAAAATGAGGCAGGGACCTAGGGCTTTCTCTAAGGTCTCCACAGGGGATTCAGACATCCCTTCATGTTGTGAGATGAAAGACGAGCCTGTATTCAAGCCACTGCAAGGAAATCCGGCCTCCTTTCAAGTTAGGGCTTCTCGCTGTATATTCCCCTTGAGGCAGCAAACTCGGGGTCCCTCCCACATACCTATTGCTGAGAGAAGCCTCCTCCTGAGGTGCTTCTGGGAAGTTGGCATACGTCTTGAGCCTAAGCCAGGGAATCAGCTCGCATCTCGAGACGATTTGGGGTACACGGAGCACTCCTCGAGTTGCTGTGCTGAAGTTGGTGTTCCTCTAGACTTGGGACAGTGTTCTCGGGGCATCTCTGGAGTTGCCTGAAGGAAGTCGAGCCACCGGTCGTGTTGAATGGGGAACGGGGAATGGCTCTGGAGTCAATGCAGGGGAATCGGGCCTCATCTCGAGTTGATTTGGGGCACATGGAGCTGCTTTGGGTTGCTGGGGTGACCTCAGGGTCCATCTAGACTGGTGACAGTGTTCTTGGGGACTGTCTCGAGATCCATTAAGCAAGTCGAAGCTCCTGACTTGTTTGAATGGGATCACGGAATAGCTCTGCATGCACTGCAGGGGAATGGGGCCTCATCTCGCCTCTAGGGGGAAGTCTCATGGTTTTTCTCGAGTTGCGGCGGGGACCTGGGGTATGTTCTCGACTTACGGCGGGGATGGCCCTTCAAAACACTAGTTTCTTCAGTGACGTCAGGACTCCTGTCTAGTAACGAGGGACACCTCAGGAATCTCTTCGAGGCTTGGCAGGGCCAAAGGGACGCTTCTCGAGGTGAGGCAGGGCACCCAAGGACCCTTTCCAGGAGCCACAGGGATTTTGGGATTCCTATCAGTATTCAAGAGGAGTCAGGCATCGTCACCTTTTGAAGCAATGAACTCCGCGTGCCTCTCGAGGTGTCAGCGGGATGTGAGGCATTCCGTCAAAATGAGGCAGGGACCTAGGGCTTTCTCTAAGGTCTCCACAGGGGATTCAGACATCCCTTCATGTTGTGAGATGAAAGACGAGCCTGTATTCAAGCCACTGCAAGGAAATCCGGCCTCCTTTCAAGTTAGGGCTTCTCGCTGTATATTCCCCTTGAGGCAGCAAACTCGGGGTCCCTCCCACATACCTATTGCTGAGAGAAGCCTCCTCCTGAGGTGCTTCTGGGAAGTTGGCATACGTCTTGAGCCTAAGCCAGGGAATCAGCTCGCATCTCGAGACGATTTGGGGTACACGGAGCATTCCTCGAGTTGCTGTGCTGAAGTTGGTGTTCCTCTAGACTTGGGACAGTGTTCTCGGGGCATCTCTGGAGTTGCCTGAAGGAAGTCGAGCCACCGGTCGTGTTGAATGGGGAACGGGGAATGGCTCTGGAGTCAATGCAGGGGAATCGGGCCTCATCTCGAGTTGATTTGGGGCCCATGGAGCTGCTTTGCATTGCTGGGGTGACCTCAGGGTCCGTCTAGACTGGTGACAGTGTTCTTGGGGACTGTCTCGAGATCCATTAAGCAAGTCGAAGCTCCTGACTTGTTTGAATGGGATCACGGAATAGCTCTGCATGCACTGCAGGGGAATGGGGCCTCATCTCGCCTCTAGGGGGAAGTCTCATGGTTTTTCTCGAGTTGCGGCGGGGACCTGGGGTATGTTCTCGACTTACGGCGGGGATGGCCCTTCAAAACACTAGTTTCTTCAGTGACGTCAGGACTCCTGTCTAGTAACGAGGGACACCTCAGGAATCTCTTCGAGGCTTGGCAGGGCCAAAGGGACGCTTCTCGAGGTGAGGCAGGGCACCCAAGGACCCTTTCCAGTAGCCACAGGGATTTTGGGATTCCTATCAGTATTCAAGAGGAGTCAGGCATCGTCACCTTTTGAAGCAATGAACTCCGCGTGCCTCTCGAGGTGTCAGCGGGATGTGAGGCATTCCGTCAAAATGAGGCAGGGACCTAGGGCTTTCTCTAAGGTCTCCACAGGGGATTCAGACATCCCTTCATGTTGTGAGATGAAAGACGAGCCTGTATTCAAGCCACTGCAAGGAAATCCGGCCTCCTTTCAAGTTAGGGCTTCTCGCTGTATATTCCCCTTGAGGCAGCAAACTCGGGGTCCCTCCCACATACCTATTGCTGAGAGAAGCCTCCTCCTGAGGTGCTTCTGGGAAGTTGGCATACGTCTTGAGCCTAAGCCAGGGAATCAGCTCGCATCTCGAGACGATTTGGGGTACACGGAGCATTCCTCGAGTTGCTGTGCTGAAGTTGGTGTTCCTCTAGACTTGGGACAGTGTTCTCGGGGCATCTCTGGAGTTGCCTGAAGGAAGTCGAGCCACCGGTCGTGTTGAATGGGGAACGGGGAATGGCTCTGGAGTCAATGCAGGGGAATCGGGCCTCATCTCGAGTTGATTTGGGGCACATGGAGCTGCTTTGCATTGCTGGGGTGACCTCAGGGTCCGTCTAGACTGGTGACAGTGTTCTTGGGGACTGTCTCGAGATCCATTAAGCAAGTCGAAGCTCCTGACTTGTTTGAATGGGATCACGGAATAGCTCTGCATGCACTGCAGGGGAATGGGGCCTCATCTCGCCTCTAGGGGGAAGTCTCATGGTTTTTCTCGAGTTGCGGCGGGGACCTGGGGTATGTTCTCGACTTACGGCGGGGATGGCCCTTCAAAACACGAGTTTCTTCAGTGACGTCAGGACTTCTGTCTAGTAACGAGGGACACCTCAGGAATCTCTTCGAGGCTTGGCAGGGCCAAAGGGACGCTTCTCGAGGTGAGGCAGGGCACCCAAGGACCCTTTCCAGTAGCCACAGGGATTTTGGGATTCCTATCAGTATTCAAGAGGAGTCAGGCATCGTCACCTTTTGAAGCAATGAACTCCGCGTGCCTCTCGAGGTGTCAGCGGGATGTGAGGCATTCCGTCAAAATGAGGCAGGGACCTAGGGCTTTCTCTAAGGTCTCCACAGGGGATTCAGACATCCCTTCATGTTGTGAGATGAAAGACGAGCCTGTATTCAAGCCACTGCAAGGAAATCCGGCCTCCTTTCAAGTTAGGGCTTCTCGCTGTATATTCCCCTTGAGGCAGCAAACTCGGGGTCCCTCCCACATACCTATTGCTGAGAGAAGCCTCCTCCTGAGGTGCTTCTGGGAAGTTGGCATACGTCTTGAGCCTAAGCCAGGGAATCAGCTCGCATCTCGAGACGATTTGGGGTACACGGAGCATTCCTCGAGTTGCTGTGCTGAAGTTGGTGTTCCTCTAGACTTGGGACAGTGTTCTCGGGGCATCTCTGGAGTTGCCTGAAGGAAGTCGAGCCACCGGTCGTGTTGAATGGGGAACGGGGAATGGCTCTGGAGTCAATGCAGGGGAATCGGGCCTCATCTCGAGTTGATTTGGGGCACATGGAGCTGCTTTGCGTTGCTGGGGTGACCTCAGGGTCCGTCTAGACTGGTGACAGTGTTCTTGGGGACTGTCTCGAGATCCATTAAGCAAGTCGAAGCTCCTGACTTGTTTGAATGTGGTCACGGAATAGCTCTGCATGCACTGCAGGGGAATGGGGCCTCATCTCGCCTCTAGGGGGAAGTCTCATGGTTTTTCTCGAGTTGCGGCGGGGACCTGGGGTATGTTCTCGACTTACGGCGGGGATGGCCCTTCAAAACACGAGTTTCTTCAGTGACGTCAGGACTCCTGTCTAGTAACGAGGGACACCTCAGGAATCTCTTCGAGGCTTGGCAGGGCCAAAGGGACGCTTCTCGAGGTGAGGCAGGGCACCCAAGGACCCTTTCCAGTAGCCACAGGGATTTTGGGATTCCTATCAGTATTCAAGAGGAGTCAGGCATCGTCACCTTTTGAAGCAATGAACTCCGCGTGCCTCTCGAGGTGTCAGCGGGATGTGAGGCATTCCGTCAAAATGAGGCAGGGACCTAGGGCTTTCTCTAAGGTCTCCACAGGGGATTCAGACATCCCTTCATGTTGTGAGATGAAAGACGAGCCTGTATTCAAGCCACTGCAAGGAAATCCGGCCTCCTTTCAAGTTAGGGCTTCTCGCTGTATATTCCCCTTGAGGCAGCAAACTCGGGGTCCCTCCCACATACCTATTGCTGAGAGAAGCCTCCTCCTGAGGTGCTTCTGGGAAGTTGGCATACGTCTTGAGCCTAAGCCAGGGAATCAGCTCGCATCTCGAGACGATTTGGGGTACACGGAGCATTCCTCGAGTTGCTGTGCTGAAGTTGGTGTTCCTCTAGACTTGGGACAGTGTTCTCGGGGCATCTCTGGAGTTGCCTGAAGGAAGTCGAGCCACCGGTCGTGTTGAATGGGGAACGGGGAATGGCTCTGGAGTCAATGCAGGGGAATCGGGCCTCATCTCGAGTTGATTTGGGGCACATGGAGCTGCTTTGCGTTGCTGGGGTGACCTCAGGGTCCGTCTAGACTGGTGACAGTGTTCTTGGGGACTGTCTCGAGATCCATTAAGCAAGTCGAAGCTCCTGACTTGTTTGAATGGGATCACGGAATAGCTCTGCATGCACTGCAGGGGAATGGGGCCTCATCTCGCCTCTAGGGGGAAGTCTCATGGTTTTTCTCGAGTTGCGGCGGGGACCTGGGGTATGTTCTCGACTTACGGCGGGGATGGCCCTTCAAAACACGAGTTTCTTCAGTGACGTCAGGACTTCTGTCTAGTAACGAGGGACACCTCAGGAATCTCTTCGAGGCTTGGCAGGGCCAAAGGGACGCTTCTCGAGGTGAGGCAGGGCACCCAAGGACCCTTTCCAGTAGCCACAGGGATTTTGGGATTCCTATCAGTATTCAAGAGGAGTCAGGCATCGTCACCTTTTGAAGCAATGAACTCCGCGTGCCTCTCGAGGTGTCAGCGGGATGTGAGGCATTCCGTCAAAATGAGGCAGGGACCTAGGGCTTTCTCTAAGGTCTCCACAGGGGATTCAGACATCCCTTCATGTTGTGAGATGAAAGACGAGCCTGTATTCAAGCCACTGCAAGGAAATCCGGCCTCCTTTCAAGTTAGGGCTTCTCGCTGTATATTCCCCTTGAGGCAGCAAACTCGGGGTCCCTCCCACATACCTATTGCTGAGAGAAGCCTCCTCCTGAGGTGCTTCTGGGAAGTTGGCATACGTCTTGAGCCTAAGCCAGGGAATCAGCTCGAATCTCGAGACGATTTGGGGTACACGGAGCATTCCTCGAGTTGCTGTGCTGAAGTTGGTGTTCCTCTAGACTTGGGACAGTGTTCTCGGGGCATCTCTGGAGTTGCCTGAAGGAAGTCGAGCCACCGGTCGTGTTGAATGGGGAACGGGGAATGGCTCTGGAGTCAATGCAGGGGAATCGGGCCTCATCTCGAGTTGATTTGGGGCACATGGAGCTGCTTTGCGTTGCTGGGGTGACCTCAGGGTCCGTCTAGACTGGTGACAGTGTTCTTGGGGACTGTCTCGAGATCCATTAAGCAAGTCGAAGCTCCTGACTTGTTTGAATGTGGTCACGGAATAGCTCTGCATGCACTGCAGGGGAATGGGGCCTCATCTCGCCTCTAGGGGGAAGTCTCATGGTTTTTCTCGAGTTGCGGCGGGGACCTGGGGTATGTTCTCGACTTACGGCGGGGATGGCCCTTCAAAACACGAGTTTCTTCAGTGACGTCAGGACTCCTGTCTAGTAACGAGGGACACCTCAGGAATCTCTTCGAGGCTTGGCAGGGCCAAAGGGACGCTTCTCGAGGTGAGGCAGGGCACCCAAGGACCCTTTCCAGTAGCCACAGGGATTTTGGGATTCCTATCAGTATTCAAGAGGAGTCAGGCATCGTCACCTTTTGAAGCAATGAACTCCGCGTGCCTCTCGAGGTGTCAGCGGGATGTGAGGCATTCCGTCAAAATGAGGCAGGGACCTAGGGCTTTCTCTAAGGTCTCCACAGGGGATTCAGACATCCCTTCATGTTGTGAGATGAAAGACGAGCCTGTATTCAAGCCACTGCAAGGAAATCCGGCCTCCTTTCAAGTTAGGGCTTCTCGCTGTATATTCCCCTTGAGGCAGCAAACTCGGGGTCCCTCCCACATACCTATTGCTGAGAGAAGCCTCCTCCTGAGGTGCTTCTGGGAAGTTGGCATACGTCTTGAGCCTAAGCCAGGGAATCAGCTCGCATCTCGAGACGATTTGGGGTACACGGAGCATTCCTCGAGTTGCTGTGCTGAAGTTGGTGTTCCTCTAGACTTGGGACAGTGTTCTCGGGGCATCTCTGGAGTTGCCTGAAGGAAGTCGAGCCACCGGTCGTGTTGAATGGGGAACGGGGAATGGCTCTGGAGTCAATGCAGGGGAATCGGGCCTCATCTCGAGTTGATTTGGGGCACATGGAGCTGCTTTGCATTGCTGGGGTGAACTCAGGGTCCGTCTAGACTGGTGACAGTGTTCTTGGGGACTGTCTCGAGATCCATTAAGCAAGTCGAAGCTCCTGACTTGTTTGAATGGGATCACGGAATAGCTCTGCATGCACTGCAGGGGAATGGGGCCTCATCTCGCCTCTAGGGGGAAGTCTCATGGTTTTTCTCGAGTTGCGGCGGGGACCTGGGGTATGTTCTCGACTTACGGCGGGGATGGCCCTTCAAAACACTAGTTTCTTCAGTGACGTCAGGACTCCTGTCTAGTAACGAGGGACACCTCAGGAATCTCTTCGAGGCTTGGCAGGGCCAAAGGGACGCTTCTCGAGGTGAGGCAGGGCACCCAAGGACCCTTTCCAGTAGCCACAGGGATTTTGGGATTCCTATCAGTATTCAAGAGGAGTCAGGCATCGTCACCTTTTGAAGCAATGAACTCCGCGTGCCTCTCGAGGTGTCAGCGGGATGTGAGGCATTCCGTCAAAATGAGGCAGGGACCTAGGGCTTTCTCTAAGGTCTCCACAGGGGATTCAGACATCCCTTCATGTTGTGAGATGAAAGACGAGCCTGTATTCAAGCCACTGCAAGGAAATCCGGCCTCCTTTCAAGTTAGGGCTTCTCGCTGTATATTCCCCTTGAGGCAGCAAACTCGGGGTCCCTCCCACATACCTATTGCTGAGAGAAGCCTCCTCCTGAGGTGCTTCTGGGAAGTTGGCATACGTCTTGAGCCTAAGCCAGGGAATCAGCTCGCATCTCGAGACGATTTGGGGTACACGGAGCATTCCTCGAGTTGCTGTGCTGAAGTTGGTGTTCCTCTAGACTTGGGACAGTGTTCTCGGGGCATCTCTGGAGTTGCCTGAAGGAAGTCGAGCCACCGGTCGTGTTGAATGGGGAACGGGGAATGGCTCTGGAGTCAATGCAGGGGAATCGGGCCTCATCTCGAGTTGATTTGGGGCACATGGAGCTGCTTTGCGTTGCTGGGGTGACCTCAGGGTCCGTCTAGACTGGTGACAGTGTTCTTGGGGACTGTCTCGAGATCCATTAAGCAAGTCGAAGCTCCTGACTTGTTTGAATGTGGTCACGGAATAGCTCTGCATGCACTGCAGGGGAATGGGGCCTCATCTCGCCTCTAGGGGGAAGTCTCATGGTTTTTCTCGAGTTGCGGCGGGGACCTGGGGTATGTTCTCGACTTACGGCGGGGATGGCCCTTCAAAACACGAGTTTCTTCAGTGACGTCAGGACTCCTGTCTAGTAACGAGGGACACCTCAGGAATCTCTTCGAGGCTTGGCAGGGCCAAAGGGACGCTTCTCGAGGTGAGGCAGGGCACCCAAGGACCCTTTCCAGTAGCCACAGGGATTTTGGGATTCCTATCAGTATTGAAGAGGAGTCAGGCATCGTCACCTTTTGAAGCAATGAACTCCGCGTGCCTCTCGAGGTGTCAGCGGGATGTGAGGCATTCCGTCAAAATGAGGCAGGGACCTAGGGCATTCTCTAAGGTCTCCACAGGGGATTCAGACATCCCTTCATGTTGTGAGATGAAAGACGAGCCTGTATTCAAGCCACTGCAAGGAAATCCGGCCTCCTTTCAAGTTAGGGCTTCTCGCTGTATATTCCCCTTGAGGCAGCAAACTCGGGGTCCCTCCCACATATCTATTGCTGAGAGAAGCCTCCTCCTGAGGTGCTTCTGGGAAGTTGGCATACGTCTTGAGCCTATGCCAGGGAATCAGCTCGCATCTCGAGACGATTTGGGGTACACGGAGCATTCCTCGAGTTGCTGTGCTGAAGTTGGTGTTCCTCTAGACTTGGGACAGTGTTCTCGGGGCATCTCTGGAGTTGCCTGAAGGAAGTCGAGCCACCGGTCGTGTTGAATGGGGAACGGGGAATGGCTCTGGAGTCAATGCAGGGGAATCGGGCCTCATCTCGAGTTGATTTGGGGCACATGGAGCTGCTTTGCGTTGCTGGGGTGACCTCAGGGTCCGTCTAGACTGGTGACAGTGTTCTTGGGGACTGTCTCGAGATCCATTAAGCAAGTCGAAGCTCCTGACTTGTTTGAATGGGGTCACGGAATAGCTCTGCATGCACTGCAGGGGAATGGGGCCTCATCTCGCCTCTAGGGGGAAGTCTCATGGTTTTTCTCGAGTTGCGGCGGGGACCTGGGGTATGTTCTCGACTTACGGCGGGGATGGCCCTTCAAAACACGAGTTTCTTCAGTGACGTCAGGACTCCTGTCTAGTAACGAGGGACACCTCAGGAATCTCTTCGAGGCTTGGCAGGGCCAAAGGGACGCTTCTCGAGGTGAGGCAGGGCACCCAAGGACCCTTTCCAGGAGCCACAGGGATTTTGGGATTCCTATCAGTATTCAAGAGGAGTCAGGCATCGTCACCTTTTGAAGCAATGAACTCCGCGTGCCTCTCGAGGTGTCAGCGGGATGTGAGGCATTCCGTCAAAATGAGGCAGGGACCTAGGGCTTTCTCTAAGGTCTCCACAGGGGATTCAGACATCCCTTCATGTTGTGAGATGAAAGACGAGCCTGTATTCAAGCCACTGCAAGGAAATCCGGCCTCCTTTCAAGTTAGGGCTTCTCGCTGTATATTCCCCTTGAGGCAGCAAACTCGGGGTCCCTCCCACATACCTATTGCTGAGAGAAGCCTCCTCCTGAGGTGCTTCTGGGAAGTTGGCATACGTCTTGAGCCTAAGCCAGGGAATCAGCTCGCATCTCGAGACGATTTGGGGTACACGGAGCATTCCTCGAGTTGCTGTGCTGAAGTTGGTGTTCCTCTAGACTTGGGACAGTGTTCTCGGGGCATCTCTGGAGTTGCCAGAAGGAAGTCGAGCCACCGGTCGTGTTGAATGGGGAACGGGGAATGGCTCTGGAGTCAATGCAGGGGAATCGGGCCTCATCTCGAGTTGATTTGGGGCACATGGAGCTGCTTTGCGTTGCTGGGGTGACCTCAGGGTCCATCTAGACTGGTGACAGTGTTCTTGGGGACTGTCTCGAGATCCATTAAGCAAGTCGAAGCTCCTGACTTGTTTGAATGGGATCACGGAATAGCTCTGCATGCACTGCAGGGGAATAGGGCCTCATCTCGCCTCTAGGGGGAAGTCTCATGGTTTTTCTCGAGTTGCGGCGGGGACCTGGGGTATGTTCTCGACTTACGGCGGGGATGGCCCTTCAAAACACTAGTTTCTTCAGTGACGTCAGGACTCCTGTCTAGTAACGAGGGACACCTCAGGAATCTCTTCGAGGCTTGGCAGGGCCAAAGGGACGCTTCTCGAGGTGAGGCAGGGCACCCAAGGACCCTTTCCAGGAGCCACAGGGATTTTGGGATTCCTATCAGTATTCAAGAGGAGTCAGGCATCGTCACCTTTTGAAGCAATGAACTCCGCGTGCCTCTCGAGGTGTCAGCGGGATGTGAGGCATTCCGTCAAAATGAGGCAGGGACCTAGGGCTTTCTCTAAGGTCTCCACAGGGGATTCAGACATCCCTTCATGTTGTGAGATGAAAGACGAGCCTGTATTCAAGCCACTGCAAGGAAATCCGGCCTCCTTTCAAGTTAGGGCTTCTCGCTGTATATTCCCCTTGAGGCAGCAAACTCGGGGTCCCTCCCACATACCTATTGCTGAGAGAAGCCTCCTCCTGAGGTGCTTCTGGGAAGTTGGCATACGTCTTGAGCCTAAGCCAGGGAATCAGCTCGCATCTCGAGACGATTTGGGGTACACGGAGCATTCCTCGAGTTGCTGTGCTGAAGTTGGTGTTCCTCTAGACTTGGGACAGTGTTCTCGGGGCATCTCTGGAGTTGCCTGAAGGAAGTCGAGCCACCGGTCGTGTTGAATGGGGAACGGGGAATGGCTCTGGAGTCAATGCAGGGGAATCGGGCCTCATCTCGAGTTGATTTGGGGCACATGGAGCTGCTTTGCATTGCTGGGGTGAACTCAGGGTCCGTCTAGACTGGTGACAGTGTTCTTGGGGACTGTCTCGAGATCCATTAAGCAAGTCGAAGCTCCTGACTTGTTTGAATGGGATCACGGAATAGCTCTGCATGCACTGCAGGGGAATGGGGCCTCATCTCGCCTCTAGGGGGAAGTCTCATGGTTTTTCTCGAGTTGCGGCGGGGACCTGGGGTATGTTCTCGACTTACGGCGGGGATGGCCCTTCAAAACACTAGTTTCTTCAGTGACGTCAGGACTCCTGTCTAGTAACGAGGGACACCTCAGGAATCTCTTCGAGGCTTGGCAGGGCCAAAGGGACGCTTCTCGAGGTGAGGCAGGGCACCCAAGGACCCTTTCCAGGAGCCACAGGGATTTTGGGATTCCTATCAGTATTCAAGAGGAGTCAGGCATCGTCACCTTTTGAAGCAATGAACTCCGCGTGCCTCTCGAGGTGTCAGCGGGATGTGAGGCATTCCGTCAAAATGAGGCAGGGACCTAGGGCTTTCTCTAAGGTCTCCACAGGGGATTCAGACATCCCTTCATGTTGTGAGATGAAAGACGAGCCTGTATTCAAGCCACTGCAAGGAAATCCGGCCTCCTTTCAAGTTAGGGCTTCTCGCTGTATATTCCCCTTGAGGCAGCAAACTCGGGGTCCCTCCCACATACCTATTGCTGAGAGAAGCCTCCTCGTGAGGTGCTTCTGGGAAGTTGGCATACGTCTTGAGCCTAAGCCAGGGAATCAGCTCACATCTCGAGACGATTTGGGGTACACAGAGCATTCCTCGAGTTGCTGTGCTGAAGTTGGTGTTCCTCTAGACTTGGGACAGTGTTCTCGGGGCATCTCTGGAGTTGCCTGAAGGAAGTCGAGCCACCGGTCGTGTTGAATGGGGAACGGGGAATGGCTCTGGAGTCAATGCAGGGGAATCGGGCCTCATCTCGAGTTGATTTGGGGCACATGGAGCTGCTTTGCGTTGCTGGGGTGACCTCAGGGTCCGTCTAGACTGGTGACAGTGTTCTTGGGGACTGTCTCGAGATCCATTAAGCAAGTCGAAGCTCCTGACTTGTTTGAATGGGGTCACGGAATAGCTCTGCATGCACTGCAGTGGAATGGGGCCTCATCTCGCCTCTAGGGGGAAGTCTCATGGTTTTTCTCGAGTTGCGGCGGGGACCTGGGGTATGTTCTCGACTTACGGCGGGGATGGCCCTTCAAAACACGAGTTTCTTCAGTGACGTCAGGACTCCTGTCTAGTAACGAGGGACACCTCAGGAATCTCTTCGAGGCTTGGCAGGGCCAAAGGGACGCTTCTCGAGGTGAGGCAGGGCACCCAAGGATCCTTTCCAGTAGCCACAGGGATTTTGGGATTCCTATCAGTATTCAAGAGGAGTCAGGCATCGTCACCTTTTGAAGCAATGAACTCCGCGTGCCTCTCGAGGTGTCAGCGGGATGTGAGGCATTCCGTCAAAATGAGGCAGGGACCTAGGGCTTTCTCTAAGGTCTCCACAGGGGATTCAGACATCCCTTCATGTTGTGAGATGAAAGACGAGCCTGTATTCAAGCCACTGCAAGGAAATCCGGCCTCCTTTCAAGTTAGGGCTTCTCGCTGTATATTCCCCTTGAGGCAGCAAACTCGGGGTCCCTCCCACATACCTATTGCTGAGAGAAGCCTCCTCCTGAGGTGCTTCTGGGAAGTTGGCATACGTCTTGAGCCTAAGCCAGGGAATCAGCTCGCATCTCGAGACGATTTGGGGTACACGGAGCATTCCTCGAGTTGCTGTGCTGAAGTTGGTGTTCCTCTAGACTTGGGACAGTGTTCTCGGGGCATCTCTGGAGTTGCCTGAAGGAAGTCGAGCCACCGGTCGTGTTGAATGGGGAACGGGGAATGGCTCTGGAGTCAATGCAGGGGAATCGGGCCTCATCTCGAGTTGATTTGGGGCACATGGAGCTGCTTTGCGTTGCTGGGGTGACCTCAGGGTCCGTCTAGACTGGTGACAGTGTTCTTGGGGACTGTCTCGAGATCCATTAAGCAAGTCGAAGCTCCTGACTTGTTTGAATGGGATCACGGAATAGCTCTGCATGCACTGCAGGGGAATTGGGCCTCATCTCGCCTCTAGGGGGAAGTCTCATGGTTTTTCTCGAGTTGCGGCGGGGACCTGGGGTATGTTCTCGACTTACGGCGGGGATGGCCCTTCAAAACACGAGTTTCTTCAGTGACGTCAGGACTCCTGTCTAGTAACGAGGGACACCTCAGGAATCTCTTCGAGGCTTGGCAGGGCCAAAGGGACGCTTCTCGAGGTGAGGCAGGGCACCCAAGGACCCTTTCCAGTAGCCACAGGGATTTTGGGATTCCTATCAGTATTCAAGAGGAGTCAGGCATCGTCACCTTTTGAAGCAATGAACTCCGCGTGCCTCTCGAGGTGTCAGCGGGATGTGAGGCATTCCGTCAAAATGAGGCAGGGACCTAGGGCTTTCTCTAAGGTCTCCACAGGGGATTCAGACATCCCTTCATGTTGTGAGATGAAAGACGAGCCTGTATTCAAGCCACTGCAAGGAAATCCGGCCTCCTTTCAAGTTAGGGCTTCTCGCTGTATATTCCCCTTGAGGCAGCAAACTCGGGGTCCCTCCCACATACCTATTGCTGAGAGAAGCCTCCTCCTGAGGTGCTTCTGGGAAGTTGGCATACGTCTTGAGCCTAAGCCAGGGAATCAGCTCGCATCTCGAGACGATTTGGGGTACACGGAGCATTCCTCGAGTTGCTGTGCTGAAGTTGGTGTTCCTCTAGACTTGGGACAGTGTTCTCGGGGCATCTCTGGAGTTGCCTGAAGGAAGTCGAGCCACCGGTCGTGTTGAATGGGGAACGGGGAATGGCTCTGGAGTCAATGCAGGGGAATCGGGCCTCATCTCGAGTTGATTTGGGGCCCATGGAGCTGCTTTGCATTGCTGGGGTGACCTCAGGGTCCGTCTAGACTGGTGACAGTGTTCTTGGGGACTGTCTCGAGATCCATTAAGCAAGTCGAAGCTCCTGACTTGTTTGAATGGGATCACGGAATAGCTCTGCATGCACTGCAGGGGAATGGGGCCTCATCTCGCCTCTAGGGGGAAGTCTCATGGTTTTTCTCGAGTTGCGGCGGGGACCTGGGGTATGTTCTCGACTTACGGCGGGGATGGCCCTTCAAAACACTAGTTTCTTCAGTGACGTCAGGACTCCTGTCTAGTAACGAGGGACACCTCAGGAATCTCTTCGAGGCTTGGCAGGGCCAAAGGGACGCTTCTCGAGGTGAGGCAGGGCACCCAAGGACCCTTTCCAGTAGCCACAGGGATTTTGGGATTCCTATCAGTATTCAAGAGGAGTCAGGCATCGTCACCTTTTGAAGCAATGAACTCCGCGTGCCTCTCGAGGTGTCAGCGGGATGTGAGGCATTCCGTCAAAATGAGGCAGGGACCTAGGGCTTTCTCTAAGGTCTCCACAGGGGATTCAGACATCCCTTCATGTTGTGAGATGAAAGACGAGCCTGTATTCAAGCCACTGCAAGGAAATCCGGCCTCCTTTCAAGTTAGGGCTTCTCGCTGTATATTCCCCTTGAGGCAGCAAACTCGGGGTCCCTCCCACATACCTATTGCTGAGAGAAGCCTCCTCCTGAGGTGCTTCTGGGAAGTTGGCATACGTCTTGAGCCTAAGCCAGGGAATCAGCTCGCATCTCGAGACGATTTGGGGTACACGGAGCATTCCTCGAGTTGCTGTGCTGAAGTTGGTGTTCCTCTAGACTTGGGACAGTGTTCTCGGGGCATCTCTGGAGTTGCCTGAAGGAAGTCGAGCCACCGGTCGTGTTGAATGGGGAACGGGGAATGGCTCTGGAGTCAATGCAGGGGAATCGGGCCTCATCTCGAGTTGATTTGGGGCCCATGGAGCTGCTTTGCATTGCTGGGGTGACCTCAGGGTCCGTCTAGACTGGTGACAGTGTTCTTGGGGACTGTCTCGAGATCCATTAAGCAAGTCGAAGCTCCTGACTTGTTTGAATGGGATCACGGAATAGCTCTGCATGCACTGCAGGGGAATGGGGCCTCATCTCGCCTCTAGGGGGAAGTCTCATGGTTTTTCTCGAGTTGCGGCGGGGACCTGGGGTATGTTCTCGACTTACGGCGGGGATGGCCCTTCAAAACACGAGTTTCTTCAGTGACGTCAGGACTTCTGTCTAGTAACGAGGGACACCTCAGGAATCTCTTCGAGGCTTGGCAGGGCCAAAGGGACGCTTCTCGAGGTGAGGCAGGGCACCCAAGGACCCTTTCCAGTAGCCACAGGGATTTTGGGATTCCTATCAGTATTCAAGAGGAGTCAGGCATCGTCACCTTTTGAAGCAATGAACTCCGCGTGCCTCTCGAGGTGTCAGCGGGATGTGAGGCATTCCGTCAAAATGAGGCAGGGACCTAGGGCTTTCTCTAAGGTCTCCACAGGGGATTCAGACATCCCTTCATGTTGTGAGATGAAAGACGAGCCTGTATTCAAGCCACTGCAAGGAAATCCGGCCTCCTTTCAAGTTAGGGCTTCTCGCTGTATATTCCCCTTGAGGCAGCAAACTCGGGGTCCCTCCCACATACCTATTGCTGAGAGAAGCCTCCTCCTGAGGTGCTTCTGGGAAGTTGGCATACGTCTTGAGCCTAAGCCAGGGAATCAGCTCGCATCTCGAGACGATTTGGGGTACACGGAGCATTCCTCGAGTTGCTGTGCTGAAGTTGGTGTTCCTCTAGACTTGGGACAGTGTTCTCGGGGCATCTCTGGAGTTGCCTGAAGGAAGTCGAGCCACCGGTCGTGTTGAATGGGGAACGGGGAATGGCTCTAGAGTCAATGCAGGGGAATCGGGCCTCATCTCGAGTTGATTTGGGGCACATGGAGCTGCTTTGCGTTGCTGGGGTGACCTCAGGGTCCGTCTAGACTGGTGACAGTGTTCTTGGGGACTGTCTCGAGATCCATTAAGCAAGTCGAAGCTCCTGACTTGTTTGAATGTGGTCACGGAATAGCTCTGCATGCACTGCAGGGGAATGGGGCCTCATCTCGCCTCTAGGGGGAAGTCTCATGGTTTTTCTCGAGTTGCGGCGGGGACCTGGGGTATGTTCTCGACTTACGGCGGGGATGGCCCTTCAAAACACGAGTTTCTTCAGTGACGTCAGGACTCCTGTCTAGTAACGAGGGACACCTCAGGAATCTCTTCGAGGCTTGGCAGGGCCAAAGGGACGCTTCTCGAGGTGAGGCAGGGCACCCAAGGACCCTTTCCAGTAGCCACAGGGATTTTGGGATTCCTATCAGTATTCAAGAGGAGTCAGGCATCGTCACCTTTTGAAGCAATGAACTCCGCGTGCCTCTCGAGGTGTCAGCGGGATGTGAGGCATTCCGTCAAAATGAGGCAGGGACCTAGGGCTTTCTCTAAGGTCTCCACAGGGGATTCAGACATCCCTTCATGTTGTGAGATGAAAGACGAGCCTGTATTCAAGCCACTGCAAGGAAATCCGGCCTCCTTTCAAGTTAGGGCTTCTCGCTGTATATTCCCCTTGAGGCAGCAAACTCGGGGTCCCTCCCACATACCTATTGCTGAGAGAAGCCTCCTCCTGAGGTGCTTCTGGGAAGTTGGCATACGTCTTGAGCCTAAGCCAGGGAATCAGCTCGCATCTCGAGACGATTTGGGGTACACGGAGCATTCCTCGAGTTGCTGTGCTGAAGTTGGTGTTCCTCTAGACTTGGGACAGTGTTCTCGGGGCATCTCTGGAGTTGCCTGAAGGAAGTCGAGCCACCGGTCGTGTTGAATGGGGAACGGGGAATGGCTCTGGAGTCAATGCAGGGGAATCGGGCCTCATCTCGAGTTGATTTGGGGCACATGGAGCTGCTTTGCGTTGCTGGGGTGACCTCAGGGTCCGTCTAGACTGGTGACAGTGTTCTTGGGGACTGTCTCGAGATCCATTAAGCAAGTCGAAGCTCCTGACTTGTTTGAATGGGATCACGGAATAGCTCTGCATGCACTGCAGGGGAATGGGGCCTCATCTCGCCTCTAGGGGGAAGTCTCATGGTTTTTCTCGAGTTGCGGCGGGGACCTGGGGTATGTTCTCGACTTACGGCGGGGATGGCCCTTCAAAACACGAGTTTCTTCAGTGACGTCAGGACTTCTGTCTAGTAACGAGGGACACCTCAGGAATCTCTTCGAGGCTTGGCAGGGCCAAAGGGACGCTTCTCGAGGTGAGGCAGGGCACCCAAGGACCCTTTCCAGTAGCCACAGGGATTTTGGGATTCCTATCAGTATTCAAGAGGAGTCAGGCATCGTCACCTTTTGAAGCAATGAACTCCGCGTGCCTCTCGAGGTGTCAGCGGGATGTGAGGCATTCCGTCAAAATGAGGCAGGGACCTAGGGCTTTCTCTAAGGTCTCCACAGGGGATTCAGACATCCCTTCATGTTGTGAGATGAAAGACGAGCCTGTATTCAAGCCACTGCAAGGAAATCCGGCCTCCTTTCAAGTTAGGGCTTCTCGCTGTATATTCCCCTTGAGGCAGCAAACTCGGGGTCCCTCCCACATACCTATTGCTGAGAGAAGCCTCCTCCTGAGGTGCTTCTGGGAAGTTGGCATACGTCTTGAGCCTAAGCCAGGGAATCAGCTCGCATCTCGAGACGATTTGGGGTACACGGAGCATTCCTCGAGTTGCTGTGCTGAAGTTGGTGTTCCTCTAGACTTGGGACAGTGTTCTCGGGGCATCTCTGGAGTTGCCTGAAGGAAGTCGAGCCACCGGTCGTGTTGAATGGGGAACGGGGAATGGCTCTGGAGTCAATGCAGGGGAATCGGGCCTCATCTCGAGTTGATTTGGGGCACATGGAGCTGCTTTGCGTTGCTGGGGTGACCTCAGGGTCCGTCTAGACTGGTGACAGTGTTCTTGGGGACTGTCTCGAGATCCATTAAGCAAGTCGAAGCTCCTGACTTGTTTGAATGTGGTCACGGAATAGCTCTGCATGCACTGCAGGGGAATGGGGCCTCATCTCGCCTCTAGGGGGAAGTCTCATGGTTTTTCTCGAGTTGCGGCGGGGACCTGGGGTATGTTCTCGACTTACGGCGGGGATGGCCCTTCAAAACACGAGTTTCTTCAGTGACGTCAGGACTCCTGTCTAGTAACGAGGGACACCTCAGGAATCTCTTCGAGGCTTGGCAGGGCCAAAGGGACGCTTCTCGAGGTGAGGCAGGGCACCCAAGGACCCTTTCCAGTAGCCACAGGGATTTTGGGATTCCTATCAGTATTCAAGAGGAGTCAGGCATCGTCACCTTTTGAAGCAATGAACTCCGCGTGCCTCTCGAGGTGTCAGCGGGATGTGAGGCATTCCGTCAAAATGAGGCAGGGACCTAGGGCTTTCTCTAAGGTCTCCACAGGGGATTCAGACATCCCTTCATGTTGTGAGATGAAAGACGAGCCTGTATTCAAGCCACTGCAAGGAAATCCGGCCTCCTTTCAAGTTAGGGCTTCTCGCTGTATATTCCCCTTGAGGCAGCAAACTCGGGGTCCCTCCCACATATCTATTGCTGAGAGAAGCCTCCTCCTGAGGTGCTTCTGGGAAGTTGGCATACGTCTTGAGCCTATGCCAGGGAATCAGCTCGCATCTCGAGACGATTTGGGGTACACGGAGCATTCCTCGAGTTGCTGTGCTGAAGTTGGTGTTCCTCTAGACTTGGGACAGTGTTCTCGGGGCATCTCTGGAGTTGCCTGAAGGAAGTCGAGCCACCGGTCGTGTTGAATGGGGAACGGGGAATGGCTCTGGAGTCAATGCAGGGGAATCGGGCCTCATCTCGAGTTGATTTGGGGCACATGGAGCTGCTTTGCGTTGCTGGGGTGACCTCAGGGTCCGTCTAGACTGGTGACAGTGTTCTTGGGGACTGTCTCGAGATCCATTAAGCAAGTCGAAGCTCCTGACTTGTTTGAATGGGGTCACGGAATAGCTCTGCATGCACTGCAGGGGAATGGGGCCTCATCTCGCCTCTAGGGGGAAGTCTCATGGTTTTTCTCGAGTTGCGGCGGGGACCTGGGGTATGTTCTCGACTTACGGCGGGGATGGCCCTTCAAAACACGAGTTTCTTCAGTGACGTCAGGACTCCTGTCTAGTAACGAGGGACACCTCAGGAATCTCTTCGAGGCTTGGCAGGGCCAAAGGGACGCTTCTCGAGGTGAGGCAGGGCACCCAAGGACCCTTTCCAGGAGCCACAGGGATTTTGGGATTCCTATCAGTATTCAAGAGGAGTCAGGCATCGTCACCTTTTGAAGCAATGAACTCCGCGTGCCTCTCGAGGTGTCAGCGGGATGTGAGGCATTCCGTCAAAATGAGGCAGGGACCTAGGGCTTTCTCTAAGGTCTCCACAGGGGATTCAGACATCCCTTCATGTTGTGAGATGAAAGACGAGCCTGTATTCAAGCCACTGCAAGGAAATCCGGCCTCCTTTCAAGTTAGGGCTTCTCGCTGTATATTCCCCTTGAGGCAGCAAACTCGGGGTCCCTCCCACATACCTATTGCTGAGAGAAGCCTCCTCCTGAGGTGCTTCTGGGAAGTTGGCATACGTCTTGAGCCTAAGCCAGGGAATCAGCTCGCATCTCGAGACGATTTGGGGTACACGGAGCATTCCTCGAGTTGCTGTGCTGAAGTTGGTGTTCCTCTAGACTTGGGACAGTGTTCTCGGGGCATCTCTGGAGTTGCCAGAAGGAAGTCGAGCCACCGGTCGTGTTGAATGGGGAACGGGGAATGGCTCTGGAGTCAATGCAGGGGAATCGGGCCTCATCTCGAGTTGATTTGGGGCACATGGAGCTGCTTTGCGTTGCTGGGGTGACCTCAGGGTCCATCTAGACTGGTGACAGTGTTCTTGGGGACTGTCTCGAGATCCATTAAGCAAGTCGAAGCTCCTGACTTGTTTGAATGGGATCACGGAATAGCTCTGCATGCACTGCAGGGGAATAGGGCCTCATCTCGCCTCTAGGGGGAAGTCTCATGGTTTTTCTCGAGTTGCGGCGGGGACCTGGGGTATGTTCTCGACTTACGGCGGGGATGGCCCTTCAAAACACTAGTTTCTTCAGTGACGTCAGGACTCCTGTCTAGTAACGAGGGACACCTCAGGAATCTCTTCGAGGCTTGGCAGGGCCAAAGGGACGCTTCTCGAGGTGAGGCAGGGCACCCAAGGACCCTTTCCAGGAGCCACAGGGATTTTGGGATTCCTATCAGTATTCAAGAGGAGTCAGGCATCGTCACCTTTTGAAGCAATGAACTCCGCGTGCCTCTCGAGGTGTCAGCGGGATGTGAGGCATTCCGTCAAAATGAGGCAGGGACCTAGGGCTTTCTCTAAGGTCTCCACAGGGGATTCAGACATCCCTTCATGTTGTGAGATGAAAGACGAGCCTGTATTCAAGCCACTGCAAGGAAATCCGGCCTCCTTTCAAGTTAGGGCTTCTCGCTGTATATTCCCCTTGAGGCAGCAAACTCGGGGTCCCTCCCACATACCTATTGCTGAGAGAAGCCTCCTCCTGAGGTGCTTCTGGGAAGTTGGCATACGTCTTGAGCCTAAGCCAGGGAATCAGCTCGCATCTCGAGACGATTTGGGGTACACGGAGCATTCCTCGAGTTGCTGTGCTGAAGTTGGTGTTCCTCTAGACTTGGGACAGTGTTCTCGGGGCATCTCTGGAGTTGCCTGAAGGAAGTCGAGCCACCGGTCGTGTTGAATGGGGAACGGGGAATGGCTCTGGAGTCAATGCAGGGGAATCGGGCCTCATCTCGAGTTGATTTGGGGCACATGGAGCTGCTTTGCATTGCTGGGGTGAACTCAGGGTCCGTCTAGACTGGTGACAGTGTTCTTGGGGACTGTCTCGAGATCCATTAAGCAAGTCGAAGCTCCTGACTTGTTTGAATGGGATCACGGAATAGCTCTGCATGCACTGCAGGGGAATGGGGCCTCATCTCGCCTCTAGGGGGAAGTCTCATGGTTTTTCTCGAGTTGCGGCGGGGACCTGGGGTATGTTCTCGACTTACGGCGGGGATGGCCCTTCAAAACACTAGTTTCTTCAGTGACGTCAGGACTCCTGTCTAGTAACGAGGGACACCTCAGGAATCTCTTCGAGGCTTGGCAGGGCCAAAGGGACGCTTCTCGAGGTGAGGCAGGGCACCCAAGGACCCTTTCCAGTAGCCACAGGGATTTTGGGATTCCTATCAGTATTCAAGAGGAGTCAGGCATCGTCACCTTTTGAAGCAATGAACTCCGCGTGCCTCTCGAGGTGTCAGCGGGATGTGAGGCATTCCGTCAAAATGAGGCAGGGACCTAGGGCTTTCTCTAAGGTCTCCACAGGGGATTCAGACATCCCTTCATGTTGTGAGATGAAAGACGAGCCTGTATTCAAGCCACTGCAAGGAAATCCGGCCTCCTTTCAAGTTAGGGCTTCTCGCTGTATATTCCCCTTGAGGCAGCAAACTCGGGGTCCCTCCCACATACCTATTGCTGAGAGAAGCCTCCTCCTGAGGTGCTTCTGGGAAGTTGGCATACGTCTTGAGCCTAAGCCAGGGAATCAGCTCGCATCTCGAGACGATTTGGGGTACACGGAGCATTCCTCGAGTTGCTGTGCTGAAGTTGGTGTTCCTCTAGACTTGGGACAGTGTTCTCGGGGCATCTCTGGAGTTGCCTGAAGGAAGTCGAGCCACCGGTCGTGTTGAATGGGGAACGGGGAATGGCTCTGGAGTCAATGCAGGGGAATCGGGCCTCATCTCGAGTTGATTTGGGGCACATGGAGCTGCTTTGCGTTGCTGGGGTGACCTCAGGGTCCGTCTAGACTGGTGACAGTGTTCTTGGGGACTGTCTCGAGATCCATTAAGCAAGTCGAAGCTCCTGACTTGTTTGAATGTGGTCACGGAATAGCTCTGCATGCACTGCAGGGGAATGGGGCCTCATCTCGCCTCTAGGGGGAAGTCTCATGGTTTTTCTCGAGTTGCGGCGGGGACCTGGGGTATGTTCTCGACTTACGGCGGGGATGGCCCTTCAAAACACGAGTTTCTTCAGTGACGTCAGGACTCCTGTCTAGTAACGAGGGACACCTCAGGAATCTCTTCGAGGCTTGGCAGGGCCAAAGGGACGCTTCTCGAGGTGAGGCAGGGCACCCAAGGACCCTTTCCAGTAGCCACAGGGATTTTGGGATTCCTATCAGTATTGAAGAGGAGTCAGGCATCGTCACCTTTTGAAGCAATGAACTCCGCGTGCCTCTCGAGGTGTCAGCGGGATGTGAGGCATTCCGTCAAAATGAGGCAGGGACCTAGGGCTTTCTCTAAGGTCTCCACAGGGGATTCAGACATCCCTTCATGTTGTGAGATGAAAGACGAGCCTGTATTCAAGCCACTGCAAGGAAATCCGGCCTCCTTTCAAGTTAGGGCTTCTCGCTGTATATTCCCCTTGAGGCAGCAAACTCGGGGTCCCTCCCACATATCTATTGCTGAGAGAAGCCTCCTCCTGAGGTGCTTCTGGGAAGTTGGCATACGTCTTGAGCCTATGCCAGGGAATCAGCTCGCATCTCGAGACGATTTGGGGTACACGGAGCATTCCTCGAGTTGCTGTGCTGAAGTTGGTGTTCCTCTAGACTTGGGACAGTGTTCTCGGGGCATCTCTGGAGTTGCCTGAAGGAAGTCGAGCCACCGGTCGTGTTGAATGGGGAACGGGGAATGGCTCTGGAGTCAATGCAGGGGAATCGGGCCTCATCTCGAGTTGATTTGGGGCACATGGAGCTGCTTTGCGTTGCTGGGGTGACCTCAGGGTCCGTCTAGACTGGTGACAGTGTTCTTGGGGACTGTCTCGAGATCCATTAAGCAAGTCGAAGCTCCTGACTTGTTTGAATGGGGTCACGGAATAGCTCTGCATGCACTGCAGGGGAATGGGGCCTCATCTCGCCTCTAGGGGGAAGTCTCATGGTTTTTCTCGAGTTGCGGCGGGGACCTGGGGTATGTTCTCGACTTACGGCGGGGATGGCCCTTCAAAACACGAGTTTCTTCAGTGACGTCAGGACTCCTGTCTAGTAACGAGGGACACCTCAGGAATCTCTTCGAGGCTTGGCAGGGCCAAAGGGACGCTTCTCGAGGTGAGGCAGGGCACCCAAGGACCCTTTCCAGGAGCCACAGGGATTTTGGGATTCCTATCAGTATTCAAGAGGAGTCAGGCATCGTCACCTTTTGAAGCAATGAACTCCGCGTGCCTCTCGAGGTGTCAGCGGGATGTGAGGCATTCCGTCAAAATGAGGCAGGGACCTAGGGCTTTCTCTAAGGTCTCCACAGGGGATTCAGACATCCCTTCATGTTGTGAGATGAAAGACGAGCCTGTATTCAAGCCACTGCAAGGAAATCCGGCCTCCTTTCAAGTTAGGGCTTCTCGCTGTATATTCCCCTTGAGGCAGCAAACTCGGGGTCCCTCCCACATACCTATTGCTGAGAGAAGCCTCCTCCTGAGGTGCTTCTGGGAAGTTGGCATACGTCTTGAGCCTAAGCCAGGGAATCAGCTCGCATCTCGAGACGATTTGGGGTACACGGAGCATTCCTCGAGTTGCTGTGCTGAAGTTGGTGTTCCTCTAGACTTGGGACAGTGTTCTCGGGGCATCTCTGGAGTTGCCAGAAGGAAGTCGAGCCACCGGTCGTGTTGAATGGGGAACGGGGAATGGCTCTGGAGTCAATGCAGGGGAATCGGGCCTCATCTCGAGTTGATTTGGGGCACATGGAGCTGCTTTGCGTTGCTGGGGTGACCTCAGGGTCCATCTAGACTGGTGACAGTGTTCTTGGGGACTGTCTCGAGATCCATTAAGCAAGTCGAAGCTCCTGACTTGTTTGAATGGGATCACGGAATAGCTCTGCATGCACTGCAGGGGAATAGGGCCTCATCTCGCCTCTAGGGGGAAGTCTCATGGTTTTTCTCGAGTTGCGGCGGGGACCTGGGGTATGTTCTCGACTTACGGCGGGGATGGCCCTTCAAAACACTAGTTTCTTCAGTGACGTCAGGACTCCTGTCTAGTAACGAGGGACACCTCAGGAATCTCTTCGAGGCTTGGCAGGGCCAAAGGGACGCTTCTCGAGGTGAGGCAGGGCACCCAAGGACCCTTTCCAGGAGCCACAGGGATTTTGGGATTCCTATCAGTATTCAAGAGGAGTCAGGCATCGTCACCTTTTGAAGCAATGAACTCCGCGTGCCTCTCGAGGTGTCAGCGGGATGTGAGGCATTCCGTCAAAATGAGGCAGGGACCTAGGGCTTTCTCTAAGGTCTCCACAGGGGATTCAGACATCCCTTCATGTTGTGAGATGAAAGACGAGCCTGTATTCAAGCCACTGCAAGGAAATCCGGCCTCCTTTCAAGTTAGGGCTTCTCGCTGTATATTCCCCTTGAGGCAGCAAACTCGGGGTCCCTCCCACATACCTATTGCTGAGAGAAGCCTCCTCCTGAGGTGCTTCTGGGAAGTTGGCATACGTCTTGAGCCTAAGCCAGGGAATCAGCTCGCATCTCGAGACGATTTGGGGTACACGGAGCATTCCTCGAGTTGCTGTGCTGAAGTTGGTGTTCCTCTAGACTTGGGACAGTGTTCTCGGGGCATCTCTGGAGTTGCCTGAAGGAAGTCGAGCCACCGGTCGTGTTGAATGGGGAACGGGGAATGGCTCTGGAGTCAATGCAGGGGAATCGGGCCTCATCTCGAGTTGATTTGGGGCACATGGAGCTGCTTTGCATTGCTGGGGTGACCTCAGGGTCCGTCTAGACTGGTGACAGTGTTCTTGGGGACTGTCTCGAGATCCATTAAGCAAGTCGAAGCTCCTGACTTGTTTGAATGGGATCACGGAATAGCTCTGCATGCACTGCAGGGGAATGGGGCCTCATCTCGCCTCTAGGGGGAAGTCTCATGGTTTTTCTCGAGTTGCGGCGGGGACCTGGGGTATGTTCTCGACTTACGGCGGGGATGGCCCTTCAAAACACTAGTTTCTTCAGTGACGTCAGGACTCCTGTCTAGTAACGAGGGACACCTCAGGAATCTCTTCGAGGCTTGGCAGGGCCAAAGGGACGCTTCTCGAGGTGAGGCAGGGCACCCAAGGACCCTTTCCAGGAGCCACAGGGATTTTGGGATTCCTATCAGTATTCAAGAGGAGTCAGGCATCGTCACCTTTTGAAGCAATGAACTCCGCGTGCCTCTCGAGGTGTCAGCGGGATGTGAGGCATTCCGTCAAAATGAGGCAGGGACCTAGGGCTTTCTCTAAGGTCTCCACAGGGGATTCAGACATCCCTTCATGTTGTGAGATGAAAGACGAGCCTGTATTCAAGCCACTGCAAGGAAATCCGGCCTCCTTTCAAGTTAGGGCTTCTCGCTGTATATTCCCCTTGAGGCAGCAAACTCGGGGTCCCTCCCACATACCTATTGCTGAGAGAAGCCTCCTCGTGAGGTGCTTCTGGGAAGTTGGCATACGTCTTGAGCCTAAGCCAGGGAATCAGCTCACATCTCGAGACGATTTGGGGTACACAGAGCATTCCTCGAGTTGCTGTGCTGAAGTTGGTGTTCCTCTAGACTTGGGACAGTGTTCTCGGGGCATCTCTGGAGTTGCCTGAAGGAAGTCGAGCCACCGGTCGTGTTGAATGGGGAACGGGGAATGGCTCTGGAGTCAATGCAGGGGAATCGGGCCTCATCTCGAGTTGATTTGGGGCACATGGAGCTGCTTTGCGTTGCTGGGGTGACCTCAGGGTCCGTCTAGACTGGTGACAGTGTTCTTGGGGACTGTCTCGAGATCCATTAAGCAAGTCGAAGCTCCTGACTTGTTTGAATGGGGTCACGGAATAGCTCTGCATGCACTGCAGTGGAATGGGGCCTCATCTCGCCTCTAGGGGGAAGTCTCATGGTTTTTCTCGAGTTGCGGCGGGGACCTGGGGTATGTTCTCGACTTACGGCGGGGATGGCCCTTCAAAACACGAGTTTCTTCAGTGACGTCAGGACTCCTGTCTAGTAACGAGGGACACCTCAGGAATCTCTTCGAGGCTTGGCAGGGCCAAAGGGACGCTTCTCGAGGTGAGGCAGGGCACCCAAGGATCCTTTCCAGTAGCCACAGGGATTTTGGGATTCCTATCAGTATTCAAGAGGAGTCAGGCATCGTCACCTTTTGAAGCAATGAACTCCGCGTGCCTCTCGAGGTGTCAGCGGGATGTGAGGCATTCCGTCAAAATGAGGCAGGGACCTAGGGCTTTCTCTAAGGTCTCCACAGGGGATTCAGACATCCCTTCATGTTGTGAGATGAAAGACGAGCCTGTATTCAAGCCACTGCAAGGAAATCCGGCCTCCTTTCAAGTTAGGGCTTCTCGCTGTATATTCCCCTTGAGGCAGCAAACTCGGGGTCCCTCCCACATACCTATTGCTGAGAGAAGCCTCCTCCTGAGGTGCTTCTGGGAAGTTGGCATACGTCTTGAGCCTAAGCCAGGGAATCAGCTCGCATCTCGAGACGATTTGGGGTACACGGAGCATTCCTCGAGTTGCTGTGCTGAAGTTGGTGTTCCTCTAGACTTGGGACAGTGTTCTCGGGGCATCTCTGGAGTTGCCTGAAGGAAGTCGAGCCACCGGTCGTGTTGAATGGGGAACGGGGAATGGCTCTGGAGTCAATGCAGGGGAATCGGGCCTCATCTCGAGTTGATTTGGGGCACATGGAGCTGCTTTGCGTTGCTGGGGTGACCTCAGGGTCCGTCTAGACTGGTGACAGTGTTCTTGGGGACTGTCTCGAGATCCATTAAGCAAGTCGAAGCTCCTGACTTGTTTGAATGGGATCACGGAATAGCTCTGCATGCACTGCAGGGGAATTGGGCCTCATCTCGCCTCTAGGGGGAAGTCTCATGGTTTTTCTCGAGTTGCGGCGGGGACCTGGGGTATGTTCTCGACTTACGGCGGGGATGGCCCTTCAAAACACGAGTTTCTTCAGTGACGTCAGGACTCCTGTCTAGTAACGAGGGACACCTCAGGAATCTCTTCGAGGCTTGGCAGGGCCAAAGGGACGCTTCTCGAGGTGAGGCAGGGCACCCAAGGACCCTTTCCAGTAGCCACAGGGATTTTGGGATTCCTATCAGTATTCAAGAGGAGTCAGGCATCGTCACCTTTTGAAGCAATGAACTCCGCGTGCCTCTCGAGGTGTCAGCGGGATGTGAGGCATTCCGTCAAAATGAGGCAGGGACCTAGGGCTTTCTCTAAGGTCTCCACAGGGGATTCAGACATCCCTTCATGTTGTGAGATGAAAGACGAGCCTGTATTCAAGCCACTGCAAGGAAATCCGGCCTCCTTTCAAGTTAGGGCTTCTCGCTGTATATTCCCCTTGAGGCAGCAAACTCGGGGTCCCTCCCACATACCTATTGCTGAGAGAAGCCTCCTCCTGAGGTGCTTCTGGGAAGTTGGCATACGTCTTGAGCCTAAGCCAGGGAATCAGCTCGCATCTCGAGACGATTTGGGGTACACGGAGCATTCCTCGAGTTGCTGTGCTGAAGTTGGTGTTCCTCTAGACTTGGGACAGTGTTCTCGGGGCATCTCTGGAGTTGCCTGAAGGAAGTCGAGCCACCGGTCGTGTTGAATGGGGAACGGGGAATGGCTCTGGAGTCAATGCAGGGGAATTGGGCCTCATCTCGAGTTGATTTGGGGCACATGGAGCTGCTTTGCGTTGCTGGGGTGACCTCAGGGTCCGTCTAGACTGGTGACAGTGTTCTTGGGGACTGTCTCGAGATCCATTAAGCAAGTCGAAGCTCCTGACTTGTTTGAATGTGGTCACGGAATAGCTCTGCATGCACTGCAGGGGAATGGGGCCTCATCTCGCCTCTAGGGGGAAGTCTCATGGTTTTTCTCGAGTTGCGGCGGGGACCTGGGGTATGTTCTCGACTTACGGCGGGGATGGCCCTTCAAAACACGAGTTTCTTCAGTGACGTCAGGACTCCTGTCTAGTAACGAGGGACACCTCAGGAATCTCTTCGAGGCTTGGCAGGGCCAAAGGGACGCTTCTCGAGGTGAGGCAGGGCACCCAAGGACCCTTTCCAGTAGCCACAGGGATTTTGGGATTCCTATCAGTATTCAAGAGGAGTCAGGCATCGTCACCTTTTGAAGCAATGAACTCCGCGTGCCTCTCGAGGTGTCAGCGGGATGTGAGGCATTCCGTCAAAATGAGGCAGGGACCTAGGGCTTTCTCTAAGGTCTCCACAGGGGATTCAGACATCCCTTCATGTTGTGAGATGAAAGACGAGCCTGTATTCAAGCCACTGCAAGGAAATCCGGCCTCCTTTCAAGTTAGGGCTTCTCGCTGTATATTCCCCTTGAGGCAGCAAACTCGGGGTCCCTCCCACATACCTATTGCTGAGAGAAGCCTCCTCCTGAGGTGCTTCTGGGAAGTTGGCATACGTCTTGAGCCTAAGCCAGGGAATCAGCTCGCATCTCGAGACGATTTGGGGTAGACGGAGCATTCCTCGAGTTGCTGTGCTGAAGTTGGTGTTCCTCTAGACTTGGGACAGTGTTCTCGGGGCATCTCTGGAGTTGCCTGAAAGAAGTCGAGCCACCGGTCGTGTTGAATGGGGAACGGGGAATGGCTCTGGAGTCAATGCAGGGGAATCGGGCCTCATCTCGAGTTGATTTGGGGCACATGGAGCTGCTTTGCGTTGCTGGGGTGACCTCAGGGTCCGTCTAGACTGGTGACAGTGTTCTTGGGGACTGTCTCGAGATCCATTAAGCAAGTCGAAGCTCCTGACTTGTTTGAATGGGATCACGGAATAGCTCTGCATGCACTGCAGGGGAATGGGGCCTCATCTCGCCTCTAGGGGGAAGTCTCATGGTTTTTCTCGAGTTGCGGCGGGGACCTGGGGTATGTTCTCGACTTACGGCGGGGATGGCCCTTCAAAACACGAGTTTCTTCAGTGACGTCAGGACTCCTGTCTAGTAACGAGGGACACCTCAGGAATCTCTTCGAGGCTTGGCAGGGCCAAAGGGACGCTTCTCGAGGTGAGGCAGGGCACCCAAGGACCCTTTCCAGTAGCCACAGGGATTTTGGGATTCCTATCAGTATTCAAGAGGAGTCAGGCATCGTCACCTTTTGAAGCAATGAACTCCGCGTGCCTCTCGAGGTGTCAGCGGGATGTGAGGCATTCCGTCAAAATGAGGCAGGGACCTAGGGCTTTCTCTAAGGTCTCCACAGGGGATTCAGACAACCCTTCATGTTGTGAGATGAAAGACGAGCCTGTATTCAAGCCACTGCAAGGAAATCCGGCCTCCTTTCAAGTTAGGGCTTCTCGCTGTATATTCCCCTTGAGGCAGCAAACTCGGGGTCCCTCCCACATACCTATTGCTGAGAGAAGCCTCCTCCTGAGGTGCTTCTGGGAAGTTGGCATACGTCTTGAGCCTAAGCCAGGGAAGCAGCTCGCATCTCGAGACGATTTGGGGTACACGGAGCATTCCTCGAGTTGCTGTGCTGAAGTTGGTGTTCCTCTAGACTTGGGACAGTGTTCTCGGGGCATCTCTGGAGTTGCCTGAAGGAAGTCGAGCCACCGGTCGTGTTGAATGGGGAACGGGGAATGGCTCTGGAGTCAATGCAGGGGAATCGGGCCTCATCTCGAGTTGATTTGGGGCACATGGAGCTGCTTTGCGTTGCTGGGGTGACCTCAGGGTCCGTCTAGACTGGTGACAGTGTTCTTGGGGACTGTCTCGAGATCCATTAAGCAAGTCGAAGCTCCTGACTTGTTTGAATGGGATCACGGAATAGCTCTGCATGCACTGCAGGGGAATGGGGCCTCATCTCGCCTCTAGGGGGAAGTCTCATGGTTTTTCTCGAGTTGCGGCGGGGACCTGGGGTATGTTCTCGACTTACGGCGGGGATGGCCCTTCAAAACACGAGTTTCTTCAGTGACGTCAGGACTCCTGTCTAGTAACGAGGGACACCTCAGGAATCTCTTCGAGGCTTGGCAGGGCCAAAGGGACGCTTCTCGAGGTGAGGCAGGGCACCCAAGGACCCTTTCCAGTAGCCACAGGGATTTTGGGATTCCTATCAGTATTCAAGAGGAGTCAGGCATCGTCACCTTTTGAAGCAATGAACTCCGCGTGCCTCTCGAGGTGTCAGCGGGATGTGAGGCATTCCGTCAAAATGAGGCAGGGACCTAGGGCTTTCTCTAAGGTCTCCACAGGGGATTCAGACATCCCTTCATGTTGTGAGATGAAAGACGAGCCTGTATTCAAGCCACTGCAAGGAAATCCGGCCTCCTTTCAAGTTAGGGCTTCTCGCTGTATATTCCCCTTGAGGCAGCAAACTCGGGGTCCCTCCCACATACCTATTGCTGAGAGAAGCCTCCTCCTGAGGTGCTTCTGGGAAGTTGGCATACGTCTTGAGCCTAAGCCAGGGAATCAGCTCGCATCTCGAGACGATTTGGGGTACACGGAGCATTCCTCGAGTTGCTGTGCTGAAGTTGGTGTTCCTCTAGACTTGGGACAGTGTTCTCGGGGCATCTCTGGAGTTGCCTGAAGGAAGTCGAGCCACCGGTCGTGTTGAATGGGGAACGGGGAATGGCTCTGGAGTCAATGCAGGGGAATCGGGCCTCATCTCGAGTTGATTTGGGGCACATGGAGCTGCTTTGCGTTGCTGGGGTGACCTCAGGGTCCGTCTAGACTGGTGACAGTGTTCTTGGGGACTGTCTCGAGATCCATTAAGCAAGTCGAAGCTCCTGACTTGTTTGAATGGGGTCACGGAATAGCTCTGCATGCACTGCAGGGGAATGGGGCCTCATCTCGCCTCTAGGGGGAAGTCTCATGGTTTTTCTCGAGTTGCGGCGGGGACCTGGGGTATGTTCTCGACTTACGGCGGGGATGGCCCTTCAAAACACGAGTTTCTTCAGTGACGTCAGGACTCCTGTCTAGTAACGAGGGACACCTCAGGAATCTCTTCGAGGCTTGGCAGGGCCAAAGGGACGCTTCTCGAGGTGAGGCAGGGCACCCAAGGACCCTTTCCAGTAGCCACAGGGATTTTGGGATTCCTATCAGTATTCAAGAGGAGTCAGGCATCGTCACCTTTTGAAGCAATGAACTCCGCGTGCCTCTCGAGGTGTCAGCGGGATGTGAGGCATTCCGTCAAAATGAGGCAGGGACCTAGGGCTTTCTCTAAGGTCTCCACAGGGGATTCAGACATCCCTTCATGTTGTGAGATGAAAGACGAGCCTGTATTCAAGCCACTGCAAGGAAATCCGGCCTCCTTTCAAGTTAGGGCTTCTCGCTGTATATTCCCCTTGAGGCAGCAAACTCGGGGTCCCTCCCACATACCTATTGCTGAGAGAAGCCTCCTCCTGAGGTGCTTCTGGGAAGTTGGCATACGTCTTGAGCCTAAGCCAGGGAATCAGCTCGCATCTCGAGACGATTTGGGGTAGACGGAGCATTCCTCGAGTTGCTGTGCTGAAGTTGGTGTTCCTCTAGACTTGGGACAGTGTTCTCGGGGCATCTCTGGAGTTGCCTGAAGGAAGTCGAGCCACTGGTCGTGTTGAATGGGGAACGGGGAATGGCTCTGGAGTCAATGCAGGGGAATCGGGCCTCATCTCGAGTTGATTTGGGGCACATGGAGCTGCTTTGCGTTGCTGGGGTGACCTCAGGGTCCGTCTAGACTGGTGACAGTGTTCTTGGGGACTGTCTCGAGATCCATTAAGCAAGTCGAAGCTCCTGACTTGTTTGAATGGGATCACGGAATAGCTCTGCATGCACTGCAGGGGAATGGGGCCTCATCTCGCCTCTAGGGGGAAGTCTCATGGTTTTTCTCGAGTTGCGGCGGGGACCTGGGGTATGTTCTCGACTTACGGCGGGGATGGCCCTTCAAAACACGAGTTTCTTCAGTGACGTCAGGACTCCTGTCTAGTAACGAGGGACACCTCAGGAATCTCTTCGAGGCTTGGCAGGGCCAAAGGGACGCTTCTCGAGGTGAGGCAGGGCACCCAAGGACCCTTTCCAGTAGCCACAGGGATTTTGGGATTCCTATCAGTATTCAAGAGGAGTCAGGCATCGTCACCTTTTGAAGCAGTGAACTCCGCGTGCCTCTCGAGGTGTCAGCGGGATGTGAGGCATTCCGTCAAAATGAGGCAGGGACCTAGGGCTTTCTCTAAGGTCTCCACAGGGGATTCAGACATCCCTTCATGTTGTGAGATGAAAGACGAGCCTGTATTCAAGCCACTGCAAGGAAATCCGGCCTCCTTTCAAGTTAGGGCTTCTCGCTGTATATTCCCCTTGAGGCAGCAAACTCGGGGTCCCTCCCACATACCTATTGCTGAGAGAAGCCTCCTCCTGAGGTGCTTCTGGGAAGTTGGCATACGTCTTGAGCCTAAGCCAGGGAATCAGCTCGCATCTCGAGACGATTTGGGGTACACGGAGCATTCCTCGAGTTGCTGTGCTGAAGTTGGTGTTCCTCTAGACTTGGGACAGTGTTCTCGGGGCATCTCTGGAGTTGCCTGAAGGAAGTCGAGCCACCGGTCGTGTTGAATGGGGAACGGGGAATGGCTCTGGAGTCAATGCAGGGGAATCGGGCCTCATCTCGAGTTGATTTGGGGCACATGGAGCTGCTTTGCGTTGCTGGGGTGACCTCAGGGTCCGTCTAGACTGGTGACAGTGTTCTTGGGGACTGTCTCGAGATCCATTAAGCAAGTCGAAGCTCCTGACTTGTTTGAATGTGGTCACGGAATAGCTCTGCATGCACTGCAGGGGAATGGGGCCTCATCTCGCCTCTAGGGGGAAGTCTCATGGTTTTTCTCGAGTTGCGGCGGGGACCTGGGGTATGTTCTCGACTTACGGCGGGGATGGCCCTTCAAAACACGAGTTTCTTCAGTGACGTCAGGACTCCTGTCTAGTAACGAGGGACACCTCAGGAATCTCTTCGAGGCTTGGCAGGGCCAAAGGGACGCTTCTCGAGGTGAGGCAGGGCACACAAGGACCCTTTCCAGTAGCCACAGGGATTTTGGGATTCCTATCAGTATTCAAGAGGAGTCAGGCATCGTCACCTTTTGAAGCAATGAACTCCGCGTGCCTCTCGAGGTGTCAGCGGGATGTGAGGCATTCCGTCAAAATGAGGCAGGGACCTAGGGCTTTCTCTAAGGTCTCCACAGGGGATTCAGACATCCCTTCATGTTGTGAGATGAAAGACGAGCCTGTATTCAAGCCACTGCAAGGAAATCCGGCCTCCTTTCAAGTTAGGGCTTCTCGCTGTATATTCCCCTTGAGGCAGCAAACTCGGGGTCCCTCCCACATACCTATTGCTGAGAGAAGCCTCCTCCTGAGGTGCTTCTGGGAAGTTGGCATACGTCTTGAGCCTAAGCCAGGGAATCAGCTCGCATCTCGAGACGATTTGGGGTACACGGAGCATTCCTCGAGTTGCTGTGCTGAAGTTGGTGTTCCTCTAGACTTGGGACAGTGTTCTCGGGGCATCTCTGGAGTTGCCTGAAGGAAGTCGAGCCACCGGTCGTGTTGAATGGGGAACGGGGAATGGCTCTGGAGTCAATGCAGGGGAATCGGGCCTCATCTCGAGTTGATTTGGGGCACATGGAGCTGCTTTGCGTTGCTGGGGTGACCTCAGGGTCCGTCTAGACTGGTGACAGTGTTCTTGGGGACTGTCTCGAGATCCATTAAGCAAGTCGAAGCTCCTGACTTGTTTGAATGGGGTCACGGAATAGCTCTGCATGCACTGCAGGGGAATGGGGCCTCATCTCGCCTCTAGGGGGAAGTCTCATGGTTTTTCTCGAGTTGCGGCGGGGACCTGGGGTATGTTCTCGACTTACGGCGGGGATGGCCCTTCAAAACACGAGTTTCTTCAGTGACGTCAGGACTCCTGTCTAGTAACGAGGGACACCTCAGGAATCTCTTCGAGGCTTGGCAGGGCCAAAGGGACGCTTCTCGAGGTGAGGCAGGGCACCCAAGGACCCTTTCCAGTAGCCACAGGGATTTTGGGATTCCTATCAGTATTCAAGAGGAGTCAGGCATCGTCACCTTTTGAAGCAATGAACTCCGCGTGCCTCTCGAGGTGTCAGCGGGATGTGAGGCATTCCGTCAAAATGAGGCAGGGACCTAGGGCTTTCTCTAAGGTCTCCACAGGGGATTCAGACATCCCTTCATGTTGTGAGATGAAAGACGAGCCTGTATTCAAGCCACTGCAAGGAAATCCGGCCTCCTTTCAAGTTAGGGCTTCTCGCTGTATATTCCCCTTGAGGCAGCAAACTCGGGGTCCCTCCCACATACCTATTGCTGAGAGAAGCCTCCTCCTGAGGTGCTTCTGGGAAGTTGGCATACGTCTTGAGCCTAAGCCAGGGAATCAGCTCGCATCTCGAGACGATTTGGGGTACACGGAGCATTCCTCGAGTTGCTGTGCTGAAGTTGGTGTTCCTCTAGACTTGGGACAGTGTTCTCGGGGCATCTCTGGAGTTGCCTGAAGGAAGTCGAGCCACCGGTCGTGTTGAATGGGGAACGGGGAATGGCTCTGGAGTCAATGCAGGGGAATCGGGCCTCATCTCGAGTTGATTTGGGGCACATGGAGCTGCTTTGCGTTGCTGGGGTGACCTCAGGGTCCATCTAGACTGGTGACAGTGTTCTTGGGGACTGTCTCGAGATCCATTAAGCAAGTCGAAGCTCCTGACTTGTTTGAATGGGATCACGGAATAGCTCTGCATGCACTGCAGGGGAATGGGGCCTCATCTCGCCTCTAGGGGGAAGTCTCATGGTTTTTCTCGAGTTGCGGCGGGGACCTGGGGTATGTTCTCGACTTACGGCGGGGATGGCCCTTCAAAACACGAGTTTCTTCAGTGACGTCAGGACTCCTCTCTAGTAACGAGGGACACCTCAGGAATCTCTTCGAGGCTTGGCAGGGCCAAAGGGACGCTTCTCGAGGTGAGGCAGGGCACCCAAGGACCCTTTCCAGGAGCCACAGGGATTTTGGGATTCCTATCAGTATTCAAGAGGAGTCAGGCATCGTCACCTTTTGAAGCAATGAACTCCGCGTGCCTCTCGAGGTGTCAGCGGGATGTGAGGCATTCCGTCAAAATGAGGCAGGGACCTAGGGCTTTCTCTAAGGTCTCCACAGGGGATTCAGACATCCCTTCATGTTGTGAGATGAAAGACGAGCCTGTATTCAAGCCACTGCAAGGAAATCCGGCCTCCTTTCAAGTTAGGGCTTCTCGCTGTATATTCCCCTTGAGGCAGCAAACTCGGGGTCCCTCCCACATACCTATTGCTGAGAGAAGCCTCCTCCTGAGGTGCTTCTGGGAAGTTGGCATACGTCTTGAGCCTAAGCCAGGGAATCAGCTCGCATCTCGAGACGATTTGGGGTACACGGAGCATTCCTCGAGTTGCTGTGCTGAAGTTGGTGTTCCTCTAGACTTGGGACAGTGTTCTCGGGGCATCTCTGGAGTTGCCTGAAGGAAGTCGAGCCACCGGTCGTGTTGAATGGGGAACGGGGAATGGCTCTGGAGTCAATGCAGGGGAATCGGGCCTCATCTCGAGTTGATTTGGGGCACATGGAGCTGCTTTGCATTGCTGGGGTGACCTCAGGGTCCGTCTAGACTGGTGACAGTGTTCTTGGGGACTGTCTCGAGATCCTTTAAGCAAGTCGAAGCTCCTGACTTGTTTGAATGGGATCACGGAATAGCTCTGCATGCACTGCAGGGGAATGGGGCCTCATCTCGCCTCTAGGGGGAAGTCTCATGGTTTTTCTCGAGTTGCGGCGGGGACCTGGGGTATGTTCTCGACTTACGGCGGGGATGGCCCTTCAAAACACGAGTTTCTTCAGTGACGTCAGGACTCCTGTCTAGTAACGAGGGACACCTCAGGAATCTCTTCGAGGCTTGGCAGGGCCAAAGGGACGCTTCTCGAGGTGAGGCAGGGCACCCAAGGACCCTTTCCAGGAGCCACAGGGATTTTGGGATTCCTATCAGTATTCAAGAGGAGTCAGGCATCGTCACCTTTTGAAGCAGTGAACTCCGCGTGCCTCTCGAGGTGTCAGCGGGATGTGAGGCATTCCGTCAAAATGAGGCAGGGACCTATGGCTTTCTCTAAGGTCTCCACAGGGGATTCAGACATCCCTTCATGTTGTGAGATGAAAGACGAGCCTGTATTCAAGCCACTGCAAGGAAATCCGGCCTCCTTTCAAGTTAGGGCTTCTCGCTGTATATTCCCCTTGAGGCAGCAAACTCGGGGTCCCTCCCACATACCTATTGCTGAGAGAAGCCTCCTCCTGAGGTGCTTCTGGGAAGTTGGCATACGTCTTGAGCCTAAGCCAGGGAATCAGCTCGCATCTCGAGACGATTTGGGGTACACGGAGCATTCCTCGAGTTGCTGTGCTGAAGTTGGTGTTCCTCTAGACTTGGGACAGTGTTCTCGGGGCATCTCTGGAGTTGCCTGAAGGAAGTCGAACCACCGGTCGTGTTGAATGGGGAACGGGGAATGGCTCTGGAGTCAATGCAGGGGAATCGAGCCTCATCTCGAGTTGATTTGGGGCACATGGAGCTGCTTTGCGTTGCTGGGGTGACCTCAGGGTCCGTCTAGACTGGTGACAGTGTTCTTGGGGACTGTCTCGAGATCCATTAAGCAAGTCGAAGCTCCTGACTTGTTTGAATGTGGTCACGGAATAGCTCTGCATGCACTGCAGGGGAATGGGGCCTCATCTCGCCTCTAGGGGGAAGTCTCATGGTTTTTCTCGAGTTGCGGCGGGGACCTGGTGTATGTTCTCGACTTACGGCGGGGATGGCCCTTCAAAACACGAGTTTCTTCAGTGACGTCAGGACTCCTGTCTAGTAACGAGGGACACCTCAGGAATCTCTTCGAGGCTTGGCAGGGCCAAAGGGACGTTTCTCGAGGTGAGGCAGGGCACCCAAGGACCCTTTCCAGGAGCCACAGGGATTTTGGGATTCCTATCAGTATTCAAGAGGAGTCAGGCATCGTCACCTTTTGAAGCAATGAACTCCGCGTGCCTCTCGAGGTGTCAGCGGGATGTGAGGCATTCCGTCAAAATGAGGCAGGGACCTAGGGCTTTCTCTAAGGTCTCCACAGGGGATTCAGACATCCCTTCATGTTGTGAGATGAAAGACGAGCCTGTATTCAAGCCACTGCAAGGAAATCCGGCCTCCTTTCAAGTTAGGGCTTCTCGCTGTATATTCCCCTTGAGGCAGCAAACTCGGGGTCCCTCCCACATACCTATTGCTGAGAGAAGCCTCCTCCTGAGGTGCTTCTGGGAAGTTGGCATACGTCTTGAGCCTAAGCCAGGGAATCAGCTCGCATCTCGAGACGATTTGGGGTACACGGAGCATTCCTCGAGTTGCTGTGCTGAAGTTGGTGTTCCTCTAGACTTGGGACAGTGTTCTCGGGGCATCTCTGGAGTTGCCTGAAGGAAGTCGAGCCACCGGTCGTGTTGAATGGGGAACGGGGAATGGCTCTGGAGTCAATGCAGGGGAATCGGGCCTCATCTCGAGTTGATTTGGGGCACATGGAGCTGCTTTGCGTTGCTGGGGTGACCTCAGGGTCCGTGTAGACTGGTGACAGTGTTCTTGGGGACTGTCTCGAGATCCATTAAGCAAGTCGAAGCTCCTGACTTGTTTGAATGGGGTCACGGAATAGCTCTGCATGCACTGCAGGGGAATGGGGCCTCATCTCGCCTCTAGGGGGAAGTCTCATGGTTTTTCTCGAGTTTCGGCGGGGACCTGGGGTATGTTCTCGACTTACGGCGGGGATGGCCCTTCAAAACACGAGTTTTTTCAGTGACGTCAGGACTCCTGTCTAGTAACGAGGGACACCTCAGGAATCTCTTCGAGGCTTGGCAGGGCCAAAGGGACGCTTCTCGAGGTGAGGCAGGGCACCCAAGGACCCTTTCCAGGAGCCACAGGGATTTTGGGATTCCTATCAGTATTCAAGAGGAGTCAGGCATCGTCACCTTTTGAAGCAATGAACTCCGCGTGCCTCTCGAGGTGTCAGCGGGATGTGAGGCATTCCGTCAAAATGAGGCAGGGCCCTAGGGCTTTCTCTAAGGTCTCCACAGGGGATTCAGACATCCCTTCATGTTGTGAGATGAAAGACGAGCCTGTATTCAAGCCACTGCAAGGAAATCCGGCCTCCTTTCAAGTTAGGGCTTCTCGCTGTATATTCCCCTTGAGGCAGCAAACTCGGGGTCCCTCCCACATACCTATTGCTGAGAGAAGCCTCCTCCTGAGGTGCTTCTGGGAAGTTGGCATACGTCTTGAGCCTAAGCCAGGGAATCAGCTCGCATCTCGAGACGATTTGGGGTACACGGAGCATTCCTCGAGTTGCTGTGCTGAAGTTGGTGTTCCTCTAGACTTGGGACAGTGTTCTCGGGGCATCTCTGGAGTTGCCAGAAGGAAGTCGAGCCACCGGTCGTGTTGAATGGGGAACGGGGAATGGCTCTGGAGTCAATGCAGGGGAATCGGGCCTCATCTCGAGTTGATTTGGGGCACATGGAGCTGCTTTGCGTTGCTGGGGTGACCTCAGGGTCCGTCTAGACTGGTGACAGTGTTCTTGGGGACTGTCTCGAGATCCATTAAGCAAGTCGAAGCTCCTGACTTGTTTGAATGGGATCACGGAATAGCTCTGCATGCACTGCAGGGGAATGGGGCCTCATCTCGCCTCTAGGGGGAAGTCTCATGGTTTTTCTCGAGTTGCGGCGGGGACCTGGGGTATGTTCTCGACTTACGGCGGGGATGGCCCTTCAAAACACGAGTTTCTTCAGTGACGTCAGGACTCCTGTCTAGTAACGAGGGACACCTCAGGAATCTCTTCGAGGCTTGGCAGGGCCAAAGGGACGCTTCTCGAGGTGAGGCAGGGCACCCAAGGACCCTTTCCAGTAGCCACAGGGATTTTGGGATTCCTATCAGTATTCAAGAGGAGTCAGGCATCGTCACCTTTTGAAGCAATGAACTCCGCGTGCCTCTCGAGGTGTCAGCGGGATGTGAGGCATTCCGTCAAAATGAGGCAGGGACCTAGGGCTTTCTCTAAGGTCTCCACAGGGGATTCAGACATCCCTTCATGTTGTGAGATGAAAGACGAGCCTGTATTCAAGCCACTGCAAGGAAATCCGGCCTCCTTTCAAGTTAGGGCTTCTCGCTGTATATTCCCCTTGAGGCAGCAAACTCGGGGTCCCTCCCACATACCTATTGCTGAGAGAAGCCTCCTCCTGAGGTGATTCTGGGAAGTTGGCATACGTCTTGAGCCTAAGCCAGGGAATCAGCTCGCATCTCGAGACGATTTGGGGTACACGGAGCATTCCTCGAGTTGCTGTGCTGAAGTTGGTGTTCCTCTAGACTTGGGACAGTGTTCTCGGGGCATCTCTGGAGTTGCCTGAAGGAAGTCGAGCCACCGGTCGTGTTGAATGGGGAACGGGGAATGGCTCTGGAGTCAATGCAGGGGAATCGGGCCTCATCTCGAGTTGATTTGGGGCACATGGAGCTGCTTTGCGTTGCTGGGGTGACCTCAGGGTCCATCTAGACTGGTGACAGTGTTCTTGGGGACTGTCTCGAGATCCATTAAGCAAGTCGAAGCTCCTGACTTGTTTGAATGGGATCACGGAATAGCTCTGCATGCACTGCAGGGGAATGGGGCCTCATCTCGCCTCTAGGGGGAAGTCTCATGGTTTTTCTCGAGTTGCGGCGGGGACCTGGGGTATGTTCTCGACTTACGGCGGGGATGGCCCTTCAAAACACGAGTTTCTTCAGTGACGTCAGGACTCCTGTCTAGTAACGAGGGACACCTCAGGAATCTCTTCGAGGCTTGGCAGGGCCAAAGGGACGCTTCTCGAGGTGAGGCAGGGCACCCAAGGACCCTTTCCAGGAGCCACAGGGATTTTGGGATTCCTATCAGTATTCAAGAGGAGTCAGGCATCGTCACCTTTTGAAGCAATGAACTCCGCGTGCCTCTCGAGGTGTCAGCGGGATGTGAGGCATTCCGTCAAAATGAGGCAGGGACCTAGGGCTTTCTCTAAGGTCTCCACAGGGGATTCAGACATCCCTTCATGTTGTGAGATGAAAGACGAGCCTGTATTCAAGCCACTGCAAGGAAATCCGGCCTCCTTTCAAGTTAGGGCTTCTCGCTGTATATTCCCCTTGAGGCAGCAAACTCGGGGTCCCTCCCACATACCTATTGCTGAGAGAAGCCTCCTCCTGAGGTGCTTCTGGGAAGTTGGCATACGTCTTGAGCCTAAGCCAGGGAATCAGCTCGCATCTCGAGACGATTTGGGGTACACGGAGCATTCCTCGAGTTGCTGTGCTGAAGTTGGTGTTCCTCTAGACTTGGGACAGTGTTCTCGGGGCATCTCTGGAGTTGCCTGAAGGAAGTCGAGCCACCGGTCGTGTTGAATGGGGAACGGGGAATGGCTCTGGAGTCAATGCAGGGGAATCGGGCCTCATCTCGAGTTGATTTGGGGCACATGGAGCTGCTTTGCATTGCTGGGGTGACCTCAGGGTCCGTCTAGACTGGTGACAGTGTTCTTGGGGACTGTCTCGAGATCCATTAAGCAAGTCGAAGCTCCTGACTTGTTTGAATGGGATCACGGAATAGCTCTGCATGCACTGCAGGGGAATGGGGCCTCATCTCGCCTCTAGGGGGAAGTCTCATGGTTTTTCTCGAGTTGCGGCGGGGACCTGGGGTATGTTCTCGACTTACGGCGGGGATGGCCCTTCAAAACACTAGTTTCTTCAGTGACGTCAGGACTCCTGTCTAGTAACGAGGGACACCTCAGGAATCTCTTCGAGGCTTGGCAGGGCCAAAGGGACGCTTCTCGAGGTGAGGCAGGGCACCCAAGGACCCTTTCCAGGAGCCACAGGGATTTTGGGATTCCTATCAGTATTCAAGAGGAGTCAGGCATCGTCACCTTTTGAAGCAATGAACTCCGCGTGCCTCTCGAGGTGTCAGCGGGATGTGAGGCATTCCGTCAAAATGAGGCAGGGACCTAGGGCTTTCTCTAAGGTCTCCACAGGGGATTCAGACATCCCTTCATGTTGTGAGATGAAAGACGAGCCTGTATTCAAGCCACTGCAAGGAAATCCGGCCTCCTTTCAAGTTAGGGCTTCTCGCTGTATATTCCCCTTGAGGCAGCAAACTCGGGGTCCCTCCCACATACCTATTGCTGAGAGAAGCCTCCTCCTGAGGTGCTTCTGGGAAGTTGGCATACGTCTTGAGCCTAAGCCAGGGAATCAGCTCGCATCTCGAGACGATTTGGGGTACACGGAGCATTCCTCGAGTTGCTGTGCTGAAGTTGGTGTTCCTCTAGACTTGGGACAGTGTTCTCGGGGCATCTCTGGAGTTGCCTGAAGGAAGTCGAGCCACCGGTCGTGTTGAATGGGGAACGGGGAATGGCTCTGGAGTCAATGCAGGGGAATCGGGCCTCATCTCGAGTTGATTTGGGGCACATGGAGCTGCTTTGCATTGCTGGGGTGACCTCAGGGTCCGTCTAGACTGGTGACAGTGTTCTTGGGGACTGTCTCGAGATCCATTAAGCAAGTCGAAGCTCCTGACTTGTTTGAATGGGATCACGGAATAGCTCTGCATGCACTGCAGGGGAATGGGGCCTCATCTCGCCTCTAGGGGGAAGTCTCATGGTTTTTCTCGAGTTGCGGCGGGGACCTGGGGTATGTTCTCGACTTACGGTGGGGATGGCCCTTCAAAACACTAGTTTCTTCAGTGACGTCAGGACTCCTGTCTAGTAACGAGGGACACCTCAGGAATCTCTTCGAGGCTTGGCAGGGCCAAAGGGACGCTTCTCGAGGTGAGGCAGGGCACCCAAGGACCCTTTCCAGGAGCCACAGGGATTTTGGGATTCCTATCAGTATTCAAGAGGAGTCAGGCATCGTCACCTTTTGAAGCAATGAACTCCGCGTGCCTCTCGAGGTGTCAGCGGGATGTGAGGCATTCCGTCAAAATGAGGCAGGGACCTAGGGCTTTCTCTAAGGTCTCCACAGGGGATTCAGACATCCCTTCATGTTGTGAGATGAAAGACGAGCCTGTGTTCAAGCCACTGCAAGGAAATCCGGCCTCCTTTCAAGTTAGGGCTTCTCGCTGTATATTCCCCTTGAGGCAGCAAACTCGGGGTCCCTCCCACATACCTATTGCTGAGAGAAGCCTCCTCCTGAGGTGCTTCTGGGAAGTTGGCATACGTCTTGAGCCTAAGCCAGGGAATCAGCTCGCATCTCGAGACGATTTGGGGTACACGGAGCATTCCTCGAGTTGCTGTGCTGAAGTTGGTGTTCCTCTAGACTTGGGACAGTGTTCTCGGGGCATATCTGGAGTTGCCTGAAGGAAGTCGAGCCACCGGTCGTGTTGAATGGGGAACGGGGAATGGCTCTGGAGTCAATGCAGGGGAATCGGGCCTCATCTCGAGTTGATTTGGGGCACATGGAGTTGCTTTGCGTTGCTGGGGTGACCTCAGGGTCCGTCTAGACTGGTGACAGTGTTCTTGGGGACTGTCTCGAGATCAATTAAGCAAGTCGAAGCTCCTGACTTGTTTGAATGGGATCACGGAATAGCTCTGCATGCACTGCAGGGGAATGGAGCCTCATCTCGCCTCTAGGGGGAAGTCTCATGGTTTTTCTCGAGTTGCGGCGGGGACCTGGGGTATGTTCTCGACTTACGGCGGGGATGGCCCTTCAAAACACGAGTTTCTTCAGTGACGTCAGGACTTCTGTCTAGTAACGAGGGACACCTCAGGAATCTCTTCGAGGCTTGGCAGGGCCAAAGGGACGCTTCTCGAGGTGAGGCAGCGCACCCAAGGACCCTTTCCAGTAGCCACAGGGATTTTGGGATTCCTATCAGTATTCAAGAGGAGTCAGGCATCGTCACCTTTTGAAGCAATGAACTCCGCGTGCCTCTCGAGGTGTCAGCGTAATGTGAGGCATTCCGTCAAAATGAGGCAGGGACCTAGGGCTTTCTCTAAGGTCTCCACAGGGGATTCAGACATCCCTTCATGTTGTGAGATGAAAGACGAGCCTGTATTCAAGCCACTGCAAGGAAATCCGGCCTCCTTTCAAGTTAGGGCTTCTCGCTGTATATTCCCCTTGAGGCAGCAAACTCGGGGTCCCTCCCACATACCTATTGCTGAGAGAAGCCTCCTCCTGAGGTGCTTCTGGGAAGTTGGCATACGTCTTGAGCCTAAGCCAGGGAATCAGCTCGCATCTCGAGACGATTTGGGGTACACGGAGCATTCCTCGAGTTGCTGTGCTGAAGTTGGTGTTCCTCTAGACTTGGGACAGTGTTCTCGGGGCATCTCTGGAGTTGCCTGAAGGAAGTCGAGCCACCGGTCGTGTTGAATGGGGAACGGGGAATGGCTCTGGAGTCAATGCAGGGGAATCGGGCCTCATCTCGAGTTGATTTGGGGCACATGGAGCTGCTTTGCGTTGCTGGGGTGACCTCAGGGTCCGTCTAGACTGGTGACAGTGTTCTTGGGGACTGTCTCGAGATCCATTAAGCAAGTCGAAGCTCCTGACTTGTTTGAATGGGGTCACGGAATAGCTCTGCATGCACTGCAGGGGAATGGGGCCTCATCTCGCCTCTAGGGGGAAGTCTCATGGTTTTTCTCGAGTTGCGGCGGGGACCTGGGGTATGTTCTCGACTTACGGCGGGGATGGCCCTTCAAAACACGAGTTTCTTCAGTGACGTCAGGACTCCTGTCTAGTAACGAGGGACACCTCAGGAATCTCTTCGAGGCTTGGCAGGGCCAAAGGGACGCTTCTCGAGGTGAGGCAGGGCACCCAAGGACCCTTTCCAGGAGCCACAGGGATTTTGGGATTCCTATCAGTATTCAAGAGGAGTCAGGCATCGTCACCTTTTGAAGCAATGAACTCCGCGTGCCTCTCGAGGTGTCAGCGGGATGTGAGGCATTCCGTCAAAATGAGGCAGGGACCTAGGGCTTTCTCTAAGGTCTCCACAGGGGATTCAGACATCCCTTCATGTTGTGAGATGAAAGACGAGCCTGTATTCAAGCCACTGCAAGGAAATCCGGCCTCCTTTCAAGTTAGGGCTTCTCGCTGTATATTCCCCTTGAGGCAGCAAACTCGGGGTCCCTCCCACATACCTATTGCTGAGAGAAGCCTCCTCCTGAGTTGCTTCTGGGAAGTTGGCATACGTCTTGAGCCTAAGCCAGGGAATCAGCTCGCATCTCGAGACGATTTGGGGTACACGGAGCATTCCTCGAGTTGCTGTGCTGAAGTTGGTGTTCCTCTAGACTTGGGACAGTGTTCTCGGGGCATCTCTGGAGTTGCCAGAAGGAAGTCGAGCCACCGGTCGTGTTGAATGGGGAACGGGGAATGGCTCTGGAGTCAATGCAGGGGAATCGGGCCTCATCTCGAGTTGATTTGGGGCACATGGAGCTGCTTTGCGTTGCTGGGGTGACCTCAGGGTCCGTCTAGACTGGTGACAGTGTTCTTGGGGACTGTCTCGAGATCCATTAAGCAAGTCGAAGCTCCTGACTTGTTTGAATGGGATCACGGAATAGCTCTGCATGCACTGCAGGGGAATGGGGCCTCATCTCGCCTCTAGGGGGAAGTCTCATGGTTTTTCTCGAGTTGCGGCGGGGACCTGGGGTATGTTCTCGACTTACGGCGGGGATGGCCCTTCAAAACACGAGTTTCTTCAGTGACGTCAGGACTCCTGTCTAGTAACGAGGGACACCTCAGGAATCTCTTCGAGGCTTGGCAGGGCCAAAGGGACGCTTCTCGAGGTGAGGCAGGGCACCCAAGGACCCTTTCCAGGAGCCACAGGGATTTTGGGATTCCTATCAGTATTCAAGAGGAGTCAGGCATCGTCACCTTTTGAAGCAATGAACTCCGCGTGCCTCTCGAGGTGTCAGCGGGATGTGAGGCATTCCGTCAAAATGAGGCAGGGACCTAGGGCTTTCTCTAAGGTCTCCACAGGGGATTCAGACATCCCTTCATGTTGTGAGATGAAAGACGAGCCTGTATTCAAGCCACTGCAAGGAAATCCGGCCTCCTTTCAAGTTAGGGCTTCTCGCTGTATATTCCCCTTGAGGCAGCAAACTCGGGGTCCCTCCCACATACCTATTGCTGAGAGAAGCCTCCTCCTGAGGTGCTTCTGGGAAGTTGGCATACGTCTTGAGCCTAAGCCAGGGAATCAGCTCGCATCTCGAGACGATTTGGGGTACACGGAGCATTCCTCGAGTTGCTGTGCTGAAGTTGGTGTTCCTCTAGACTTGGGACAGTGTTCTCGGGGCATCTCTGGAGTTGCCTGAAGGAAGTCGAGCCACCGGTCGTGTTGAATGGGGAACGGGGAATGGCTCTGGAGTCAATGCAGGGGAATCGGGCCTCATCTCGAGTTGATTTGGGGCACATGGAGCTGCTTTGCGTTGCTGGGGTGACCTCAGGGTCCATCTAGACTGGTGACAGTGTTCTTGGGGACTGTTTCGAGATCCATTAAGCAAGTCGAAGCTCCTGACTTGTTTGAATGGGATCACGGAATAGCTCTGCATGCACTGCAGGGGAATGGGGCCTCATCTCGCCTCTAGGGGGAAGTCTCATGGTTTTTCTCGAGTTGCGGCGGGGACCTGGGGTATGTTCTCGACTTACGGCGGGGATGGCCCTTCAAAACACTAGTTTCTTCAGTGACGTCAGGACTCCTGTCTAGTAACGAGGGACACCTCAGGAATCTCTTCGAGGCTTGGCAGGGCCAAAGGGACGCTTCTCGAGGTGAGGCAGGGCACCCAAGGACCCTTTCCAGGAGCCACAGGGATTTTGGGATTCCTATCAGTATTCAAGAGGAGTCAGGCATCGTCACCTTTTGAAGCAATGAACTCCGCGTGCCTCTCGAGGTGTCAGCGGGATGTGAGGCATTCCGTCAAAATGAGGCAGGGACCTAGGGCTTTCTCTAAGGTCTCCACAGGGGATTCAGACATCCCTTCATGTTGTGAGATGAAAGACGAGCCTGTATTCAAGCCACTGCAAGGAAATCCGGCCTCCTTTCAAGTTAGGGCTTCTCGCTGTATATTCCCCTTGAGGCAGCAAACTCGGGGTCCCTCCCACATACCTATTGCTGAGAGAAGCCTCCTCCTGAGGTGCTTCTGGGAAGTTGGCATACGTCTTGAGCCTAAGCCAGGGAATCAGCTCGCATCTCGAGACGATTTGGTGTACACGGAGCATTCCTCGAGTTGCTGTGCTGAAGTTGGTGTTCCTCTAGACTTGGGACAGTGTTCTCGGGGCATCTCTGGAGTTGCCTGAAGGAAGTCGAGCCACCGGTCGTGTTGAATGGGGAACGGGGAATGGCTCTGGAGTCAATGCAGGGGAATCGGGCCTCATCTCGAGTTGATTTGGGGCACATGGAGCTGCTTTGCATTGCTGGGGTGACCTCAGGGTCCGTCTAGACTGGTGACAGTGTTCTTGGGGACTGTCTCGAGATCCATTAAGCAAGTCGAAGCTCCTGACTTGTTTGAATGGGATCACGGAATAGCTCTGCATGCACTGCAGGGGAATGGGGCCTCATCTCGCCTCTAGGGGGAAGTCTCATGGTTTTTCTCGAGTTGCGGCGGGGACCTGGGGTATGTTCTCGACTTACGGCGGGGATGGCCCTTCAAAACACTAGTTTCTTCAGTGACGTCAGGACTCCTGTCTAGTAACGAGGGACACCTCAGGAATCTCTTCGAGGCTTGGCAGGGCCAAAGGGACGCTTCTCGAGGTGAGGCAGGGCACCCAAGGACCCTTTCCAGGAGCCACAGGGATTTTGGGATTCCTATCAGTATTCAAGAGGAGTCAGGCATCGTCACCTTTTGAAGCAATGAACTCCGCGTGCCTCTCGAGGTGTCAGCGGGATGTGAGGCATTCCGTCAAAATGAGGCAGGGACCTAGGGCTTTCTCTAAGGTCTCCACAGGGGATTCAGACATCCCTTCATGTTGTGAGATGAAAGACGAGCCTGTATTCAAGCCACTGCAAGGAAATCCGGCCTCCTTTCAAGTTAGGGCTTCTCGCTGTATATTCCCCTTGAGGCAGCAAACTCGGGGTCCCTCCCACATACCTATTGCTGAGAGAAGCCTCCTCCTGAGGTGCTTCTGGGAAGTTGGCATACGTCTTGAGCCTAAGCCAGGGAATCAGCTCGCATCTCGAGACGATTTGGGGTACACGGAGCATTCCTCGAGTTGCTGTGCTGAAGTTGGTGTTCCTCTAGACTTGGGACAGTGTTCTCGGGGCATCTCTGGAGTTGCCTGAAGGAAGTCGAGCCACCGGTCGTGTTGAATGGGGAACGGGGAATGGCTCTGGAGTCAATGCAGGGGAATCGGGCCTCATCTCGAGTTGATTTGGGGCACATGGAGCTGCTTTGCATTGCTGGGGTGACCTCAGGGTCCGTCTAGACTGGTGACAGTGTTCTTGGGGACTGTCTCGAGATCCATTAAGCAAGTCGAAGCTCCTGACTTGTTTGAATGGGATCACGGAATAGCTCTGCATGCACTGCAGGGGAATGGGGCCTCATCTCGCCTCTAGGGGGAAGTCTCATGGTTTTTCTCGAGTTGCGGCGGGGACCTGGGGTATGTTCTCGACTTACGGCGGGGATGGCCCTTCAAAACACGAGTTTCTTCAGTGACGTCAGGACTCCTGTCTAGTAACGAGGGACACCTCAGGAATCTCTTCGAGGCTTGGCAGGGCCAAAGGGACGCTTCTCGAGGTGAGGCAGGGCACCCAAGGACCCTTTCCAGGAGCCACAGGGATTTTGGGATTCCTATCAGTATTCAAGAGGAGTCAGGCATCGTCACCTTTTGAAGCAATGAACTCCGCGTGCCTCTCGAGGTGTCAGCGGGATGTGAGGCATTCCGTCAAAATGAGGCAGGGACCTAGGGCTTTCTCTAAGGTCTCCACAGGGGATTCAGACATCCCTTCATGTTGTGAGATGAAAGACGAGCCTGTATTCAAGCCACTGCAAGGAAATCCGGCCTCCTTTCAAGTTAGGGCTTCTCGCTGTATATTCCCCTTGAGGCAGCAAACTCGGGGTCCCTCCCACATACCTATTGCTGAGAGAAGCCTCCTCCTGAGGTGCTTCTGGGAAGTTGGCATACGTCTTGAGCCTAAGCCAGGGAATCAGCTCGCATCTCGAGACGATTTGGGGTACACGGAGCATTCCTCGAGTTGCTGTGCTGAAGTTGGTGTTCCTCTAGACTTGGGACAGTGTTCTCGGGGCATATCTGGAGTTGCCTGAAGGAAGTCGAGCCACCGGTCGTGTTGAATGGGGAACGGGGAATGGCTCTGGAGTCAATGCAGGGGAATCGGGCCTCATCTCGAGTTGATTTGGGGCACATGGAGTTGCTTTGCGTTGCTGGGGTGACCTCAGGGTCCGTCTAGACTGGTGACAGTGTTCTTGGGGACTGTCTCGAGATCAATTAAGCAAGTCGAAGCTCCTGACTTGTTTGAATGGGATCACGGAATAGCTCTGCATGCACTGCAGGGGAATGGAGCCTCATCTCGCCTCTAGGGGGAAGTCTCATGGTTTTTCTCGAGTTGCGGCGGGGACCTGGGGTATGTTCTCGACTTACGGCGGGGATGGCCCTTCAAAACACGAGTTTCTTCAGTGACGTCAGGACTTCTGTCTAGTAACGAGGGACACCTCAGGAATCTCTTCGAGGCTTGGCAGGGCCAAAGGGACGCTTCTCGAGGTGAGGCAGCGCACCCAAGGACCCTTTCCAGTAGCCACAGGGATTTTGGGATTCCTATCAGTATTCAAGAGGAGTCAGGCATCGTCACCTTTTGAAGCAATGAACTCCGCGTGCCTCTCGAGGTGTCAGCGTAATGTGAGGCATTCCGTCAAAATGAGGCAGGGACCTAGGGCTTTCTCTAAGGTCTCCACAGGGGATTCAGACATCCCTTCATGTTGTGAGATGAAAGACGAGCCTGTATTCAAGCCACTGCAAGGAAATCCGGCCTCCTTTCAAGTTAGGGCTTCTCGCTGTATATTCCCCTTGAGGCAGCAAACTCGGGGTCCCTCCCACATACCTATTGCTGAGAGAAGCCTCCTCCTGAGGTGCTTCTGGGAAGTTGGCATACGTCTTGAGCCTAAGCCAGGGAATCAGCTCGCATCTCGAGACGATTTGGGGTACACGGAGCATTCCTCGAGTTGCTGTGCTGAAGTTGGTGTTCCTCTAGACTTGGGACAGTGTTCTCGGGGCATCTCTGGAGTTGCCAGAAGGAAGTCGAGCCACCGGTCGTGTTGAATGGGGAACGGGGAATGGCTCTGGAGTCAATGCAGGGGAATCGGGCCTCATCTCGAGTTGATTTGGGGCACATGGAGCTGCTTTGCGTTGCTGGGGTGACCTCAGGGTCCGTCTAGACTGGTGACAGTGTTCTTGGGGACTGTCTCGAGATCCATTAAGCAAGTCGAAGCTCCTGACTTGTTTGAATGGGATCACGGAATAGCTCTGCATGCACTGCAGGGGAATGGGGCCTCATCTCGCCTCTAGGGGGAAGTCTCATGGTTTTTCTCGAGTTGCGGCGGGGACCTGGGGTATGTTCTCGACTTACGGCGGGGATGGCCCTTCAAAACACGAGTTTCTTCAGTGACGTCAGGACTCCTGTCTAGTAACGAGGGACACCTCAGGAATCTCTTCGAGGCTTGGCAGGGCCAAAGGGACGCTTCTCGAGGTGAGGCAGGGCACCCAAGGACCCTTTCCAGGAGCCACAGGGATTTTGGGATTCCTATCAGTATTCAAGAGGAGTCAGGCATCGTCACCTTTTGAAGCAATGAACTCCGCGTGCCTCTCGAGGTGTCAGCGGGATGTGAGGCATTCCGTCAAAATGAGGCAGGGACCTAGGGCTTTCTCTAAGGTCTCCACAGGGGATTCAGACATCCCTTCATGTTGTGAGATGAAAGACGAGCCTGTATTCAAGCCACTGCAAGGAAATCCGGCCTCCTTTCAAGTTAGGGCTTCTCGCTGTATATTCCCCTTGAGGCAGCAAACTCGGGGTCCCTCCCACATACCTATTGCTGAGAGAAGCCTCCTCCTGAGGTGCTTCTGGGAAGTTGGCATACGTCTTGAGCCTAAGCCAGGGAATCAGCTCGCATCTCGAGACGATTTGGGGTACACGGAGCATTCCTCGAGTTGCTGTGCTGAAGTTGGTGTTCCTCTAGACTTGGGACAGTGTTCTCGGGGCATCTCTGGAGTTGCCAGAAGGAAGTCGAGCCACCGGTCGTGTTGAATGGGGAACGGGGAATGGCTCTGGAGTCAATGCAGGGGAATCGGGCCTCATCTCGAGTTGATTTGGGGCACATGGAGCTGCTTTGCGTTGCTGGGGTGACCTCAGGGTCCGTCTAGACTGGTGACAGTGTTCTTGGGGACTGTCTCGAGATCCATTAAGCAAGTCGAAGCTCCTGACTTGTTTGAATGGGATCACGGAATAGCTCTGCATGCACTGCAGGGGAATGGGGCCTCATCTCGCCTCTAGGGGGAAGTCTCATGGTTTTTCTCGAGTTGCGGCGGGGACCTGGGGTATGTTCTCGACTTACGGCGGGGATGGCCCTTCAAAACACGAGTTTCTTCAGTGACGTCAGGACTCCTGTCTAGTAACGAGGGACACCTCAGGAATCTCTTCGAGGCTTGGCAGGGCCAAAGGGACGCTTCTCGAGGTGAGGCAGGGCACCCAAGGACCCTTTCCAGGAGCCACAGGGATTTTGGGATTCCTATCAGTATTCAAGAGGAGTCAGGCATCGTCACCTTTTGAAGCAATGAACTCCGCGTGCCTCTCGAGGTGTCAGCGGGATGTGAGGCATTCCGTCAAAATGAGGCAGGGACCTAGGGCTTTCTCTAAGGTCTCCACAGGGGATTCAGACATCCCTTCATGTTGTGAGATGAAAGACGAGCCTGTATTCAAGCCACTGCAAGGAAATCCGGCCTCCTTTCAAGTTAGGGCTTCTCGCTGTATATTCCCCTTGAGGCAGCAAACTCGGGGTCCCTCCCACATACCTATTGCTGAGAGAAGCCTCCTCCTGAGGTGCTTCTGGGAAGTTGGCATACGTCTTGAGCCTAAGCCAGGGAATCAGCTCGCATCTCGAGACGATTTGGGGTACACGGAGCATTCCTCGAGTTGCTGTGCTGAAGTTGGTGTTCCTCTAGACTTGGGACAGTGTTCTCGGGGCATCTCTGGAGTTGCCTGAAGGAAGTCGAGCCACCGGTCGTGTTGAATGGGGAACGGGGAATGGCTCTGGAGTCAATGCAGGGGAATCGGGCCTCATCTCGAGTTGATTTGGGGCACATGGAGCTGCTTTGCGTTGCTGGGGTGACCTCAGGGTCCATCTAGACTGGTGACAGTGTTCTTGGGGACTGTTTCGAGATCCATTAAGCAAGTCGAAGCTCCTGACTTGTTTGAATGGGATCACGGAATAGCTCTGCATGCACTGCAGGGGAATGGGGCCTCATCTCGCCTCTAGGGGGAAGTCTCATGGTTTTTCTCGAGTTGCGGCGGGGACCTGGGGTATGTTCTCGACTTACGGCGGGGATGGCCCTTCAAAACACTAGTTTCTTCAGTGACGTCAGGACTCCTGTCTAGTAACGAGGGACACCTCAGGAATCTCTTCGAGGCTTGGCAGGGCCAAAGGGACGCTTCTCGAGGTGAGGCAGGGCACCCAAGGACCCTTTCCAGGAGCCACAGGGATTTTGGGATTCCTATCAGTATTCAAGAGGAGTCAGGCATCGTCACCTTTTGAAGCAATGAACTCCGCGTGCCTCTCGAGGTGTCAGCGGGATGTGAGGCATTCCGTCAAAATGAGGCAGGGACCTAGGGCTTTCTCTAAGGTCTCCACAGGGGATTCAGACATCCCTTCATGTTGTGAGATGAAAGACGAGCCTGTATTCAAGCCACTGCAAGGAAATCCGGCCTCCTTTCAAGTTAGGGCTTCTCGCTGTATATTCCCCTTGAGGCAGCAAACTCGGGGTCCCTCCCACATACCTATTGCTGAGAGAAGCCTCCTCCTGAGGTGCTTCTGGGAAGTTGGCATACGTCTTGAGCCTAAGCCAGGGAATCAGCTCGCATCTCGAGACGATTTGGGGTACACGGAGCATTCCTCGAGTTGCTGTGCTGAAGTTGGTGTTTCTCTAGACTTGGGACAGTGTTCTCGGGGCATCTCTGGAGTTGCCTGAAGGAAGTCGAGCCACCGGTCGTGTTGAATGGGGAACGGGGAATGGCTCTGGAGTCAATGCAGGGGAATCGGGCCTCATCTCGAGTTGATTTGGGGCACATGGAGCTGCTTTGCATTGCTGGGGTGACCTCAGGGTCCGTCTAGACTGGTGACAGTGTTCTTGGGGACTGTCTCGAGATCCATTAAGCAAGTCGAAGCTCCTGACTTGTTTGAATGGGATCACGGAATAGCTCTGCATGCACTGCAGGGGAATGGGGCCTCATCTCGCCTCTAGGGGGAAGTCTCATGGTTTTTCTCGAGTTGCGGCGGGGACCTGGGGTATGTTCTCGACTTACGGCGGGGATGGCCCTTCAAAACACTAGTTTCTTCAGTGACGTCAGGACTCCTGTCTAGTAACGAGGGACACCTCAGGAATCTCTTCGAGGCTTGGCAGGGCCAAAGGGACGCTTCTCGAGGTGAGGCAGGGCACCCAAGGACCCTTTCCAGGAGCCACAGGGATTTTGGGATTCCTATCAGTATTCAAGAGGAGTCAGGCATCGTCACCTTTTGAAGCAATGAACTCCGCGTGCCTCTCGAGGTGTCAGCGGGATGTGAGGCATTCCGTCAAAATGAGGCAGGGACCTAGGGCTTTCTCTAAGGTCTCCACAGGGGATTCAGACATCCCTTCATGTTGTGAGATGAAAGACGAGCCTGTATTCAAGCCACTGCAAGGAAATCCGGCCTCCTTTCAAGTTAGGGCTTCTCGCTGTATATTCCCCTTGAGGCAGCAAACTCGGGGTCCCTCCCACATACCTATTGCTGAGAGAAGCCTCCTCCTGAGGTGCTTCTGGGAAGTTGGCATACGTCTTGAGCCTAAGCCAGGGAATCAGCTCGCATCTCGAGACGATTTGGGGTACACGGAGCATTCCTCGAGTTGCTGTGCTGAAGTTGGTGTTCCTCTAGACTTGGGACAGTGTTCTCGGGGCATCTCTGGAGTTGCCTGAAGGAAGTCGAGCCACCGGTCGTGTTGAATGGGGAACGGGGAATGGCTCTGGAGTCAATGCAGGGGAATCGGGCCTCATCTCGAGTTGATTTGGGGCACATGGAGCTGCTTTGCATTGCTGGGGTGACCTCAGGGTCCGTCTAGACTGGTGACAGTGTTCTTGGGGACTGTCTCGAGATCCATTAAGCAAGTCGAAGCTCCTGACTTGTTTGAATGGGATCACGGAATAGCTCTGCATGCACTGCAGGGGAATGGGGCCTCATCTCGCCTCTAGGGGGAAGTCTCATGGTTTTTCTCGAGTTGCGGCGGGGACCTGGGGTATGTTCTCGACTTACGGCGGGGATGGCCCTTCAAAACACGAGTTTCTTCAGTGACGTCAGGACTTCTGTCTAGTAACGAGGGACACCTCAGGAATCTCTTCGAGGCTTGGCAGGGCCAAAGGGACGCTTCTCGAGGTGAGGCAGGGCACCCAAGGACCCTTTCCAGTAGCCACAGGGATTTTGGGATTCCTATCAGTATTCAAGAGGAGTCAGGCATCGTCACCTTTTGAAGCAATGAACTCCGCGTGCCTCTCGAGGTGTCAGCGGGATGTGAGGCATTCCGTCAAAATGAGGCAGGGACCTAGGGCTTTCTCTAAGGTCTCCACAGGGGATTCAGACATCCCTTCATGTTGTGAGATGAAAGACGAGCCTGTATTCAAGCCACTGCAAGGAAATCCGGCCTCCTTTCAAGTTAGGGCTTCTCGCTGTATATTCCCCTTGAGGCAGCAAACTCGGGGTCCCTCCCACATACCTATTGCTGAGAGAAGCCTCCTCCTGAGGTGCTTCTGGGAAGTTGGCATACGTCTTGAGCCTAAGCCAGGGAATCAGCTCGCATCTCGAGACGATTTGGGGTACACGGAGCATTCCTCGAGTTGCTGTGCTGAAGTTGGTGTTCCTCTAGACTTGGGACAGTGTTCTCGGGGCATCTCTGGAGTTGCCTGAAGGAAGTCGAGCCACCGGTCGTGTTGAATGGGGAACGGGGAATGGCTCTGGAGTCAATGCAGGGGAATCGGGCCTCATCTCGAGTTGATTTGGGGCACATGGAGCTGCTTTGCGTTGCTGGGGTGACCTCAGGGTCCGTCTAGACTGGTGACAGTGTTCTTGGGGACTGTCTCGAGATCCATTAAGCAAGTCGAAGCTCCTGACTTGTTTGAATGTGGTCACGGAATAGCTCTGCATGCACTGCAGGGGAATGGGGCCTCATCTCGCCTCTAGGGGGAAGTCTCATGGTTTTTCTCGAGTTGCGGCGGGGACCTGGGGTATGTTCTCGACTTACGGCGGGGATGGCCCTTCAAAACACGAGTTTCTTCAGTGACGTCAGGACTCCTGTCTAGTAACGAGGGACACCTCAGGAATCTCTTCGAGGCTTGGCAGGGCCAAAGGGACGCTTCTCGAGGTGAGGCAGGGCACCCAAGGACCCTTTCCAGTAGCCACAGGGATTTTGGGATTCCTATCAGTATTCAAGAGGAGTCAGGCATCGTCACCTTTTGAAGCAATGAACTCCGCGTGCCTCTCGAGGTGTCAGCGGGATGTGAGGCATTCCGTCAAAATGAGGCAGGGACCTAGGGCTTTCTCTAAGGTCTCCACAGGGGATTCAGACATCCCTTCATGTTGTGAGATGAAAGACGAGCCTGTATTCAAGCCACTGCAAGGAAATCCGGCCTCCTTTCAAGTTAGGGCTTCTCGCTGTATATTCCCCTTGAGGCAGCAAACTCGGGGTCCCTCCCACATACCTATTGCTGAGAGAAGCCTCCTCCTGAGGTGCTTCTGGGAAGTTGGCATACGTCTTGAGCCTAAGCCAGGGAATCAGCTCGCATCTCGAGACGATTTGGGGTACACGGAGCATTCCTCGAGTTGCTGTGCTGAAGTTGGTGTTCCTCTAGACTTGGGACAGTGTTCTCGGGGCATCTCTGGAGTTGCCTGAAGGAAGTCGAGCCACCGGTCGTGTTGAATGGGGAACGGGGAATGGCTCTGGAGTCAATGCAGGGGAATCGGGCCTCATCTCGAGTTGATTTGGGGCACATGGAGCTGCTCTGCGTTGCTGGGGTGACCTCAGGGTCCGTCTAGACTGGTGACAGTGTTCTTGGGGACTGTCTCGAGATCCATTAAGCAAGTCGAAGCTCCTGACTTGTTTGAATGGGGTCACGGAATAGCTCTGCATGCACTGCAGGGGAATGGGGCCTCATCTCGCCTCTAGGGGGAAGTCTCATGGTTTTTCTCGAGTTGCGGCGGGGACCTGGGGTATGTTCTCGACTTACGGCGGGGATGGCCCTTCAAAACACGAGTTTCTTCAGTGACGTCAGGACTCCTGTCTAGTAACGAGGGACACCTCAGGAATCTCTTCGAGGCTTGGCAGGGCCAAAGGGACGCTTCTCGAGGTGAGGCAGGGCACCCAAGGACCCTTTCCAGGAGCCACAGGGATTTTGGGATTCCTATCAGTATTCAAGAGGAGTCAGGCATCGTCACCTTTTGAAGCAATGAACTCCGCGTGCCTCTCGAGGTGTCAGCGGGATGTGAGGCATTCCGTCAAAATGAGGCAGGGACCTAGGGCTTTCTCTAAGGTCTCCACAGGGGATTCAGACATCCCTTCATGTTGTGAGATGAAAGACGAGCCTGTATTCAAGCCACTGCAAGGAAATCCGGCCTCCTTTCAAGTTAGGGCTTCTCGCTGTATATTCCCCTTGAGGCAGCAAACTCGGGGTCCCTCCCACATACCTATTGCTGAGAGAAGCCTCCTCCTGAGGTGCTTCTGGGAAGTTGGCATACGTCTTGAGCCTAAGCCAGGGAATCAGCTCGCATCTCGAGACGATTTGGGGTACACGGAGCATTCCTCGAGTTGCTGTGCTGAAGTTGGTGTTCCTCTAGACTTGGGACAGTGTTCTCGGGGCATCTCTGGAGTTGCCTGAAGGAAGTCGAGCCACCGGTCGTGTTGAATGGGGAACGGGGAATGGCTCTGGAGTCAATGCAGGGGAATCGGGCCTCATCTCGAGTTGATTTGGGGCACATGGAGCTGCTTTGCGTTGCTGGGGTGACCTCAGGGTCCGTCTAGACTGGTGACAGTGTTCTTGGGGACTGTCTCGAGATCCATTAAGCAAGTCGAAGCTCCTGACTTGTTTGAATGGGATCACGGAATAGCTCTGCATGCACTGCAGGGGAATGGGGCCTCATCTCGCCTCTAGGGGGAAGTCTCATGGTTTTTCTCGAGTTGCGGCGGGGACCTGGGGTATGTTCTCGACTTACGGCGGGGATGGCCCTTCAAAACACGAGTTTCTTCAGTGACGTCAGGACTCCTGTCTAGTAACGAGGGACACCTCAGGAATCTCTTCGAGGCTTGGCAGGGCCAAAGGGACGCTTCTCCAGGTGAGGCAGGGCACCCAAGGACCCTTTCCAGTAGCCACAGGGATTTTGGGATTCCTATCAGTATTCAAGAGGAGTCAGGCGTCGTCACCTTTTGAAGCAATGAACTCCGCGTGCCTCTCGAGGTGTCAGCGGGATGTGAGGCATTCCGTCAAAATGAGGCAGGGACCTAGGGCTTTCTCTAAGGTCTCCACAGGGGATTCAGACATCCCTTCATGTTGTGAGATGAAAGACGAGCCTGTATTCAAGCCACTGCAAGGAAATCCGGCCTCCTTTCAAGTTAGGGCTTCTCGCTGTATATTCCCCTTGAGGCAGCAAACTCGGGGTCCCTCCCACATACCTATTGCTGAGAGAAGCCTCCTCCTGAGGTGCTTCTGGGAAGTTGGCATACGTCTTGAGCCTAAGCCAGGGAATCAGCTCGCATCTCGAGACGATTTGGGGTACACGGAGCATTCCTCGAGTTGCTGTGCTGAAGTTGGTGTTCCTCTAGACTTGGGACAGTGTTCTCGGGGCATCTCTGGAGTTGCCTGAAGGAAGTCGAGCCACCGGTCGTGTTGAATGGGGAACGGGGAATGGCTCTGGAGTCAATGCAGGGGAATCGGGCCTCATCTCGAGTTGATTTGGGGCACATGGAGCTGCTTTGCGTTGCTGGGGTGACCTCAGGGTCCGTCTAGACTGGTGACAGTGTTCTTGGGGACTGTCTCGAGATCCATTAAGCAAGTCGAAGCTCCTGACTTGTTTGAATGGGATCACGGAATAGCTCTGCATGCACTGCAGGGGAATGGGGCCTCATCTCGCCTCTAGGGGGAAGTCTCATGGTTTTTCTCGAGTTGCGGCGGGGACCTGGGGTATGTTCTCGACTTACGGCGGGGATGGCCCTTCAAAACACGAGTTTCTTCAGTGACGTCAGGACTCCTGTCTAGTAACGAGGGACACCTCAGGAATCTCTTCGAGGCTTGGCAGGGCCAAAGGGACGCTTCTCGAGGTGAGGCAGGGCACCCAAGGACCCTTTCCAGTAGCCACAGGGATTTTGGGATTCCTATCAGTATTCAAGAGGAGTCAGGCATCGTCACCTTTTGAAGCAGTGAACTCCGCGTGCCTCTCGAGGTGTCAGCGGGATGTGAGGCATTCCGTCAAAATGAGGCAGGGACCTAGGGCTTTCTCTAAGGTCTCCACAGGGGATTCAGACATCCCTTCATGTTGTGAGATGAAAGACGAGCCTGTATTCAAGCCACTGCAAGGAAATCCGGCCTCCTTTCAAGTTAGGGCTTCTCGCTGTATATTCCCCTTGAGGCAGCAAACTCGGGGTCCCTCCCACATACCTATTGCTGAGAGAAGCCTCCTCCTGAGGTGCTTCTGGGAAGTTGGCATACGTCTTGAGCCTAAGCCAGGGAATCAGCTCGCATCTCGAGACGATTTGGGGTACACGGAGCATTCCTCGAGTTGCTGTGCTGAAGTTGGTGTTCCTCTAGACTTGGGACAGTGTTCTCGGGGCATCTCTGGAGTTGCCTGAAGGAAGTCGAGCCACCGGTCGTGTTGAATGGGGAACGGGGAATGGCTCTGGAGTCAATGCAGGGGAATCGGGCCTCATCTCGAGTTGATTTGGGGCACATGGAGCTGCTTTGCGTTGCTGGGGTGACCTCAGGGTCCGTCTAGACTGGTGACAGTGTTCTTGGGGACTGTCTCGAGATCCATTAAGCAAGTCGAAGCTCCTGACTTGTTTGAATGTGGTCACGGAATAGCTCTGCATGCACTGCAGGGGAATGGGGCCTCATCTCGCCTCTAGGGGGAAGTCTCATGGTTTTTCTCGAGTTGCGGCGGGGACCTGGGGTATGTTCTCGACTTACGGCGGGGATGGCCCTTCAAAACACGAGTTTCTTCAGTGACGTCAGGACTCCTGTCTAGTAACGAGGGACACCTCAGGAATCTCTTCGAGGCTTGGCAGGGCCAAAGGGACGCTTCTCGAGGTGAGGCAGGGCACCCAAGGACCCTTTCCAGTAGCCACAGGGATTTTGGGATTCCTATCAGTATTCAAGAGGAGTCAGGCATCGTCACCTTTTGAAGCAATGAACTCCGCGTGCCTCTCGAGGTGTCAGCGGGATGTGAGGCATTCCGTCAAAATGAGGCAGGGACCTAGGGCTTTCTCTAAGGTCTCCACAGGGGATTCAGACATCCCTTCATGTTGTGAGATGAAAGACGAGCCTGTATTCAAGCCACTGCAAGGAAATCCGGCCTCCTTTCAAGTTAGGGCTTCTCGCTGTATATTCCCCTTGAGGCAGCAAACTCGGGGTCCCTCCCACATACCTATTGCTGAGAGAAGCCTCCTCCTGAGGTGCTTCTGGGAAGTTGGCATACGTCTTGAGCCTAAGCCAGGGAATCAGCTCGCATCTCGAGACGATTTGGGGTACACGGAGCATTCCTCGAGTTGCTGTGCTGAAGTTGGTGTTCCTCTAGACTTGGGACAGTGTTCTCGGGGCATCTCTGGAGTTGCCTGAAGGAAGTCGAGCCACCGGTCGTGTTGAATGGGGAACGGGGAATGGCTCTGGAGTCAATGCAGGGGAATCGGGCCTCATCTCGAGTTGATTTGGGGCACATGGAGCTGCTTTGCGTTGCTGGGGTGACCTCAGGGTCCGTCTAGACTGGTGACAGTGTTCTTGGGGACTGTCTCGAGATCCATTAAGCAAGTCGAAGCTCCTGACTTGTTTGAATGGGGTCACGGAATAGCTCTGCATGCACTGCAGGGGAATGGGGCCTCATCTCGCCTCTAGGGGGAAGTCTCATGGTTTTTCTCGAGTTGCGGCGGGGACCTGGGGTATGTTCTCGACTTACGGCGGGGATGGCCCTTCAAAACACGAGTTTCTTCAGTGACGTCAGGACTCCTGTCTAGTAACGAGGGACACCTCAGGAATCTCTTCGAGGCTTGGCAGGGCCAAAGGGACGCTTCTCCAGGTGAGGCAGGGCACCCAAGGACCCTTTCCAGTAGCCACAGGGATTTTGGGATTCCTATCAGTATTCAAGAGGAGTCAGGCGTCGTCACCTTTTGAAGCAATGAACTCCGCGTGCCTCTCGAGGTGTCAGCGGGATGTGAGGCATTCCGTCAAAATGAGGCAGGGACCTAGGGCTTTCTCTAAGGTCTCCACAGGGGATTCAGACATCCCTTCATGTTGTGAGATGAAAGACGAGCCTGTATTCAAGCCACTGCAAGGAAATCCGGCCTCCTTTCAAGTTAGGGCTTCTCGCTGTATATTCCCCTTGAGGCAGCAAACTCGGGGTCCCTCCCACATACCTATTGCTGAGAGAAGCCTCCTCCTGAGGTGCTTCTGGGAAGTTGGCATACGTCTTGAGCCTAAGCCAGGGAATCAGCTCGCATCTCGAGACGATTTGGGGTACACGGAGCATTCCTCGAGTTGCTGTGCTGAAGTTGGTGTTCCTCTAGACTTGGGACAGTGTTCTCGGGGCATCTCTGGAGTTGCCTGAAGGAAGTCGAGCCACCGGTCGTGTTGAATGGGGAACGGGGAATGGCTCTGGAGTCAATGCAGGGGAATCGGGCCTCATCTCGAGTTGATTTGGGGCACATGGAGCTGCTTTGCGTTGCTGGGGTGACCTCAGGGTCCGTCTAGACTGGTGACAGTGTTCTTGGGGACTGTCTCGAGATCCATTAAGCAAGTCGAAGCTCCTGACTTGTTTGAATGGGATCACGGAATAGCTCTGCATGCACTGCAGGGGAATGGGGCCTCATCTCGCCTCTAGGGGGAAGTCTCATGGTTTTTCTCGAGTTGCGGCGGGGACCTGGGGTATGTTCTCGACTTACGGCGGGGATGGCCCTTCAAAACACGAGTTTCTTCAGTGACGTCAGGACTCCTGTCTAGTAACGAGGGACACCTCAGGAATCTCTTCGAGGCTTGGCAGGGCCAAAGGGACGCTTCTCGAGGTGAGGCAGGGCACCCAAGGACCCTTTCCAGTAGCCACAGGGATTTTGGGATTCCTATCAGTATTCAAGAGGAGTCAGGCATCGTCACCTTTTGAAGCAGTGAACTCCGCGTGCCTCTCGAGGTGTCAGCGGGATGTGAGGCATTCCGTCAAAATGAGGCAGGGACCTAGGGCTTTCTCTAAGGTCTCCACAGGGGATTCAGACATCCCTTCATGTTGTGAGATGAAAGACGAGCCTGTATTCAAGCCACTGCAAGGAAATCCGGCCTCCTTTCAAGTTAGGGCTTCTCGCTGTATATTCCCCTTGAGGCAGCAAACTCGGGGTCCCTCCCACATACCTATTGCTGAGAGAAGCCTCCTCCTGAGGTGCTTCTGGGAAGTTGGCATACGTCTTGAGCCTAAGCCAGGGAATCAGCTCGCATCTCGAGACGATTTGGGGTACACGGAGCATTCCTCGAGTTGCTGTGCTGAAGTTGGTGTTCCTCTAGACTTGGGACAGTGTTCTCGGGGCATCTCTGGAGTTGCCTGAAGGAAGTCGAGCCACCGGTCGTGTTGAATGGGGAACGGGGAATGGCTCTGGAGTCAATGCAGGGGAATCGGGCCTCATCTCGAGTTGATTTGGGGCACATGGAGCTGCTTTGCGTTGCTGGGGTGACCTCAGGGTCCGTCTAGACTGGTGACAGTGTTCTTGGGGACTGTCTCGAGATCCATTAAGCAAGTCGAAGCTCCTGACTTGTTTGAATGTGGTCACGGAATAGCTCTGCATGCACTGCAGGGGAATGGGGCCTCATCTCGCCTCTAGGGGGAAGTCTCATGGTTTTTCTCGAGTTGCGGCGGGGACCTGGGGTATGTTCTCGACTTACGGCGGGGATGGCCCTTCAAAACACGAGTTTCTTCAGTGACGTCAGGACTCCTGTCTAGTAACGAGGGACACCTCAGGAATCTCTTCGAGGCTTGGCAGGGCCAAAGGGACGCTTCTCGAGGTGAGGCAGGGCACCCAAGGACCCTTTCCAGTAGCCACAGGGATTTTGGGATTCCTATCAGTATTCAAGAGGAGTCAGGCATCGTCACCTTTTGAAGCAATGAACTCCGCGTGCCTCTCGAGGTGTCAGCGGGATGTGAGGCATTCCGTCAAAATGAGGCAGGGACCTAGGGCTTTCTCTAAGGTCTCCACAGGGGATTCAGACATCCCTTCATGTTGTGAGATGAAAGACGAGCCTGTATTCAAGCCACTGCAAGGAAATCCGGCCTCCTTTCAAGTTAGGGCTTCTCGCTGTATATTCCCCTTGAGGCAGCAAACTCGGGGTCCCTCCCACATACCTATTGCTGAGAGAAGCCTCCTCCTGAGGTGCTTCTGGGAAGTTGGCATACGTCTTGAGCCTAAGCCAGGGAATCAGCTCGCATCTCGAGACGATTTGGGGTACACGGAGCATTCCTCGAGTTGCTGTGCTGAAGTTGGTGTTCCTCTAGACTTGGGACAGTGTTCTCGGGGCATCTCTGGAGTTGCCTGAAGGAAGTCGAGCCACCGGTCGTGTTGAATGGGGAACGGGGAATGGCTCTGGAGTCAATGCAGGGGAATCGGGCCTCATCTCGAGTTGATTTGGGGCACATGGAGCTGCTTTGCGTTGCTGGGGTGACCTCAGGGTCCGTCTAGACTGGTGACAGTGTTCTTGGGGACTGTCTCGAGATCCATTAAGCAAGTCGAAGCTCCTGACTTGTTTGAATGGGGTCACGGAATAGCTCTGCATGCACTGCAGGGGAATGGGGCCTCATCTCGCCTCTAGGGGGAAGTCTCATGGTTTTTCTCGAGTTGCGGCGGGGACCTGGGGTATGTTCTCGACTTACGGCGGGGATGGCCCTTCAAAACACGAGTTTCTTCAGTGACGTCAGGACTCCTGTCTAGTAACGAGGGACACCTCAGGAATCTCTTCGAGGCTTGGCAGGGCCAAAGGGACGCTTCTCGAGGTGAGGCAGGGCACCCAAGGACCCTTTCCAGGAGCCACAGGGATTTTGGGATTCCTATCAGTATTCAAGAGGAGTCAGGCATCGTCACCTTTTGAAGCAATGAACTCCGCGTGCCTCTCGAGGTGTCAGCGGGATGTGAGGCATTCCGTCAAAATGAGGCAGGGACCTAGGGCTTTCTCTAAGGTCTCCACAGGGGATTCAGACATCCCTTCATGTTGTGAGATGAAAGACGAGCCTGTATTCAAGCCACTGCAAGGAAATCCGGCCTCCTTTCAAGTTAGGGCTTCTCGCTGTATATTCCCCTTGAGGCAGCAAACTCGGGGTCCCTCCCACATACCTATTGCTGAGAGAAGCCTCCTCCTGAGGTGCTTCTGGGAAGTTGGCATACGTCTTGAGCCTAAGCCAGGGAATCAGCTCGCATCTCGAGACGATTTGGGGTACACGGAGCATTCCTCGAGTTGCTGTGCTGAAGTTGGTGTTCCTCTAGACTTGGGACAGTGTTCTCGGGGCATCTCTGGAGTTGCCTGAAGGAAGTCGAGCCACCGGTCGTGTTGAATGGGGAACGGGGAATGGCTCTGGAGTCAATGCAGGGGAATCGGGCCTCATCTCGAGTTGATTTGGGGCACATGGAGCTGCTTTGCGTTGCTGGGGTGACCTCAGGGTCCGTCTAGACTGGTGACAGTGTTCTTGGGGACTGTCTCGAGATCCATTAAGCAAGTCGAAGCTCCTGACTTGTTTGAATGGGATCACGGAATAGCTCTGCATGCACTGCAGGGGAATGGGGCCTCATCTCGCCTCTAGGGGGAAGTCTCATGGTTTTTCTCGAGTTGCGGCGGGGACCTGGGGTATGTTCTCGACTTACGGCGGGGATGGCCCTTCAAAACACGAGTTTCTTCAGTGACGTCAGGACTCCTGTCTAGTAACGAGGGACACCTCAGGAATCTCTTCGAGGCTTGGCAGGGCCAAAGGGACGCTTCTCGAGGTGAGGCAGGGCACCCAAGGACCCTTTCCAGTAGCCACAGGGATTTTGGGATTCCTATCAGTATTCAAGAGGAGTCAGGCATCGTCACCTTTTGAAGCAGTGAACTCCGCGTGCCTCTCGAGGTGTCAGCGGGATGTGAGGCATTCCGTCAAAATGAGGCAGGGACCTAGGGCTTTCTCTAAGGTCTCCACAGGGGATTCAGACATCCCTTCATGTTGTGAGATGAAAGACGAGCCTGTATTCAAGCCACTGCAAGGAAATCCGGCCTCCTTTCAAGTTAGGGCTTCTCGCTGTATATTCCCCTTGAGGCAGCAAACTCGGGGTCCCTCCCACATACCTATTGCTGAGAGAAGCCTCCTCCTGAGGTGCTTCTGGGAAGTTGGCATACGTCTTGAGCCTAAGCCAGGGAATCAGCTCGCATCTCGAGACGATTTGGGGTACACGGAGCATTCCTCGAGTTGCTGTGCTGAAGTTGGTGTTCCTCTAGACTTGGGACAGTGTTCTCGGGGCATCTCTGGAGTTGCCTGAAGGAAGTCGAGCCACCGGTCGTGTTGAATGGGGAACGGGGAATGGCTCTGGAGTCAATGCAGGGGAATCGGGCCTCATCTCGAGTTGATTTGGGGCACATGGAGCTGCTTTGCGTTGCTGGGGTGACCTCAGGGTCCGTCTAGACTGGTGACAGTGTTCTTGGGGACTGTCTCGAGATCCATTAAGCAAGTCGAAGCTCCTGACTTGTTTGAATGTGGTCACGGAATAGCTCTGCATGCACTGCAGGGGAATGGGGCCTCATCTCGCCTCTAGGGGGAAGTCTCATGGTTTTTCTCGAGTTGCGGCGGGGACCTGGGGTATGTTCTCGACTTACGGCGGGGATGGCCCTTCAAAACACGAGTTTCTTCAGTGACGTCAGGACTCCTGTCTAGTAACGAGGGACACCTCAGGAATCTCTTCGAGGCTTGGCAGGGCCAAAGGGACGCTTCTCGAGGTGAGGCAGGGCACCCAAGGACCCTTTCCAGTAGCCACAGGGATTTTGGGATTCCTATCAGTATTCAAGAGGAGTCAGGCATCGTCACCTTTTGAAGCAATGAACTCCGCGTGCCTCTCGAGGTGTCAGCGGGATGTGAGGCATTCCGTCAAAATGAGGCAGGGACCTAGGGCTTTCTCTAAGGTCTCCACAGGGGATTCAGACATCCCTTCATGTTGTGAGATGAAAGACGAGCCTGTATTCAAGCCACTGCAAGGAAATCCGGCCTCCTTTCAAGTTAGGGCTTCTCGCTGTATATTCCCCTTGAGGCAGCAAACTCGGGGTCCCTCCCACATACCTATTGCTGAGAGAAGCCTCCTCCTGAGGTGCTTCTGGGAAGTTGGCATACGTCTTGAGCCTAAGCCAGGGAATCAGCTCGCATCTCGAGACGATTTGGGGTACACGGAGCATTCCTCGAGTTGCTGTGCTGAAGTTGGTGTTCCTCTAGACTTGGGACAGTGTTCTCGGGGCATCTCTGGAGTTGCCTGAAGGAAGTCGAGCCACCGGTCGTGTTGAATGGGGAACGGGGAATGGCTCTGGAGTCAATGCAGGGGAATCGGGCCTCATCTCGAGTTGATTTGGGGCACATGGAGCTGCTTTGCGTTGCTGGGGTGACCTCAGGGTCCGTCTAGACTGGTGACAGTGTTCTTGGGGACTGTCTCGAGATCCATTAAGCAAGTCGAAGCTCCTGACTTGTTTGAATGGGGTCACGGAATAGCTCTGCATGCACTGCAGGGGAATGGGGCCTCATCTCGCCTCTAGGGGGAAGTCTCATGGTTTTTCTCGAGTTGCGGCGGGGACCTGGGGTATGTTCTCGACTTACGGCGGGGATGGCCCTTCAAAACACGAGTTTCTTCAGTGACGTCAGGACTCCTGTCTAGTAACGAGGGACACCTCAGGAATCTCTTCGAGGCTTGGCAGGGCCAAAGGGACGCTTCTCGAGGTGAGGCAGGGCACCCAAGGACCCTTTCCAGGAGCCACAGGGATTTTGGGATTCCTATCAGTATTCAAGAGGAGTCAGGCATCGTCACCTTTTGAAGCAATGAACTCCGCGTGCCTCTCGAGGTGTCAGCGGGATGTGAGGCATTCCGTCAAAATGAGGCAGGGACCTAGGGCTTTCTCTAAGGTCTCCACAGGGGATTCAGACATCCCTTCATGTTGTGAGATGAAAGACGAGCCTGTATTCAAGCCACTGCAAGGAAATCCGGCCTCCTTTCAAGTTAGGGCTTCTCGCTGTATATTCCCCTTGAGGCAGCAAACTCGGGGTCCCTCCCACATACCTATTGCTGAGAGAAGCCTCCTCCTGAGGTGCTTCTGGGAAGTTGGCATACGTCTTGAGCCTAAGCCAGGGAATCAGCTCGCATCTCGAGACGATTTGGGGTACACGGAGCATTCCTCGAGTTGCTGTGCTGAAGTTGGTGTTCCTCTAGACTTGGGACAGTGTTCTCGGGGCATCTCTGGAGTTGCCAGAAGGAAGTCGAGCCACCGGTCGTGTTGAATGGGGAACGGGGAATGGCTCTGGAGTCAATGCAGGGGAATCGGGCCTCATCTCGAGTTGATTTGGGGCACATGGAGCTGCTTTGCGTTGCTGGGGTGACCTCAGGGTCCGTCTAGACTGGTGACAGTGTTCTTGGGGACTGTCTCGAGATCCATTAAGCAAGTCGAAGCTCCTGACTTGTTTGAATGGGATCACGGAATAGCTCTGCATGCACTGCAGGGGAATGGGGCCTCATCTCGCCTCTAGGGGGAAGTCTCATGGTTTTTCTCGAGTTGCGGCGGGGACCTGGGGTATGTTCTCGACTTACGGCGGGGATGGCCCTTCAAAACACGAGTTTCTTCAGTGACGTCAGGACTCCTGTCTAGTAACGAGGGACACCTCAGGAATCTCTTCGAGGCTTGGCAGGGCCAAAGGGACGCTTCTCGAGGTGAGGCAGGGCACCCAAGGACCCTTTCCAGTAGCCACAGGGATTTTGGGATTCCTATCAGTATTCAAGAGGAGTCAGGCATCGTCACCTTTTGAAGCAATGAACTCCGCGTGCCTCTCGAGGTGTCAGCGGGATGTGAGGCATTCCGTCAAAATGAGGCAGGGACCTAGGGCTTTCTCTAAGGTCTCCACAGGGGATTCAGACATCCCTTCATGTTGTGAGATGAAAGACGAGCCTGTATTCAAGCCACTGCAAGGAAATCCGGCCTCCTTTCAAGTTAGGGCTTCTCGCTGTATATTCCCCTTGAGGCAGCAAACTCGGGGTCCCTCCCACATACCTATTGCTGAGAGAAGCCTCCTCCTGAGGTGCTTCTGGGAAGTTGGCATACGTCTTGAGCCTAAGCCAGGGAATCAGCTCGCATCTCGAGACGATTTGGGGTACACGGAGCATTCCTCGAGTTGCTGTGCTGAAGTTGGTGTTCCTCTAGACTTGGGACAGTGTTCTCGGGGCATCTCTGGAGTTGCCTGAAGGAAGTCGAGCCACCGGTCGTGTTGAATGGGGAACGGGGAATGGCTCTGGAGTCAATGCAGGGGAATCGGGCCTCATCTCGAGTTGATTTGGGGCACATGGAGCTGCTTTGCGTTGCTGGGGTGACCTCAGGGTCCATCTAGACTGGTGACAGTGTTCTTGGGGACTGTCTCGAGATCCATTAAGCAAGTCGAAGCTCCTGACTTGTTTGAATGGGATCACGGAATAGCTCTGCATGCACTGCAGGGGAATGGGGCCTCATCTCGCCTCTAGGGGGAAGTCTCATGGTTTTTCTCGAGTTGCGGCGGGGACCTGGGGTATGTTCTCGACTTACGGCGGGGATGGCCCTTCAAAACACGAGTTTCTTCCGTGACGTCAGGACTCCTGTCTAGTAACGAGGGACACCTCAGGAATCTCTTCGAGGCTTGGCAGGGCCAAAGGGACGCTTCTCGAGGTGAGGCAGGGCACCCAAGGACCCTTTCCAGGAGCCACAGGGATTTTGGGATTCCTATCAGTATTCAAGAGGAGTCAGGCATCGTCACCTTTTGAAGCAATGAACTCCGCGTGCCTCTCGAGGTGTCAGCGGGATGTGAGGCATTCCGTCAAAATGAGGCAGGGACCTAGGGCTTTCTCTAAGGTCTCCACAGGGGCTTCAGACATCCCTTCATGTTGTGAGATGAAAGACGAGCCAGTATTCAAGCCACTGCAAGGAAATCCGGCCTCCTTTCAAGTTAGGGCTTCTCGCTGTATATTCCCCTTGAGGCAGCAAACTCGGGGTCCCTCCCACATACCTATTGCTGAGAGAAGCCTCCTCCTGAGGTGCTTCTGGGAAGTTGGCATACGTCTTGAGCCTAAGCCAGGGAATCAGCTCGCATCTCGAGACGATTTGGGGTACACGGAGCATTCCTCGAGTTGCTGTGCTGAAGTTGGTGTTCCTCTAGACTTGGGACAGTGTTCTCGGGGCATCTCTGGAGTTGCCTGAAGGAAGTCGAGCCACCGGTCGTGTTGAATGGGGAACGGGGAATGGCTCTGGAGTCAATGCAGGGGAATCGGGCCTCATCTCGAGTTGATTTGGGGCACATGGAGCTGCTTTGCATTGCTGGGGTGACCTCAGGGTCCGTCTAGACTGGTGACAGTGTTCTTGGGGACTGTCTCGAGATCCATTAAGCAAGTCGAAGCTCCTGACTTGTTTGAATGGGATCACGGAATAGCTCTGCATGCACTGCAGGGGAATGGGGCCTCATCTCGCCTCTAGGGGGAAGTCTCATGGTTTTTCTCGAGTTGCGGCGGGGACCTGGGGTATGTTCTCGACTTACGGCGGGGATGGCCCTTCAAAACACTAGTTTCTTCAGTGACGTCAGGACTCCTGTCTAGTAACGAGGGACACCTCAGGAATCTCTTCGAGGCTTGGCAGGGCCAAAGGGACGCTTCTCGAGGTGAGGCAGGGCACCCAAGGACCCTTTCCAGGAGCCACAGGGATTTTGGGATTCCTATCAGTATTCAAGAGGAGTCAGGCATCGTCACCTTTTGAAGCAATGAACTCCGCGTGCCTCTCGAGGTGTCAGCGGGATGTGAGGCATTCCGTCAAAATGAGGCAGGGACCTAGGGCTTTCTCTAAGGTCTCCACAGGGGATTCAGACATCCCTTCATGTTGTGAGATGAAAGACGAGCCTGTATTCAAGCCACTGCAAGGAAATCCGGCCTCCTTTCAAGTTAGGGCTTCTCGCTGTATATTCCCCTTGAGGCAGCAAACTCGGGGTCCCTCCCACATACCTATTGCTGAGAGAAGCCTCCTCCTGAGGTGCTTCTGGGAAGTTGGCATACGTCTTGAGCCTAAGCCAGGGAATCAGCTCGCATCTCGAGACGATTTGGGGTACACGGAGCATTCCTCGAGTTGCTGTGCTGAAGTTGGTGTTCCTCTAGACTTGGGACAGTGTTCTCGGGGCATCTCTGGAGTTGCCTGAAGGAAGTCGAGCCACCGGTCGTGTTGAATGGGGAACGGGGAATGGCTCTGGAGTCAATGCAGGGGAATCGGGCCTCATCTCGAGTTGATTTGGGGCACATGGAGCTGCTTTGCATTGCTGCGGTGACCTCAGGGTCCGTCTAGACTGGTGACAGTGTTCTTGGGGACTGTCTCGAGATCCATTAAGCAAGTCGAAGCTCCTGACTTGTTTGAATGGGATCACGGAATAGCTCTGCATGCACTGCAGGGGTATGGGGCCTCATCTCGCCTCTAGGGGGAAGTCTCATGGTTTTTCTCGAGTTGCGGCGGGGACCTGGGGTATGTTCTCGACTTACGGCGGGGATGGCCCTTCAAAACACGAGTTTCTTCAGTGACGTCAGGACTTCTGTCTAGTAACGAGGGACACCTCAGGAATCTCTTCGAGGCTTGGCAGGGCCAAAGGGACGCTTCTCGAGGTGAGGCAGCGCACCCAAGGACCCTTTCCAGTAGCCACAGGGATTTTGGGATTCCTATCAGTATTCAAGAGGAGTCAGGCATCGTCACCTTTTGAAGCAATGAACTCCGCGTGCCTCTCGAGGTGTCAGCGGGATGTGAGGCATTCCGTCAAAATGAGGCAGGGACCTAGGGCTTTCTCTAAGGTCTCCACAGGGGATTCAGACATCCCTTCATGTTGTGAGATGAAAGACGAGCCTGTATTCAAGCCACTGCAAGGAAATCCGGCCTCCTTTCAAGTTAGGGCTTCTCGCTGTATATTCCCCTTGAGGCAGCAAACTCGGGGTCCCTCCCACATACCTATTGCTGAGAGAAGCCTCCTCCTGAGGTGCTTCTGGGAAGTTGGCATACGTCTTGAGCCTAAGCCAGGGAATCAGCTCGCATCTCGAGACGATTTGGGGTACACGGAGCATTCCTCGAGTTGCTGTGCTGAAGTTGGTGTTCCTCTAGACTTGGGACAGTGTTCTCGGGGCATCTCTGGAGTTGCCTGAAGGAAGTCGAGCCACCGGTCGTGTTGAATGGGGAACGGGGAATGGCTCTGGAGTCAATGCAGGGGAATCGGGCCTCATCTCGAGTTGATTTGGGGCACATGGAGCTGCTTTGCGTTGCTGGGGTGACCTCAGGGTCCGTCTAGACTGGTGACAGTGTTCTTGGGGACTGTCTCGAGATCCATTAAGCAAGTCGAAGCTCCTGACTTGTTTGAATGGGGTCACGGAATAGCTCTGCATGCACTGCAGGGGAATGGAGCCTCATCTCGCCTCTAGGGGGAAGTCTCATGGTTTTTCTCGAGTTGCGGCGGGGACCTGGGGTATGTTCTCGACTTACGGCGGGGATGGCCCTTCAAAACACGAGTTTCTTCAGTGACGTCAGGACTCCTGTCTAGTAACGAGGGACACCTCAGGAATCTCTTCGAGGCTTGGCAGGGCCAAAGGGACGCTTCTCGAGGTGAGGCAGGGCACCCAAGGACCCTTTCCAGTAGCCACAGGGATTTTGGGATTCCTATCAGTATTCAAGAGGAGTCAGGCATCGTCACCTTTTGAAGCAATGAACTCCGCGTGCCTCTCGAGGTGTCAGCGGGATGTGAGGCATTCCGTCAAAATGAGGCAGGGACCTAGGGCTTTCTCTAAGGTCTCCACAGGGGATTCAGACATCCCTTCATGTTGTGAGATGAAAGACGAGCCTGTATTCAAGCCACTGCAAGGAAATCCGGCCTCCTTTCAAGTTAGGGCTTCTCGCTGTATATTCCCCTTGAGGCAGCAAACTCGGGGTCCCTCCCACATATCTATTGCTGAGAGAAGCCTCCTCCTGAGGTGCTTCTGGGAAGTTGGCATACGTCTTGAGCCTAAGCCAGGGAATCAGCTCGCATCTCGAGACGATTTGGGGTACACGGAGCATTCCTCGAGTTGCTGTGCTGAAGTTGGTGTTCCTCTAGACTTGGGACAGTGTTCTCGGGGCATCTCTGGAGTTGCCTGAAGGAAGTCGAGCCACCGGTCGTGTTGAATGGGGAACGGGGAATGGCTCTGGAGTCAATGCAGGGGAATCGGGCCTCATCTCGAGTTGATTTGGGGCACATGGAGCTGCTTTGCGTTGCTGGGGTGACCTCAGGGTCCGTCTAGACTGGTGACAGTGTTCTTGGGGACTGTCTCGAGATCCATTAAGCAAGTCGAAGCTCCTGACTTGTTTGAATGGGGTCACGGAATAGCTCTGCATGCACTGCAGGGGAATGGGGCCTCATCTCGCCTCTAGGGGGAAGTCTCATGGTTTTTCTCGAGTTGCGGCGGGGACCTGGGGTATGTTCTCGACTTACGGCGGGGATGGCCCTTCAAAACACGAGTTTCTTCAGTGACGTCAGGACTCCTGTCTAGTAACGAGGGACACCTCAGGAATCTCTTCGAGGCTTGGCAGGGCCAAAGGGACGCTTCTCGAGGTGAGGCAGGGCACCCAAGGACCCTTTCCAGGAGCCACAGGGATTTTGGGATTCCTATCAGTATTCAAGAGGAGTCAGGCATCGTCACCTTTTGAAGCAATGAACTCCGCGTGCCTCTCGAGGTGTCAGCGGGATGTGAGGCATTCCGTCAAAATGAGGCAGGGACCTAGGGCTTTCTCTAAGGTCTCCACAGGGGATTCAGACATCCCTTCATGTTGTGAGATGAAAGACGAGCCTGTATTCAAGCCACTGCAAGGAAATCCGGCCTCCTTTCAAGTTAGGGCTTCTCGCTGTATATTCCCCTTGAGGCAGCAAACTCGGGGTCCCTCCCACATACCTATTGCTGAGAGAAGCCTCCTCCTGAGGTGCTTCTGGGAAGTTGGCATACGTCTTGAGCCTAAGCCAGGGAATCAGCTCGCATCTCGAGACGATTTGGGGTACACGGAGCATTCCTCGAGTTGCTGTGCTGAAGTTGGTGTTCCTCTAGACTTGGGACAGTGTTCTCGGGGCATCTCTGGAGTTGCCAGAAGGAAGTCGAGCCACCGGTCGTGTTGAATGGGGAACGGGGAATGGCTCTGGAGTCAATGCAGGGGAATCGGGCCTCATCTCGAGTTGATTTGTGGCACATGGAGCTGCTTTGCGTTGCTGGGGTGACCTCAGGGTCCGTCTAGACTGGTGACAGTGTTCTTGGGGACTGTCTCGAGATCCATTAAGCAAGTCGAAGCTCCTGACTTGTTTGAATGGGATCACGGAATAGCTCTGCATGCACTGCAGGGGAATGGGGCCTCATCTCGCCTCTAGGGGGAAGTCTCATGGTTTTTCTCGAGTTGCGGCGGGGACCTGGGGTATGTTCTCGACTTACGGCGGGGATGGCCCTTCAAAACACGAGTTTCTTCAGTGACGTCAGGACTCCTGTCTAGTAACGAGGGACACCTCAGGAATCTCTTCGAGGCTTGGCAGGGCCAAAGGGACGCTTCTCGAGGTGAGGCAGGGCACCCAAGGACCCTTTCCAGTAGCCACAGGGATTTTGGGATTCCTATCAGTATTCAAGAGGAGTCAGGCATCGTCACCTTTTGAAGCAATGAACTCCGCGTGCCTCTCGAGGTGTCAGCGGGATGTGAGGCATTCCGTCAAAATGAGGCAGGGACCTAGGGCTTTCTCTAAGGTCTCCACAGGGGATTCAGACATCCCTTCATGTTGTGAGATGAAAGACGAGCCTGTATTCAAGCCACTGCAAGGAAATCCGGCCTCCTTTCAAGTTAGGGCTTCTCGCTGTATATTCCCCTTGAGGCAGCAAACTCGGGGTCCCTCCCACATACCTATTGCTGAGAGAAGCCTCCTCCTGAGGTGCTTCTGGGAAGTTGGCATACGTCTTGAGCCTAAGCCAGGGAATCAGCTCGCATCTCGAGACGATTTGGGGTACACGGAGCATTCCTCGAGTTGCTGTGCTGAAGTTGGTGTTCCTCTAGACTTGGGACAGTGTTCTCGGGGCATCTCTGGAGTTGCCTGAAGGAAGTCGAGCCACCGGTCGTGTTGAATGGGGAACGGGGAATGGCTCTGGAGTCAATGCAGGGGAATCGGGCCTCATCTCGAGTTGATTTGGGGCACATGGAGCTGCTTTGCGTTGCTGGGGTGACCTCAGGGTCCATCTAGACTGGTGACAGTGTTCTTGGGGACTGTCTAGAGATCCATTAAGCAAGTCGAAGCTCCTGACTTGTTTGAATGGGATCACGGAATAGCTCTGCATGCACTGCAGGGGAATGGGGCCTCATCTCGCCTCTAGGGGGAAGTCTCATGGTTTTTCTCGAGTTGCGGCGGGGACCTGGGGTATGTTCTCGACTTACGGCGGGGATGGCCCTTCAAAACACTAGTTTCTTCAGTGACGTCAGGACTCCTGTCTAGTAACGAGGGACACCTCAGGAATCTCTTCGAGGCTTGGCAGGGCCAAAGGGACGCTTCTCGAGGTGAGGCAGGGCACCCAAGGACCCTTTCCAGGAGCCACAGGGATTTTGGGATTCCTATCAGTATTCAAGAGGAGTCAGGCATCGTCACCTTTTGAAGCAATGAACTCCGCGTGCCTCTCGAGGTGTCAGCGGGATGTGAGGCATTCCGTCAAAATGAGGCAGGGACCTAGGGCTTTCTCTAAGGTCTCCACAGGGGATTCAGACATCCCTTCATGTTGTGAGATGAAAGACGAGCCTGTATTCAAGCCACTGCAAGGAAATCCGGCCTCCTTTCAAGTTAGGGCTTCTCGCTGTATATTCCCCTTGAGGCAGCAAACTCGGGGTCCCTCCCACATACCTATTGCTGAGAGAAGCCTCCTCCTGAGGTGCTTCTGGGAAGTTGGCATACGTCTTGAGCCTAAGCCAGGGAATCAGCTCGCATCTCGAGACGATTTGGGGTACACGGAGCATTCCTCGAGTTGCTGTGCTGAAGTTGGTGTTCCTCTAGACTTGGGACAGTGTTCTCGGGGCATCTCTGGAGTTGCCTGAAGGAAGTCGAGCCACCGGTCGTGTTGAATGGGGAACGGGGAATGGCTCTGGAGTCAATGCAGGGGAATCGGGCCTCATCTCGAGTTGATTTGGGGCACATGGAGCTGCTTTGCATTGCTGGGGTGACCTCAGGGTCCGTCTAGACTGGTGACAGTGTTCTTGGGGACTGTCTCGAGATCCATTAAGCAAGTCGAAGCTCCTGACTTGTTTGAATGGGATCACGGAATAGCTCTGCATGCACTGCAGGGGAATGGGGCCTCATCTCGCCTCTAGGGGGAAGTCTCATGGTTTTTCTCGAGTTGCGGCGGGGACCTGGGGTATGTTCTCGACTTACGGCGGGGATGGCCCTTCAAAACACTAGTTTCTTCAGTGACGTCAGGACTCCTGTCTAGTAACGAGGGACACCTCAGGAATCTCTTCGAGGCTTGGCAGGGCCAAAGGGACGCTTCTCGAGGTGAGGCAGGGCACCCAAGGACCCTTTCCAGGAGCCACAGGGATTTTGGGATTCCTATCAGTATTCAAGAGGAGTCAGGCATCGTCACCTTTTGAAGCAATGAACTCCGCGTGCCTCTCGAGGTGTCAGCGGGATGTGAGGCATTCCGTCAAAATGAGGCAGGGACCTAGGGCTTTCTCTAAGGTCTCCACAGGGGATTCAGACATCCCTTCATGTTGTGAGATGAAAGACGAGCCTGTATTCAAGCCACTGCAAGGAAATCCGGCCTCCTTTCAAGTTAGGGCTTCTCGCTGTATATTCCCCTTGAGGCAGCAAACTCGGGGTCCCTCCCACATACCTATTGCTGAGAGAAGCCTCCTCCTGAGGTGCTTCTGGGAAGTTGGCATACGTCTTGAGCCTAAGCCAGGGAATCAGCTCGCATCTCGAGACGATTTGGGGTACACGGAGCATTCCTCGAGTTGCTGTGCTGAAGTTGGTGTTCCTCTAGACTTGGGACAGTGTTCTCGGGGCATCTCTGGAGTTGCCTGAAGGAAGTCGAGCCACCGGTCGTGTTGAATGGGGAACGGGGAATGGCTCTGGAGTCAATGCAGGGGAATCGGGCCTCATCTCGAGTTGATTTGGGGCACATGGAGCTGCTTTGCGTTGCTGGGGTGACCTCAGGGTCCGTCTAGACTGGTGACAGTGTTCTTGGGGACTGTCTCGAGATCCATTAAGCAAGTCGAAGCTCCTGACTTGTTTGAATGTGGTCACGGAATAGCTCTGCATGCACTGCAGGGGAATGGGGCCTCATCTCGCCTCTAGGGGGAAGTCTCATGGTTTTTCTCGAGTTGCGGCGGGGACCTGGGGTATGTTCTCGACTTACGGCGGGGATGGCCCTTCAAAACACGAGTTTCTTCAGTGACGTCAGGACTCCTGTCTAGTAACGAGGGACACCTCAGGAATCTCTTCGAGGCTTGGCAGGGCCAAAGGGACGCTTCTCGAGGTGAGGCAGGGCACCCAAGGACCCTTTCCAGTAGCCACAGGGATTTTGGGATTCCTATCAGTATTCAAGAGGAGTCAGGCATCGTCACCTTTTGAAGCAATGAACTCCGCGTGCCTCTCGAGGTGTCAGCGGGATGTGAGGCATTCCGTCAAAATGAGGCAGGGACCTAGGGCTTTCTCTAAGGTCTCCACAGGGGATTCAGACATCCCTTCATGTTGTGAGATGAAAGACGAGCCTGTATTCAAGCCACTGCAAGGAAATCCAGCCTCCTTTCAAGTTAGGGCTTCTCGCTGTATATTCCCCTTGAGGCAGCAAACTCGGGGTCCCTCCCACATACCTATTGCTGAGAGAAGCCTCCTCCTGAGGTGCTTCTGGGAAGTTGGCATACGTCTTGAGCCTAAGCCAGGGAATCAGCTCGCATCTCGAGACGATTTGGGGTACACGGAGCATTCCTCGAGTTGCTGTGCTGAAGTTGGTGTTCCTCTAGACTTGGGACAGTGTTCTCGGGGCATCTCTGGAGTTGCCAGAAGGAAGTCGAGCCACCGGTCGTGTTGAATGGGGAACGGGGAATGGCTCTGGAGTCAATGCAGGGGAATCGGGCCTCATCTCGAGTTGATTTGGGGCACATGGAGCTGCTTTGCGTTGCTGGGGTGACCTCAGGGTCCGTCTAGACTGGTGACAGTGTTCTTGGGGACTGTCTCGAGATCCATTAAGCAAGTCGAAGCTCCTGACTTGTTTGAATGGGATCACGGAATAGCTCTGCATGCACTGCAGGGGAATGGGGCCTCATCTCGCCTCTAGGGGGAAGTCTCATGGTTTTTCTCGAGTTGCGGCGGGGACCTGGGGTATGTTCTCGACTTACGGCGGGGATGGCCCTTCAAAACACGAGTTTCTTCAGTGACGTCAGGACTCCTGTCTAGTAACGAGGGACACCTCAGGAATCTCTTCGAGGCTTGGCAGGGCCAAAGGGACGCTTCTCGAGGTGAGGCAGGGCACCCAAGGACCCTTTCCAGTAGCCACAGGGATTTTGGGATTCCTATCAGTATTCAAGAGGAGTCAGGCATCGTCACCTTTTGAAGCAATGAACTCCGCGTGCCTCTCGAGGTGTCAGCGGGATGTGAGGCATTCCGTCAAAATGAGGCAGGGACCTAGGGCTTTCTCTAAGGTCTCCACAGGGGATTCAGACATCCCTTCATGTTGTGAGATGAAAGACGAGCCTGTATTCAAGCCACTGCAAGGAAATCCGGCCTCCTTTCAAGTTAGGGCTTCTCGCTGTATATTCCCCTTGAGGCAGCAAACTCGGGGTCCCTCCCACATACCTATTGCTGAGAGAAGCCTCCTCCTGAGGTGCTTCTGGGAAGTTGGCATACGTCTTGAGCCTAAGCCAGGGAATCAGCTCGCATCTCGAGACGATTTGGGGTACACGGAGCATTCCTCGAGTTGCTGTGCTGAAGTTGGTGTTCCTCTAGACTTGGGACAGTGTTCTCGGGGCATCTCTGGAGTTGCCTGAAGGAAGTCGAGCCACCGGTCGTGTTGAATGGGGAACGGGGAATGGCTCTGGAGTCAATGCAGGGGAATCGGGCCTCATCTCGAGTTGATTTGGGGCACATGGAGCTGCTTTGCGTTGCTGGGGTGACCTCAGGGTCCGTCTAGACTGGTGACAGTGTTCTTGGGGACTGTCTCGAGATCCATTAAGCAAGTCGAAGCTCCTGACTTGTTTGAATGTGGTCACGGAATAGCTCTGCATGCACTGCAGGGGAATGGGCCTCATCTCGCCTCTAGGGGAAGTCTCATGGTTTTTCTCGAGTTGCGGCGGGGACCTGGGGTATGTTCTCGACTTACGGCGGGGATGGCCCTTCAAAACACGAGTTTCTTCAGTGACGTCAGGACTCCTGTCTAGTAACGAGGGACACCTCAGGAATCTCTTCGAGGCTTGGCAGGGCCAAAGGGACGCTTCTCGAGGTGAGGCAGGGCACCCAAGGACCCTTTCCAGTAGCCACAGGGATTTTGGGATTCCTATCAGTATTCAAGAGGAGTCAGGCATCGTCACCTTTTGAAGCAATGAACTCCGCGTGCCTCTCGAGGTGTCAGCGGGATGTGAGGCATTCCGTCAAAATGAGGCAGGGACCTAGGGCTTTCTCTAAGGTCTCCACAGGGGATTCAGACATCCCTTCATGTTGTGAGATGAAAGACGAGCCTGTATTCAAGCCACTGCAAGGAAATCCGGCCTCCTTTCAAGTTAGGGCTTCTCGCTGTATATTCCCCTTGAGGCAGCAAACTCGGGGTCCCTCCCACATACCTATTGCTGAGAGAAGCCTCCTCCTGAGGTGCTTCTGGGAAGTTGGCATACGTCTTGAGCCTAAGCCAGGGAATCAGCTCGCATCTCGAGACGATTTGGGGTACACGGAGCATTCCTCGAGTTGCTGTG